ATGCAGCCGAGACAGACTTGTGCTTCATGTGATTGCGCTGGCGAAGCGGAGCACCCTTCGGTGAGTATCCGTAAAGAGGGAAAATGGATTTCCTGATCCCCGTCTCGTCGACAAAAACGAATCGCCGCGGGTCGATGGAGCGGACCTGGTCCCTGAACTGTGCCACTCGCTCATCCAGTCGCTTGGACTTGTAGAGGTGTGTTGCCCTCTTGTGTGAGAGACCTGCTCGGTGGATGGCAGTGTGGCAGAGTGAGAGTGATACTTTCCTCTGGAGGATGGACTCGAGCTTGCATCGCAACACAGGACCAGTCTGGAACGGGTCCTGTTCAATCAGGGTGCGAATGACTGGACATGCCTGCTCAAAGAAAGTGGATCTGCGAGCTGGGACCCGGGATGGGTCATCCAGCTTGCATCCTCGGTGCCATCGATGGATGGTGCTCTTGGATACACTGAATATGGAGGCGACCTTACGCAGGCTATGGATGAGGGTGTAGTATCGCAATGCGGCGGTGCGAAAGTCGGATGTGTGGCGAATGGTCATGGCCAGCGCGCGATAACATTGGGTAACAAAATATTCGATGAATGGTCAAAAACCCGGGTGTCCCGTTTTTTATTGGATTGCCTGTAAACGATGGGCGCAGCCGATCATCAGGCACCCACCAGGCCGACCAAGATTGAAGGGCGACAGGGGTGCGGCTTCGTTCTTGTCCCTGATCTTGCCACACGGAAGCACCACCCCGTCGATCGGCAATGCTGGCGACGATCTACCGATACCGACGGCAGCTGACGCTCTACGTGTGCGTGGGGCTATGCATCACCATGGTCGTCTCGGTCCTGCTGCATGTGCTAATGCGGTCGGATGAACGGACGGACCGTCGGCCATTCGAGCCCTGGAGTCAAGGCATCGCACCGGACCCGACAACAACGGCAACGACGACAGCACAGCTCAAGCTGCGTGGGATCCATCCAAACCGTACGAGGCCATTCCGTCTTTCGGAGAGGATTCTGATGCCACTCGGGGGTGACGATCGACGAGGGGGATGATCGACGAGGGGGATGATCGACGAGTGGGATGAAGAGCGAATACGCCAGTCGACGAGCAGGACAGCATCGCTGATCTCGTTGGTCGGGGCAGCCAAGCGAGAGACTATGCAGGGCTGAGGTGGGCTTTTTCTTTCCCCACCTGCTGTTGCCTGGATGCATCTTAATCCCTCTGCGCTGCCAGAGGCGCATCTATACCTCTCACAGCAAGCGAGCGAGGACCCAGAGGTCTTGGTCTTCCGATGCCTGGACGGCAAGCAGACGATTCCTTACGCGGCGCTGAACGACGACTACTGCGATTGCAACGACGGATCGGACGAGCCAGGTAGACGAGCCCGGCGATGCTGTTGCAGACGAGAAGAGAGGGGGGATGGGGACATGGAGGGACTCAAAGGACCGCTCTGGGAACATGGGGCGGCATTCAAAGAATAGGTTTGGGCACATGGCAGCTGCCTCAGTCACCGATCGCCCATTTGCTTCTCACTCTGGGGTCACAGGGACATCCGCATGCCTGGATGGAAAGTTTCACTGCCGCGGCTCCGCATCGCAAGTCAACTGGATTCCGTCCTCGAGGGTCAATGACGGCATCTGCGGTGCGTGACGATGGTGTTGTTATTGACGGCGACGACGCTGATGTCGTTGTTGCTGCGAAAGAATCGACGCTGGCACCATCACTAACGCTTGGCTGGTGATCATGCTCGGTTAATGGCACACATTGCCTGCCGCACCGTCGGCTGGCCGGCACATGCATCGACAATCAACCGCTGGCTCGGCAGACCCAGAGTGCTGCGACGGATCGGACGAATACAGCTCGGGAGCTCGGTGCCGAAACCGCTGCCGGCGTTTTGTCGACCGCCTGTAGTGAATGCCGAGGAAGGACAGGAGTCTGAGATCCGAATACATCTGCGCTGCTGTCTATCAGAGGGTTGCGTTGTTGGATGGCGCGGGCTGAGCGGCGATGTCAAAGCGAATGTCAAAGCGAATGTCAAAGCGAATATCAAAGCGATATCACATTTGATATCTATTGTCATCACAATCATCATCAACATCATAATCATCAACACCATAATCATCAACACCATCTTCACCATCAACACCATCATCACCAACACCGGCACCGCCCGCCCCGGCCCCGCGCGCACATGACCGCCCGAGCCCCCGCCCGCCGTCCGCATGGCTCCTGTCCGGCTGGTCCCATGCCGTCTCATGCCCGGCGTCCGCCCGCGCGCTCTCCGTCGTCCCCGCCTGCTCGACTCTGTTCGACTCTGCTCGACTCTGCGCTGCTGCCCCGGTGCATCTCATTGTCTCCGTCTGGGTCCGTCTGGGTCCGTCTGGCTGTCCTCGTCTCTGTTTTCACCTGTCTGTCCCTCTCCTCCATCCACCCGCGGTCTCTTCTATCGACGCCATCACCCGACCCCTCCCGAGTCGCCCAGGCACATCCTTCTCACCTCACCACCACCACGCTTCCTGCGGACCTCGCTGCTTGGTCCTTCCTCAAGCATCGCTCTCTGTTCTCCCAGCATCCCTCGCGAATGTTCTTAAAGCCCCGAGTCCCCGACTGCCTCGACCTGTTCTTCTGCTCGACGCCCCTTCGATATCTCCATCTGTACTTTTGTTTTCCAGACCTGCTCTCCGTCCGGGCCCTGGCCATCCACCAGATTCCTCTTGGTCTCCTACTGCTCGTCTACCTCATCCCGCTCTGTCTGATCTTTCCGGCCGTGCGCATCCCGCTCCTGCTCTTCAACGTCATTGCCTACGCCCTCCAGTCCTCCAACTCGACCCAGCCTCCGTTCCGCTTCCCCTGGGAGGCCTCTGATTCCCATCGTCTGTATCTGTGGCTGCCTCGTTGCTCTGCTGCGCTCCTCAAACCGCATGCACAGGCGCAACTCATAATTCGTCATCGGCCCCGCGCCGCCTCGTGTCCTCATGTCGACTGAGTCCGAGAGGACGCTTTAAAATTGGCTCGTGGGGCATGAACCTGCCCTTGGTTTGTCTCGGCCTCTCGTTCCTGCTCCTGTCCCGCAGACGCCGAACTGACCGCTCTCTTGCCGTGCCGTTGCAGACTCGGACATGGACTACATTCTCCGCCGCTGCAGTATCTGCTTCGATGCCAACCTCGACTTTTTCTTGCAAGTAAGTGAGCGTCCCCACCCCCAACAACAAACCTCCATACATCATATATGCACCCGGTCTTTGTGGCTCGAGGCAGTATGAATCCACCTCCGATTGTACCCCTCGATTCTCCGGAGACAGCTGGCCCGAGCTGGCATCCCTCCCACGTACACACATGCCTCTGTATCCTTCAAGGGCTGCGTTCCATGGTCAAGCTCTCCCTCGTCATCTGTGCTTGCATGACTTTCCATTCGGTCGTTGTGCTTGCGCTGGCTCGGCTGCATTATGGACCGAGGCGATATTTGATAGCGACACGGCTCGTGAAGGCTCATTGCCCCGATAATCAGCCCAACTGCATTACTGACCTGTGGCTCGGTCTGCTTTCCTTCTGCCTTTCTGCTCCGTGGAATCATATATTGCCACTCGCCATCTGTCGGCGCAGAACTGCAAGGACCAGTTTTGCAAAAGCTGCTTTCAGCGCTACGTTCACGAAAATGTCAAAAACAGCTGGGGCCTCGTCGTCCAGCCCATCAAGTGCCCTGTCTGCAGTGATGTGATTCCCAAGAACGAGTGGGAGCGTGTAAGTACCGACGAAACTCTGGCCCCGGCAGCACGAGCAGACTCTTGGCTTTCGGGATGGCTGCTCAGGAAACCCCACAAATCCATCGCCGTGAATAAGAGGATGCATGAGTCCATTTGGTTTGTGTTGGTTTCTCCCTCATGTTGTTCTGACAGGAAGTCCATATTCTTGTTCCAATGCACACCCACCATTTTCGTCTGCCGCCACCGGCATCGCCGCCATCGGCTTGGACGACGACCCTGGGGCACTGGCTTGTCGGTATGCCGCCAACGTCAGTACGTCGATGCCAAACTCGTCCGCCAGTTCGAGCGCAACAACAAGCCCTTCCGTCCGTTCATTCGCCACTGCGACTCGTGCCGCACCGACATTTGCTGTGCCGAGAGCCCCGTCTTTTCCCGCCGGGAGCGCAAGCAAGTCTTTGGCGACATGTATGCTCTGCTACAGCGGATCGTGAGCCGCTCGAGCGATCGCCAAATCCTCGACAAGTTCCAAACCGACTACAAGCAATCCCTGAGCGCCGGCAATGTCGACCATGTGCTGGTGTACAAGAGCATGATCAAGTCGCTCAAAGACATTGTCTGTGCCAGGTGAGAACAGCCGCGCGGCCTGTTCAGATATCGCGAGCAATATTGTGTCATCTCTTTCGGCAATAGCGATCCTGACGTCCAAACTGCCTCTGCCCGCCACTTTCACAACAGATATCGTGGCAACATGGATGCTGTCGAGGCCAGTCCCGAATGGTCCGTGATGGCCCTGTTCTCCCGACGGTTCACGGCCATCGAAATGCAGGCGAGCCAATGGAACACTCTCCAGTTCCTCCACGTTTCCAACTTTCCCCGGGCCTCATGGTGGGTGACTTATCTGCCCTCTGACGATTCGCGAGTAAGAGCTACAACGATGGGCTGCGGCGAACTAAACCGATGCGTGACTCGCCTTTGTGTTGCGGTTCTGCAGTGCATCATGCTCCACAGAGCTGTGCTTCCTTTGGTATGTATTATCGTGTTGCTGGATTTTGAGACCACACTAGACCAGTGTTTTGCACCGACACATTCTTGCGCGCATGGACCACTTGTCTGGTTGTTAACCCATCGCGGCTGCCAGTGGGGAACAATACCATCCGCAAAAGTCTTGCCACGAACACATGCAAGATCTCCTGGCTCACCACGAGGGCTCCGAAGAAGTACAGGCTAATTTGTCCTGGAAGCTGGAGAACAGGCAAGTAACATGGCTCTTACCGGCAGCTGGCTCTACAGAAGCCATGTGTGTATGTCTGCTATGACGACGACAACGAGCTGACGAGCATACTCATTCCTCGTCCACTTATCAGCAAGCGATGTCCATCTTGCTGCATCCTGATTACGCGGGACGAAGGATGCAACAAAGTATCGTGCCTCTATTGCGGATACCAGTTCTGCTGGTATGTATCTGTCGCTGCTACGTCCTCTCGTGCTGCGGTGTCGAAACTGCTCGGTGCTCGTGAGCCGAGTCCACTAATCCATCACAAATGCGCCCGCAGGGTGTGCTGTGGCAAGTTCAACGACGGCGACTGCGGGTTCTACAAATGTAGCCTGTCCTTGGACGAACCTGATATTCCGCCAGACCTGAGCGACTTTCAGGTGCGCTTGTGTGCCAGTTATGCTGGGTTACTGCTCGACGACGAGGCGCGAATGGAGCCGCACACATGGTGCGCGATGCATGATTCCGATCTCTGACTGGTGCTGCTGTTTTCTCGGCCTAACGAACAGACCGAGCTCGGTGTCCCTGATATGACCGTCATTGGCGCCAAGCTCAAGCTTTGAGCAGTCCTGTGGTATTTCCAGCATATCCACTCCGTGGTGCCTCAGCCATTCTGTGTGCTGCTGCTGAATCGATATGCACCTCCTCTACCTCAGCCGAGGGGCGAAAGACAACGACATCCATTCCAGTTAGCCGGCTCCGACCTTGCCAATAAGGAGTCCGCTCCACTCTCGCCAAGCTAATCGCCCCTTTGGAACGAACCGTCGCCACATCTCGATCAATCCCCCGTCGTCTCCCTCAGCCCGATCGACCGTTCCCGCCGCCTTCCCAACCACGTTTCTTTTCTGTATGTACTTTGCCCACCAAATCCTTCCCTCCCACGCACCTATCCGCCTGTTCTCAACCACCTCACCGATATTTGATGTTTGCCGTGCGTGTATACATCTTGTATTTTCGCTTCTTCTATCTTCAAAATATGCGGATATACCCCACCAAAACAAAGCCCATCCGAATGCAGCAGGAATCATGATCGCGAAAGGAAGGGGGAGAGGTACAGTGGCGTGAGTCCCTGCCAGAAACCACACCAGCCGACAGAGGACGACTCCGTTCAAGATGGATCGCATTCGACCCACCTCCTGAGAGACAGTGCCATCGAGCAGGTTGTCGCAACTGATCGGTCTCTTGAGCCACTTGCGGACAGAATTGCGCTAATCGAGGGGTTATCGATTTCAGACAAGAGCTTTCAAGGGCTGGTCGGCTCTAGCAGTATATGATGTTGGAAAGGGAGGCAGTGATCAACCAAACGGGCAGCTTGAGGGAGATGAGAGCCGTCGGCCCTCGCTCTCGCTCTGCTTCATCCGGGTGTCCAGGGAAAGCACCGAGGGTCCAACTTACCATCATGTTGTGATAGTATCGATCTCTCTTTGGCCTTCTGAGTTTGTAGTGGCCTTCCTGGAACAGTCACTTCATCGGGTAGGCTGGTTGGCGCTGTTCTTTCAGCATGATCAGCTGTCGCCAGTACTCGTCGAGATAGAACTGGGAGCCGAGGCTTGCGTCCATCAGGCTGGGCTGGGTGCGGGAATATCTCAGCACCAGCGAGACCATCTTGTCGTTGTGGTCCAGACGATCTTCCCAGACGGCTCGGTTCTGGAGGGCCAGCTGCTTGAGGCGGTTGGGCAGGGTGATGAGTCCGCATCCAAGATGCATCGCTCCATAGGACGTGTTCCGCACCACTCTGAAGAGTCGGGTCAGAGAGTGCATCTGTGCTCGTCTGAGTATCACGGCTTGCTGCTTCGTGAGCACTTCGAGGGTCAGTCCATACTCGAGCATGGGCCGAACGAAGGTCTTGAACACCCTCGTCACTGTCTTGGCCGAGTATCGGCCCAGACTCATTCCGTGCTTCACCAGCTTGCCGGCGGCACCTCTAGCCTTGTGGGTGAGGTTCTGGATCTGGCGGTCCATCCTGAAGCCGTTGATGTCGACGATGGGACCATTGGACAAGCTGCTGGACCTGCTCAGTTTCGATCGCACTCCCGTTCGCACTCGCACCCCTCCCACACTTGGATCGCTTGCTGCTCATGTACCCGCTCCCCGCACTGCCTTCCGAGCATTCGCACTAGGTGCACACCCCGCACCAGCACCCACTCCCACACACAGTGTAGTCCCGCCCTTGCAGTCTCTCCCTGCACCCTCATCACAGCGTAGTATAGTGCCAGCACTTGCCACTCCACCACCCCGACCTCCCCTCGATCCTGCTGTTCCCTTGTGGGAACTGCTTGAAAATGTGTTCACCCGCTTGGTCTCAGACCTTGTGGGCAGCTGAGGCAGCACTAGGCTGCAACAGGAGTAAATAGGCTTGCCTGTGTACTCAACGTGCCGGGGTACCAACCTGTTGGACCTGATGGCTTGTCTTCCTGAATAAAGTTGACAATAGTAACAAACACCCCACATGAGTTGAACATGTAGCTGCCCAAGGTGGGCTTCATTACAAGTTCATCATGCAGCACATTCGACGACCCTGTCTCGAAGTCGCCTGCGCTGTCCTATCGGTACCTGATCCTGATTCTGCATCTTTATCGAGGGTCCCCGAGTCGGCAACATTGGACATTCACGATTGTTGTGTGAGCTTTTCCTCGGTGCGAGTAACTGCATCGACGGCCGCGCGAACAAGGGGATGTTCAGGATTTGCAAGTCCATCACGAAGAATCTCGAGAGATTCGCGGTAATGCCGAAGTGCTGATTCGAGGTGTCCAGCGGCCTCCTCCGCAGCACCAAGATACCCCAAAGCTAAAGCAACCTGCGGATGCTTTCGGCTGTTAAAGATCTCAATACGCATATGCACCAGCTGTTCATAGTATTGAGACGATTCTTCGTGATTCCCTTGAGCACTCGCGACAAGACCGAGGCAGTTCAGAACGACGATGATTTCTCTGTGGGGTTGACCATTGTGGATTTGGTTGAATGCTTCCAGGGCTTCGCAAAGCAGAGTATGGGCCTGACATAAATCCCTCTGATCATATGCCACTGCACCCATGTTGGACAGGGTTTGTGCAATGTCCGGATGAATGCGCGTTCCATGAATAGCTATTGATACATCCAAGGACTCACGAAAATATCGCAGCGACTGATCAAGGTGGCCAATATCTCTGGCAAGAGCACCTAAATTGTTGAGCGACGCTGCCGTGTCTGCGTGGATTCTGGATCCATGGAGTGCCGTCGTGATTTCCAAATCCTCTTGAAAGTAGCGAAGAGCTTCTTCAAGATTATTGGTTTCGGCCGCCAAAACACCCATGTTATTGAGGGTTGAGGCAACGTCAGCGTGATTGCGCGTTCCATATATCTTGATTTTGATGTCGAGAGCTTCCTGGTAGTATCTTTGGGCCGCGTCGAAGCAGCTTAGCTCGCTGGCAGCAGCACCCATATTGTTCAAGATTTGTGCTATGTCTGGGTGCAGACGTGTTCCATAGAGTTTGGTCGTCATTTCAAGATCCTCAGCATAACACTTGAGGGCTTGTGCTGGATCGCCTTTGGAGAGAAGAACATTTCCCAGATTTGTGAGAGACTTGGTGACAGAGGGATGCTCGTGGGTTCCGTACACCTGGGTCTTGATGTCAAGAGATTCGCTCAGATAGGCAAAGGCAGCATCCAACTGCCCTTGATCGTGAGCCAGCGAACCCATGTTATTTAGGACTCTAGCGACATCAATGTTTAGCCTCGAGCTATGAGCCTCAGTCGAAATATCCAGAGACTCTTGGAAATACGATAAGGCAAGTTGATGTTGGCCTTGCTGCCTTGTTACTTCGCCAAGGCAATTGAGAACAAACGCGACTGATATATGCCGTCGGGTGCTATAAAGCTTGATGTAGATCTCGAGAGAGTCGTTCAAATAGGTCAATGCATCATCAAGTCTTCCCAGGTTTTGAGCGACAGCCCCGATACGGCTAAGGATTGTAGCAATGTCTTTGTGATCCCGGGTTCCATGGAGGGCGATGGATTTGGATAAAGAGGCTTGATAGGACTCCATTGACTTTGCAAACATACCCTTACGTTCCTCTCCGGTTGCCCTCCTGAAATCAATTTTGGATTGCAGTTTTTTGGTATAAACTTCTGGGACTGTCCGCTCAGCGTACTGCTCGAGGTGCGCGGAAAGAGCGAATGCACTCTGGTTTTCTGACTGTGTCAGGTCCAGTAACGCTTCGCCAGTGGCATCTTCGATCCGGTCGTTGATGAGCTCGTCCTTGCCAACGACCCACTCGTGGGCGACTCGCTGCGTCAGCGAGTGCGTATAGAACTGCTCGTTGGGACCTGGTCGAAGCAATCCACTCTCGCACATCATCGTGACGAGGCGAGCAACTGGATTGATGTGAGGGATCGTTAGCCACCATTCGCCCATTCACGCCCAATACTCGCTATCACATCACCCACGCCACATTTAGTGCAAGTTTATCTGCCCACCCTCGCAGTCCCATCGCACAACTCTGTCGCTACTCACCATCGGCCGAGAGTTCCATCTTCTGTGTCATAGCTGTGATCAGGTCGAGAGGAATGTCGTCTGGCGCCACCAGACTGAGGGCACCGAACAGCCTGGCTGCCTCGATGCCCTCATCCCCTCGCTTCATCAGCGAGTCCAGCGACAGATCCACAATCACCTTGAGCGACGACCGCGTGTCGTCATCGCCATCCTGCAGCTCCAATGCTCCTGCAAACGTGGCCTCGAGCACCGACAGGGGAGTGTCGTAGTTCTCGGCAAACGTCATGAACGTCTGGATGACGAGTGGATATCCGCTGATCTTGGCCACGATGCTGTCCAGTGACTTCTTGGCTTCGTCCGACACAAGTCGCTGGACAATCATTGGCGACGACGACATGATGTAGTCGAGCGTGGTTTTGTCGTCCCAGTTGACGAGACGGAGTGGGTCATGTTTGTATCCAGGGATCTTGGTCTCAAGAGCACTGGCGAATGCACCAGGAGGCAACGAGGCCAGCCGGGTCGTCACCACCACATCGCCGCTGAACCCGGCCGACTTGGAGTGCTCAAACACAGAGTCGACCACGCTGATGTCGTCGACATTGTCGAGCACCAGGAGATAGCCGTGGGTGTTGGCGAGGAACCTCGAGGCATGCTCCTTGATCTCGTCGGGCTTGATGCCGGGGAACATCTCGATGAGGCCATCGATAGCAGTCGACTCGGTCGAGCAGTTGATCCAGAAGACCTGGCGGTACTGCGGCTTGATGCCGATGGTCTCGGCTTTGATGGCGAGGAGGTCTTCCTTGTTGCTCGCATTCATAATGCCCATCATGAAGAACAGGATCTGGACAGCCAGGACGGACTTGCCCATGCCACCCATGCCGGAGATGACGGCGCGACCAGTCAGGGTGAGCTGCTTGAGCAGGGTGTCGAGGTGGGCGGGATCGAATCGGAACTTGGAGTCGCAAAAGTATTTGCGATAGATGGTCGTAATGAGATCCATGTTGGGTGGGATGGGATGGATGAGGTTGAGGAGGCGGTAGACTCGCTTGTGCATCTGGTCGGGACGGAAGCCAAGTGATTGGATGCGTTTGATTCTGTCGAGGGTCTGCTTGAGCGAGGCAAAGGCAGGGTCGTTGGAGAAGTCTACCATTTTTGGTTCAAAGGGAGTGAAGCCATCGACACCATCCTTGGTTTCCTTGGTGGCGATTCCGAGGGGAAGGACAGGGAGAGAGCGTTTGGCATCCTTGAGATCGAGGGCGGTGTTGATCTCAAGCAGAACATTGTCATCCTGGCCGGCGAGGGTGTTCTCAATTATGGGTGTAAACGATTCCAGACTGAGGAGCAGGAAGACGGCTTTACACTTAGGAAGGGCACTGATAGAGCTGGCTGGAGGATCGCTGGGATTGTTGAGACAGTCGACATCGTGGAAGACGGAAAGGGGTTTGCCATATCGACGGAGGGCGACCGAGGTGAGCACCTCCTTCAGAGCCTGGACGGTGTCGGCATCAGTCTGGGCACGGTATGAGAGGAACAGATCGTGGTCGGTGCCGTGAGCAGGGCAGGAATAGAGCTGGTTGCTTGCGACCGTCGGCATCCTCGGAGATTTCCGAGCAGGAAAACGAGGAGAGAGGAGTTCGCCAGGCAAACTGGGGGGAACTACCTGCTAAAATGGAGATGGATTGCAATGCCCGTCCACCCACCAGGCACAAAATATCCACAGAGCCACGATAGCTTCCATATTGAGCGTGCCATTCCACTCAGTCATCTTGTATTGTTTGCAATGACGGGCGACATTGCACATTCTCGATTGTTAACCATATGTGCAATCTAAGACGTCGCCACACACGACGACAAGATGATCACCCTCATCACTCGCTTTATCCGATCCACGGCGATGAAGGACCAGCCATACCTTCGCAAGTCCTTCTACGAAAGCATCCAATGGAACCTGACCTGCTCCCGCAAACAGAAGAACCTACGTTCTCGATTGAGTCCATGGCCAAGTGCGGTGTGTGGACTGTCATAGATTATGAGGGATTTGGATTCACTTCAGGTTCGACAACCGCACAAGGAGAAGCAAAACAATGAGAGGCAGAAAAGAGTGACTCAGGGACCGACAAGTTCGAGTCGCTGAGCCGTACAACATCAAAGCCATCCTTCCGAACGACGAGAACAGTTGATGGACCATCGCCCTCAAAACAGCTTGGTCAGTCCAAAAGTGATTGCAAGGACAATCGTCCATACCATAGTAAGTAGTACAAAAAATAAGCCAGCGATAGAGAGAGGTACTAACGATAGAGCCAAATACAAGAAACACAGGATATTGAGCAACTCCATGCCGAGCCAGCTTGAGAATCGGCCAAAGGTGTACTCAAACGTATTGTTGAATACAACGCGGCAGCCCTTCGGTAATCCAGAGATCCTCCAGCTTGTGATTCTCCATCCGAGGTTGAAATAGTCAGCATATCGACCAAAACAATCAGTCAACCAGGATCGATCGAACATCCTGATGCTGGAATCCAAATGCAGCGTCTTGAGCGAGGGAAGCTTGTGAACCAGTCCGCGGACTCTCTTTATTTGTGACGAGGCATGAAGAATCTCGAGCCTGGGATACGGGGGAATGCCATCCAGCGACTTTAATTCGTAGCACGCGTGCAGATTGAGGACCTTGAGGGAGCTTTGATTCACATGCAGATCGGCCAGGCTCACAAATCGGTTTGGGAGTATGAGGTGATTGAGCCTTGGCATGCTTGGGAGTTGGCTCAAGATGTTGTGGGGCATGTGGGAGGAGATCACCAACTTGGTGAGAGACGGGAGCTCCTCAGGGATACCCACGATAGTCTCCATGCCGACTGGGATATTGAGCTCGAGCAGCATCGGCATCTCAGGCATTCCCTTGAGTGACGTCAGTTGGCTGCATCCACTCAGGTCGAGCGCTATCAGCTTGGGCAACTCGCTCGGCATGCCTTCCAAGCTGATCAGCGGATCAGCCACTCGTCCAAATAATTTATGCTTGATAGTCAGCCCTTGGATATTTGAGAGCGTCTTGGGCCATCCGGACACTTCCAGAAAAGACACGCCCTCGATTGTCAGCCTCTTTTCCCTCGCGCGGTCGATCCCTGCAATGTCGAACGGCAACAGCTTGGAGACATATGCCGTTCTGTCCGTGATATCGTTGGGTCGAATCGTAAGGCGATTCCGAGAATTGACCCGTATCGACCAGCATATGCCGAAGCTTTGTCTTTCCGCGATCGCGACCATCTCCTCGACAGATGGCTGCTCTGATCCGTTTGGTCTTGCTTCCTCGGGGAAGCGGAACTTGGGGTCAGTCACTTGGCAGAATCGTTGCACTCGGTCGAACAATTGTCTGTCTCGATAGACTTCGGACCAGAGCTCGTTCTCCTTCTTCAGCATCGATGGGCTGGTTGGCTTGTGCTCATTCTGGCGAAGTGCATAGTAGAAGAGTCCCTGCAGCACTTTGAGCCGATCGATGGAGGGATCGACACCGTTGAACAGGAATTCAGGTGTGATTTGTAAATAGGCAAGCCACAGTCGTTCCTGTACCTTGTCGGTGTTGAGGATGGCCCGAGTCTGTTTCGAGACTCGCAGGAGTTTTGCGAGCAAGGATGAGCTCGCAGCGCGAATGAATGCCTCATTTGTGATCAGGATGGTGAGCAAGTCGAAGCGAGCGAGGTCCTCCTCGACCAGGGATGGCTCTGCTGCTGCTTTGGCTGAAACCGGCATGGCGGAAGGGGTGATGGAGTCAGGCCGCGAGTGAGTGGTGGCTGAGGCAGAGCGAAGAGCAGAAACGACGAGAAAGGGGGCGATGTCCGGGGGGTGCTGTTTCCCAACGATGCGATCCGCAGGACGCGGGTTGGCGAAAACCGCACCACACAGATCCGATGTTTTGGAGCAGATGACACTCAGCCAGAACAAATGGAATCCCGAACGAGAGACAGATCATGGAGAGTTGGCTCGGCGCCATCTTCTTGCCAGCATCAAAGCCCACGCGAACATGCCAGAGTCAAGCGGACCTCGATTGGCCAGAGCATGCTCCAATGAGATTTCGCTTGGATGCGTTTCACGGAGTCAGTGTGAGCCTGGATTCGACAATGGTGAGTCGAACTTTGGCCGTTGGCGCAACAGCAACGCGCATCGTGTTGCACCAAACTACCGCGTCAACGCGCGTCGCCTCGGTGTTGTCCTCGTCATATATCAGGGTTGCTCCTTCCCGATCCCTCGTCACCAAGCGCATATTCAGCATGGGACGAACATCCAAGAACAAGAAGAGGTCTCAAAAGGCCCGAGAGACAGTGCTCCGAAATGCGGCCATCCGGGCCGAGCTGAGGAGAGCCGTTCTCGCGGGCGCCTGTGGTCTCGACCCGGCTGGCGGTCCTGTCCATGAGCCTCCTTCCTTCCAGGACGAGACCACACCCGATGCTTCCCTGGCCGCACCAAGCCCTGCTGCGACCAATCTCCAAGATGTCACTTGCGCTCCAGATGAAGATGAAACCTCGAACATTCCGGCCACGAGCTTGGTCCGCGAGGACGCGGACGGGTGCATATCTTCCTTTCCTGAAACAGTCATTCTCATCGACGATCAGGATCCCCAGCCGAACCAAGCTCCTCGTCAGGCGAAGCAGTCCTCGCTTGCATGGCCGACCCAGCCCCCGCTCTCCTTAGCCGACGCTCATATTGATCATCGCCGACGACCCTACATCGGCAATTCGGCCAGGAGCCGACGACGTGCCATGGCCGAGTCTCGCATTCGAGCTCTTCAACACGGCTCCTCCAAAACGATCGACGAATACTTCGGATCACAGTCAAAGAAAGCCGTCCAACCGCCGCGGGCAACCCCAGCCAGAGTCAGTGCGGTCCAGATTTTGGATATCGACGCTGACCAACAACGCCGCAGAGTCCCCAGCGGCTACGTTCTGGACGTGGACGTTGGTTATCCGGCCAGCATTTGGGATGGCCAGCTCATTGACTTGGACGACATCCACCAGTCGGCCAAAGAGTGCAGCGGCACGAGCCACTATGCACGGAACGGGCAGCCAGTCCAAGTCCGCGACAATCAAATGTCAGAACCCGATGGCGACAATGGTGCCAGCGAGGAACCAGCATCCTCTGACGACGAGAGGCCCGAGACCCCTGAACAGCCGACGCACATGGAAATCGACTCAGCCATCGATCGCCTCGGAAGGGAGATACATGCTCAGGAAACAACCTCCGTTGGAAACAAACCCAGCTTTCGAAAAATGGTATTCTACCACGCCATATTGTGCTATCTTCAAGAGAAGCGAAGCAACACTGAGCTGACGGCTGCAAAGATCGGGGTGGAAGTGGCTCGCCGTCTTGCCATGGGAAGGTCGTTGCCATACTACAGTCGGATCATAAGGAAAGCAGCGACCGAATATGTGAAGACGGGGTTGATACCCGAGACATATACGTTGCTCCATCCAAGGGAGATCTCACTGCTGTCAGACAAATCGACAGCACGCAGGTGCTTGAAATATCTGGAGGATGACCAGCAGTGCAGCCCGACGATGTTTGCTCACTTTGTCAACACTGAAGTACTGCCAACGATCAATGCTGAGAGAAACCTTCGAGCAAATCGAGTCAAACACCGAAACATCACGGCCCGAACAGCCTCGTGCTGGATGAGATTCCTTGAATACGTGCGTGTCAGAGACAGGAAAGACGCTCACGTCGACGACCACGAGCACTACGGCGACGTTGGCTATCGCCAGGAATATCTCCAGAAGATGAAGGCTTATCGCCGGCGAATGGCCCGATACGGCGGCGAGGGTTTCCAAGAGGCACTGGCCCCGAAATGCGAATCACTTTCTCGCATCGTCCTTGTCACGCACGGCGAGAGTATGTTTTACAGGCAATCCAATAAAAAACGGGACACCCGGGTTTTTGACCATTCATCGAATATTTTGTTACCCAATGTTATCGCGCGCTGGCCATGACCATTCGCCACACATCCGACTTTCGCACCGCCGCATTGCGATGCTACGCCCTCATCCATAGCCTGCGTAAGGTCGCCTCCATATTCAGTGTATCCAAGAGCACCATCCATCGATGGCACCGAGGACACAAGCCAACCGAGTCACCCAGAGTCCCAGCCCGCAGATCCACTTTCTTCGAGCAGGCATGTCCAGTCATTCGCACCCTGATTGAACAGGACCCGTTCCAGACTGGTCCTGTGTTGCGATGCAAGCTCGAGTCCATCCTCCAGAGGAAAGTATCACTCTCACTCTGCCACACTGCCATCCACCGAGCAGGTCTCTCACACAAGAGGGCAACACACCTCTACAAGTCCAAGCGACTGGATGAGCGAGTGGCACAGTTCAGGGACCAGGTCCGCTCCATCGACCCACGACGATTCGTTTTTGTCGATGAGACGGGGATCAGGAAATCCATTTTTCCTCTTTACGGATACTCACCGAAGGGTGCTTCGCTTCGCCAGCGCAATCACATGAAGCACAAGTCTGTCTCGGCTGCATTTGCCATCAACCACTCTGGTGTGCTGCATCGAGCGCCGAGGATGGTCAGTGATCTTCACCCCACCTGCCTCGCCCGACTTCAATCCCATCGAGAACTTCTTTGGGGTTGAGTCCCCCCCGATTTGGGGTTGAGCTCCTCCAATTTGGGGTTTAGTCCCTCCAATCACGCCGCCATTTTCACGCTCACATCCCTGGCTTGAACCTCTCGGCGATTTTTGAACAGGGTCACTTCCCCAACCAGCCCGCAAAGACGGGCTCCTGCTCTCGGGTATAAATGCCACACCTTCGTCCTGCTGCTTTCTTCCCTCATCTCGCCTTGATCTGATCATCGCGCTATTGTACGATAAAAAAGTCTCTGCTCTGACCAGTACCACTGGCAGGCATCCAGCATCCTCTGCCCCCATGCCTCCGAAGCGCAAGGGTACCGGTGATGGCCAGCCTCGGCCACCCAGGCCCAAGAAAGCCAAGTCACAGTCGGAGCCTGTCTCTGGTTCGTCTTCTGACCCCACGCATGCTTGTTTCTCTGTTGCTCCGTCGCTCACCACCACTGCTTCTGCAGATCCAATGGATGTCGATCCCACCGAGCCTGGTCCATCTACTTCCTCGAGTACCGGCAAGCGATGTCCCAAGTGCGATGGCACCGATCACGAGCGAAGCAACACCAGCAAATGTCCCAAATACCGGCCCCTCAAGAGTTCTGTCGTCCCACTCGTGGATGGAAGGTCATCGGCCCCTCAGTTCAGCTGCTTCAAGCAGACCATGGATGGCTGTTGTCTCAATCCCGCTCTCCGCGACAAGATCCAGGCCACTGTCGAGGCCATGACCCAGATCCAGTTCGAGGCATCCAGGCTGCTCAACCTACATATCCTCCGGTGCATCGAGCAGGATCTTCCCGTCCCCGTCATCTCCAAGCCCACCCCTGCTTTCGTTCGCCAATGCTTCAGGATCGTCCAGGCCGATGCCCTCTCCCCGACAGGGGACAATGAGAAATACAACGAGCATCTGGTCGCTTCCTTTCGCGACTACCAGACCACTCGGCACGCAGACCTGCCTCCGGCCCCTCGTCTGCCTGATGGTGCTCACAGTCAGCTTCTCACCCTGGCTGTCAATGCCTATGCCACCAACTGCACCACCCACCTCGACCTGGCATACTGGCGACTCCTTCGCCGCTTCTGCGCTGCCGTCTTCCCAGCCAACAAGCATAAGCACGAAGCCATCGAGGCCTGTCTCGAGCTCTTCGAGAAACCAGGGCAGACTCCACCCAAGGCCGATCTCGAGTTCCTCTATCCAGACTTTGGCCACGTCCTGGACGAGTTTCGGTACAGCAACGACCAGGACCGCTTCCGGGCCCTCCATCGCCTCTCACACCATGTGAGAATCCTCGCCCGAGACAAGATGATCGACAATGTCCACAAGTGGATCGACTGTGACATGCCCGCCCTCCGAGTCACCGAGCTGCAGCGCCAGGCCAAGCTGGACGAGCTCACTACCCAAGGCATTCCCTCCGACGACAAGAGGTTCACCACGGCCAAGTCTGAGCTCGGCACCACCAAGTCCAAGATCAACAAGCTGGCATCCAGGATCAAGTGGTGCCTCAAGCAGCTCGCTCTTGACACTCCTCCGGCCGTGTGCACGATAGTTCCTCTATGCACCACCAAGGCCAAGTACATCAAGATCGACACGGTCACTCTCTGGGAGCTCCTGGGTCCAAAGAAGCGCCTTGGACTCACCAGGGACAAGCTCAAGGAAGAAGGTGAGGACGGTGCCAACAACCAGGATCGTCTCTGGCGCAGTTGCTTCAAGCTGCGTAGTTCCCTCTTCCAAGAGCGGGATATCAATCACAAGCTGTTCAACTACGAGATCAGCACCGATGGCATTGGATGCACCATCGGTCTCGTCAAGTTTTTGCGTCGAACCGATCGCACCGAGACCATCGAGCCTCCTCCGACTGCCGAGCAGCGTATCCAAGCCCACATCGGCGACCCAGACCCCAACCGCACCACTTGGATTGGCATCGATCCTGGAGTCGGCTCCATCTTCACCGCGGTCATTCCGACCATGTGTGCTGCATCCAAGACAGTCTCATTCTCGAATGGCCACTACCAGCACATGTGTGGCCATTGGAGAATGAGACCACCTCGTCTTGGTGGCTCGGTGCTTGGATGACCGCCATGAAGATGGAGCCGACTCCAGGATCGATGCCAATCCAAGTGGTGCGGTTGGGGTCTGGGTCGCCGATGTGCTCCAAGTGCCTGGAGCCAGTTCGGTTGGAAGGACTCGATGCGCCCAGTGTTGCGAATTCCCACTTTGTCAGGAGCCGCAAGAATCCCAGCTGCCGGACAGTGTGGAATCGCGACGTCAATGCGGCGCGCAACATGATCACAGTGTGCAGGTCGATTGTGGAGATCGGAGAGCGACCGGCGGTCTTCACTCGGAGGCTGCCAAAGTGATCTGTTTTATTTCTTGTGGCTTTGCTTGACGCAAGCACAGCACATACTACATGTTCATGGAAACGGCTATATTGTCCCGTTTTTTTCTGAATAAAGTGTACACGAACAAATCCATCGACGCCTTGTGGCAACGCCAGGGCAAGGGCAAACCGAAGCCAAGGTGCCCGAGACGCCGCCTTATGGTCAGTGCATTTGTTTGTGAATGTCATGGGCTGCTCAAGATCGACAAAGCCCACGACTCCACCAGAATCGTCCAGCCAGGAAACGGAAGCTGGTGGGCTTGCACGTACTTGGTCGCCCAAGTGAAGGCAGCGATCCCGATATCCGAGCAGATGCATCCGGACTGCGTGGCACTGTTCCAGTTCGACGGCTCTCCAAACCACAGAGCTTTCGCCGACGATGCTCTCAGAGTGGAGAACATGTCACTCTGGGCCGGTGGCGGTGAGAAGCTTCGATCGACGACATTCGGACCGGATCGCATCCCGCAGTCGATGTGCTTTCCGGATGATTTTGATAATGAAGGAGTGGAGGTAAGGGAGCTGCTCTCGCGGGGGGGGGTTCGTTGACCCGGCCGACCGCATCTGATCAACCATATGTCCCGCAGGGCTCCTCCGTGAAACTGTGGGCTGGGCAATCCAAAGGTCTGCGCATCGTTCTGGAAGAACGAGGACTGTGGGTCGATGGTCTGAAGCTGACCTGCAAGACCAACTCGAGGGAACCCGATGGTGCCGAAAGCCGAGCCCACACTCCTTGCTGTGCCAGGCATCTGATGGCTACCCAGCCAGATTTCCAGAAGCAAGAGCCGTGGATCGATGAGACCATCCACAGCCACGGCCACAAGGTCATCGTTCTCCCAAAGTCTCACTGCGAGCTGAACTTTATCGAGGGTTTCTGGCGCGATGCCAGGCAATTCACCAAGGACCATGGCCTCAACAGCCTCCTGGATCTCAAAGAGGTGCTCCCACGGGCCCTGAACCAAGCGGGAGATGTCCAACGAGTCCGGCGGCATGCTCAAGCGTCATGGAAGAACATGCGGGCCTACAGACGAGGAATGGCATTCACTGATGTGATGGCCATCGCAATGGAAGAGCATAGCTCCCATCGGAAGTCATGCGGAGCTGTCGATGCCGTGCTGGACGAGGACGACACAGCTGATACCGACTCTGAGTGCGAACCGGGCTGTGATGTCGATAGCGATTCGGGCTGGTGAGGGAAGCGTGGGAGAGTGCAGCACCAAAGTCAAAGTCCCATGCGCACATGGCTCGAGTCGGGTTCAATATACCATTCGGTTTGATTCAACTGGGCGGACTCTGTTTCGCACCGGCTGGCGATTCCAAGAGCCACGATCATGATCTGCATCGGCACTTGCGCCATCCAGAACGGAGTCGTCCTCTGTCGGCTGGTGTGGTCTCTGGCAGGGACCAACACTTCCGGTGCATATGGCGAATCGGCTTTGGAAAGCGAAAAGCAATCGGCCGCAGTGCGCCGCAGGGATTGTGCTGTCTCCCGCGGGCGGAACTCACCAGCAGCCGAGATGAAAGTGTTGGTCTCTGACTCAGGCCCCGAGTAACCGAGTGATTCACCCAACTGAGTCACCCGCATGAATCGTCCCCGATACATATATACGTCTGCCCAGGCTCTGCTCCAGCTCCAGCAGCGATCCAGTGTCGATTCTCTCTCCCCCGCCGGCGAGCTGGTCTGCATCTGCATCTGCATCCGCATCTGCATCCTACCACCAGCCCCTCTGTCCTGCTCTCTTGCTCCCTCTCATGCACTCCGCCGGCGGGGCTCATCGGGCTTGTTCCAGGGTCCGATTTCCGACCGCCCAGCCGCAACTCATGCTCCTCTCCCAGGCATTTATACCTCCCGCCTTGCAGGCTCCCCCCTCTCCAACCTGACTGCTCTCCCGCATCCCATCGTCCTTCGCTCTCTCCATCAGTCAGTCCGGTTTCTTCCTTCCCGATCACTCAACTGACATGTCGGCATTTTGGATCTCACCCACGATCACTTCCGTCGCGGTGACTCCGTCACCTTCAGTCGCCTCCTCGCTCGTCACCATCCAAAATTCATGGACCCAGGGCTTCCTCGGCACTACTTCCAATGCCTCAACCGTACGTTGCTATGCTGCTCTATCCCTGTGTCTAATTCACAGGGTCGGCCAAGTCTACTGTCGTTCTGGGGCTCGGCAGACAGCTCCATCACCATTTCCATCGAGCTCCGGCAGAATCAATGCCGGGCTTTGGTTTCCGCTTCTTGTGGCCCGATCTCGTCTCCTAACGCCGACCCACTGCACTCTCTTCCTCAAACAGATCGGGCTTGTCTTTCCTCCAACCCAGAGCGTATCCTGCGCCGATATCACCTGGAGCTTTGACTCGCATCTCGGCATTCTCCAGCATGCTGGCACTGGCATGTGTCTTTCCACTGCCGTCCTTCCATTCCATATCACCGGCAACATCACCCAAAGCGTCTTCAACCAAATCATTCGGCTATTCTCCATCAACCAGGCTGCCCAGCGACTGGTTCTTGCAAAGTGCCCTGCCACGATCCCGTCCCTCAGGCTGAGTTGGAGGTTGATCGTTCCGCATGGAGCCGCTCCACCGATCAACAAGACCTCGACCAGCGGACCGACCTGCCTCGCCGGATTCGAGGAGGGCGTTTTCAACTATCCCTACTGTAGCGCCCCGCGGTCGCTCTCATACCAGAGCGAGATGGTGTGGAAGATTGGCACGGTCATTCCGCCGTGCGTCCCAGCGCCCCCAAAGCCGCTGTCGCTGTCGTCGGTGAACATGGCTCTGGCCAGCTCGAGCCCGACACGGACACAATCATCAGCCACATCATCAACCACGACAGCATCAATCGCATCATCAGCCACGTCCTCACACATCACATCGCAATCTACCACATCGTCAACCACGACAGCATCAACCACATCGTCAACCACTACATCAGCTACTGCAGCGGTGGTCACGCAGTTTGTGGCAATATCCCCAGTCCAGCTGAACCTCAGACGATCCAAAATGATATCTCTGCCAACACAAGTCCGCGTCTAGCCGCACCCGTGTTGAGTTATCAGCACGACTCCATCCCGAAATACAACTTAATGCTCGGGACGAAATGGCATTGACCAACCTCTTCTGTTCTTGGCAAAACTCGACTGCAATGGCTCCAGAAATACACCCACTTTAGTATTACCACCGAGACGGACAACAACGCGCTCTCGGTGAACTGCAGGGGGGGGGAAGGGATGAGGGGACTTTTGCCGATGGCTTGGAACGGTTTGATGCGGCGGCCAGGGTGAATGGTGTGTGAGTGGATTGAACGAAAGGCAGGGATCGGGCGATGCCAGTACAAACGAGGTAAGTTGGGAAAGAAAAGAAACAACAGATGTGCCCGTCTAGATGCCAACGAGCTTGCGGCTCTCCTGAATAAAGTCAGTCTCGAGTCTAGAGTCGAGGATCTGGCCGTCCTTGGGGGTGATGCGGGCAACCTTGCACTCGGCAAAGTATTCGCCCGTGACCTTGCTCTCGCATTCGTCCGACAGGGCAACATGCAGGGTCGTTTGGGCACCCTCCCAGGGCGACTTGAGGATGCCCACAACGTTGAGCACGACCAAGAAAGCCACGAAACGCAAATCGCCAATGCTGCGGCCGAGCTCGGTGCGCACCTACATCATCCGTGCCGCATAGCAACGAGATCGAGTGTACATGTTAGAAACCGACACCTTCCGTGAGAGAGAAAGACCGAGAGCGAGAGAACCATGGGCGACGTCTTGGAGATCCACACAAGCAAATCACACTTACCATGCCGGGGTGCACTGCGTTGACCGTGATCTTGGAGCCACGCAGCTGCTTGGCCAAATGGATCGAGTAGAGGATGTTGGCGAGCTTGCTCTGGCCATAGACTTCCATGGGGCCATACTCGCGCTACAAAAGTACAGGAAATGCCGTTAGCAAGAACGGATCGTACGGTGAGCGGCGGACGACAGTCTCCGTGCAGGCGCATTGGTTCATAGGCAGCAGCAGAAGGCGTGGGAGTGAGAGCAACGATTCGGATGTTGATCGGAAGCCCGCAAGCCGAGCCTCGATGCCGATAAACTTGAACAGCAGCTCCGTTCCTTCTCTGGCGCCGGCTCATCAGAGGCTGCAGTGCATCTCAACCGAGGAAAACGGCCCCCACCTGGTCATAGTTCAGATCCTTCGGGATGACATAGCCAAAGCGGTGGGCACGGGAGCTGACGTTGATGATTCTCGCCGATCCATGCTGGCTTGCAGCCTTTCGAACATACTCCAGCAGCAGCTCGGTGAGGAGGAAGTGGCCTGATTCGCATTGAGTGACGGATCGGTTGCGGGACGACGAAAGGGAGAACACATGGTTGGCAAACAGAGGGCCCTCGACCATTGTCGAACAAACACATGAATCGCTTATACGGCGGAATCATGCGCCTGCACGAGCAAACTTACCGAGATGGTTGGTGCCGATCTGCATCTCGTTGCCATCAACGGTAAAGGTTTTCTGTGGCAGGGCCATGACGCCGGCATTGTTGATCTGCGAGACACGCAATGAGAACTCTGCGCTGTCCATGGCCGTCAGGCAATCAATCCCATCCCATCAACAGTCAAGCCAACCCACCAAGAGATCAATGGGCTTGCCGTGCTTGGCCCAGCGCTCAGCCAGGGATCGAACAGACTTGAGGTTGGCAAGGTCCAAGGCTCTAGGAAGGGAGACGACGGGTCAGACAACCTATGTACGATGAGTGGCGTTCTCGTCGTGGGCCCGACAGAATACTCTGGTGGCGGCGGCTCACCGCCGATGCTGGCTCTGTGTCATTGCTGGCTCTGCCGGTCTTTGGCCGTGCTTCAGCAGCGCCCGCCTCGGTGTTGCATGAAGCCACTGGCACTTCATCCTCTCCCACTCATACTCACTCGGCAAAGATGTTGGAGTTGCCGGATTTTTTGCGGATCGAGCTCACGGCATCGTCGGTCTTCTTGGAGGGCCGGCAAGCAATGTAGACATGGGCGCCCTGTTTGGCGAGCTGCAGGGCGGTTTCTGATGGAGATTTGTGTGTGGGTTGATATCAGCCAGGCTTGCACGTGAGTTTGGACCAGGAAACAGGCGACATTATGCAACCAGCGAATGATGGCCACCGAAAGCCATCGGCGGCGGGAATGTGCGTGTTGGCCACGCGAGCGTCCGGTTGCGTCCTGCTCAATGAAGAAGTAGGTTGTCCGACGTACCATATCCGATGCCTGTGTTGGCCCCAGTCTGTATGCGAGAGCGAGGAAGCGCCGGGGCTGATCAGCACCGATCGACGATAGCTGCCAAGTACGATCGGCAGCGACGATGGCGGGAGTGGGCCGCGGCCAGATGCGCATCCCACAACTCCAGATGAAGGCAAAGCCAAACGACAACCGCAGGGCTGCTTACGATGAGGACGATGCGTCCGGTGAGCTTCTTCTTCAGATCGGTCTTGGCGACTCGACCACCGGCCGCCCAAGAGCGCAGAGCATAGTATCCGAGGGCAACGGCGGCCCCGGCGGTGTAGTAGCCGCCGTATTTCTCGAGGTGGCTGGGCGAGGGAAGGCCAAAGCGGGCCAGGTATTCGGTATAGAGGCTGCTGTAGGAGTCGAGGAGGCTCATGGCGGGATCGATAGCGCAGACGGCAGGACTTGAGGGGACGGACAGAGGGAGGAAGAGCGAAAGACGATGTGGTCAACGAGGACCAATGCGGCTGAGGCGAGCGCGACGGACAGAAATCTGAGCAGGAAGAACCCAGCGCGGCGGAAGAACGGAGCAAACCTGACAAATGCGGTGCCGTGTCGCTGGAAGAACGGCCTCGGGGCTGGGAGCAACGGGCAGAGCGGGAGCAGCCGGGTGTGCGATTCTGACGGCGATGGGCGGGGAGGATTATGACGACAGCGATGTGCGAAGAGGGTTATGACGACAGCGACGTGCGGGGATTGCTAATGTGTGTTGTTGTAACGACGACAGAGGCGACGACATTGGCGACGACAGAGCCGATCGATCGATCAGTGCTGCGATACCTGATTGCCTTGTTGCACGATGGCTTCACGGCGACGGCAACCATGCACTGCATTCGCCGGGTCTGTCGACTGCACTCGGGCATGGCCGACCATTGCCGATATCGAACATGGAATGCTGCCGGATGGGCCAAGCAACGATTTGCATTCGTGGTGGCGCGCAGGTCTTCCCTGCTTTCAAGCAAATGCCAACCTTGGTTGTTCTTGACTCCAATCGCTCCGTGCAGCCGTCTCCATCCGCCAGTCGATCATCCCGGCCACGGCCACACAGCAACATGAACGGACACGGCGCCGGTGTCGGCGAGAGCTGCGACTCGATCATCGACGGTGCCTCGCCGCGGGAATCTGTTGTGTCGCAAACCCGGCCCAACGGCCGCAAAGACATCTGGATGCTCATGAAAGAGGCCAAGGAGCGAGAGAAGAAGAGCGAAAGTGAGCGTAATACCACCATCATCATCGCGATATCATGACCACCATCATCATCGCGATATCATTACCACCACCATCGTCGCTGCGGGATCGTGCTTGGGGTTGGATCGTCGGATATCCGCTCGATTCGTCTAAACCTCAATTGGAAATACCAGACTCGGATGCCGGACTCGAGAGCACCCTCTTTGTGTGCGGCACCAAGAGGGCCGGCAAGACTTCTGTCATCCTGCGGTTTCTGGATCGCGGTGAGTTTGGAGCGTGGGTCGGCCTCGGCCGTATCGTCAGCACGGAGGGATATCGGTACTTGCTGTCGTTCGCACGGCTCTCGACGCGAGGCTGCTCTTCACTCCATGATCCCTGTCGTCTGGCTACTTTCCGGCCACTCTGCTGCGTCCTCTTGACCCCCGGCTGCTTCTCACTCCTTGCAGAGGAGCCTCCGTTGCCGACCGTTGCGCTCGAATACACGTAAGCGACCGAGACGGGTTGCGTGGACGGATGGTGATCATCCAGGACCGGCGGCTCGGCTCTGCTGCCATCTACTTTCGCAAAGTGCATTCGACAAATGCCGCCAACCGTTGGTATTGACATCGAATATCGATATATGGTCTTGACATCTCGTCTTGGCTGCGTGGCTCTCGTCGTTGGTGGCCTTCTGAATCGGCCGTGGCTCCCACCACCGAACGCAATCCAGCTTCGGCCGACGAACGCGGGGCGTCAATTCGGTCAAGGATATCACGCACATATGGGAGCTCGCCGGGGGCACCTTCCTGAGCGACCTCGTCGAGATCCCGGTGACGGAAAGCAACGTCCACACCATCACATTTGTAGTCGTGCTCGATCTCTCGGAGGTGCGTCTGGCTGGCTCGGGCGTATTGGCTCAACAGGCCGGTCATCGGTGCATCTGCTCATACTATTTTCTCTACCGCACCGAGTCTAGCCCGCGAATCTCTTGGCAACGTTGACGACCCTGTTTACCAAGATTCGAAGTCGAGTCGACTCGATTCTTGGCGGTCTTGAGGAACGCGGATCCAAGCGACCCAAGGCACTCCGCAGCCATGCGTGGAAAAAGTTTGGCGTCGACCATCCGGACAAGTGAGTGGTATCTCTCGATACCGCTTGCATCGGCGGAGCGGGTGATCGGGCTGTAGCGATGAAGCTGGGGGGGGGAGCGGGGAACTGAGCTGTGCTGTCAAGCATATGTGAATGCGCTCCGGTTCCGAGAGAGGTACTGGATTCAAAGAATGCATCTGACCCGTTTGCCCGGCATCGACAGAGACGCTGTCAATCCAAGCCCTGTCCCGATCGTCATCATCGGCAACAAGTACGATCTGTTCCGGGACACCGAGTCGTAAGTTGCTCGAGCGATGGGCCTCCACGCCGCGACAGTGTGCTTCTGCCACATCTGCCGCCTGTGCTTCTTCCAACTGACCCTCGTCCGCTACTTCTTTCAACCATTGCTCACACCATTTGCCGCCCCTGTCTCCAGGGAGATGCGCAAGCTCATGTGCAAGACGCTGCGATACATGGCGCACATGAACGGGGCCTCGCTGGTGTTTTTGTCCCAGAAGGACGAGGGCTCCATATCCAAGGCAAGCACTAACTCACACTAACTCGCCGTAACCAGAGCACACAAAGCAAGTCGGACGACCGAGGCATCGCTGCTCTAACGTCCGCTGCGATTCGATGCTGGCTCTCCAGTGCCGCCAAATCTTGCACCACCACGCCTTCCGCTCGACTCCTCTTCGAGGACTCAACGTCGACCATAACAAGCCCATCGCTGTCGTCGCTGGCGCCGACTCCTTCTCGCAGATCGGTCTTCCGCCGTCGGAAATGTCCAAGGACGTCGTTGGCCGCACCACCGTAGCGGCTCTGGACACATGGAGAAAGGACTATGAGCGCTATTTTGGACCACCAGGTATATCCGCGGCCGGAAGAGATACTTCTGATTGAGATCGGAGGGAGGATTGCCATCCCAGTCCGCGAGAGTAGCCTTTGGAATTCGGAATTCAAGCATGTCACAAGACCATGCAGAGTATCGAGACTCATGCCACGGCTTCGAACCATTGATTCGTCCAGTCGAGGAGAACAACAACAACAGCAAGGACGCAGTCGATTTGTCAAAGTATCCAGAGGAGGCGGTTGACTCCATGCGCCAGCAGAAAGAGTGAGTGCCGCCCGCAGATTCCCGCCACAGCCGGGAATGTAGTTGATGCACGGACTTGATAGCTGACAATCCGTTGGCATCATGCTTCGTCTTGCCTCACACGGAACAAAATCTGGAACCCCCACCCACGAATCGGCGTTGGCAGTGAGGAGCTCGAGAAACTGCGTCTGGCGAATGACCGCAAGGCCAAGGAGCGGGATTTGTTTGCCTTTCTCAGTGGCAACCCGATGGCCAACACTGGCGACAAGAAGAAGCTGGGTTCCAACAAGTCATACTCTCGCGCAAAGTAAGCCAGAGCTGTTGGTGGAGGGCAGCAGTAGGCAGCGGCCTTTCTACGCTCTTATGAAATGACGAGATGCAACTGTGACCATAATGCCTTCGCCGCCTTCGTTTCCAGGGCGGCCCAGATGACGGCATGAGCGGCGCGCAATTTATAGCCATTTTACCAGCCAGTTGGTGACGCATGAGGGTCAAGAAGCACAGAAAATCTGCAGAAGGACTTGGCATAGCTACGGTGGTGGTATCACGGGATGGATGGACGGCGGCCTTCATACTGCTCCGATGGACGGGCATGGCTCTGCACGGATCAGAGTCCGACGAGGCGCTTGCTGTTTTCAACCAGCTTGGTCTCGAGCACGAGCTCGTCGCTGATGGCAGCAAACAAGCGCTGATAGATCAAATAGACACCGGCCTCGCGACAGTCGGCAAAGTACTTTCCGGTTGTGGTCTTGCCTGCGTCCGAGAGCGCCAGGTGCAGGGTCGTTTGACAGCCCTCCCAAGGCGTCTTGAAGAAGATTGCAATGACAGGTTCGAGGACAAAGAACAAGAGGCGCAAGATTGCTCTGTTGTATCGGAACAGAGGAGTGCGCACCTGGATCCGAGTGATGGACGATCCGTCAAAGGCAGTTCATGATGGATAGTGAGCTGCGAGTGTTTCAAGGCAGCAACGCCGTCCCATCCATATCGACGGCATCGACACTCACCACGCCAGGATGAGCAGCGTTGACGGTGATGCCCGAGTTATTGAGTCTCTTGGCGAGGTTGCGAGTATAAAGGATATTGGCCAATTTGGTGTTGCTGTAGACTTCATGTGGCCCGTATGTGTTCTAGAGTTCCAGCGTCGGTGAAGAGAAGGAAGTAGAGGAAGAGGCGGGGGTGTTGGTTCAGCAACATAGAGCCCAGCCAACATAGAGCCCAGCCAATATCCAGAGCTGGCATGGCATCGAGTCGATCTACCCTTTCGCTGTTCAGATCGTCGGCATCAAAGATGGCCGAGTAGTGGGCGATTGACGAGAGGTTGATGATGCGAGCCGAGCCGCGGGCTTGGACCGCTCGCTCGAGATGCCCAAGCAGCAGTTCGGTCAGCAAGAAGTGACCTGTGGACATGGGCCGAGTGCCCAAAGTGCCATTACCATCTGTTAGCATCAATGCGGTGGGGTATCGAGCCAAGTCAGGGGCAAGACAGGGCCGAAATGCACCGCACTGCACTGGTGGACAGCTTGCTTCGGCACACCAATGCTCGCTTACCAAGGTGGTTTGTGGCCATCTGGATCTCGTTGCCATCGACCGTGAGGGTGCGCTTGGGCAGAGCCATAACGCCGGCGTTGTTGATGAGGATGTCGATGGGCTCGTTGCGGTTCTTCCAGCGGCTGGCAAAGTCGCGGACGGCCTGGAGAGAGGCCAGATCCAGATGCTCAAAGTACACCTGGTCGTTCTTGGACTGCTCGCGGATGGTGCTGACGGCGATCTCGCCGGCCTGCTTCTGTCGGGAGGCGATAAAGACGGTGGCGCCTTGCTTGGCGAGCTGCAGGGCCGTCTCGAAGCCGATGCCAGAGTTGCCGCCGGTGACAATGACATTGAGGCCGGCCATGTCTCGACTCAGATCCTCCGGGCGAACTTGGCCGCCCTTGGCCCACTGCCTCAGGAGCCAGACGGCGAGGATGGCGACCGGGACAAGAAGCAGCTGCGTGAGGCTCATATCGGCGACGAATGCGGTGGGCAGAAGCAAGGCCAGACGAGGCCAGACCAGACCAGACCAAACGCAATCCGGAGAGGAAAGCAAGAACCAGCGCCCTGCCGTTTTCTGTCGGCCGTTTGGCGTTCTCGATCCATCGCTTCGCCGATCTGCCTTGCCGATCTGCCTTGCCGATCTGCCTTGCCGATCCCACCACTCTGCCGTCGATAGCCCTTCGATTCCACACTGCCATGAGCACGCAGCCGCCCCCTCGCCCTGGCCGTCCTGACCACCGAGCAAGCCAGCAGTCCCTGGAGACATCGCCGAGCACCATCCTGAGCCAACTCGGCGATCGATCGCGCATGCCTGCCGAGCGAGCGGCTCTGCTTCAGCAGTTGACAAGCGACGACCCCCGGGTGCGGGCGTTGCTGAGGACCAAGATTGTCGGGTGTCTGTGGCAGCTGCAAGAAGAGGAACGGGTGCTGGTGCATATGCACGCCCTGGTCTCTGGCAGCTCGGCAGATGCAGAGCCAAGTGCGCTGCCATCGACACCCTCGAGCGACGGGCCGTAGCAATCGCTTCGCCGGCCACAGACGATCTGCACCGAACTGTCTTTGGCGCTGCTGGCGGCCAGGGGACGGATGGGGATGCTCTGTGATGCCAGGATGTCGCCGGCAAGTCCATGCCGAGGGCAATCTGCCAAGGGTGGATGGCCTGTGCACCGCCCCGGCCTGCCCTTTTCCTTTCGCCTCTGCCGGCACCTCGTCTGCCTGTTGTGTCGTCCCGCTTGTATCAAGATCTCCTCCACCTGCTCCCCGCATCGCCAGAACACAGCCATGGCTCCAAGCATCGTCAAGCTCACCCCCGAGCAGCTCTCGCTCTTCCGACGAGACTTTGACCTGATGGACCTTGACAAGGACGGCAAGATCACCCCGCTCGAGCTCAAGACATTCATGGAAGCCCTCGGCGAGACCAAGGACATCCCCACCGAAGTCGACCGCATCTTCAAGCGCATGGACATCAACGAGGACTCGGTCATCGACTTTGACGAGTTCCTGATCGCCTGCCAGCGCAAACTCCGCAAGGACGCTCTGCGGGCCCGCTTTGCCGTCATCGACACCGATGCCTCGGGCTATATCTCCTTCGAGGAGGCCAAGGCCTTCTTTGGGTTCAAGCAAGACAACGACCTGAGCGAGGAGGACCAGGAGTTCTTGAATGCCGTCTTTGAAGTCGCCGACGTCAACCACGACGGCCAGATCAGCTTCTCCGAGTTCTCGCGGCTGGACGAGCAGCTCGAGCAGCTTCTGGAGATCGAGGCCTGAACTCACGGAGCGGGATCCTGAGATTGCCTTGGTTTGGCCTGGCCTGGCTTGGCTCTGCTTGGCTTGGCTTGGCCTGGCTTTGATTTCGTCATCTTTCCTTTGGATTTCTGTTCCTTTTGTTGGTCTGGCTCGTCTTGTCTTCCAGTTCGTTAAGTTTCAAACAAAGAACCCGCCAGTGTGCCTGTTGCCCATCTGTCTGTCGGTTTGTCTCTCTGCCTGTCTTTCTGTCTGCTTGCCTGTGGAAATGTCGACCAAATATAACATCGATTCGGTATGTGGTGTGCGATTTGTGTATGTGTGCGATTGATACGAGAAGCAAGATAGACAGGCTGACAAGTTATCATCATGGGGAAGCAGTGGTGGAGAGGGTGTACAGCAATGCCGACTGCCAAGCAGCGAGATGGACGGGGGTTCGAATGAATGGGGAATGGAGTGGAATGGAATGGATAGCTTTGATCTGAAAACAGCGCATGAGGTCGGCAATGGGGGTCGGCAGATGAGGAAAGCATGACGGACTCAAATCCAGCCAGCAGCGGCAGAGCGCTCGGCTGGCTGCTATCCGAGTAGAACGGCTTAGATGAAGGCTCATGCCATCGAGCATGTGTTCACTGCGGAAGAAAGGCGAGAGCGAGAAGGATTAGTTCAGCAATCGAGACAAGCTGAGACAAGCCAAGACAAGTTGAGGCAAGTTGAGGAATGCTGTCGCAGAAACAAGGGAGGGATCGGCTGTATCGATCAGACTGTCCGCCAGCGCCGCTTTCATACTGTGGCATTCTTGCTCCTCTTATTTTTCTGCTATTTTACAAGCGCACGTCTCGGCTAAAAAGAGCACGGGTTTGCGATGGGCATCCCCCCGAAATATCGAGCACGATGTCAGAGGGAAGGAGGGAGGGAAGGAGGGAGGGACATGGGAAACAGGCGGAGGGAGAAGGAGAAGGAGAAGGAGGAGAAGACGGGCATTACCTTTTTTTGATCGAGCGTTGCGGCATGGGAACAAGTGTAGAGCACAATAAATAGGAGCTGGCACCAAACATACGCACATGCATTGAAGAAGAAGAAGAAAAGGAAAAGGAAAAGGAAAAGGATCTATGTTCTACTTTTGAAAGTACGCCCGTCCGTTGTAGTAGGTGGGCGGCAGGTTGTGGATCACTCTGAGCATGTTCTTCTTCTCCTCGTGGGCCGCAGCTGTGGTGGCACTGGACGTAACGCCGGCGGCGGGAATGTGGGGCAAGGTCATTTGCTCAAAGTTGATGGGAAGGGCGGACTTGAGGAGTTCATAGCAGGCGAGAGTGACACCGAACTGGGGCGATGATCGCAGGACACGGGCAACGCCGCCCTTGAAGAACGCCTTGGGGCCTTCTTCCCTCATGATCTTGTAGAAGGCATCCATGATGCCAGTGTACGTGGTCTCGCCCTTGCGGGCAGCAACCTGCAGGCGGGTCTTGATGACGTCGGCAGGGGTGACGAGGTAGGCGGCGGGCATACCGGCGATGGCGCCAGCAGTCAGGAGCTGTTGACGAGTGCCACCGAGGAGGGTTGGGGATGTGCCGATGAGAGACAGTGTCGCAAATGCGGTCAGCATCAAGGCATGTCAGGGGAAGATACAATGACGAGGATGCTACACAACGACGCACGGGACAGCAGCGAGAACGCAGCCACACATACCTCGCCCGCACTCAGCTTCTTGCCGTTAACGCCCTCGCCAAAGAGGTCAGTCTTGAGATGGGCATAGGCCGCAAAGTAGATGCCCGAGAACGGGACATCACGCAGCATACAGGCGAGGACACCCTTGTAAAGACCCAGGAGGCCGAGCTGACGCACGATCTGGACGGCGGAGGGCTTGGGGAGAGCAGCGCCGTCAATGGCGTTCTTGGCGATCTCGCCGGCAACTGTAAATGACACGTAAGAGGACGAGGCAAGTGTGAGCGAGGGGCTGCGGGTTGCGCTGACGGTATCGCGCGGCCACGGCTCCGGGCCAGACCAATGCCAATGCCAATGTCAATGCCAACGGTCCACTGTGACGACTGCGACGGCAAAACCCACCTTGGAGCCGGATCTTGACAATCTCCAACGGGTTGGTGAAGATAACTTGACTGCCACCGGCCATACAGCCAGCGAGGATCTCGGCCCACAGAGGCAGGGAACCATCGCTGCCGCGGAGCTTGGAGCGAGCCAGATCGTTGACCGTCAGCTTGATGGCCTTCTCGGGGGCGACGCCGACGAGCTGGGGCGTGAGGCCCGAGTACAGGCCGCGGAAGCCTTCGTTGCGGATGACCTTTTGGAAGCAGTCGATGCCGTTCTTGTAGAGAACCTCGCCGACTTGGTTGCGCTGGTTCTGCATGCGGGTCTTGACGAGATCGATGGGATAGACGACGGTGGCGCCAACAGCACCGGCGATGGAGCCAAGGGTAAAGTTGTAGGCGCTCTTCAGGACCTCCATCAAAGGGCTGAGGTGTTGCTTGTGCGGCTCGGCAGCAGCAGGGGCAGCAGCGGTGACAGCAGGCCCAGTGGCCTCATCCCACTTCTCCTCGAACAGACGCTTGAGAGCCGACAGGGTGAGGCGCTCGGGGCGGGGGCCGGAGCCAGAGGAGGCCAGATGGTACACAATGTCGACCTCCATCGGGGTAAAGCTGGCCTTTGCGCGAACGAGGGTCTCGAGCTCGGGCTTGCTGATACCATCGGGATTGTGGATACGGGCAGACTCGAGGGCGGCAGCGACGTGGTCGATCTTCTGGATGGCATTGTAGGTGGCACGCAGGTTGGCGAGCGAGACTTTGCCCTGGTAGAGGGTGGCGATATCGGCCAGGCGCGAGGCGATATAGGGGTTCATCCGATGATGCAGGCTATTTTGCACGATCGAGAGCAGGGCGTCTTTGGAGATGTAGCCGGTCTGCTTCTTGTCGTGGAACCTGAATTCCTGGGTCAGGCGCTCCTGCTCATACTCGCCCATGAGCTGCGACAGCTCGTCAAAGGTGAGGGTGTCGGCCTTTGCCTTGGCCGAGGCAAACTGGAGCTTCATCCACTCTGAGCTCCAGTCGAGAGGAGCCTGCGACGGCGATGCCTTGGTGTGGGCAGTGATGAGCTGCTTGAACTGCGACAGCGTGACGACGCCATCGCGGTCGGTATCAAGCAGCCGGAAGGCAAGCTCGTACTCGGAGCCGGGCTTGCTGATCAGATGGCTGAAAGCCAGATAGTCGTCGAGGCCGACATGGCCACGGCCGGAACGATCGGCCAGGCGGAACAGGGCGCCGAAGGCGTCGGTGTGGGCCGTGGCAAACTCTGCGCTGGGCGAGAGCGCGGCGGTGAAGTCGGCAAGCGACATGACCTTGTGATCATGGCACTGGGTCGAGGCAAAGCTGTTAAAGACATTGGTGAATCGCTGCGAGTCCTTGTAGGGGATCAAGTCGAGGGAGGCGGCCTGCTGGTGGTCGCAATGGAGTTTCGATAACAGGGTGAGGAAGCTCATGGTGTTGCGATCTGGCAGCGGGAAAGGCAGCGAGCGGGTGAGTGCTGGTTGCGAGAGCGACGCGATCAAGACGGCTCAAACGGGACAGAGGAAGGCGGATGATGATGATGTCGACGGACGAATTGGAGGCAGGGGGATCAAAGCGGGGGTCGATCGGAGCAGAAGCGATCGGGATGAAGCAAATGATGCAAGACAGCGAGGCGGATCGAACGAGACGAAACAGCGGCGGGAAGGAATGCAATAGCCAGCCCAGGACAGTGTGAGAGCGATCCGAGAGCAAAATGCAGGGCGAATCGCAGCAAGTGAATCGGAATGGCTGGGGGATTCGGACAGACCGTCAACGGGGGATGGGCGACAGGCAGTAGATAAGAGCAGACGGCTGTGGCAGCGGAAGCAGCAGCAGGGAATGGCAAGGGCAGGGCCATGGGCGATGCAAATGTATAAATACGGGCGAGGCGGATAATGCGGGTGGAGGACGAGCCAAACGGATCGGGCTGCACGAGGCGAGCGTGGGAGTGCAAGCACGAAGGGCAGACATTGGCGAGAATTTGCACAATGGGGGAAAGCCAGGTGGGCAGCAGAGGCGGCCGGGACTGTACCTCCGGGATGACGAGACAGAAACTGGATTTGGGCGAGCGTTGGCGAAGCGAGTCCAGGACCGAGTTCAAGACCGAGTTCACGACCGAGTTCACGACCGAGTTCAAGACCGAGTTCAAGACCGAGTTCAAGACCAGGCTCGCAATCTAACAACCGACTTGGACGACCAGGCAGAACGCCGTGTGATCCGCGAAAAAAACCGTCGAAAAAACGCAGGTGCGCGGCCAATGGGAGCGCGGCGGAGCAGGCGCGCGGACGGATCGGGCGAGCCGAGGCCAGACACAGCCAGAGTGACGCCGACAAGCTGCGCGGAGGTTCAGCGGCGGCATTGCCACATGTGGCGCGGTGGCCGCCTGCCTGTGCACACTCTGGCCAGCTGCGGACTGCAGCGCCAGGCGCTCCCGATTTGGCAAGGCGGGCCGCAAGCGCCACACGCGTGCTCGGTGCGGCCAAATCGGGGACGTCACGCGTGGTGCTGCGCAGCTGTCACCATGCGCAGGCAGGCCGCTGTGTGGCCGGCCACGGGGCCGGCACGCTGGACGCTGTGGCGCAGGGCAGGTGACACCCACCTGACCACGGGGGCGAGTGCATGTTCAGACACAACGGCCGCCTGATCACGGCGCCTGTCCTCAAGCCCATCACCCCGCCGATCCGATACCATGTCGTCGCCGTCCGTGTACAAAGAGAAATACGAGAAGCTGCGGGAGCGCTACAACATCATGCTGGAGGTTGGACCTGGCTTTCTGGGACGAGCACCCGCTGCGGGCACGGAGAAGAGAGGAGAAGCGGCGCTCGTTCTGCCGACGCTCGTTCTGCCGACGCTCGTTCTGCGAGCGACGGGCAAGTGCCGGATACTCATTGATCGCCCGCATTTGTTTTGCTGCTGCTCCTGCCGCTCCTCCGCCGCCCTCTCGCCAACAGGAGCGCGCGGATCTCAAGAAAGCGATCCAGTATGCTGAGAAGAAGGCCAAGGCACTGAAGGAAGAGAACGGGTAGGCTGGGCGGTCTATATCGGTCTCGAAGGCGGCTCCGCGACGAGAACCGCGCCAACGTTGACGATCGGTGCCGATTCTCCCCATCTGGCGCAGACACATGGTCGATCTGATTATCGAGCTGCAGCCCTCGCTGCTCACATCGTTGTCAGAGTAAGTCTGTTTCAGCATCCGAGCATATGCACCAGCGTGCCACGCCGATACTGCATCATTGCGGCGTCTCCGGATGCGTGGTGGAGGACGCTTTCCCTCCAACGGCCCATCGTACGTGGCGATGCTGATGAGCCCGATACAAACCATTCACCGACAGCGACGAGTCCGATGTTGCGCTGTCGAACGGCCCTTCGAGTGAGGATGAGGAGACCAATCTGAAGCTCGCCCCGGCCTCGACCAAGCGCAAGTATACCAAGAAGACCGTGTCGACTGGCGAGCCGAAAGGTAATGCAACCGCTCTTCGTCTCCCCCAACTCGGTCAAGGGTTGGTGCCCAGTTGAGCACCACCACCGCGCTCGCTTCGAGTTGCCCTGGTCTGGCGCTGCCTCGTGGTTCCATCACATCGCTGTGTGCTTGGGTGCCCCCCCATGCATGCGGAACAGGATGCGCTCGCTGACCCACAATGCCACTGCAGCATCGAAAACGCCAACCAAGTCGAAGCGAAAGGTGGGCATGCAGAGAACCAGATCGTGGGGGTTGATGTTATCGGCCCCAGGCGGCCAGATGGATGGATCGTCTCCGCGGCCTCTGCGACTGTCTGCAGCTGTCTGGGGCTCACTGTGCTGACGCATATGCCCGCTGCTTTGGCATGCACGTTCCCTGTGACTGCTCGTCGGCGATGCAGGTCTCGGAAATGGAAGATGCTCCACCGAGCGTTGATCCGAAAAAGAGCTGCCCGGAGCCATCCCTGATGCCGCCGCTGCCGTCGATCGTGGCGCCAAAGCCGGCCCTGGTCGAGGGGCTCGCGGCCAGCACAAGCTCCTGACGTGCGGGACATGGCAGGGGGGGGAGCAGCAGAACACGACGCGTGCTGCCAGCACGGAAGAATCTGTGGCGCGGCGGAAGCACTGTTCCGTGGCACCACAGACAGACAGACACAGACCGATACAGACAGTTACAAGCACAAACAGACACAGACCGATACAAACACTTGCAGACACAAACAGACACAGCGCGCCGCGGCGTCCAATCAGCAGCATCCACAGCATCACGTGGCAGCGCAGCAGGCGCGCCGGCGGCCACGGCGTCGCACAGCGCACGCGCGCCTGTCGCTCGGTGGCACAGAGCGCGTGCGGCGCCTTGTTTCCGCGACGCGCACCCGCAAGGAGAAGCGCTCCCCGTCTGCTTTCGGCAAGCGAACCCCTCTTGCTTCGTCTCCCGCGACAAGCGCCTGCTGCTCGCTGCGATGACCTGGCGTCCGCAAATAGATCCGTCTGTCCTGCATCGCTGCGTCCTTTCTGCTCTGGATCTGTCGCCTGTCCCAACAGCCACTCTCGATCTGCTGCCGTCACCGCTGCCGGTTGGCTCGCTTTCCTCGTCGCTGGTGCACCCGCTCTGGTCGCTCGGCTATCTCTTCCCCAGCGTCACTTGTTTCTGCCCTTTTCCTCCCAGTGACTCGTGGCTTTGGCACACCGCAACCTCGCCCTGGGCCTGCTGCAATACACACCGCCCACGCAATACATACCACCTACGCAATTCCCAATGAAGATCACTGCGGCCGCTCTGCTGGCTCTCTGGGCCATCGCTGGCCAGGCCGACGCTCTCTCGGCCACCCTTAGTCCCGGTGTATGTGATTGCCGTGGCTCTGGTATTCTGCCGCACTGCCTCTCCCTCTACCTGGCGGCCATGCATCCGGCAACATGCTCACTCCGCCACGTCGTGTGCTTTTGACAGGGAGCTTGGACGGTCGGCGGCTCGGGCACGCTCACCATTCAATGGGTAGACGGCACCGACATTCAGCCCGGCGCTTCCTTCAACATCGATCTTCTCAGCGGCACCTCAACGGTACGTCTCCTGCTCTGTCTTGGTCCTGGGTTATGCTCTGTTCCCTGCGCGATGCCGCCTGTGCACACCGCAACCTCGTATCATTCCGGCACCTGGCCCGCTGCCTTTGCTAATCGCCAACTACAATCCAATGCCTGTCGACACCAGAGCGTCGTGGCCAGCTCCACTGCGCCAGCTGTAGCCGGCTCCCAGACGATTAGTGTCTCAATTCCATCAGGCGTCGGCGCTTCCTCGGCCACCGTCAGCCTTTGCGTTTCCGGCACCTGCTTCGTCTCAACCAGCGTCACGATCATAGGCGGTGCTGCTTCTTCAACCACCTCTGCAGCTCCGGCCACCACGACCGGCGCAGCCTCGACCTCTTCTGTCGCTTCGTCCGCAGCGTCTTCGTCCTCAGTCGCCCCGGCGTCCTCCTCGACCGACAGCGGTGCTGTCCCCAGTACCACCGGCGCAGCCATCACCACCGGTCCCCCGAATGTGGCCACCACATCGTCCTTGGGCACTTCCAGGACCGGCTTGACCTCGGGCACAGCCACTTCGACGGCGGTGTCGGGCAACGACCCGTCTAACGGCACCGGCCCCAACCTCGCCGTCTTGATCGGCGGCATCGGTGGTGGTGTGGTGGCCTTGGCTCTGATTGTGGCGCTCGGCTGCCAGTTCTACCTGCGACAAAAGTACAATGCCAAGAACAAGCGTTCCCACAGCGACGTTCTCCCGCCTCCCTCCAACGCCTGGAAGCCTGTCGAGGAGAGCCAGAGCTCGTATCCGATGGTGCAGATGAACACCGTGCCCAAGAGCAACGATGGCTACTACGGCTCCGGCCCTGCACAGAACGGATTCAATGGCGGAGCCGCTGTCACCCCCAGCTCGCACTCGTACGGCAACAACAACTACTATCAGAGCAACGCCTCGAACGTTCCCGGATACCAGCCGTCGGTCCAGCCGCCTCTTGGACAGACCAACATGTACAATGACAAGGACCTTGCCCGCGACTTTGCCGACCAGCAGCTGGGGCCCAATGTCAAGGACTCGCCCAAGCGCTACTCGTCGCTCGCCCGCGCGAACCCCATGGCAAACAAAGAAGTGATGTTCGTGCGAGTTGCCCGCAACAAGTCCAACGAAGACGAGCTGGACTTGGCTGTCGGCGAAAGGCTCACGGTCCTCGAGCGCTTCCCTGACGGCTGGGGCATGGTGCAGAACGAACGCGGCGAATGCGGCGTCGCCCCCATCAACTTTTTGGAATCCCGAGCCGAAGAGCCCCCTCAGCCTCCCCAGAAGACGACCAGGACGGTGTCGTGCGCTCGCATCGCCACGCAGGCAGACGAGCTGGGGATCAGCGTCGGCGAGGAGATTACCGTGATCGAGGTCTACGACGACGGCTGGGGTCTGGCCATGAACGGCCACGGCGAGCAGGGCATGATCCCGATGAACTTTTTGGCCTAGATGCCGCAAAGACTCGGCGGCGGGTCGGTCGTTCGGTCGTTCGGTCGTTCGGTCGTTCGGTAGTTCGGCGTCTGGATGGCCAGTCCGCCGGGCGTGCTTTGTTTTATTGCTGCTCTCGTGGCTCGGTGCCGATGGGAACTGTGCTTCTGGTCCGTGTGCTTGCTTTTGCATTGCTTTCGCTTTGATATAGCTTTGTGTTGTGTTGTATTGTGTTATCTTGTGTTGTGTTGTCGCAGGACTGGCTGGCTTGCGGTCGTGCTGGATTGTCAATACACTGTACAGTTTGCGAAAAGGAAAGAAAAGGGGATAGGACCAAGGGAATAGGACCAAGGGAATAGGACCAGAGGGAGAAGGCTGGTGGATGCGGGATCTGCATGAGCCCATGTGTCCATGAAGGACACGCAACCACGGAACCGGCATGTCAGGACACGATGCCATGCAATCGGAATGATCTGGATGGGCTTGTGAGCGCAGGAGCGGCAGATGCAGCGACCAGATCTCAACAGAGGCACCGATGCCCAAGCCAAGCCAGGCAACGCAGAGCCAAGCCAGGCAAGCCTCGATCATCCCGCCCATTCTCCAGTCTCTGGCTCCTCTGCTCCTTTCTTTTCATCGTCAGGTGTGTCGGGGAGTGAGTGTGACCGGCGACCCCCCGAGTCCGTCAAGCCAGCCAAAGTAGGGCCGGCGAGTCAAGGCGCAAGGGAAGCCGATCCTCCGTTCAAAAAATGGGGGTCGCTGGAGCCGTGGGCTCCAAAGCGGGCGGGACCCGGCGGCTGGCCGCGCCCGGGAGCCAGCAACAGACCGGACACCCAGACGCAGCGCAACCGGCCGAGCCCCAGAAGGACAGCCGGCGTCACCCGGCTGCGTTATTATCCTTACTCATTGATTGCGGCAGAGAAGAAAGGAGGGGCAGCCGCGCTCGCCGGCAGCATTTATACCCGCCTGCGCGGCGATCTGTGGCTGGCTGCACTGTGGGCATCACGCGTGCGCAGCAGCTGCGCCGCGGCGCCGAAACAACGGCACTGCCGCCGCTGAACGTGGGCGGGCGTTTTTCAATGTCCGCTGTGCGCCGCGCGCCAGCAAGAGCAGCTTCCCGGGCTGACTCCAGAGGCGGCTCCAGAGGCGGCTCCAGAGGCGGCTGTTTGTGGAGGCCACCGCGGGTCGGTGCAGTGCCCCCAAGCGGGTGTGGCGGGCGATGGGCACATCCGCCGTGGTGCGCGACGACCATCTGCAACTCCATCGCTTCCCTCCGTCTCTGCATCGCTTCCCTCCGTCTCTACATCGGGTCTCATTATCCTCCATCCCATCAATCCTCCAACCCGTCAATCCACCAACCCATCAATCAATCAACCAACCCGTCAATCAATCAACCATCTGTCCATGGCCGGTCTGTGCTCCCTTCTGCTCTCGCTTGTATCCCTCATCGCCGTCCGTGGCGCAATCGGGATGCACTTGCACATCCGTGCCGACAACTCTGTGCCCCAGAGCATCGTCAATACCATCAGCTCGTATACACCGTTTGCAGGTAGAGCGACCGGACCGGTCCCCTCTGTGGCCCGGCTGCTCCTCCGTTTCACCGTTGTGCACGTTCTTGATCTTGGACGAAACGCCACCTTGCATCGAATCGCTCGCTCGCTCGTTGTCGGATCAATGTCGCTTCAAACTCACTTGCCTCTCCTTCTCCATCCTTGCAACCAACACACCGGTCGGCTTCCGTGTTCCCTACATGCTCCCTCAATCAACTCGATCTTCGGCAGCAATGACCTACTGCTCCAACACGTCTATCGCCGAATGGAAGTCGGCCTTGCCCAACCCAGTCCGTGTCTCTGACACTCAGCAGTGGTATATCGAGGAAACCGGATCGAGGGGCTACGTCACCTACGACATGGACCACAACCAGGTCGTCGTCGCCTTTCGCGGGACGACAGAGATCAAGGTCCGTTAGTCCGGAGGGTGCTTCAGGCGGAGGAATGGGCTTGTCAGCGACCACTCCGGGGTGTGACCTGGGCACACTCGCTCAGTCGATGGGCATCGGAGCGGTGCGCATGAATCCGCACCGCTCAAGCGCCGCCCCTATGCTCCGCCCTATGCTCCGCCGATGCGGACTGCGTGGGAATCCGTTTCGTTTCAGTCGACTGCTCCCAGTCGCGCTGCCCCGCACCTGCTCCTCACAGTTCTTGATTCTATTCTATCATTTTGCGCTGGACTGGGCTCGGTTGGATCATCCTCGCGATCACCCGCACCGGCATATGATGAATGGATCCTGCAATGTCGGGGACCCGATCGCCAATTTGCTCCACCCCACCCCGCCCCTTGCCGCAACGACTGCATCTGCCGCAGTCGTGGGTGCTGGACTCTGAATTCGTCCCCGAGTCGATCGGTCAAGATACGAGCGGCAATGTCGTCAAGGTCCACGACGGTTTTCTCGTGACCTATCGGTCGTCACAGGCTATAATGATATCCCAGATCACCGATGTTCTCTGCAAGCACCCCGGAGCTTCTCTTGTGATCGTCGGCCATTCGCTGGGAGCAGGTACGTCCACAGCCGGGCCGACTTGCCAGTAGCGCCCGGATCGGACCACCTTGCTCATGACTGCGTCGCCTCCATTCCGCTCCATCGCACTCCGCCCCGTCGCCACGGCAATCAGCCCTTGCCACCTTTGTCATCTTGGATGGCTTCGGTGATCCATCCAAGGTCTCTGCTTCCCAATTCCTCAAGTCGCGCATCGATCCCTCCCACGTCACGGTCTATACTTTCGGATCCCCTCGGGTCGGCAACCTGGCATTCAGAAACCTGGTCGAGTCGTTCGGGGTCCGATTTTACCGCTCGGTCAACTACAACGACGTCGTGCCTCATCTGGTAAGCTCGTGCGGTTCATGGTCAATCCAACTGAGGAGCGTCTTGGAATCATTGGCCCATTGACATACTGCCGAGTATATCAATCGCTCAGACGACCGGGACGAGACCGTGGACATCACAGTGTCTCCTCTGACAGTGGGCAACATGAAACCAGCCCTGCAGTTGCTCATCCGCATGATCTCTCTTGGCCTTCCAGCCCCCAGAATCTCTCCAGTACGTCCATGTGCGAACAGAGTACTGGATCAATGCAAACTTTGAGCTCGTCACCTGCAACGACATCACCAACGGCGAAGACACCGATTGCGCCAACTCGCTTAATATCTCGGCCCTCTTGCTTCAAGGCGACTGGAGCATCCCCCATGACCACTTTTTCAACTTTGACATCACCTCGGGCTTTTGCGTTTGAGCACGTCCGACAGCTGGATCGAGTGCCCCGCCGCTTATTCACCATCGAAGGGAAGTGAGACCCCCTCGACACTCCCCTTCAAAATCAACATCAAACAGTAACGCCTACGCTTCCATCAAGAGCGTGTGTGTCTCAAATACCATTCCGGGCACGTAGTTTCTGAATCATCAATTCCAAACGAGCGCATCCAAACCAATACACATCAGTTCTCCCCATTAGCCCTGCAGATTACTTGCCCAAACAGCATGGCCATTGGCTGGCAAAAGTGTATATCGAATGCACTGCGTCTGCGCCAAGATACTGCGGGGATGCTTCAGGAGCAGTGCTTGCGAAGCTTCTAAGGACGCAGCGGAATGGAGTCCTTGGACAACTTGAGCACTTTTAAGAACTGGTTCGTGGCATCGCAGTGGAAGAATCACAGCGAAGCAGTGGGAATGAGAGAGCTCTGGAAATGTCCCTGAGGAGCGATGGTCAACACTCATGTATCCAGGATCGAGCGACGATGCAACCGCAAGTACGATGAGCTCCTTAATCGCGCTCCTGCATCAAGACATCAATGCCAGTCAACGATCATCGCTGGAAATCGATCCGATGTATTGGCGACAACAACGACCGCGCTGCTGGATGATTTCCCAGGACAGGTGAGCTATTCCACCGCCGAAAGGCTCTCAAGATCCACATATTGGTTCAGACCCCGGGACTCTTCCAAGGTTGTGCCAACCATCTCAAGCTCCGGGTCGTCAGACGGCGCTGGCGATTTGGTATCCGGTGCTGTTCCCTGGGTCACTCTGGGTGGTAACCAGCTCTGGCTCTCCGATTGAAGAAGAGTCTCGCCGTCTTGCGGAACAATCTCAAACCCGCTCTTGGGTAGGGAGAGCTGCAGGCTCGGTGCCATCGGCGGGATCGCAGTCGATGGTATCGGCTGCGTTTTGTTGGCAGAGGCAATTGAATCTCGCGACAGCGCACCACTGGCCGAGGACGACCCGCTTTTGGAGGCCTGCGATCTGTTCCGCGAGAAGATTCCCGACTTTCTGGGTTTTTCCGTTACCGCTTGAGGCTGTGACGAGGCCTGGGTTTGACTTGCTTTTGGGGCCACTGCCGTCGTTGTTGCGTTTGGGCTGGCGACCGGAAGCGGGGAGCCCAAGGGAAGGCCGGCAGTCGCGGATGGCGGAAGCATCGCAGTAATCGGTAGGGATGATGGATCAACGGCTGGAGCAAGAGCGGTTCCTGAGCCTGGTTTGTCATGCGGTTTGGACCGGTCCTTTGTCTTGCTGTTTCTCGGTCTGGCGTCGATACCTCCAGTCACGGAGCTCTCGGCTGGTGCATCGATGTTTGGAGGATCGGAAAACAGCTTTGCGCTGCAGTCGGACTGTGGCGATGGACTGAAAGTGCCTGGGGATACCGGCGACGCTGCTGGACCACACACTCCTGCACCGACGATGCCAGCAGAATTTGACGACAAACTGCCCGCCGCATTCCCAGGGTGGTCCTTGGTGCTCCCGGGGAGTCCGTTATCTTTGCTGCTGTTGTTGCTACTGGGGCCATTGTTTCCGCCGGTGCTGTTGCTGCTATGACTGCCTTTGTTTCGGGAGATGAGCACGCCCAGGGCACCGCCAATGTACTGCTTGGCCCAGCCAACTCGCTGCTTGACAGATCGCTTGGCCATCTGGAGATTGATGCGGTTTGAATTCTTGAGGGCATAGAGCACCAGGCCGTTGCTCACAACCACCAAGAACAGGAAAAAGTCAAAGGAGCACCACCGGAGCACAAAGCAGTATGTCGTAAGGAGGAGGAGCACAAGTCTCCGCTGGCGGACATGGTTGCGTTCTTTGATGACTGGAGCGGCGCAAAGCCAGTGTTGTTGGCGATAGTGGAAGCGGCAAGGTCAGTTGTTGTTGTGCCAGTGTGGGTATTTCGCTCTGCATTATCCGGGCGACCGAACTGTGGTTTGCCTTGCTCCGGGCGTGGCTGCGATATCGATCGCTCCCGGACTCATACGCCCGCTGCACCACCCCAGCCGCTCTGTTGCAATCCATGTCTTCGCTGTGTCTAGGATAATCAGCATCGCTCACTTCCCTTACCGTTCAAACTTGGGCGATCGTCTCCGCTTTCCATCGGAGGAAACGTCAGCAAGCTCATAAAGTCCTTGACTCGCAGCCACAGGTTGCTCTTTTCGGACATTCCGCCAATCTCCAGCTTCACAAACCAGGACAGAACATGTGCAACCAGATCCGAGACATATCCTGTTCCGAGCGTTTCGGAAACCCGCTGAGCTGACATTTCAAAGATGGATCCCGACTGCAGATATCCTGAACTGGCTAGCTCTGGCTCCATGTGCACGCTGCTGTGCGCTTGGAAGTGGTTGAGCGGGCCGATGGCTTGGTCGTCAGTCGAATCGATGCAGTCGGTTGGCGCTTCACTTGGGAAGGGGCCGCGGGATTGGAGTTGGCCGTTGGGGCCGACGCCTGCTTCTGCTGAGGCTGCAGACTTGGCGGTCGTTTGTATCGACACGACAATGTCTTCCTCGGCCGTCTCGTCGTCGGATCCGTCGGGCTCCTCTCCAGAGAACGTCTGTGAGCCCATGACGGCGCGGGGATCCAGGGGTGAAGAGTGAATGCCAGCGGCAGCAAACGGGCTGAAGCGAAAGAGCGAGAGGATGCCACCCTGCTACTCTGCCGTCCTGCCGCCTTACCAAATCCTGCACTTTATCGCTGGCGTTGAGACAGTTGTGTTTAATGTACTTTGCCAGCCGTTTGGACGAAATCTTTCCTTCCAGGCTGCTGATGAGCACGCCATTGAGATAGCTCCATGTCTCCATAATGGCGTCGAGAGAGTCGTGGGCCGCGACTTGGCGAGAAACATGGTGTTGGTTGCAATTATGTGATGGAATACGGCTCGCCATCTCCGGCATTCTTCATCTGCACCCCGGGTGCATGTGCGCCAGCGTTGCAGCCGCCAGAGGGGGTTGGACAGAAGGATATCTCGCCCCCCCCCTACTTTCACTATACTCCAAGACCCTGCGTTCATTCGACTCACGGATGCCCACCTTTGTATTGTGGAAACCCTTTGGTGACGATGCGGTACGTGGGCTGCGGATGCGAACCCTTGGGCTCGTGGGACTGCAGCATGCAGTGCGGCGAATCGTGGACGACGGTCCAGGATATGCGGCGGATGTTGCTGACCACCGAAGGCGAGACGAATGCTGTCACCATTTTGCATCCTTTTTCCAATGGGGCCCCTGCCAATATCAACGGTAGCTTGGGCCGTGCCTGTTTGCGAGATCCCAAGGTCGATCTGCGACTAAAGTAGCGGCGGCCTTGTAAGTTCGGCAAAAGGAGAGAGATTGAGAGAGAGGGAGGGAGAGAGAGAGAGAGAGAGATATGTCGCATTCGCTCAGCAACCGAATCGATGATCGTGCTGCCGCAATCTTGGAATGCGCAATCGGCAAGGAATTCGAGACCAGGGCCTGCCTCCTGATCGAGGGAAACGGCCGTCGAAGACTGGGCGAGGCGGCTCTAAGCACTACTCGCCGAGACCACTGGAGCAATCCGTGCGCCGCTGCCCCAGCTGCCTCGACCGCATATGCCGATTGCGCTGCCCCAGGGTCTCGATGCTTGAGCCTCGGCCGTGGGAAAGCACAAATCGGCCACACACACACGCGCGCTGGCGCCCGACGATTTCTGGTTTGGGTCCGCCCTTCCTCGCAGCCGTGATCTGATTTCGTCCAGCCGAGCCAGAACAAGCACCACCGGCGCCGATCGCTCGACTGTGCTGAATCGCTGCCCGATAGCCCTCTTCTTTCCGCCGCATCCCCGCTACCGCCAGTACCAGCAGCCAAAGCCATGTCCAAGAAGACCCAGAAGAAGAAGCCGGCCGCGGCCAAGTCGCCCTCCTCCGCTGCCGTTGCGACGACCTCGGCCGCTGGCGCATCCGCATCCGCTGCTGCCGTCCAGCAACCTCCTCCTGCTGCCAAGCCTGAATCTGAACCTCCGCAGGCCCAACAGGAGGACGACACTCCCGCTGATGCCGACGCCGAGGATGCCCCTGAGCAGCCCGAGGCTGGCCAGAAGGGCCAAGCGACCCGGGACATGAAAAACATGTCTGGCGGCTACGTCGACGACGGCCTGGTGTATACTAGATCCAACGAGAAGCTGGAGAAGGTCAGGCCCCCTCCGGCGCAGCTCTCGGCCGATGTTTTTGCTTGTGCTCGTGATCCAGAGCGGCTGATCTGGCAGCCGTTCGATGCAGGGTGCTGACGGCTTTCGTTGTGGATCGGGTGCATGATCTCACTCGCTTTGGCGCTGATGTACCAACAGGCCTACAAACGGCTCGAGGAGCTCAACAAGAACGAAAAGGCCGAGAAAGCCGTGAGGTATTGTGCGCCCGCGCTGTGCATATCAAACCTGCGATCTCGCACGTCTCGCACATCAGCTGCAGAACCCATCCGGTGTTGGCAGAGCCACCTTTCTCATTCTCATCCCCTCCCCTACTCACACCTTGCATGCGCAGAGAGAAGGAGCTGGACGCCATCGCTGTCTCGGCCCAGGACATTGAGCTGATCGTGAGTATTGGCGCTTCTTGATGCCATTCGCCTTGTCGATCCTGATACCCGCTTGATCGGCATCCCATCTATTGTTTGCACACGCAAGCTGCCCCAGCACGCTGTCTCGATTGCGACTCGACTCATTTGACCCATTGCACACGGCTCCCAATTGACATGTTGTTTGCCGCACTGCCTTTTCCGCCTCCTAGATCCGCGAATTCGAAGTCACCAAGCTCGTCGCCCAGCGAGCGCTGCAGGCCAACAACGGCGATCTGATGGCCACTCTGCGATCGCTGATCAGCGTGTAGATTCCTTCAAATATACGACTCTTTCCCCAGCATGCACCCGAACACCTCTCCGATCGAGAGGAGCTGCATCCACGCCGATTCCTCTGAAGAAAAGCGGGGTCTGCGGTACCGCATAGTGCTTCATGCGAGATATATTGGGATCGGTCGCGATTCCAGGACACAGCGTCGCCGTCGTTTATTGGCAGTCCAAGTCGGCGCAGCGAGTTCAGTTAAAGTACACCCACTGTCCCTCGGGGGCCTTGGTCTCGAGGGGCTCCCACGGGCGCAGGTTCTCCATGATGTTGACAAGCTTGAGCTCGTCCTCGGCCTGCTGGATGAGCTCCTCGATCTGGCCGGCCTGGATGGTGGTCTCGATCTTGTCAATGTCGTTTTCCTGCTCGACGATGGCCAGACGGTGGCGGGCGAGCGACTCGACACTTTGACGGAAGACGGCGCTCTCGGGCTGGCGCTGCACAGCGTGGATGATGCGCTTGTAGAGAGAAATCAGCTGCGGGCGAGGGTTGGGATGGACAGCCAGGCCGTACAGGCCAGTGGTCTAGACAGCCAAGATTGGGCACATTGACAAGTTGTGGGCAGCAGGCCGATCGTAACGGGAAGAGGCGTTGACACGATGTTGGGCGTTGAGGTGTTGACATGACATGGACGAGCAGGGCAAGGCAAGGGCAAGGCAAGGGCAAAAGAATCCACACGGTCAGTACGCCGATGCCAGGCTCTGTCTCTGTCGCAAGAACAGCCGTGCAACCGAATGCATCGATAGCTCTACAGTGCCCTTGGTGTGTTGGCCACGGTGGGCACTCTAGAGACTCCGGCGTGGATGATGACCCGAGCTTGCATCAGGTTTGGATCGGATGGATGCGCTGCAGATACCCAGAGGTCCCAATGGCATCAATGCCGATGCAGCGCGACGTTGCTCGTTGAGCGTCCTGTGTCTCCAGATCGCTGAGCCTGGACCACAGTCCCGTCCGCTGATGTCTGAGTCCCGTCGATTCCAGCGGCCATCTGCATCACAGGCCCCAATCTTGAAGGATCATACGAACGAGATCCGGGCGAGCATCAAATATAGAACCGCACGCTCCATTCAGCCATTCGTTCCGTTGTGGCGAATCCGATGCCAGGCGGGGGTTGTCGCGGCAGTCCAACAGCCGCATGAGCGTTCTCTCCACCCGCACATTGCCGGATATCGCATGCCGCCGGGCGATTGAGTCGAAATCGCCGTCGATGTCGTCGTTGCTGGTGGGGATGCGCGTTCGCCTCAAGGTTGTATCTGCTCCGTCCATTCGATCTGCTCGATCTACTCGACCTACTCGATCCGCTCTATCTGGTCGCTTCGCGAACCACCCAGCACCCCATCGCGGAACTTACGGTTTTGGTCGAGAAGGCGGGGGCCTGGCGCAAAACTCGCGAGAAGAACATGATGTGCGGCTGTGTGTCTTGGTGCGGTGGGCTGTTGGAGGGCGGTCAGTCGGTCGTTCGTTCAATCGGTCGGTCGCTCAGAGAGACAGTGTCCTGGCTGTTCCCGTTGTCGGATTCTTTGGGGGCGAATGCAGCGAGGGCGACGGCGAAGCGAGGGCGACGGCGAAGCGATGGCGAGCCAAAGGCGGTGCTGGATATCGGCGTCTTGTTGCGACTGTGGCGAAAAGCGAAAAAACCAGAGCCGATCGGCGCAGGACACACTCGAGCCAGATCGAGCCGGAGAGCTGCTGCGCCACATGTGGTTTGCCCGATTGGAGCCACCGAGGAGCCACCGAGGAGGGAGCGAGGGGGGAACGAGGGGGAAGCGAGGGGCTTCTCGCTCGCTTTTGGTTGGACGATCCACGAACCAAGTCCACTCCCAGAGACACAAGAGTACGGCTAGCGCTATGTATTTTCTTCAGGACGCACTGTATTGTCAAAACCGCTGCTCGGGGGCCGGCAGCATATGATAGGGTTGTGTTTGTGGTGGTTGTGCGGGGCAAAGTGACGACGAGGATGAGCAAATCGAAATGGATGTGGGTTGGTCGTGCTTTCTCGGAAATTGCTCATGCGGGTAAGCATGTTTTCTTGGAAGCGCATGCACGGGTCCATGGCGGGAATCGGCGCAAGGATGAGAGCAGGCAAAGGAGAGCGAGTGCAAGGGGAAGAGCGAGAGCCACGGCAAGCGCCGATGCAGTTCATGATATTCTCGACAGAGAGCCAGTCTCGGAGCAGTGCCATAACGCCAGAGTAGAAAGCGCCGCGGGCAGGATTCAGGGAGCGGGCACGGGAATGAGCGCATTCACGATACCGCCGTGATCCCGGGTCTTCATCAAAATTAAACAGGAGGACGGTTTCGGCCAGGGTTTGGGGTTCGCATGGTGGTTGCTGCCGTTCATAGAATGTGACCAATTGCAGCGAGCCCGCACTGCCTCGTACTGTCACCGATATCCTCCGCGCCGCTCGTTGTCTTCGTGGATGTTGTTGCATTTTGCTCCGTACTTGCACTGGTTCTTACTGGGGTTGGGCGACCAGAACTTGCAGATGGATCGCCGGAATCCGGCTTGGTCGGGTCCCCGCTGCCGCTTGGACCTGCCTGCGCCTGGTCCGTAGTCACTGTCATTCAACTGGCCCCCGTCGTTGTTGCGGTGGTTGAAGTAGGGCCCGCCGGCCTCTCGTGCGTATCCCCCACGGTTACTCCGGTTGCCTCGCATTGGGTCATCACCGCCCGCCCGAGGAGGTGACGGTGGCGCGGTGGGGGTTTGCATTGGCGGCCCGGGATAGAGTGGTGGCTGGCGGTGGTGTTGGTACTGCTGTTGCTGTTGTTGCTGCTGCGGCTGCAGCGACTGCGGCGGTAGCAGCTGTTGGTAGGGCTGCTGGGTGGGAAGCGGTAGCCCGCTCGGAGGCGGCTGTGCTGTCCCGAGCGGAAGGGCAGAAAACGGAAGCGATATGCCGTTCTGAGTCTGGAGGAGATTGCCAAGCAGTGCCTGGGCCGCCGGTGTCATCAGGAGCGCCTGGACCTGGGCCTGGGTCGCAGCACTGTTGACAAGAGGTTGCACGGCCGTGAGCCCTTGGATATCTGCGGGCGCCTCATGCATGCCCCCAGCAGCTGGCATCGCCCCAGGTGCCCCAGGTGCCCCAGGTGCCCCAGGCGCTGGTTCAACAAAGCCTGTGGCGTTTGGCATCTTGAAGCTGGTTGACTGGCTTGGCTGCGGCTCGTCGAACCTAGCATCGGGTTCGGCTGGTGAATTGGGGATCTCAGACTCATCAAAGTAACTGGCAGACAAGACGGTCTGCTCGCGCTTGGCCTGCTCAATGGCATCGACGCTCTCAAACGAGCTTGTTGGCGCAACAGTCCGCATGGCTAGGTAGGGGAGAGGAGCGGACGACCAGAAGGATAAGTATGGGAGCACGGCACACAATCTGATCGCTCCCATGAGCACAGCCAGTATCGCACCACCAGCCGACCCGGCTGGGCAGCCAACCAAGCAGGAACTCACCGCGAATCTCGTATTGCTCTTGCACGACAGACATCTCCCTGCTGGCGAGATAGGGTTGGGCCATGCGGCCGCAATAGCGCCGACCCTCCGAACGGTCCAAATCGCGGGCGTCTCCGAACTGGTGATCGGCCTCGGTGCGCTAGTGGCAGAACACAGTCAGTGGGTGGCGTGAATCGTCGAGTAGATCCGGAATTCCGCTGTCATCTGTTGCATGCGTGGAATGGGCGTTTGCGGACGACATACCTGGTGGGCCTCCTCCTCCCGGCCAGCGTCAAAGTACCGGATCTTTTCGAGCTCATGGTCCGGGGCGAACGACACCTTTTTCTTCTTCCGCGGCGCTGGATCGCTCATGTTCACGTCAGCCATATCCGAAGGCTCGGAGCTATCCCTCATGGGCTCGTCCGGTGTATCCGCTCTGGATACAGGGAAGAAGTGTGAGACAAGCGTACATGACTGGGTCACATCCATACGTCTGCGCCAATAGCGAGTCTCGAAGATTCCAGGGTGGGCACTATACATACACTGCCTCAGCTCTTCGATACGAGGGTATGTCGACGTCCGCCCCGAGAAGCGATAGTGGGCGGCTGGTCGGGGACGATTCGGACATGGGTTCGTCAGGTCCATCAGCGGGCACTTCCTTCGGAGGTGCACTCTGTATCATGGGCTTGTCGCTTTTCTTGAATTTCGGCAGCGGCAGCGACGGGAACGGTTCCTTTGGGGGCTCTACCGGCTCGACCTCAGGCCGCCTCTTTGCTGCGGCATCTCCAAGTATCCTGGGCTTCTTGATGGGTGCGGCCTTGGCCGGCAGTTGCGGTGCGCTGGCCGACCTGACCTTTTTGTCGTCGGTCCCTGGCGCGCGCCGCTTGAGATCGGGTTTGTTCTCGACGACGACCGGCTTTTCTTCTTTCTTCTCGGGCTCGACCACTGGTGCAAATATAGGAAAATGCGTTGCATTCGATTGATCAGCAGAATGGACACGACGAACAGCTCGGTAGATAAAGGACATTCACGACGATGTCGTCAGCATGCAAGTTTCTTTACCCAGTAGTTGTCGCCAGTTCTCCATCAGGGCCGATGCGAGTGTCTTGCATTCTGTATCGGGCGAGGAGAATTAGGTCAGTGGGTCGGGGATTCAGAGTGCGCATCCTTCCTGAGCTGTGGAGAGCAGCGACAGATCCGGTTTACCTTCAGAGAGCGTGTCCATCTTCGTCAGTGACTTGACGATGCGGCCAAGGTGACACGACTTGAGGCTTTCGAGAGTGATGGGGAGCTTCACGAGGTACTGCAGTATATCCTGCATAAGCTCGGCACAGTCCTCGTCAGAGTCCTTGATGTCGCGGAGCCAGGTCGAAAACACCTTCAAAGGCGTCAGAGCCTTGACCATGCTGAGCGCCAGAAGAAGAACAAGGGGTGGGAGCGTGAGAGAGTGCAAAGCAGTCGGCCGCATCTGTTCCACAAAGTACAACCGGTTTGGTAATCTACGGTCAGATGGCGGGCATGCTGCCAAGGAAAGACCCGCGACCGCCGATCCTACCTTTCCATTGTCTTTGTCTCGTTAGACATCAGCAGGATCCGCATGACATATGCTCGGTCCACTGGCGCCTTCTGCTCCAGCATCACTCTTGCCAACTTGGAGACATCGATCCCATCCGCAATGGTCTGTGCTTGCGTCACAAATGGACCCATGGCCAACTCTACAGGCTTCTTCTCGGGCTGTTGGAAGGGAGGCACAGGGACGAAGGCAAGAATTGGTGCATTAGATAAAATCGCATCTTTCCAAACAGCAGCTTGACATGATATCTCGGGGTTGCTTGACAGCTCTTTGTCGAGTCGAATCACCGAAAATACCCACCACGTCGCTCGCCGGTGTCGAGACACTTGGATGCGGCTCCTGCGAAGTCGACGAGGCTGACGGGCTTTGCGCCGCAACGGGTGCTTCGCCTGAGAGAGCTGCGCCAGTCGCCGCGACCGTGGTTGCTGATGCCATTGCTTCCATTGACTCCGTCGTTGCCGATGCTGCCGCTGAATCGTTGGGCGAATCCAATGGATCGTCTTGAGGAATCGGTATCGTGACAACTTCCGGTACTGAGACGGTGGCCAGGCTCGATGGGAAAGTTGGCATCGTCACCTCTGCTTGGGCTAGGAATGATTCGACCAGAGGAAGGGACTGTTCAAAGCTCATAGACGTCGCCATGAGCAGGACCGGGTCTGGATCAATCATTGGCGCTGAGGTAACACCATTGAGCTGGGTTAACATCGAAGGATAGAGAGTCTGAGGCAGGGAGTGTTCGAACATGGCCGGTGATTCAAGGACCAAGTCAGGATTGAAGGGGTTGTAGGGCGCAGGAGCCAGAGGAAGGGCAGAGACCCCAGGCTGAGTCAGGTGGGTGGGAAACTGGCCCGCTGCCGGCATTCCATCGACATGGGCGAGGCTCGCGCCGGATGTGTAAGTCGGATGGGCGGAGCCGCCGTTGGAGTTGATGGTCTCGAGTGATCCGAGATTGTTTGCCTGGAAGTTCCACAACCTTTGCGAGGATGGATTGTTCATCAACGCATCTGCAACGAGCATCGCGGAGGCGTTGTCCAAGAGTGATATGATGCCGAGGGCGCATTTCAAAGGCGGGAGCCGCGTGTGTTATCGCAGAGCGACACCGCATCCAAGCGGAGTTGTGGCATGGCCGATTTCCACAGTTCCAAGAGGTTGTTGACACGAATTATTCCGATTTGACCCACGAGGCCAATCAGAGCGGTGATAAGCGCAGTAGTTTGATGGTATCGGCGACAACCATTGACACGATCAAGTCGAATGTGTGGCGCGGGGAACCCACAAGAAAATGAAGAAACGAGAAGCAGATCATCAGTATCAGGCGTCTGTTCGATCTTTCACAATGGTCCAGTGCGGTGGATATGATTGAGATGCCAGATCAGCGCCGTAAAGATTGATCCAGGACACTTACTCAATGCGCCTAGGGCAGCGCTGTTGGCGGTCAGGTTGCCTGGGAAGACGGTGGGGGTCATCGAATAGGATGGCTTGACTTCGCCGTTGGTTGAGCCATCTGGTTGGTCCACAAGGAAGACTAAAATCAGCTGGACTGGCCACTGAATCCACGGCACCGATGGCGAAGGAGCGGCCGTACAAATGAAGGGGATGCATGCATCGGGATGCAGCTTCCTGGCTCAGGGACTCCGATGCTTGATCGGATACTCACCCTTCTTCTTCATCTTGGATCGTTGTCGGCTGAACCAGTTGGAAATCTAGCAACCACGGTAAACACAACATGAGCATCGAGTCCGGGCTGTTCGATCGAGGTGCCGCATTGGCTACGAACCTGACTATCTTGCAGGTTCAGCTCCTTCGCCAGTCGGGACCTTTCCGACTCGGACAGGTACATGGACTTGTTGAAGCTCGCAAGCAGAGCCGAGTTTTGTTCCGAAGTAAACAGCTTGGACTTTGGGCGGGCAGGCTGAGCCGCCGCAGCTGCAGCTGCAGTGCGAACAAAGAGCAAATCGGCAGATATGCATGGGCGGCGAGCCAGGTTGATCCATATCGCGCGTGTGTCGAAGCACAGACCAAACGACGTTCGAATAAATCCATGCCAGGAGGGCGTTGGAGCAGTGGTGCCGTACAGGAGCCCCCCGGTAAGCCCAGTGCATCGTTCCAGTAAATAAGAGAGTTAGAGTCAGCGTGTGCAGCAAAGGCGGGGAACTCGGTCCCAGAGATCTCCGGGGATCGATTGGACAGATCAGCACCCAAGAGCAAGCAACTGGGGACAAACAGACAGACAGACAGACAGACAGACAGACAGACAGACAGACAGCAGCCAGCAGAGCATAGCTGCAACACAGAGCACGGCGTCGGCGGCCCTGTTGACGAGGCGACCGGGCTTCGGCTTCGGCTCTGTGTCGGTCCATCAATCGGCAATTGCGGAGAAGGAGGAAGAACATGCATTACCGGCAGTCTCGGGCAGTAAAGTAAGAGTCGATTCGGGCAGCAAAGACGGTGTTGATGGCGATCCGTGAAACATCAGGAGCGAAGGGTTCTGTTGCAGCGTGCCCATGGAATAGCCCGAGAATTGAGAGGGATGCATCGCAAGGCTGTCGAAACCAGCGACCTCGGACGGCTGCTGGAGCCCCAGATCAGCGCCAGCGGAATGATATCCCGGCTGGGACGACAGTGCGGTGCCCATGACGTGAGCAAAGGAGATCGAGGGTGCGGCGGCTGGATGGTCTACCAGCGACAGCGCCAGCGGCGCTCCGGTCGTTGATTGATTAGCAGCAAGGGAGGCCAGCGTTGCGCTTCGCACGACTTCCTCAGGGATCTCCACGACGGGATGGTACTCCATTGCTTCTCTCTTTCCGCTGGGAACGGGCAACCTCCCGACACACTCGCGTATGAGAACGGATCTTGAGTTGCTTAAGGATACTATGATATCCGAGAACACAAGCCTTGCAGCACCAAGCGCAGGGAGGAGAGAGGGTAGAAGGCGAGGAAAGGTGTTACGCTCTGATATGCGCTTCCCGGGACTGACTTGCACAGCCAGGCTCGCCAACACAAGTGCTCTGAAGCAGAGACCACGGCGACGATAGGACGAGGAGAGCCACGAGAGGGAGATAATACGACAAAGAGAATGGCCAGACAGCCAGCGATCTCCTGAGGCACAGCGACGGCGCTCCTCAAGCGGCAGAAGCAGCAAGGGCAACGAGCGAGACCGGGGTCGGATATAACAACGATCCGGATGAGCAAACACGGAGCACACAGGCAGCCTTGTCCCAGACTTGCCCTCACTTTCTTTTGCACCAAGAGGTGCGTCTGCTTTGCAAATACTGGCTCCAGGCCCTCCGATCCAGATGATGGCGGGCTGTGCGGTGGGGAGGAGGATCGGAAAGTCGATCTGGGGGGCGAGGGGGAGGGAGCAAGCGCAGGATCAAACCCCGCAGTAGAACAACAATGAGGGGGAGTGTGTGGATGTATTACCGCAGAGACGGAGGGAGGGGTGTGTGTCTGGAGCTCGAGGTGGTTGGAGGCGATGGAGCAGGGTCAGCGACGGGCAGCAGCCAGTAGGAAATTGCAGAGCGGATATCGCCGGCGACCCGATGTCCAAGCAAGAGCAAGTCGGGCTCGGCAGCTCCGAAGGCGAGAAGAAAAATGCGCCGTCCAATGGCAGCGACGTGCCGGCTGGATCCGGGCAATCCGGCTCGACCCGGATCGACCCGGATCGGCGCGCAGATGAATTCATTTTCCTTGGCGGGCGCGTTGCGCACGTGGCGCGGACACTGCCTTCCATGTCGCTGCAGGGTCGACCAGCTTCTCGCGCGCGATCTGGTCCAGCAACTGCGTCTGGTACTTGCGGAAGCGCTGCAGCTCGGCCCGGCTCTGGAGACGCAGCGGCCGGCGGGGCGGCGACGGTGCAGAGATTCTTAGCCGGTGCAGCGGGTCTGTGCTCCTGTCACCCCACTGCAGGCTTGCATCGCCATCCAATTGTGTCCAGTCAGAACAGCCGCTTTGGCTGCAGGGGGAGGAGAACATGTTGCGTACCTTGTATATCTTGATCAGCTCGTTGTTTGTCAGTTGGCTAAAGTCCCAGGTCGTGCGCTGGACGTCCATGCGTGTCCAGTCCGCAAACACCCCGACCGACGCAATCTCGGCACCCTCGGGATCAGAGGAGTTCGCCCGCACGGTGATGGGGCATCCAGAGTAGTGCCCTGGATTGAGAATCAGATTTTCGTTGAAATGATCTCCGATCTTGAGATTGCCCAGGAAGATCTCGGCCCTGTCGGGAAGCAAAGGGTGCGGCATGCTTGTCAGCTCGCACGCACAATGCCGCCCATCCCACGCCCAGGCACCAGCACCTCAAGCGCTTCGGCTGGTGCAGTGCTTGGTACATACTCATCATTTTCACCGAGCTTGACCTTCCGCAATACATCACACATCCCCCGCTTGACGATGTAGAGCTGATCCTTGACGTCGCCTTCCCTGACGATCGCAGTTTCAGGTGCGCACTTGCGGATCACCATGCGGCTGGCCACTCGTTTGAGCTGAGTGTCCGTAACGTTGGCAAAAAACGGAACCCGGAGACGCAGGAACTGCAGCTTGTACTTTTGCTCGATCTGATGAGCTGTCCGTGAAAGGGGGGGGGATGATTGTTCCGATGGGGAACGAAGAATCCGTGAGTCAACGACCGAATATCATTCCGAGTATCGACCTGGTACCTGCCGAAACAGCGGCCTGGATCGTCGTCGCTCTGCCCAGTTGCCAGGCCGCGAGCATCCAGGCGCTCTCATGCGGGCGACTGGTCCATGCTGCCGATAGAGTCTCGTACCACATAGAAGGAGTCGCTTATAGTCCGACTTTTCGACCACGGCCAGCGTCGTTGGCTCCTGTGTTTGGATCGTCGCAGCGCGAGGGGCGTCGTTGACCAAGGCACTATCGCCAAAAGAGTCGCCGGGCCATGCAAAATTGACGACGATCATCGATTCGTCCGCGGATGTTGGATCTTGGTCGCGTCGGATCATGACCCGCACACTGCCTGAGAGCACGACATACCCTAGTATCGAGTAGGCAAGGAGCAAAGGCGGGACATCAACTGCTTGCTCATGTCTGATCTCGGCTGCTGGAGTCAGGCACACAGAGCGCCATCACCATCACCACCATCACCATCACCCACATCGGTCTCCAGGCTCGCCTTGGCGAAAGATGATCTGTTCGCCTTCGTGGTCCTCTGCGACCATGACCTTGCATATCTCCATCAGCAGAAATTCCGACAGCTTCTTGAACGGAGGCAGCAGCTGTAGTATCTTGTTCAGGAGCTCGAGATCCTCTGCTTTGCGCTCGAGAATGTCGGTCTTCAAGATCGAAACAATCCGGTCGTAATTCAGCTTGAACTTGAGCGGCAAAGTTCCCACAATGCTGCGCGAGAGTATCGACCGACTCAATGTCCGGTCCATTGTCGTGGCGACCTTATCGGGCGACCCGGGCGGCTTGGTCGGCCTTTTGGAGCCAGAATCGATCGGTCGGGATGGTCTCCGGCTAGTGATTCCTCCTGCGGCAGGGGGCTGCGGGGCGATCGAGTTGCTTCGACTGGCCTTGGTGCGCTTGGGGCTTTTCTTCTTTTTGCGGGCTGGAAAACTCTGGACTATCTTGGCTTCTGGCACCTCACGTCGCAGGAGCTTGCGCCCGAGGTCGATTCCGTTGGGGTTGTAGAGATGCTGGAGGGCTTCGGCACGGGCTTCTGCGGTCGGTTCTTCCTTGAACTGGCCCCGACGATGATGCATGTCGAGGATATCCTTGATAAAGCCCTACAACCACACAGATTCAGCACAAAGACCCCACCTCCCTGGTATCTGTCATATCGTTCGGCAAAGATACGGCAGCGTACAACCCATGTCCACGCAGCTCTCTGACCTTGTGCAGCTTCTCTAGCGGATCAGTGCCCTTCGTGTGGGGCACCCGGCCTGGGTGATGAAACCACTTGTTGGTCAGCTGGGACACTCTTTCGAGTTCGGTGGTCCTCGGATCCTGGAGCGAGATCGAGCTGTAGGTACTCCAGACCATCGATGACGATGCCCGTCGGCGTGAGAACATGCTGCCGTCCAAGTTTGAGGTCCATTCGGTTATGGGTCCGCTTGGGACTCCGTGTCGGTAGAACTGATATGCGACCTTGGGAAGCACGCTCTTGTCCTCGCTCACGACGATGCTTGGCCTTGCAGATTGTCATTGCATCCAAAACAGAGAAGGCGGCGCAGAGTCAGAAGGCCAGGATGCGAAACTCTTGTGGCACGACATGCTGAACGGCACTGGGAGACCCCGATCGCTCATCTGGTGCGAGGAGGTCGAGAGACTGACTTGGACGACGAGACTGGCCGTCGGACCGAGGAGCCCGCCCCGGCGGCCAGAGGCAGTTCGAGATTGGTCTTGACAGCCAGAGCCATTTCGAAGATGGGATCAAGACGAGAGCGCTGTTGACAAGCTCGCGATGCTACAAGTATCCGTCAAGCTCGTCGAGACTCAGCGGTCCCAAGGGAGGTTGCGGCATCTGAGCCGGCTGTTCCCGCCAGCCATCTGTTTCGGCCAGCCTGCAGATGCGGCAACAATGGGTGTGGCTTCGTGATCGAGATCAAGGAACGGACTTCAGGGACTACTCGGGCTATGGTCAATGTCCAAGTCTGGTACCGGCCGCGGAGTGCACTCAACGACTGAAATCGGTGCAAAGTCTATTCTGTCTGTAGTTATGTCGACCTTGCTCGCTTCAGACGGGAACAGCACACTAACGATGGCCGCAGCTTTGCACCTGCTGGGAATCGATTGCGTAACACCACAGGGCAACGATGGCGATAAATCGCATGGCGGCTGGCCGTACACGCACTTGCTTGAGGTTTTGTATCAGCCTGGGGCCCGACCGCACAAGAACCAAGTATCCAGGTTTTGCTCTACACCGAATATATGTATATTTTCTCTCCAGCCAAAATCAAGTTGCAGCGAGCAGTGATTCATCTCGTTCCAGGCAGCTGTTTTGGCGCCGACTGTATCGGCATGGACGTTGGCAAGTAGTGTAATTGGAAGAGGCAGTCAAGTCAGGCTATGTGTGGATTGCGAGAACCAAGTGAAAGCAAGCAAAGCGTGTGAAAGGATGTGACGGAAATGCAGCGATAGAAAAGGGGGAGTGTAAACAGGGGGGGGGGCCCAGCTCTCCAAACAGAAGCGGAGATCGAGGGCGGGGAATGCAATCCGAGCGTAAAGGCAGCGAGAGAATGTATGCCATGCCCGATTGCAATGTTGTGTCTATGCATGAGTGTATGTCTATGAGCCGGGCAGCACTCGAGGTGAGGATGATGTGGGGATACGGCTGGAGACCCGCAGTGGACCCTTTCATCTCGCCAGCGCCTTGGCTCGTTGTGCGCTGCTTGCCCGAGAACAGGATAATCAGCCCAACGACGTAGCATTGCAATCCTCAGGTCAGCCGCTGTTCAGGGACGGTTGAAGGAGATGACGATGTTGGTGGTGTTGTCGTCCATCTGGTTTCGATCCATTCCGATCAGGCTTTCCTTGGTAATGGCTTCGGATGCTTTCTGGGGGTCTTTGTGGTGATTCTTGATGATGGCGACGGCCTCGGCGATTGTCAGGCCGTCAAAGACTCCATCGGTGCCAAGGACGAGAAAGTGGTCATGCTGCGATATCTGCGTGCAGATTACTTCGGGCTCGGAGACCACGCCAAGGCGACTGGCAACGGCATCGCCCAGAGATCGTGTGACGACCAGACTTGAGGACCCAAAGCACATTGCGTTTCCAGCGATGGGATGTTGACAAATGTTGGCATGTTAGAAATGCGTTGTGCTCGCCGACTCGCACACGTCTCATTGCCAGGCACTGTGTCGATCCCCGACGACGCTGCTGCTCACATTGACTCGCCAGCAGCCGCACACATTGTACCGTTCCTGTGCCAGATATCAGTTAAATTGCTTACCCTGGGTACGGCAGTGTTCCTTTGAAAATACGAAGAGGTCCTGTAAAGCAAGGTTGTTCAAGACGCAGCAGCGGCTCCTGGTCAATTGCGTCCACCACTTGCAAGACCCTCCGGTATCGACCGATATCTAGCGCTGGCGCACGTCTGGCATTTCAAATACAAGCTATTCCGCCACACTGTGACAGGTTCAAGTGACCGGTGTTGGTGCTGGTGCTGGTGCTGGTGCTGACAGCCGGGCGCACAGCACTGGCCTGCAGACCCGACGGCGACATGACCGGCAGCAACGCCGTCGATGGGATGCTACCTTCTTTTTGTTCGTTGATGTAGAGCTGTTCCACTCTGGCCCCTGACGTTGTGACTCGATCCAGCTCCGGCTTTGTTTCGCAGGTGTGATCGCTGTTGAAGACGCGATGAGATTCGTGTTCAAGTAGGAATCGTTGATCAGACTGGAGGAGCTGGAAGGCCTTTCGCGAATAGCCGTCGTGACTGGTGATCCCTGCCCATCATGCTCTAATATACCAGCCTGCATCATACCAACACACCCGCCCGTCTCCAGAGCCCAGCATACAAAAGCATCGCACGACAGTCGAGTGCGCAATGACTCCACATCAACGGCTGTCCCTGACGTCCCGTCTCTGCTTACGTCGTCAACTGAATGCCCTTCCAGACGTTGTCGACGTGCTGGACGAGGATGGCTTTCGAGTCACCGACATGAGCGATGTATATCTTGGCCGTGCTGGTGTCGACGAGGGCGACCAATGCCGTTGTTCCGGACATGTATGTGTCGATGGCCTGGTTCCCGGTGAGCCTCTCATGGCATTCGGAAAAGATGGACTTGAGTGCCTGGGCGGGGTCCCGCAGAAAGCTTTCGTACGGGATGGCGCACATGACTTCAGGGAGTACTTTCTTGACAAACGCCGATGACTTGCCTCCTTCGCTTCCTGACGGCGGCCACGGACAACACGAAAGCAGCGAGCACAGGTAAGCACACAATCGCTCCGGAGCGGACACGGGCAATGAAGTATAGTCATGGACACAGCGTGTAAAGCTCGGTGGCATTCCGGCAAGCAAGACCAAACGGGAGCAAGCGGGTGAGTCTGGGCATTTCGCCATCGACGGCCAGTGTGGCCACCGGCGCCGCTGGCGATTATCTCGTATGAGCACTCTGGCCCGGCCTGAAGCAGGAACCGACACACTTGGCAATGAGGCAACAGCCAAAAGTAGCTTCTCTACGACAACCATTACCATGCCCGTCAAAGACGGCAAAGAGCGCCATATGGGGATAGTTTGGGAACGTGTGGCAGATGAGAAAGTCGTCCTGCTGATAGGGGCGCCTGCCGAGATCGGTGCTGGTTCCGCTGGACAGCGCCAAAACCATGGTGATAGTAAGCGCGATGAGATCGAATGTGGATGGGGAGGTGCAGGCACAGTGTCCTTGTGTTGGTGCGGCAGCGTCCAGCGGGAGGGATGCAGCAACGGCGGCGACGGCGACGACGATGGTGACGACAACGGAGGTATTCGATGGATGATGGGAAAGCGGGCGACCAAAACGAACGCTCTCGTTCCAGGCCGAGAGCGAGCCGGAATGCGAGGACCGGCGAGGACCGGCGAGAGCGGGCGAGAGCACTCCCCTGATTGCCGCTGATTGCCCACAACATCCCATCGAATCCATCGGCCACAAGTACGGCCACAAGTACAGCCACAAGTACGGCTGCATTCGCCGGGGGTGGGAGTACGGTTTGCACACACAGGCGGGTTGGCCGAGTGCAGTCCGGGATATCCGAGTGCCGAGGCGGCCATCTCGGGCGGTCGATACTGCTGTGCAGACCGGCACTGACCCGGCGAGAAGAGCGGCATATTCCCAAAGCACCAGCGCTGTGGTGGTGGTGGTGGTGGTGGTGGTGGTGGTTGTGCCGCTGCTGCATTGTCGACGACGCTGCAGCGATTGCTGATCCGAGCCGAGCCGAGCCGAATCGCAGCCCGAGCGTGATCGAAGGCGCTGCGTGCTGTTCGTTTGGTCGATCGGCAGAACAGTCCGGCAGCATCCGGCAATCGCACTCATGCATCTCTCGCCATGCATTCCCACGCGGCATTCAGTCCGCTGGCATCTCACCACCCATCATGCATCTGCATCTGCGTCTGCGTCTGCGTCTGCGTCTGCGTCTGCGTCTGCGTCTGCGTCTGCGCATCGATATCCAAGCGGCCATGTCCACGAGCAGCCGTGTGGCGCGAGTCCCGGTCTCGCCAGCGCCTTCTCGCCGCGCCGAGCGCCAGTCGCGTGCATCCTCGCCGTCCCCCAGCCTCGCCTCGTCTCGCCGTGGTTCCTGTTTTTCTTTTGCCGTCCTTCGTCGCCTCCTCGTTTCGTCCTTTGGCTGCTCCACACTGGCTTCTGCGCTCCATCGGCCACTGCAGTTTGCTGCTCGTCCGGGAGCTGGTGCTGCTTCTCCCCCCCCCTCAATCTTCTGGATTGCATCTGCTGCCTGTCTAGATCTCGCTCGCCGCTCCTCTGCAATCCGCCCCTCCTTGCCTCGCCCCCTGGCCCGATAGATCCGAGACTCGCTGCCCCCCATGTCGTCGGTCGCAAACGAGTCCGCCGCTGCCGTGGCCTCTCACCCCCTCGCCGATGCCCTGCAGAAGCACTGGAAGCCCGTCGTCCTTGTCTCGCTCCTGCTGCTGGGCTCTGGCGCCTCGTACTACTACCTCACCCGAAAGTCGGGCAAGAAAGGTGGTGCCGGTGCTGCCTCGCGGGATGTTGATGCCGCTGGCGATCACTCCACCAGCACCACCACCACTACCACGACCAAGACTACCAAGCGTGTGAAAAAGTCGTCGGCTTCTCCTGCCACCGTCGCCACCGAGACCGCCACGACCTCGACCACCACGACCACTACCGATGCCGTTCCCGAATCCAAGCCTGTCTCTAGCTTTGTCCCCGAAAACGTCGATGCTCTTCCCGTCAGCGAACGCAAGACCCTGGCTGAATCCGCCAAGGGTGCCGGAAACAAGCTCTTTATCGAAAAAAACTACACCGAAGCCATTGATCTGTACTCCCAGGCCATCGCCCTCCACCCCACTGCCATCTACTACTCCAACCGCGCTGCTTGCTACTCCAACCTCGGCAAGTTCGAAAAGGTCGTCGAAGACTCGACCGAGTCGATCAAGCTGGATCCCGTCTACATCAAGGCCATCAACCGCCGTGCCCAAGCCTACGAAAAGCTCGATGATCTCCGCAGTGCTCTCAAGGACTACACGACCCTGTGCGTCCTCGAAGAGTTCAAGTCCGAAGCCTCCCTCAACTCCATGGATCGCGTCATGAAGCGCCTTGGCAAGGACCAGGCCGCCGAGATCATGAAGACCCGCAAGTTCCAGCTGCCCTCCGAGACTTTCATCACCGCCTACATGGACTCCTTCCGCCAGACTAGTGCCCACGCCCAGCGCATCATCGATTTGACTCCGGTCGAAGAGGGCGATCGTCTGGTCCAGTCCTCCTTCCGACTCATCCTGGAGCGAAAGTACACCGAGGCTTCCGAGGCTGCCTTCAAGGCCTGCGACTCGCCCCTTAGTGACGCCTTCAAGTATCATGCCTTCAACATCCGCGGCACCTTCAGCTTCCTCAAGGGCGATGTCAATGCCGCCTTTGCTGATTTCGAAGAGGCCATCAAGCTGAATCCCAACGACATCGACTCCCTGATCAAGCGCGCTTCCATCTTCATGGAGCGTGGCGACATTGCAAGCACCCTTCAAGAACTGGATAGCGCCGAAAAGATCAACTCGCAGGAATCCGATCTCTACTACCACCGCGGCCAAGTGCGCTTCCTGACTGAGCAGTTTGCCCCGGCCGTCGAGGACTACAAGAAGTCGATCGCTCTCGACAGCAACTTTGTTTATGCTCACATCCAGCTCGGCGTCACGCTCTACAAGATGGGCAGCGTCATGGAGGCCATGGCTGTCTTCCGCAAGGCTACCAACAAGTTCGAGAACAGTTTCGAAGTCTACAACTACCACGGCGAGATTCTGCTGGATCAGGGCAACTTCACCGATGCCCTGGCTAACTTCAAGAAGGCTTCGTCGATGCAGCCAAACTCTCCCCTTCCCTACATCAACCAGGCCATTCTCCACCTCTCGAGCACACAGGACATTGCCGAGGCCGAAGCGCTGTGCCGCAAGGCCATCGAGGTCGACCCCCTCTGCGACATTGCCTATGCTCAGCTCGCTCAGTTGCTCCTCCAGCAGAAGAAGACCACCGAGGCTCTCCAGATCTACGACACGGCTGTAAGAACGATCTGCTGCTGCTGGCTTCGCACGTAGCCGCCGACCGCCTGTGCCCAGATACACGGCGCTCTTTCTGACAACCCCCCCCCTTCTGTCGATATCTAGATCTCCATCACGCGATCGGAGCCCGAGTTGATCAACGCCATTGCTTGTCGAGAAGCTGCCGTTGCACATATTTATGTGTCTGAGGTACGACCATGCCTGCCGATGGAGCGCAGCTCGACGCATATGCTTGGATATGGACAACCCCGCCTCATCGTATCCCCTTTCTTACGCGGTCGTTTTCCACCTCTCTTTTCCAGCACTATCCCGAGATGATGGCCAAACTAGGCCGTTAAACCCGCCGCGATGATCTGGCCTGGTTATGGATGGACTTTTGGCGTCGCTTGTGCAATTCATTCTCTGCTCTCTCGTTGCTGACTTTCCCTTGATCCATAGACACCGGTGGCCGCAACAACCGGCCCCTAACCAGCCAATATCTTGTGTTTCCTTTGCCACTTCCCCCCCCCCACCTTTGCATTTTGTTCACGCGAGCGATGGCCCTGCCCTGCATTGCCCTGCATTGCCCTGCATTGCCCTGCATTGCCCTGCGCGACTCGTGAAGCTCCTTTTGGCCAGCAATCTCGCCACAATACATGCTCCCTATATCTTTTCGACACAGCGCGGCACACTGTTGATGGCGACGTGGATGTATTTCGTCGCATGTGCACATGATTCATCGGCTGTCGATGTCTCACATGGGTGATACTGCCGTCATCCCGATCATCGCTTGACGATCAACCTGACTGGCGGCGTGGGCTCAGAGCATCTTCGAGCCTCCGCTGTGCCATAGCACCTTCGAGCCTCCGCTGTGCCAACTCCAATCTCGTTTTTACCCGGCTCGTCGAGGTCGACTTGCTTCCATCGCGAAAGGAGGCTTGGTGTGCCATTCCCTCCTCTGGTAGGTTAGCCCCTCAGTCCACCTGAGCTTCGCCCACATCCAGCCCATCAAAATCAACCTCTCCAGCCCAACGGTGGCTCCAGAATCTGTGACGCCGATCAATGCAAATGGAACTCGACTTGGAGGAGCCTCAGACAAAGCCGGCGACCGGCATCCAGATGTTTGATGTGCCTCCGGAGCCTGCCAAATTCATTGGACCACAGCCTCCGACTCTTGTTACGTATTCCAGCCGCGACTCGGTCAAGTTCCTGGATGGGCTGGGTAAGCGCCCGGCGAAGGAGGGGCAATGTCATCGAACAACGCGTCGTTCTGTCTTGCACATCTATAGTCTCGTCCATGCAAGAGATGGCTGCCAAGCTGCGGATCGGGTTGCTCATAAAGCGCTTGGATCGAGAGTCTATCGACCCCATGCAGTCTGATAAGTCCGAGCGCTCGTCGACGACAGTCGCTTCGACCAGCCAAGCAGCATCGCTCCTGGTCGCTTGACCTCTTCGACCCCTTCGGCTCACCAGGTCTCCGTTTTCCTGTTCCCAGGCTCGTCACTTGACCGCTCGGTGCTCTTCTCCGAGACATTCCCCGTCTATAAGATCAATTCCCAAGAGCGCGCGGACGATTCTGAAGATGAGGAGGATCGCATCGGCTCCCGCACCATCGACATATCCGAGGGCACCTTCCTCGGACATTCATGCTACTTTCTGAGCGTCATCACGGACACGCTTCAGGACCACCCCAAGCATCCAGGCTCCAAGGTGCACACCAAACAGAGCATCACGGCTTACGTCTCCTGCAGCCTCAGCACCCTGGCCCAGTCGACATACACCACCTGCCTGGGCGACCGATATGAGGAGGAAACGATCGTCGAGTGCATAACCGACGAGGAAACAGGCGACATTCACGTCCGCGAGGCCGGCAGCGACGTCAGCGACTATGAAACCATCATTCCCAGCGACGCGACCGAGGGCCTATTGTTCGAAGGCAGGTCGTGGGCACAGCACATTGATGGCGCTTGGTCATTGTCCGCCTATTATTACTCTCCGAACGCAGGCTGAGCAGTATTTCGGTGCGATCACGACAGGCTCGGAGCGGCTACTGTTCCGGATCCTTGCTCAGGCACAGACACCCCAGTCGCTGCAACTCACCCAGTTTCGCAACCGCGGGATCTACAAGGTCCACTTCAAGACCCTCCCCAACCAAAGCCGTGTCGTGTTCGAGGACCAGCCGCCGGTCAAGGGCTGCGTGATCCTCCTGCAGTATCTGCTCAACCAAAGCACCGAGAAGCCGCCGGGCCGCCGCCGCCTCCAGCCTTTAGAGGAAGAGGAGCAGAATGCCGTGCCCACAACGCCAGCCACAGCGCCGCCCGATAGCGAGGGAGAGGACGGCGAGCAGACAAAGGAAGAGCGCCCTGGCGAGACCGACGGTCTCGAGCTCGAGAAGAAGCTCACGGAATCTGATCTGATGAAGGAGATTGCGGAGGGATGCTTCTGTTTGCCTAATGGCGCAACAGTCACTGGAGAGTCTCTGGTACAGGGATTCGGTTACATCGTCGACGAGATCCCGGACGCCGGTGAGTCCGTGTTGTCATCAGAATTGCTTTCGTTGGTATCGACCAGCAATATCCTGAGACCCGTCCACATTGGCTTTCCAAAACAGCGTCAGAGTCGCCCATCGATCCGTTGCGCACCCGCAATTTTGGTGGGAACATTGAGTACCGATCCGAGTATCTGGAACGCAAGGCATGTATTTCATATCATCCCGGCCTGTGTCCGTTGATGCAGGAAGATGCGTGGAGTGGATTGGCCCAATGCACTGCTGCATCGGCCAGGCGGCTGGAAGCATGGATCGATGGATACATTGGTGGATAGATCGATGGATACATCAGTGGATACATCAGTGGATACATCAGTGGATAGACCACAGCCAGGATCAAAGCACAGGCCCGTAACTCGTGAGCGTGAGCCTGGTGATTTGACTCTCGTTCTTCCTGCCAATCGACAGAACGAAATCACTCGCGTCCACGAAATCTATATAGCCGAGCATCCAGAGCTGCAGCAGGTCATGGCCGACTATCTCCAACTGGTCCTCCATCGGAAGCCACAGAATGTATACGAGTTTACAGCTGAATACGTGGAGGCTCTGACCCAAGTGGAGTCGTCGGCTTTCTGACAGGACGCTGTGGTCGGGATATCACGATCTGAATACACGGTTTCATTCCCCCCGAATACACAGCTTCTCTATCGCTCTTGGTTCTGGCAAAATGGCCAAACAGATCACAGACGATGGGTTGCGACGGCGTTTCGTCGAGTTGCTCCGCTCGCATACTCTGAAACAAACGAAGCGTCTCGTTCGTGTCCAAAGAAACGGTAGATCGGGCTCATTTTTCGGGGATGGGCTCTTTCAGCAGTGACGAGAACCTGCCCGTCGATCGATCCAGAGCGAGGGAGTGCTCGCCGAGATACTGAGTACTCTTGGAACTGGCTGGGGGATGGGGAGGGGCTATCCAGGATTTGCCAGGATTTGCCAGGCCTGCAAGTGACGTCTGCTGATCAGGGTCGACGTCAATGGAGCACGAAGCCGATCAGCCATCCAGCGATTTGAGGTCGGCCGTAGGGCCGTCGGTGTCCTCCCTCCGTGGTCGCAGCGGATCTTTGCCTCGCACATCCGCCGCTTCTGCTCCCACAGCGTTCGCACGGGTCACTTCTCGCTCTCACTTGGCCAGAGCGAGTCTGGCCTTTCTCCAGCCTCATCCGTACGAGAGAACTCTCGATCAACCACTCGCCCACGAACGCGCGGCCAAAGGCCCCCCCCCGAGAGGCATCTGCAGATTATCTTGGGGTATGGGCCAGCTCGCGCCGGGGTCGATGATGCAGTTGGAGCAATGGCATCTTGCGCACGAAACCAAATCGCTGTCGCCACATCAATCCAGCGGGCTTCCTCTCAGAATAGGATGCCATTGCATAGCCGATGGCCTGGATACGCAACCGCTGCCGAGCCGCCGCCTTAGCGCCAGCGCCCGAACTGATCGACTGTTCGCCGCGCCTTCTTTTTTTTTTGCAGCGCCGGTTCACTGTCCTCGTGGACACTGTTCTTTTGCATTTGCAGCGCGATCCCCGGCTTCCAGATCGGCTCGGCCATGTCCGATAACATTTCTCCTCCAACGGTCCTGAGCAGCGACTCGCAAAGCACGGACGAGATTCCAAAGACCACACCCAACATTCGCATCACTGGATGCGAGTCCGGGCGACTGTCGGAATCCGTGCGAAAGCCGTTCCCCGTACGGGGATGGGGGCTGAAAAAGTCGGTGAGCCACACCGCACCCAAGCTCATGACTCGATCCCTGGGCAACGTTCTTTCCGAGCAAGGCGACGGTGCGAGCTCGACAGCGGTCGCCACCCCCGCTAAAAAGGCCGTCGTGACCTTGAAAGACCCAGAGCAGGGAGATGCCCCGACGTGGAGTGGCAAGGGGCGCCGGCATTCAAAATCGAGTGCCAAGTCGCTCGATGGCCGAAGCAGTAGCCTCTCCCTGACCCGTAGCGGGCAAGATATCCCGAGTCTATCCATGATCGCTGTCTCGATTCTGCAGCCCTCCAATACCGTCCTCACACCGACAGACGACGATGGCGTCGTGGCCGTTCCCACCAAAGAAGCCAAGCGCTTGGACACGGAATTCAAGCGCACAAGCTTCCGCAAAGAGAGCGGCTCTGTCATTGCGGAATCAGCACAGTCATCCAAGCCCGTCGTTGCCATCGCGGAAGACGACGAAGATTACGAGGTCTTTCCACGGGCACGTACCATGTCGATGGGGGCCCGCGTCAAACAGGATCTGCTCATGAGCAAGTTCGAGGAATGGACGGCCAAGAGGAGCTTTGTCGAGTTTGTGAAGGCACTGATGGCCGGCAAGCTTCACGTCCAGGATGAGTTCGACCAGCAGTTGACGCGGCAGTACTTTTTGTACTATTACAGGTGCGGTTTTGTTGTGTTCGGTATGGATTGGGCTCAGAACCAGTCGGGCAAACTCGGGCCAGCGGTGACGTTCAAGGTCTCGGAACATTACCTTGGCCATGCTGCAGCATCTGCCATCATAGTCCGGATATATAGCGCTCGCTTTTCATGGATATGCCTGCTTCGTGTCTTCTTGCTATGAGCAAGACATGTGTTGCAGATCTGCGGAGCGATGCGTATCCGTGTGGGATACCCGATTAATCAACCAAATTGCTCGGCAAACAGCTCCTACTCAAACAAGTGGCGCGTTCTCGATCTCTTGGCAATCTTCATATTCATCCTCTCCATTGCCTACAACCTTGTCTTGGCGACTCCGAAGGTTGCAATCTACGATCCTGTGAACATTGTGTGCTTCGTGATGATTTTTCTTGCAGCGCTGGAGCTCGGTGTCTCGTATCTTCCTGGACATCGGTCATATGGAGCTACCGTCCATTTGATCATGATTTTGCTGTTTGGAATCTGCCTCGCCAGTCTCGAGGTTATGGTGGAGGTACGTCGAATATGCCTCCTAGCAAGGGTCCAATGTGGCGAGTTGCGGCTGACCCACGAGCGACGGTATCCGTAAGTATCTGTGCCTCTCGGAATCGACGAGCGTTACTAACTGCGGCGCCAAACTACATCCATCAGAACACCAATCCTGGGGGATATCTCTTTGTGTACTTTATGATCTGGTAGGCCCAGCAAAGTGCCTCGGCGGTGCCTTAAAAGGGAGATGGCTGTGCCAGTCTCCGGCTCGACATGCGCGGAGTTGCTTACGGCTATTGTTCGGTCGATCGACAGGTACACCGACATCTGCCAGCCACACTTGACGATATTCCTGATTGGAACATGCGTGACCATCATCGACATTGCGCTCATGTACTATCACGTCTACTGGATGAATCCAATAATCACCGGGACCGATGGGATGCCAACACATCTCCTGGAGGAGTGCCGGTCGGGTATATGCTGTCCCTGCAAGATCTTCTCAAACGGGCTACTCTACATGTGCGGCAATCTCTTTGGATGGGCATATGCATTCAGCTCATGGCACTACACACGCAAAGCCTTCATGAATACGAAGCATATGATTTCATGCCAGCGCAAGTTTCTGGAATGCCAGATCGCGGCAGAGACGGTGAGATATCAAATGACTGGAAGGAAATGCATGGTTGCGAAGCTGTGCCATTTGTGCGAGTATCGTTGCTGCTGCGATTGAGATTGCCAGATACCGGCCGGGCAATCGAGAGCTGGACCACTGGCGAGTCTCGTCATTTGCTAAACAGAATCGGTTTGGATCGACCGTTGTTACGTGCAGATTGCTGTCTCGATCGTCCCAGCAAAGATATGGAAGGACATTTCGGGAGAGAAAACCCACGGCAATTCCGACGTGTTCCACAAGTCCAAGGCCTACAAGTTCACCGACGTTACGATTCTCTTTGCCGACATTGTCGGCTTTACCAATCTATCTTCAAAGATGGAGGCCGTCAATCTCGTGCGCCTGCTCAACACCATCTTTTTGGGATTCGATCAGCTGATTGATGTGTACGGCCTTGAGAAGATCAAAGTGAGTCCACAAGTTACTCACTCAATCCTGATCAATAGCAGTCGTTTCCGCCTCGTGTGCAAGTACCAATGCGTAGCTTCTTCCACCGATTCTCATTTGTACATCATCGCCGCCTCCTTTCACGACACCGATATCGCCAGACCATCGGAGACGCCTATGTCTTTGTTTCGGGTGAGTAACGGCGTTTGCAAACTCGTAACCTCGCCCCGCGTCCCCGCTTTTGATCGTGTCTCTTGGCCTGAATCCAATGGACTAACCTCTGCTGCGATATTCGACGCATCGTTGTCTCTTTAGGGCTGCCGGACGAGATTGCTCTGCACGAGCTCAAGACGATTATCGTTGCACAGCGCATGATGGAGATTTTGAAGAGGCTGAGCGAGGCAGAGAAGCTCTCGCTACAGCTGCGTGTAGGAATACACACCGGCGAGGTTTTGGCAGGTAACGGATCCCACGTTAAATGTGCTCTGTTCGTTGCGACAAACACACTCACCACATTCCCGCTATGACGACAGGGCTGATTGGAGAGGCCAAACTCTGCTTTGAGATATGGTATGCCACACCATCGCATCGAGCACGCTTGCTCTGTCGTTGGTGCCATTCCCTGTGAGGCTGATTATCTGGCACATCCTCGTCCACCAGGTCGCCAGATGTGTCTGTAGCATCAGTTATGGAGCAGAGTGAGTTCGGCGCTGACGGCAATATGCACTTGAGCCGCGTGCTCTTATAGCGGCTAAGCCAATCAAACCGGGTTCGGTATTTGATGTCGCAGCGATCGCCGCAGCATCGTCGACCTGATGGCTCATGATCGAGACTAACCCTCTGTCCCCGCTCTGTCGAGCAGCTTCCGAAGTTGCACGTATCCACATGACCGAAGTCACCTATGAGTCGGTTTCAGACTGCGTACGATGCACCCCCGGGCAGGTCGTCGAGGTGATCGGAAAGAGCTACAAGACCTACTTTGTGGACAGCTTGATCGAGTCCGAAGTTCACGCCCGGTTGAACAGCGACGGGAATCTGGAGCAAAACAAACGTCCGATGGACATGGAGGAGCTGCTCGATATCGACGAAGAAGAAGAGCTGCTGAACATGGACTCGACTGTAAAGTTTGAGAACCAGGTCCACTGGCTCTGGCGGACCTTCATCGATGCAGACATGGAGATGGAGTACCAGCGCACCTATGTTGCCAAGCTCCACGGAAAGTTTGCAAGCACCATCTCTATTTTGATTGCGCTGCAGGTACAATGTCGGTGGCACACCCGCTGCGGCAAATCGATTGTGATGCACGACTTTCGGCTCACATCAAGTAACCTCATTCCCCACAGGTTCTCCTGGCCATCGCGCAGATCCTCATATTTACGGACTGCCTGATCATCCTGCTCTATAGCGCAATCGTGATCATGATTCTGGTCTTTTTCTTTGGCGTCCTGTGCACGAAAATCTTCCGAGAAGATGCAAAGACGGGACTCTACCATAAGGCCCTTCATATCCATAACAAACTCGACTATTCCATCCTCGCGACAGCGCTGATATCATGCATGTTCCTCGGCACCCTCGCCCAACTATCGATTGTGCAGTCGCTCAGTGACCACGAGAAGCAGTCTCGGACGCCGTACATTTACGCCTATGGATACGTGATCATGATGCTCAGCACACTGTTCACGCGCGTGCACTTCACCCTCCTGTCTCTGGCCTCCCTGATCTTCTCGTGCTTTTTGAATCTCGCCGTCGTGGTCATGAACATCTCCGGGATGTCCAACTTTATCATATTCAACGTCGGCCTGCTGATGATGGTGGTCTGGATTCTTCGGTCGATGGAGACTTATGTGCGGATAAACTACCTGAAGAAGCGAGAGCTGCTGCAGAAGCAGTACGAGACCGACGATACCCGAGCAAAGTCTGAGAAACTGCTCTACAAACTGCTACCAAAGACTGTCGTAGATCGGTACGTTCTGGTTCCAGCTCCGATGGCTATGTCGAGATACTGCGAATTGCATCCCGCAGCGAACAGGCATCGGCGAACGACGATGAACAGGCAGACTTTGGCGGCTCCATTGACCCACAGTGTGCCCCCCCCTTACGGATGCGGGATGTGCATGCTATCTCCCCTCGTCTCTTTAGGCTGAAAACAGAGCCCAACAAAGTTATTGCGGATGCCATACCCGAGGCCGGCATCATGTTCTGCTCTTTGCATGGCCTGAACAAAGATACCGAGCCAGACTCCATGGCGATCCTGAACGACGTGATTTGCAGATTCGACCGAATGGTATGATCGAGCGCCCGGAATGGTGTGGCCGCTTCTCGATGCCCAACGTAGTGCAGTCTACAACGGACGCATGTCGTTGTGGCAGTGTGCGCTCTGTTTGAGATTCCTCTCCAGCGATGCGGCTGCTGTTCGTGGCACAGACGCATGTCCTCACTGCAAGGTAGTAGGGGCAGCGAATTAATCTCTAATCGATGACCTGTTCAGCTTGACATGTACGGGATCGAGAAAATCAAGACTATCGGGAGCACCTACATGTGCGTTTCGGGGCTCCCCAGAGAGCAACTCAAGGAAGTCGCCGCAGGACGCCGCCAGTCCCTCTTTGTCAAGCCAAGGGCCTCGACGTCCCAGCAGGCGGCTCACTACACAAACCTGGTCAGCTTTGCCATTGCGATCATGAAGAAGCTCAGCGTGATGAACAGCGACCCTGGGCGAAAACCCATCAAGGCAAGGATCGGTATCGAAGGTGAGACCGATGACGGCGAGGCGGGAGGCGAAGGGCAGTCGGCAGAGGAATGCTGTCAGGCCGACCAGCCAAGTTGGATGGACCGAGATTGACGCACACCCTGGTAATATGCTCTCGCTGTGAACCACAATGTCGCCGCGACTCAAAGTCGGGCCAATCGTCGCTGGGGTCATCGGCAAGCGCAAGTTCGCCTTTGATGTAAGTGTTGCAACGGCGTCAGCCAGTCTCGACAATGAGCGCAGACACCGGGGCTAGTTTCGTCGATATCAGCGCTAACCGGTGGTTCTGGAACTGCATCGGCGGTATCTGCAGGTCTGGGGAGACACCGTCAACACAAGTTCGCGAATGGTACTGACACCGCTCTTGCCCGAGGCATTGGAGGGGAGCTTGGATATGCATATATCATGCAAGAGCACTCACGAGCATTGGAGGACGAGCGACACTAAACCACCGATATCGCATCGCCGCACAGGACTCAACGGGTGTCATCGGCTCGATCCAGGTCACGGAGAAGGTCGCCAGGCTGATCGAGTCTGATTTCCAGCTTCAAGAACGAGGGCTCGTCTATGTCAAGGGCAAGGGCGAGATGAAGACCTTCTTTGTCGAGGGCAGGAAAGGCGCGGCTTCGTGAGAAAGGCTTCGAGTGGCTCTTGTGCGGCTCTGCGGACAGCGGGCATTCGCGGACAGCTCAATCTCACCGATGCTGCGTTGAGCAAAGACCAGTACACCTATACCGACATTTGCACCTCTTATCCGCATCCATGGCCGTGTTGGCCCAGTTGCCAGCGGTGTCCTTCGAGGGTTGGCCGGTGTGCGCCAAACGATCCCGAGTTCAGCTTTGTCGAAACGGCGAGGCACGGCAATGCAAAATATCCATCGCCTGGTACATGCGAACACACGCTCGACGCTCAGAGTGGTCGTTGGTGTATATACATTGTATTGTGCGACGGACCAGATACAACAAAAAAAAGGGAAACAAGTTACGGAGGGGCGGGGTCGACGCCAGGGCAAATGTGTAGGTATGGGAAACGGAGGCGATCCGCTGGATAATGTCATTTGCACAGAACAAGCAATGAAGGGTGTTGTGAGGAGGGGAGGGGATCGTGTGAATGTCTAGGCTCGATGTACAAAGAGAGATGAAAAGTCCGCCAGATATCCCGCTTGAGGTGGCAGGAGCTGGTGTCAAGGCGGTTGCGATAGGGTCCGACTGGGGTCCGGCTGGGGTCCGGCGTCAACACCGAGAGTGCTCGTGTCTGGTGGATGAGAAACGACTACCGCTCGTTGAGGTTTTGTCCACTAGTGCCCTCGGACTGCTGTCCGATCGCTGGCATCGAAGCTGCGATTCCGGCAATTTGCTGCTGCTGTTGCAGTTGCTGCTGAAGTTGCAGTTGTTGCTGTTGTAGCTGCAGCTGCAGTTGTAGTTGTTGTTGCTGCTGTTGTTGCTGCTGCTGCTGTTGCTGTTGCTGTTGCTGCTGCTGTTGCTGTTGCTGCTTTGGTAGCCCGGTGCTTGTATGTTTGGTCACTCGGGCAGATGTCGGCTGCGCCGTAGATCCAGACAGGGCTTGAAGCATTCCAGGCAACGACGCCAAGTTGGACACGCTTGATCCGACAGTAGAATTAGGGAGCGTGCTGATGCCCGACAGGGACACAGCCTGCTTGGTGCCATGTGAGACGGGGATACCGGCGGTCTTGAGGGCCTGAATTTGGGCGGGCGACAGGCTCGTGCTGAAGGGCAGGCCGCTCAGCGCATTGGCGGTACTCGCTTGTCCCGATGGTCCTTTGGCGGCGGTCCGGGCTGCCATGACCGCAGCGAGGCTGTGGGATGCGGTGCCCTTGGCAGCGGTCGTGGTGGCGATAGAAGCTGCCTGCGCCTTTTGCTGCTGTTGCTGTTGCTGCTGTTGCTGTTGTTGCTGTTGCTGCTGTTGCTGCTGCTGCTGTTGCTGTTGCTGTTGTTGTTGTTGTTGTTGTTGTTGTTGTTGTTGTTGCTGCTGTTGCTGTTGCTGTTGTTGTTGTTGTTGTTGTTGTTGTTGTTGTTGTTGCTGCTGCTGCTGCTGATAATGCAACAGATACTGTCGAGTGAGTTGCTGCTGGTATCCTTGGAGCATGGTCGAGTTCAAAAGCGAAGGAGTGAGGGCGGCAGGATTATGTGCAGGAGGATAGAGCCCCCAGGTGGGCATCAGGAAGTTGGTGTTGAGGGGGGACGAAAGTGACGCATTGGCAGTGCTCGAACTGGCTGCTGTTGTGCCGGTGCCGGTACCAGTACCGGGAGCCATGGCATTGAGCATCGAGGCCGCAGCGCTAATGATCGAGTCGGACGCCGCCGGGACAGAGCCAGTCGATGCCGTCTGGGTCAATGAGCGACCCGCTGCGCTGAACAGGGTCGAAACGCCAGGGTGGATCGGGTATCCAGCGAGGGACTGCTGGCTTGGGAGGGTGGCGGACACCGTGCCTGAGGGAGTAGTCGAGGGCAAGCCTGCAGCTGCGATCGAGGGAGCGGCAGCGACGCCAGCTGATGAAGTGGACAGCGCCGTGGGGAGTCCGAGCGAGCCCGGGTGATTTGAGATGCCGCCTGGGGCAAACGAAAATGTAAAGTTTGCCGCATTTGCGGTTGCTGTGGTAGCACTGGTCGGTGATGCGGCACTGACCCCGCCTTGGGAGATGTTGAGCAGAGCAGCAGAGTTTGGAAAGGCGCCGGCAAGCGCGCCTGTTGTGGACAGGCTAGAGAGTAGCGGGTTTGTTGCAAGGTAGGCCAGGGCCTGTGGCTGGAGCGAGAAGGATGCTTCAGCCGCGCTCTTGAGCTTTTGGGCAGCAGCAGTGGAGGCAGCAGAGTTCATGAGTGTCGACGGAAGCGTCCCAGTCGTCAGCGGCGCGGTGGTTCGAAGGGCGGTTGCCAGCGTTGAGTTGGCGAGGATGGATGATGCGCTGGACAAACCGAGAGTTGACAGCGAAGTGGTGGACAGGGGGTAGCCGTACGGGTACGCTTGCGCCTGACCTGACGAGGGAGTGGCTTGCGCCGAGAGCTGGGACTGCAGTTGGCTCTGCAGCGACTGCAAAAGTGGCTGTGTCAGCGACTGTTGCGGCTGTTGCTGCTGCTGCACCTTGAGCTGTTGCTGTTGAGGCTGCGGGTGCGAGTGCTGTGGCTGCATTTGCGGTTGGTGCGAGGGTTGGGTCTGGGCGATGTGGGGTTTAGATGGCGTCTGACCGGCCGCTGACAGGGCGTACACGAGGTTTGCATTGCCGTCGGAGCGCGCTATCGCCGGGCCAGCCTTGGGATACGTAGGTGCGGTCCCTGCGCCCATCGATGCTGCTGCAGTGGTGGAGGCGGAAGTGGATGTAGAGGTGGGTATCGACACCGTTGGCTGAGACAGGTTCTTGAGTTGAAAGGATGAGCCGTACGGGCTCGCGGCGGCTGTCCCGGCCCGTCCGCCAGGCGCCGACACAGGCAAATGGGTTTTGGTGATCAGACTAGAGAGTGGGGTGGACTTGGTGCCTGTGCGTTGGCCACCGGTGGCCAGGCTGACAGGGCTTCCAGGATCCTTGGCCGTAGGCGAGGTCATGCTTGTGCCGATGGCTGGTGCCCCATAGAGCTTGTTGGAAAACTCGGAAGGCGGCAGCTTCTGTGCCAGCAGCAGCAGGCGATGGCGGATGCGCTCCTGGAGGATGCGCTCGTCTTCGGTCTGGATGACGGGGGCAAGTGCGGAGCCAGGGAGCGGAGCGATCTGGGCCAGCGACGAGAGCTTTGGCTGGGCAGATTTGGGACCCGTGCCACCCGAGTTGTTCTGGCGCCCCGACACGGCCTTGAAAATGACCTCAAAGTCCTTCTTGTTGCCAAGCAACAGCGTGGCCAGGTCGTTGCCGGTCAGCTCCCGCGCATAGTTGGTGTCGTTCATGATGTTGGATTTGATCGGGGTGCTCGGCGGGACAATGAGCGGCGTAACGTCGATGCCTTCGCGGCGCCAGTGCTCCAGGTCACATTGGTGTATCAGCCGCTGCTCGCTGACGAGATAATCTGCGAGGGCCCGCTCGAGGTCGATCGGACCAAACTCTGTGTCGATGACAAGCGCCTCCGCTGCCGAGTCGAGAGCCTGGTCCAGTCGCGGTTTCTTGGCTGGCCGCCGATCTGCGTCACTGGCATCCTCGTCTTGCCGCTTGATCTCGACAGACGGCTCCAGTTTGACGACCGGGCATCCCTCGGTGCCATCGGCTTGACTGGCGCCCGATCCACCTTGGCCGGCCTGAGGAGCGTCTCGGGCAAGGGTAGAGGCAGGCCCTTGGTCAATGTCCATGACAGCATCAGAGTTGGGGTTCGATGGCGCGCGAGCCGGGATCATCTTTGGACCGGTGGTCGCAGCTTCAGCGACGTCGGTCTTGGTGTGCACCGTGTGCCCCGCCTTGACCCCAGTCGCATAGGTTGACCCTGCGTCTCGACGGCGCTTCAGCTGGTGGGCGTGATGAGCAAGATCATGAGCTCCTTTGGTGAGGCGATTGACCAGCTTGCGGGCATAGAGCCTGCCCGCCACTGGCAGATCCCGAGTAAAGTCTTCGAGGCTGGAGACATATGCTTGGCCCAGCTGATCGCCATACACCGCCACGACAAAGGGGTCTACTTGTGTCTCCGGGCCAGAGGGCAGCAGCGAGCGCTTGGCCGCCTCTTTCTCGCTGAGTGTAGGCCACGGGCTTTGATGCCGCAAAGGCTGTTCGGGATCGTGCAGATAGACATGGGCGGGCTGCTCGTAGCTCATGAAGCTCTCAAAGTGGGTGGTGGCCTGCAACTTCTGGTACGGCGGCGGGACACCCGCACTCTTTGGAGGCAGTATGGCGCTGCCATCGCATCGCAGTCGTTGGCGCATGCCCTCCAATATTGTCTGGCGGAAGGTGCTCTTCATGGGCTTTTTTTTCTTTCCATCAGCCTGATGGAGGGAGAAGGACCGAGGGCAACCAACCCAACCAGAAAAGGGTGAGTTATCGCCTCAATGGCCTGTTCAGATCAGCACACTCACGGGAGCTTCGGCTGAGCTGCCCGGAATCGTGGTGCCGCACTAATCTAGCCCAAGGGGCGGTACGGCAGGACGCACATGCCACCATGATCACCACGCACTTGAGCAAAGCATAGCCAATGCCAGCTATCACCAAACGTACCTCCTGTCCATCCACGCTTTCATTGGCGCCCGTAGCGCTGCCCAGCTCTGCCATCATCGTGTCCAGGTCTGCATCGGAGGTCCGGCTTGCAAGCAGGGACTTGAGGGCGTCGGGGCCGACCGAATAGGCGCTGCTTGGGAGAAGCCCGCAAGCGACGAGCTCTTCGCGCGTCATTTCGTCGACGATGCTTGGTCGATGGTTCTCGATGAGCTTGGTTCCGAAATACTCAAGGCGATCGGCTGCTTTCCAATAAAGAGTATCTGGTGCGTTGTATGTCTTTGCGTTCTTGACCACAAGCGCAAAGTCGGCCTGGAACTCATCGATCGTCCTGTAGACGTGCTCGGTGACTTTGTTGGTCATGGTTCCCAGATCCATGGGTGTGTCGACGACAGTCAGGTAGTCCTCCACGATCGTGGTGTCGACAGGCTCGAGAAAGAATCCGTATTGATCACGGCTGTGAAGAGAGGCGACGGAGAACGCCGTAAGGAAGGAGAGGCCGACACATACGCAAGTAAGTGAAGCGCGCATGATCGCTCGGCATTGCGGCCGACCAACTGATGGGGCTGCCAAACCAACAGCATGATGAAGCTGATGAAGGCACCAAACCAACATAGTGGCACCGTCGATGAGGTTGCCAGGCCAGCACCCACCTCCTTAGCGAAGCAGCGATCTTCTCGAGGGCAGCGTAGAGTCCCTTTTTCTTGGGCTTGACGGCTCCACCGGTTCCAGTGCTGCCAGGAGCGGCCCTCTTCTTGGGCTTGGATGCAAACTTGCCCCGAACGCGGCGAGGGCGATTCCGTTTCGAGTCTGGATTGGCAAGGTCGTCGGGAAGGTCGCTTATGGACTGGCTGTCGATTCCGGCGTCGCTTGCAAGGTCGCCCTCCGAGTAATGCACGATGGTACGTCCCAAGTCTGCTGGAAGAAAGGCCGAGGCAAAGTGAGCAACGCGGCGGGATGGTGGTAATGGACATGGAGCAATAGCAAGACTTGTGCCGAGAGAGACTTGTGTCGGGAAAGATGGCCACGGAAGTATAGGGCTCTGGGGGGGGGAGGAGTGAAGAGCGTACCCTTTACATCATCGTCGTCCTCGTCGATGTCGAGCTCCGAGTCCGATTCCATATCTTGTTGCGACAGATGATGGCTGTGAGTCAAGGGCGTGTCGGGTGCTGGGCTCTGGGTCTCGACGAGGGAGGCCAGCGACGATTCGCGTGAGGGCTTGGGCCCTCGATCCAGTCCTTTCGAGGAGTACTGCTGCCGCGAGTCGTATCTCGAAATGGGCTGACTGCCGCTTTCCTCGACGTCGCTCACAACTTGGTCCTCCTCCTCCAAGCGGCCGTGGTGCGGGACAGCCCCCGCAGGCCGATCGTCCGTCCGAGATCCTGGCCGCGATCGATCTACAGGAGCCTGTGGCGTTCTCTTGGAGGCATCCGAGACAGCATATGACTTGAGGTTGAGTTTGATCTTTGGGGTCTCGGAGGACGACTTTGAGGGCTTGGATGGTAACGACGCAGACCAATCGGGAGCAAGCTCGGCCGGATCCGTGTCGCCATTGCTGGCGAGGGATTTGAGGCTGGTTGGCTTTTTCGGGAGCTGCAGCGGCGAGGACGACGACGACGATGGCGACGATGTCGATTTGAACTTGATCGAGATCTTTATGGGTGGACGGGCATCACCAGCAGGATCGACTGTGCGGCCGCGGTGAAATGGCAGCCGTGTCGATGGCCGAGGGGAAGCGAAGCCGTATGGAAGGATCGGAGGGATCGATGCAATACAGAGGAATTGGCCCAAATGCAGAGTCGGAGAGAGAGAGAGAGTGGATGAAGCAAGTCAGGGGAGATGGTTGGTTGCTGGGTGCCACGTAGGAAATGCAGCAAATGCAGCAATGCGACCCAGCCAGAGATCTGGCAGAATACGAGATCGCTGCCAAGCGCTCGTTGGGGGGTCGGTCGGCAAAATGCCAGCATTAATGCATCTGCTTTTGGGGGTGGGGAGAAGGATCTGTGGCTGTCATGCGCTGCGAGCCCGAGCCCGAGCCCGAGCCCGAGCCCGAGCCCGAGCCCGAGCCGACCAGGGGCAGAGGACGATCGAGAAAGCAATTGCGCTGCCTCGACGGCATATCCAGCCACGAACGCCAGAGACCGAAGCCGGCTCGAACGGGACGGCGCCAGTCGATGACGGCCACAGACCAGGTCATGAGCCAGGAGATCCAGCCAAGACCCGAGCCCGAGTCCCAGCCTGAGACGCATGACGGCTGCACCACCACCTCCGGCAGCAGGGCAAGGCGGCGACGGCGGCGACGGCGGCGACGGCGGCGACGAACGGCAGCAGCATGCCCGCAGCAGCCGGACGACGAGCCGAGGCAGACGGGAGAGAGGACGCCCCCGCACGGCCGCAAGGGCTGCAAGGGCTGCAAGGGGACCGAGCAAGGGGAGAAGGCCCGCAAAGAATACCTGGTTTCATTCCTGGAGAGAACGGCGGGGAGGGCAAAAAGCCGGTGTGGAATCAGGCGTGTGGGGACGAGAGGCAGCTCGAGAGGCAGCTCTGCGTCAGGACCACAATGCAAACGCCTTTGGGCGAGAGCACGTGCGCAGCCGCTTGTCGCCTCGCCGAGAGCGGCCCTCGCTGCCCTCGCTGCCCTCGCTGCCGTCGCTCTCGGTCACGGGTGCGCGTGGCGCCAACGTGACCTGCCTGCGCCGCCCACGTGTGCAGCCAGCCCGTGCAACCCTGCGCCGGGGCGCCGTGCCCGTCCTCGCAGCGACTGCGTTCCCACGGGCCCAGCGACGGCCCACGCCGCGCCCGCCGAGTGCCCTCGCACATCGGGGTGATATAAGTCGTCCTCTCTTCGCTTTCCGCCATCGATCCCATCCGCCATCGATCCCATCCGCCATCGATCCCATCCGCAATCCCGCCCTCCATCCGGCCCCTTTGTACTCGCCACCGCCATGTCGTCTCCCGCCCGCTCCCATCCCCTCGCTCACGGCAGCTGCTTCTGCAAGGCCGTCACCTTCCACATCAACGACATGGACGCCGCCAACTGCGCCTGGAACATGTACTGTCACTGCACCATCTGCCAGAGGATCTCGGGCGCACCCTTTGTGCACTCGATCGGCTTCCGCAATGGCGCCATCACCTTCAACCCACCCCTGCCGGAGGACTCGGACGAGTCCAACTCGAGCGTCCTTGGCATCTACCACACCAGCACCTTCCTTTCGCGTATCCACTGCAAGAGATGCGGCACCAACCTCGGCGGTCGCGGCCGGCCCTCCGCCAACAACCCGGACTCGTTTCTGCACGGCGTCGTCTCGGTCATGTCGGGAGTGCTCGCGCCCGAGATCCGCCCCAAATTCCAGCCCCAGGGCCATGTGATGTACAAGTTCCGCATCACCGAGTCTGCCGCGAACGACGGCTTGCCCAAGTTTGACGAGTTCCCCGGAGAGAACTGAGGGAGTGGCTCCGCTGAGTCTCTGCAGTTTTGTCCCGGGAACACCACGATCCATGTGGTGCTGCACTTGCTCTCGATTTGCAATCCCAACATGCACTTGATCTTCTCAATATGCACTCTATCTTCTCAATATGTGCCCTCGTTCGCGTCTCTCTCTTGCTTTTCTTGATATATTTCCTTTGATTTTCCAGTCTCCTCTGCGTCCGCACGACTGGCAATATATTCAATCGGTCTGCTAGCCACGGCTCGAACGGGCGAGGAGATCTCGCGTCTGATCGCTTTTCATGCATCCAACTGCTTCTCATGCGTCTGATCGATGGTCGAGGGCCAAGCGGTCACGATACAAACACTCGTCTTGACCCTTCAGATCATTCGCTGGTGCCCGGGTATCGCTCTGGTCGAGACAACAGTGGAGGCGATGGCAGAGGCCCTTCACATCCACGAGAAGCCCTCGCTCGGTGCTCTCGCCATCCGAGAGCGTGTTTTTGCTCTCGCTCGGGTGAGATTTGGTCGCTCGCTTGCATTGCAAACGACGAAGGCTTCTCTCGCATCCAACCCGATTCCCCCCATCTCCAAGCACGACTCTGGCCTTAGTCATCGCTTGACTCCTGGATTTGGACAGCCGTCCTCATACGCCCCACGGTCGCTGCGGAACAGAAAGAAAATCGCCCCCATCGCCACGGCTATTGCCCAACCGTTGCCGCATCCGCACATTCCTGCTCGTTGATCGCCCGGCATTCCATCTCCCCTCTTCCCTCCCATCCGGCTCAACGCCTGAGACTTCCCCGAAAATGTCCAATGCTCCGGATCGGCACGAGCTCTTTTTGATTCCTGGTAACGCAGGCGGACCCATGGCGCTGGCGATGCCGATCTCGTGCAGCGATGCTGTGCCGATGCTGGTGTCGATACACGATCGACAGCCTCATCGAACGGTGGGAGCGAGATGGGTTGCCCAGAGTTCAGCCTAACCTCTATAACCCATCCACGATCCATCCACGATCCATCCACGATTCATCCACGATTCATCACAACGACATCGGATCTGACAATTACTCGGGACGGCGCCATCTGGACTGCTCTACTTCTCATCATTCAGATGGCGAGAAAAAGTATGCATGATTGACGGACTTGGACAGCAACGATGGTGGTTGTCAGATCTGTGGCCGCTGCCCGACGATCTCCGGATGGGACTCAGCCCCAGCGAGTGAGAACAGTGACGCCCGTTCATGGAAGGGGAGGGAGGCCGATCAGATGGGGATTTGACTAGATCACTGACAGCGATCGTTTCTTGCCGCGACCTCGGATACCCCCCAACTTGCTCACTACAACCCCACTTTGGACGGCTGCCTGATCTGCAACCCAAGGGTATCCATGGTCAATGACACCAAGTTCCCCAATGTCGCCACATTCACTTTCTTGCGAGAAGATCACACGATAGGGAATCTCATCCGCATGTAAGCACACGCAAGGGTGACCAAGCCACTGGATTGATGCAGTCGCCTTGCTCATGAAGCAGGAAGGCTGACCACAGAGCAATCGGGACTCTCGCTCATGCGATCGTTGCGACATGTCGACCGTTGCCGGAGCGACGATCCTGACCGCCGCATCTTTTGGCCGATGACATTGCAGGCAGCTACTGAAGAACCCCAAGGTGCTGTTTGCGGGATACAAGATCCCGCATCCCCTCGAACACAACTTTGTGCTGAAAATCCAGACCACACCCGACACGAGCCCGCTGGATGTCCTGCGGCAAGAGTTCCGCAACCTGGAGACCGAGATCAACTCGATCAAGACCAAATTTGAGGTTCGTACAAAATCGCCCATACCCATGCATCCAAACCGTCTGGAGCATCGTCATTTCCTCCCGCACTGCACACACATATACTCCGACCCGATTCGCTGTCGCTCAGAAGCCCTCGGAGACCCTGTTTCGATCGAGATGGCGGTCTTGTTGAGCATCTGCAGCGATCCACTTGGCAACGAACCTGCTTGGGCGATCTGCCTGGCGTCCTTCAAATGACTGACTCCGTCTTGGCTCCGGATCCCAGAACGAGCTTACGCTCCACGGCATGTCCCAGACCAACGATTTTGGAGATCTGCGCTATAGCAGCAACGTCGACCGGAACTTTTGAGCCGGGCTGGGCCAAGCCCGGTAGATACGAGACCGAGTCAAGCTCGCGGCTGGTTGCATCTACGACGCCAATACATATGGCTGCTTGTGCACGGAATGGAATGCTCGTCCGCTTGGTCTGGTGGTGAGTCGGCGGCGGTTCCAAGCGGGCCTGGAACGGAGCAGCCAGCGGAGACGGAGCGAGGCGACGACGACGACGACGACGACGGAGAGCCAAACGAAACCAGCATGTCCCACGATCCGCCTGGTGGATGTGGGGTGGCGGTGATCCTCAATATCAGCATTGCCTCTTTCGGACACAAGCACGCCGATATTGGGCCATATCGCACACCCCGCTGTGGGCGGCATTCATCCAGCAGATTGATCAACAGCACCCAGCCAGGCGATCGATCGACACCGACATTGGTACAGTGTCGCGCTTCAATATGGACTGTCCCATGATATTCGACTCATCCCTTGGCATTGTCTCATCAGCGGTCAATGAGCGGGACTGTCGGGTGCACCACAGACAGCCGTTGGCGGGTGGCCGCACATCCACGAACCATCCCAATCCCAATCCCAATCCCAGCCGGACCCAGCCAAGTCGAGCTATTCCCGGCTTGCGCGCCCTTGTGATCGGCTCTCCAGGGCAGCGACATGAATGCCGCAGGACCACCGCGCCGGCAGGACTGGGCCCAGGGAGGCGAGGCCATGTTGTGGCCGGGCAAGCAGCAGCATCTGGCCGGGCAAGCAAGCAGGCAAGCAGCACCCATGTTGATCCAGCGAGTAAGCTCGCAACGGTGGCGGTGGCAGGGGCGCCACAGGCCGGGGCCGGACAGGGACGGCGGTGTGTGTGTGCGTGGGGCGCCGGGCCGGCGGCTTGCTCGAGACAGCCAAGAGTCCATACAGCGTGGGGTCGGCGGGGTGGGGTTGCTGTGGGGTGCGGAGCGGGGACCGGGGACCGGCGGTGGGGGCGGGGATGCACGCGCCGTGCTGTCTGTATCGACAGAGACTGCGCGGACTGTCGACTCTGACAGTGCGGCCTTGGCATGATCTTGTCTTGTCTTGGCTATTGCGTCCACAGTCTCTGCTCTTGCCACTGTGCCAGTCGCTGTCTCCCGTTGCATCCAACCCGGCCTGCAGCGCCGCCGGCTCGCTTGCCCGCCATGGTCACGCCGCCCGCTGTCACGCCGACGCGTTCCATGCCAGATCAGGGGCGGTGCTTGCTCAGCCACCATATCGCCTGTCGCCGCTCCTATAAAAGCACCCACGCCAGCCCGGAAACGTCGGCCACCATCCGCACTCCACAGCCGAACCCGCTCCAGCACCGCTCCAGCCTTCTTCGGCCACCCATATCCCAACTTTCTCTTTTCCGCACGCCTCCGTCACCATGAAGTCCACCGTGCTCATCTGCGTCTCGGCCGCTGCCTTCCTCGCCGTTGCTCGCGCTGCCCCCTTCTTTGATCTTTCCCAGCTCGACTCGCACAGCTCCAGCTGCTCCTGGCCCGGCCATTGCGAGGGTGCCTCGTGCAGCAACTACAACGACTGCTCCGGCGAGCTGATCTGCACCAAGGGCAAGTGCGCCAAGAAGGACGACTACTGCTCCTGGAAGGGCCACTGCGAGGGTGCTTCTTGCAGCAACGAGCACGACTGCTCCGATGATCTCGTCTGCACCAAGGGCAAGTGCGCCAAGCCTTCCTGGAAGTCCTCTGCTGCCATCGAGGGCTCACACAGCTCCAGCTGCGCCTGGCCCGGCCATTGCGAGGGTGCCTCGTGCAGCAACTACAACGACTGCTCCGGCGAGCTGATCTGCACCAAGGGCAAGTGCGCCAAGAAGGACGACTACTGCTCCTGGAAGGGCCACTGCGAGGGTGCTTCTTGCAGCAACGAGCACGACTGCTCCGATGATCTCGTCTGCACCAAGGGCAAGTGCGCCAAGCCTTCCTGGAAGTCCTCTGCTGCCATCGAGGGCTCACACAGCTCCAGCTGCGCCTGGCCCGGCCACTGCGAGGGTGCCTCGTGCGACAACTACAACGACTGCTCCGGCGAGCTGATCTGCTCCAAGGGCAAGTGCGCCAAGAAGGACGACTACTGCTCCTGGAAGGGCCACTGCGAGGGTGCTTCTTGCAGCAACGAGCACGACTGCTCCGACGATCTTGTTTGCACCAAGGGCAAGTGTGCCAAGCCTTCCTGGAAGTCCTCTGCTGCCGTCGAGGGCTCACACAGCTCCAGCTGCGCCTGGCCCGGCCACTGCGAGGGTGCCTCGTGCGACAACTACAACGACTGCTCCGGCGAGCTGATCTGCTCCAAGGGCAAGTGCGCCAAGAAGGACGACTACTGCTCCTGGAAGGGCCACTGCGAGGGTGCCTCGTGCAGCAACGAGCACGACTGCTCCGACGATCTTGTTTGCACCAAGGGCAAGTGCGCCAAGCCTTCCTGGAAGTCCTCTGCTGCCATCGAGGGCTCGCACAGCTCCAGCTGCGCCTGGCCCGGCCACTGCGAGGGTGCCTCGTGCGACAACTACAACGACTGCTCCGGCGAGCTGATCTGCACCAAGGGCAAGTGCGCCAAGAAGGACGACTACTGCTCCTGGAAGGGCCACTGCGAGGGTGCCTCGTGCAGCAACGAGCACGACTGCTCCGACGATCTTGTTTGCACCAAGGGCAAGTGCGCCAAGCCTTCCTGGAAGTCCTCTGCTGCCATCGAGGGCTCGCACAGCTCCAGCTGCGCCTGGCCCGGCCACTGCGAGGGTGCCTCGTGCGACAACTACAACGACTGCTCCGGCGAGCTGATCTGCTCCAAGGGCAAGTGCGCCAAGAAGGACGACTACTGCTCCTGGAAGGGCCACTGCGAGGGTGCTTCTTGCAGCAACGAGCACGACTGCTCCGACGATCTTGTTTGCACCAAGGGCAAGTGTGCCAAGCCTTCCTGGAAGTCCTCTGCTGCCGTCGAGGGCTCACACAGCTCCAGCTGCGCCTGGCCCGGCCACTGCGAGGGTGCCTCGTGCGACAACTACAACGACTGCTCCGGCGAGCTGATCTGCTCCAAGGGCAAGTGCGCCAAGAAGGACGACTACTGCTCCTGGAAGGGCCACTGCGAGGGTGCCTCGTGCAGCAACGAGCACGACTGCTCCGACGATCTTGTTTGCACCAAGGGCAAGTGCGCCAAGCCTTCCTGGAAGTCCTCTGCTGCCATCGAGGGCTCGCACAGCTCCAGCTGCGCCTGGCCCGGCCACTGCGAGGGTGCCTCGTGCGACAACTACAACGACTGCTCCGGCGAGCTGATCTGCACCAAGGGCAAGTGCGCCAAGAAGGACGACTACTGCTCCTGGAAGGGCCACTGCGAGGGTGCCTCGTGCAGCAACGAGCACGACTGCTCCGACGATCTTGTTTGCACCAAGGGCAAGTGTGCCAAGCCTTCCTGGAAGTCCTCTGCTGCCGTCGAGGGCTCGGACTCCGACGATAGCTGCGAGAGCGGCTTCTGTAAGTATCACCAAAGGCTGGCCGAACCATATCCCTTTCTGGCTTGCATATTCGGCTGCTTCTCTGACCCAGCTTGCTCACCGATATCTTCATCCGACCTGCTTCAGCTGCCTCCACCTATACCAAGTGCGCCCACCTCCGCGCTGAGCTCAAGAAGCTGTTCTGCCAGGGTGGTGGTTCTGATCGCGCCGTCGCCTGCATGAACGCCGTCGACAACGCCGCCGACCAGTGTGTCAAGGCCGTCGACAACCACAAGACCTTCTGCTTTGCCCGGCGTTATTAGGCACTCCAGCACGAGACTGAACTGAACTGAGCTCGCCCGACTCTGTTTGGTTGCGGCCGGCTTCTTCACCCTTCCCCATTTTGTACATTTGTCCCGTTGCACTCAGCCGCAGCGGCCTGTCCACAGCAAGTGGCAAGTTGCTGCTGGTGGCGTCCCCGGCTCGTTGGCCCGACATCGTAATACATTGTGTTTTGAGCATCACTCGTCGTTTCTTGTTACTCGCGGACTTGAACGTTGGTTGGACTGGCCCAATTCACCATCAGCCAAGAGCCGTGAGGACTCTGCAAAACGCAGCGTTGGTGATCGGGGAATGTCGATCCCGTCCTGTGCAAGAGAGGCAGCCGTTTGAGATCAATCTGGCCTGCTGCCCGCGTGGCTCTCTGCCCTGATCTCTGCATCAGCTTGTTTTCCCCGCCATCCTCCCCTCCTCCATATCGGCCACATTCACTCCAGATCTTGACGCTATCCCAGATGGCCGCAGGCTCCAGGACCGTTTTCCTCCTCGATTCACATAAGGATGTGTTCATGGTCGTCAACAAAGGTCTCGATGGCATGGCTTGCTCTGCTGCTCGTTGCAGACACACATCACCTCTGCACTTGCTAACATGGCTCCCTGCACTTCCTCACAACCCACAGCCGAGGCATCGCTACCAAAACACCACGTCTGGTCGTAAGTCGATTCATTCGACATGCCGAAGCGGACAGAATCAGCCGTCTATCCGCCAAACACCTCGCCGCCCTGATCCGCTGACGGTCCTCTGGCTTGATTCTGCATCTTACCCTTGGATTCTCAGCGCCATGGTCGAGAGCTTCTTTGAATATGCCCAGATGCTTGTTTTGAAGCCCGACAATTGGGTATGCATCTCTCCCCCCCCTCTCAGGCCGCTTGTTGTGTCCTGCAAGCGGCGATCCCATCAGCGACCCCGACGACCAGCGAATGAGCCTCGTTGTATATGCGCTGAACATTGTGGGTCGGCATCTCATAGCGAATAATCGATATCCGCTCGGTCCTCTCACCATCGGCACTATTGCAAAATCCGCTGCAAATCACGGCCAGGTATCTTTGATGGTCGCCAAGAGCCCGAGAATCGATCCGCCACCGCTGCCCGGCTGGTGCAAGAACGAGCCGGACGTTACCAAGGTGAAGATCGCTTGCTTCCCTGTGTTCCTTGCTTCCCCCCCCCCTGTTTTCCTGCTTTCTGCCATGCCCATCTGTCTCGTTTCCGGCCACTGCCAATGCACCTATTATCAGGCCTTCGCAACCAGAAAGCGGCTTTGTTCTCGCTCGCTCATCTCCAGCCCATGCGTCGGCAAACGGTTCAACACGACGCTGACGCTGTGTCAATCGATGCTCGCTCTCAACCACCTTTCCTGGGATCCCTGCCATCTGACTTAGATGCGGGCCGGGTTGGCCCAGGCAAAATTCCACCTCAACGATGCCCACGTCCAGCAGCGACTCCTCCAAGCCTTCCGCCATGCCTTCGAGTCTCTCAAAGAGCTGCCTGCGGGCAGTGCGGCGAGCCCAGCAGCGTCCCTTCGAGTTGTCGCCGTTCTGTGTGATAGCCAGGCATCGGCATCCTCGATTCCCGAAGGCACCCAATTCATGTCCGTATCTGGGCGCGGCTCCTTGCCTTTGTGGATCTATGGGGAACCCATCCCATCTTGGCATCTTCGACATGCTGGATCGGGCTCGTTGGAAGCGATCGCATCTGGACAAAACACCGCATTGACAGCACCGCCGTCGTCGGAGTGGTTGCGTCTGTCATGGCACTATTGCCGCTAATGCTGAGGTTGCATGCGCATCCAGGTACTGCCTTGCATCTGGTGCAAGTTACGACCTCCGGCCGATCATTTCAGAAGCCTTGAGACTGGCTGAGCTGCCCGCGTCGCTCGATCCAAGCGACATCCAGTTGGAACTGGTGAGGCTGTTGAATAGCTCGATCTCTGTCGGGCAACGTGAGTTTCATGACAAGATTGAGTTCCAGAAGAGCCGCCCTGACGCAAGCCGCGTGCAGACGACAGACACCAAGGTGAGCGTCGTCCTGTCCAGTGATCATACGGGATGTCTGTTTGTCGATATGCCCTGTGGCTCGGCTCGTCCTGTGGCTCGGCTCGTCTAGTTACCTGGCAGTACCAAGACATTACGGAACCAACCAGCCCTTCTCCCTCCTACCCGCTCAACCTACAGGGCTCGCACTATATAAGCATCTCCAGTACATTCACGAGCGCGGCGGATCTGCCACTCACGATGAAGCAGCTGGCACTGAGACGCTTGGGCTTGGAGCAGTTGGTGATCATCGACAAAACGGTAAGATTCGGCTGTGCTGGCTCCTATTTCTCATCGAAAGCATGTGCAAGCGCACTCACTCCACCCCTTGCCTTTCCACTAAACAACCATATGTGATGCACCAACAGAGAAAGCACCAGCGGAGCGACCCACTCCTGTTCATACCTTCTCAAGCTGGCCACAATGCGCTCTGGGGTAAGGGCCCGCTCGGACCGTGGCATGAGCATATGGCGCTGAGAGTTTCATGCCGTACCGCTCGATCCGCTCGATCCGCTCGATCCGCTCTGACTGATTCCACTGGACACTTGGCGCACAGTCACGGTCGATTTGAACAAGCAGACCGCCAGTTCCCAGACCCGCACCCTTGTCTTTGTTGGCAACAGTGGCCCTGAGAGACGTGAGTGAACCACACGTCGCTCCCAGCAATGTTTGCCCAAGCAATCCGCTGCTGCCTCGGTACTCTATCTGATACTGTGTCCGTGGCCCTGTCCAACTCGCCGTCCACTGTCGCTGATTTTAAAACAACTGCATTGCAGGTTTCCAAGCCACGGGTCGCCCGATGGAAGTAACGGTGGTGGGACGCCAGCTTTCATCGCCAGAGGCAGCATCCTCACACATTCCACTCCGTGACGGTGAGTGCGCGCGCCAGCACCCGGGCTGCAAATTTGGCACCATCTCACGCCGTACTGATCCAGCGCCGGCCCCATATCAGGTGAGACATGCGTCTATGGAATCGATCCGGACTCTGAGTTACACCACCCGTTTATCATAACGAACCATCGAGGTAAGCGCTCTGGTGCTTCAAGCTTGGGTCGCTAAGCCGAAGCACAAACGGGCGGATATGTCCGCCGCTTACATCTATTTGGCCATTACCTTTCCATTCATGCTCGTCGCTTCCAGGAGCCCTGGCCCTCCACCATGTCGATGTGCTCAAGCTCGGAGAGGCTCGGGTGAACCCGCAAACTATTCCGCCCTCGGATTGCCATGTGGCCCACAAGAAGGTTTGTGATTCTGTACGATAACCTCCACCAGCCACCATCTTTGCGATATCGCCTCGACTCCGGACCGACTGCAGCCTGTGGCCATGGATGCAGCAATGTAGCAATGCAGCGCCCGCTGCCCCGCCCCGCCTCGCTCCCGGACTGGCACATGATGTCGCAATTGTGGGAGCCACCAGTCATCCCGTGGCATCTAGATTCACAAACAGCCGTGTTTGTCCCATCACAGGATATCAAGGAGCTGATCCTTGCCAACGGCGCACAGACCCACACCGGTCGCGGCAGCCACCCAAGACACAATCTAACCACCTTCGAGGCTCTCAAGTTCGCCCCCGACATCCTCCGTGCGCGAGTGCCCGTATTTGCACTGAAGCAGCGCGCACCCACCGACAAGATGGTCGAATGGCGTTCCCGGTCGCTTGGCTTGTCCCAGGGCAAGACCAGCTTCTTCCGGTCCGATGAATTTGAGATCTTTCGCGTGTCTGTGGCTCCGATCCTGAGTGTATTCAGAGAGACTGCCGTTTCGGAGGAGACCCTAGCCAAGGCGAAGCAGGTACGCAATCGTCAGAGGAACTGTCCACGAGAGCGCACACGCTCCTGAACGTGTCTGATGCCATTGCACCATGTGGATATGCTGGTGCTGCGAGTCGGCACAAAGCTCACCATCCTGCGGGATCGTTCCTGCCTTCCTGTCGCAACGTGCAGGCCCTCGCTGAGCTTGCCAAGACAAAGCCAACCGATGCAAAGCTCTTCCCAAAGATCTTTGATCCGTACGAGAGGTAGCGATTCGAGGGCGACTCTGGCCTGTGGAGGCGTCATTGTTGGCTATATTGATATATGCTGCGGGTGCCATCTGGATTAACAAGCAACGCAACTTTCCTCGTCCCACGCCCCTTTCGCGGGCGCATGCGAATCCCAGGCGCAGGTATTACACCCAGGCCAAGATTGAGATCCATCAATTCGTCGAGCGCTATTCGGACAGGTCTCTTCCGAGGCACGTCTCGCTCCACAGCGAGCTCTGCCGTGTATTCCCAAAGTACGACCAAACCGACCTTCCCAGCGACCATCCCCAAAAGCCCAGCAACAGCGAGCCCGACAAGGACGCCGCCTGGGAGCAGGTGGATCGATACAATTCGATGAACCTTCGCGAACGCAGCGAGTTGCAGCTCAATGACGAGCACCAAGTGTCAATCCCCATAGCCGTGACAGGCGCCGGTGGTGGTGCCGGTGGTGGTGCCAGCCACTCGAGTCCTGATATTACAGCACCAACAGGCCGGCGGCTTCTTGTCCCCCGAAACAAGAAGCGGTCGCTGGCCGGTGCAGCAGCAACAGAGCCGTCTGTTGACACTGGCACTGGCTCGACACCGCCGTCTCAGAGCAGCGGTCGCAACTCGCCGCAAATGGGGCGGTTGCCCGACCCAGCAGGCAGCCGCCGCCTCACCTCGTACCTGATCGTTGAGCCACCAAGCTACAGCCTTATGCGCCAGACCGACGACGAGATCAAGCACGAATGTGGCCACGAAGGCAGTCTGCTTTGGTGGTACCGGTCGGCTGGCTTCCTGAGGGAACAAAGGCAGCACTCTGGCGACGGAACTCCTGGCGACTTTTCCGGCCGCATCTACGGGATGAATTTTGTCGCCCAACCAGCCTCGACCACCATCAGCCCGCCGTTCCTGCCTCCGAACCCTCGCAAGCGGCGGAACGAAGCGTGAGACTGAGACGGCGGAGTGGATCGCAAGAGCAGGCTGGAAGAATTGTAATAGAGGTGTTGCATAATCGGCACTGCGCCTTTTCACCGCCTCTCCTTTTCTACTCTCAGTTCAGACGGAACTTGCTCTATATTGGTCAAGGACTGCAGGGAGAGGCTGGCTTGTTTCGGGCTGTTGCGCGCTGTAGAACGGGTCCGTGTGCAGAGCGTGTGGGCTTACAGGGGACTGGCAGCGTGACAAGCAGGGATCGAGATTGCATGTGTCCGAGGCTACGATGTGACAACACATCTTGTCAAGTACGGTTGAGCTGCAAGCCCTGTGTCGGTATTTGCAGGGCCCGGCCGGTCTCATCACTTTGAGCCAAGGACCTCGAGCTGCGACACAAAACTCTTGGCCGTCACAATCTCGGTCGCGCCATAGGAGATCTTCTTGCGCTGCGAGTTGCGCTGCTCAGAGAATTCACGCCATCAGGGGTGCGGGGAGACAAAGTACGCCGTCAATATCCGAAAGCGCCTCTCCAGCTCGGATCACGCACGAGAAACAGCGAAACCTCCAGCGATCGCGCCGGTAGTAGTCATGGCGATAGCAAGACCGATAACAAGACCGATTGCCATCGCGAGGCAAAGCGCATCCACTGCAGCCACCCACCCCACCATTCCCTTTGGCAACTGATCCGCACTCGTCGATAAGCACATCCTTCGATGCCCCTGGGGCACTTGTGGGCTGGGCTCACCTGTGAGTATTCCAACAAACTGCCGTACTCGAGATAGTTGCCGCCGCCAATGACAAACACGACAGCCTCCTGGAAGCCGACTGTACTCTTGGGCGGTCGGCCGCCGCCAGCACCTCGTCCGGCCTTGGGGTCGAAATAGAGATACTCGTCGTGTTCAGGCCCGGTTCCCTCCATGAGTCCATCCACGATACGGATCGCGGGGATGTTCTTGCGAGATGGGAGAAGATTGGGAAGACTCTTGACGCCCGAGAGCAGGTTCTCGAGTCCTCCTCCAACGCCGGCGTCCTTGATCACACGCTGACCGATCGAGGTGATTTTGCCAAAGATATCACTCGAAGTCGAGGGGGTCGCAACGCTAGAGGATGCTGCGGTCATTTTGTTGAAAGAGCGGACCCTGCAATAATCAGCCAAGCGACATCAGCGTCCGAGTTGGCGGCAGTAGCACCTCGCACGTGTGCAAAAAGTGCCAGTCAACCACACGCAGAGCGACAGAGAAGCGGCGAGGTAATCGAGGTACTTAAAACGCGGGGATGGGCCAGAGCATCCGCCAGATTGCACGATGCGGAGGCTCACGCATCGCAGCGGCCTGTCCGGACAACCGCACGGCTGATGACCTGCAACATTGGATCCGGATCTCCTGCTTACTTTTTGACGTACTGCACGGCATCCAGCCCACAGCCGGCGCCTTGGAGGGCCTGCTCGAACTCGGCCATGTCTTCCTTGGAGATATCATCGACATAGAGATAGTAGATCAAAAACAGCCGCAGCTTGTCCTCTGCCGATTTGTTCAGGTCCTTGATGGTGTCCAGAATCGTGGTCTTGGTCTGGTGTGCAGATATGGAGACAGCCGATCGTATTGACGCGGTCAGCATCCGTTCCACGCTCAACCGCAATCGCCGACAGTATTCCGCCAGGCGACTATCGCAGTGATTTCACCACGGGACATTCGTAACTTGCCTGCTTGCCGATGTATTCCTCCATCGAGAAGAACACATCCAGCTGCCGCTGCTCAATCAGCTTGAACAACGCAGTGGCCACTTCGGTGTGGAGATCCAGAATACGCTTGCGCTCCGTCAGCTTCGGAAGGGCAGAGATGGCTGCCTTGAGGTCCTGAGTAGCACCAAGGTTGCTGTCGCCCCCCCCGCAAAGTCGCATATTAGCTCTCCTGTGCCGCGGCATTCGACATTCAGCGGCTTGAGGGCATCCGATTTGCAGCCGGACAAGGGTACACACTTTGGATCAATGTCCTCGAGGGTTCCGTTGCCGTGGGTCAGCTCCTCCACGTCCTTTTTGTATTTGTTGATTTCCACATCGACGTCCTCTGCGAGACCAACGAGAGTCTGTAGTCAGCAACGTAGGCGCGTGTGGCCGGGCCAAGATGCATCCCTGCTTGATATCGTGGCGGCAAAGGCACGACATGCTGATGGGATTTGGAGTTGGTTGGAGAGGCTGTGCTGGTAGCACTTTGGCTCGGACATGCACCGGAGACTTTCCGGCTCGGACATGCACCCTACTGTCAGTGGCCATGAAAGCAACGGGCCAGCTTTGAACGGCAACGAGCAGTACCTGCGACGGTTGGGAATGGGTTTGCTGCGTGTTTAGCCCAGAAAAAGTCACCGACATCGATGTCCACCTTCTTTTGCAGCGTCTTTCCGGTTGGCTCGGTCTAGGGAGAGCAGAAGCCTCATCGTCAGCGACCAATGGCCGGGTTTTCTCGGAAACCAACACGCAGGGTCGTTCCTAGCTCGCAAAGACCCCCATACTTGCCGTGGTCAGGACGATGCGATTCAGCTTCATGTCAAGCAGGTCATGGAGCAGCGGCGCATATGTCCAGGTGTGCGTCAGCATGGTCGACATATCCATGTTGCGGTCGAGGAGAATCAGCACAGGCCGTGTGAGGTTGCTGAGCTGGGACGACCCCGAATCGAGAGAGACATGGCTGCGCGAGTTCAGAGCATGGTCGCGCAACCGGCTGTCGAGCTTTGCGGCCACCATCTCGGCCGCCGTGCCCCTTTGACAGCGTATGATGGGGATGACATCCCGGGTGACCAGGACCGAGAACAGCGAGCTGGATATGGTATCGACCATCCGCTCGATCTGCGAATCCGATGTTGTGGGGTCATTTAGAAGGCGATAGGACTCGCCCATGTTGAGGGTGAACAGATTGCTCTCCAGACAAACATAGTTGAGATATTGATCGTAGACCTGGTCGATGGCGATGGAGATTGCATCGGATTGCCGCACGACCGGCAGGACCGTGCGAGTCCAGGGCGATGATGCGGTGGCGTGACGAAGGGAGGCGTCAAGATAGATCCGATAGAGCCAGCAGTCGGGCTGGTCACTGACCAGCTCCAGTCCACAGACGCAGTGCTCGTACCTGTGAGATTTGTGGGGCAACATTGGCGTTCACTGCTGCTTGGGCAAGCTCCTCGAGCAGCGGACGAGGCAGACTTGAGGAAAAGTTGATATAGTAATACTCGTACAGATGCTTGGCAAAGTCCTGCAGTAACACGGCAACCCGATGCGTCAGAGAGGCTGCAGGCCGGCCGCGCATCATATTTGAGTCGGGCAGCGGAAACATGACTCACTTCGCCAAGACGCCGAACGTTTTCCTCGGTCGGTTGGAGAAAGTAGATCGCTGGGACATCCGGAATCGGCTGACGATCGCTAAACAACGGCCTAGAGGCAGGGAAGCGGGGACAGGACGAGAAAGCGAGGGCGAGAAGCGAGGACGGGGACCAGCACGAACACAGTATCGGTCAGCAGCCAGTCCGTTATGCCAAAGTGCACTTGCACTCCTTCGCTTTCCGATCCGCTGATGCATGTGACTCCAGGACACATACATATGGACAGTGACGCCGTTCTCGCGGAGATCGCTGACTTTGATGAGCGGAGAGATGATGTCTTGGCCGAGCTGGTCGTAGATCAGGACCTTCCACACGGGATCAGTAGCAGCGATGCCGGGCGATTCGTTGTCCGCAGGGACGGGAGAGTTCAAGTTGAGCATGCTGACGATAGCATCTGCGGCGAGGACCGCAGGCGGCGAGAGAGTAAGCGACCGCGGACGCTGCGGGGGAAGAGGGTTGATTGCAGCATGTCTCTGCTATTCACATCGACTCGGTGCCTCTTGAGCAGCATGGATGGCGGCGCCTGCAGAGACAGACGCATATGGGAGGTCTGGTGGAGACGTTTCCTCCTCGATCGGCTTTGGCCGCAAGTGTCATAACAAGATGCTGGATTTACCTCGCTGTCTTTTCCGAAGAGAGGCTGTGGCCATGCTGGGCAGACTTGGTGCAAGACAGGAACTCGAGGGCGGCAGCGGCTGTGATTGCGGATGTGTTGGGGGGGGTGCCTGCTTGCGTTGGACCAGCAGTCGATGGTGGCTCAGAAGCAGGCTCCTGGCCAAGTGGAAGCGAGATGGCGGAATCTCGCGCAGCCGCAGCCCTTCGTTGGCGAGGGCAAGGGTTGGGCAGCCCTGGCGAGCCAGTTCCCACGCTCGTCGGCCGTGATGCACATCGGGCCTCCTGTTCCAGGCGCCTGATCGCCAGCCGCACCGGCTGCACGGACGACACCGATACGAGAGCAGTAGCCGCGCATCAGACCACCACCAGCCAACATCCAGACAGCAAAACCGCCCGGGGAACGACGCCGCAGCATCATCGCGCTCCCTCTGGTCTGACCCCGGCAGGCAACACCGATCCCGGCAGTATCCTCTGCGGCGATGGCACACGCCTTGACTACCGCAGACACGGGATACCACATCCTGAAAGACTTTGTCAAATATTGTCGTGTGTTCCATCCCGGCGACGTCGAATCGAACGTGCACCTGAGTTTCCTGCTGGCGCAGCGGTGAGAATACACTGTTTGAGCGGGCAAGCCAGCGCAGCTCGATTCCGCCGTTATCTGACCTCCCAAACCGATTCCGCCGCCACAACAGCTCCAAAAACGATGTGGTTGTGCGATATATCCTCATCCAGAAAGAATTCGATGTTCTGGATTCGTTCTTTCTCCAGATGGAGTATTCAAATACCCTTCCAGACCTCCAGGTGCGTAGTCGGCAGGAGGCCCGTCCAGCACCATCAGATAATGAGCGCCGCTGACTGGATCCACGCTGCAGGCCATCAGCTATATCATGGATTGTCTGCTGTCGTTCGTCTCTGGAGGACTCGACAGTGACGGCGATGCATCACCAACACGAGAAAATGAATGGGCCGCAATCTATCAGGTATTCCGGGCGGTCAGCGACATTGATCGTGCAGACAGACGATTCATGGCGGATAAAAAGTCGTTGAGATGATGGAGCGACGCGCGTGAAGTGTGTGCAGAGATGAAGCTGGATGGTCGGTGCTACTGGATGAGGAAAGTATGACGCCCGCACCATCGTTGTAGCCCTGGCCTTGCGGTAAATTGACTGTATACAACTCGTCTTGTCGCCGCTTCCGCACCAGCGAAATGCCCTGTTGATACTGAGCCATCCCAGGGACGTCTTGTCGTTGCTTTGCGAAATTCTGGATGAGTCTATATGCAGTGCACGGCACCACTTGGTGACCGAGCTAGTCCAGGAAAGGCAATCCGTCTGCACCAAGGCCATGGACCTTGTCATACGCTTGCTATCGAGCGGCAAGCGATGCCACCGCTTGATCCAAAACCATATGCTTGGTGAGACCAGGTGAGCGTCCTGCTATCGGACTATGGCAGTTCGTGTCGACGGACTCAAGGCGCTTGCTTGCTTGCTTGCTTGCGACCCTGCGAGGCAGCGATCATGCACGCCGGGGACCCAGACGTAGATTGCCCACAAGCTAATTGATATCGCAATTTGTGGCCTCTCAATCTGCATATCAGGATGTTCAAGGACTTTCTGGCCGAGTCGATACTCCATTGGTCATGCCTTTTCTCGTCGGTCTGGCGAAGAGGAATGTCTGTTACACTTCTCTCCAAGATGCTCATGGCTTGGCGACAGCTCGAGTCCTGGTATGGACGGCATAGCGCTCGGAGCTGCTGGTGGTGGTCTGTCGGCGATCCGGTGTGATTCTGATGCTTTGTTTTGACTCTCAGCCCGAACGACGTGAAGCTGTACTGTACGGCCGTGCTGGTTGTTCTTCAAGGCGGAGCAGTGCCGCAAGCCCTTGGTGCATCTGATTCCACCAAGTCAGTCGATGAGCTGTTCGGACTGATAACAAATGACAAGCGCTCATTTGATCGGGATCGACAACTGGCTGAGCTCGATGGCATGGGCAGCAGTGTGCTGCTGGTGCTGTCAACAATCAATGAAAGGTGGGTCGCTGTTTACAGTGCCCGCACTCTCTGGTCGCAGGACCAAGCTTGGGCGCCGAACAAAGGGTGACCCGTTGAGTTGATACGCTAGTCGCCATGTCCTGTGGCAGACCATCTCAAAGCATTCTCAAGCACGTCTATCTGGAGCTGCTGCAGGTTGTGTATCAATCTAGGGCCAAGGTATGGACAGCCGCCGACACTCGACTCTGCCTGTTGCTCACCGCCGCATCGGTCATTGGCGACATGCGGCCAGCGGAGCCATAACACCCATGTGCACATATCACGACACGACCAGTGCTTGCAAATATCACCAGTGCCGCCCTTCGTCATATCTGCGAGGGCACTGCTCTCGCCCGATCTGATCGGGTTCTGTGAGGCAACGTTGACGTCGCATTTCATGAGCCGCGAGGGCCTGCATCTCCTTCTCTCGCATTACGCTGCTGCTTTCTATGAATATGCCGGCTCCGTGTTTGAGCGCTGTTTCACCGGCTCAAAGACACATCTCGACTTTGCCGATTCCCTGCAAAACGCACTCTCAAGAGATCAAAAGCACACGCATCCAACATCAACGGCATCGCCAATTTCAATTCCGTTTACCCTGCATCCTAGGAACAATGCAGAGTTCTATTCCCTGACTGTGTTTGTGCTGCACACGGCACAAAAGTACATGATTGTTCATTCCAATTCGTCGTACACCGACGCAGAGGCCATCGGACTGCTCTCCGGTGCACTCGTTGCGATGACAAGTCAAGCGATCGAAGGCGATACGGCTGGCTCCGCGGCTGCTTTGTACTCAGACTTGCGGATGCGCTCTATGGAGACTCTTTCTATGCACTACAGTCACCCGTCCATGTGGACCAAAATCCGCCTGCCGTTTGAACTGCTCGCTCCAAACCTTCTTCGGGGCCAAGATGCCAGCACTGCTGATACATCCTCGCACCAGCTACCAAGGCGACCAGAGTCTGCCTCGCGATCCACAATCTCCCAACTGGCCTTTGGCGCCCCTCTGCCCCCTATAGCAGCCTCTACAACATCCTCATTGTCGATTGCTGGCGCATCGGTGGCCCCTGCTGCTGAAGTTTTGGAGAGCGAGTTCGCGGCAACGTCGTCACCCCTGGAGACGGCATTGTTCACCTGTCTATGCCAGATCAACGAGGCAATCATCCAGGATCTTGTTGGGTATGAGCAGGGCCATCTGCAACATGTGCCTCGTCAAGTGCAGCGCCCAAGATCGTCGTTGGGATTTACACCCTGTGACTTCAGCACTGTCGATGAAGAGAGGATAGCCAGCCGGAGTGCAGGATGTCTCGGTATCAAGCCCAAGTTGCTGCCGAGGGACGCACATGGCGAGAGCCCGGGTGCCGGAAGGATCCAGCTGGTCCACGAATTTGTTCGAAGTGGTATGTCCTCCTTGATGCTGTCCGTTGGATTTGGGCTGGCGCTGCACATCAGGTGGCAGAACGAGGCCTCGTTGTTGGATGGCCATGTCCCTCACTGGCTGATCTCTGTCATGCCGCAGACCTTGTCGGCTACATCAACTTTATGCAGCTTCAAGCAGGAAGTGTCGGTGTGCGGGATACGCGGCTCGTCGACAGCCTGCGGACCCTGACCAGGATCATGAATCGATCCCTGACATATCCCGGACAAGGAACAAGGGACAGTGACAGGGGTATCGCCTTCAAGCGCCACCACAGCCTCAAGCCCCTGACTCCCCCTGGAGATCATCTCAGTCAGCCGTGCGCCCCCGATCCAGCGGCTCCGACGCACTCCCCAGCACCCAAGCTGCTATCTCGGGCGCCGATAGCGCCCCTGCTACCGGCCTCGGCGTCACGAGCAACCTCTCCTCGCAAAGTCGCCTTTCAACGGTGATCGAGTGGGAATGCCACTCTGCCCCGCGCTGTCGCAAACAAACAGCCGCTCGCTCGACCAGGGCAATGTTGTCGTGGATGCTGCAGTTTCTGGAATACAGCTGGTGCACGGAGCTGGCGAGGACAGGAGCCGTCGACGCTGCCGTAGATTGTCGATCGCTCTTTTGCCCCAGGACACTCTCATCACCAAGTCACCAAGCCACCGTCGCCATGCCCGCTTCAGAGGAAGTCCACTTGCTCATCAACTCGCTGACTCCCAAGGGACGGTGCTGGTGCTGCTGGGAGTCCCATGAGACTGCGAACGATCCGCTCATCCGAGCTTGTCTCGGTTGCAGAGATATCGATCTGCAGTATGTCCATCAGAGCTGCGTGAATCGCTATATCAATGCGCTGCCGTCGGCAACACTGACGACGAACCGGGCGTACCGTCACTGCACCCGCTGCGGCGACCAATACACCATCACCGAGCGACAAGTACCCTGGCTTGAGACGCTGTGGTCAACGCCGAGCCTGGTGTATCGGGTGGTGGGCCTGTTTCTCTACACCGTTGTGCTGACAGCGGCATGCTCGATGCTGCTGTACCGCTACCGAAACAACGACATTCTGCTATTGGAGTGGGGCCCCTACCTCAAGATTTACGTCCGTGAGCTGATTGCTTTTCTGTTGCTGCTGGGGCATTTCCTTCACCTGGTGGAGTGGCAGTTTGTCTATCGACAGTGCCGTGGGAATGTCGAGCTCAAAGTCATTGCCAAAAAAATATAGTACCTGCACACATCGATCATGTTGCGGGCCGCGTTGACGTCGTGATTCCCCACTCAACGGCAGTTGGCAATGCAGCGATGGGCGGGTGACTTCAGGACCGGAAATGAAACCCCTGACTCAAAGCAGGGCGTCCCATTTTCTGTCTGGAGCGCCCGTAAAACTCGACTGACACATCCGTTCGCCGTTCGCCGTTCGCCCTGATTGCGCTTTGCATCGCTCAGCCGCTACTCGCGACGCAGTTTCCAACTGGCAAAAACAGCGACATCATCCGGAAGTGTCCCGCCTGAAGACGCAATGGTTGGCTGAAGACGGCGACGATCTTCGTGGCTGCCGTGGTCCGCTCAGTGGAAAGACCTCGTCTGCCGGCATTGTGAATCTGACGGAGGATTGCTTCTCATTATGCCAATCATTGACGACATCTGCCACGTCTTCTCCAATCTTACCTGCTCCGCACGGATTCTGCTGGGTGGAGGTTGCTGCAGAGGCTCTGGGCTCCTCGTATCCCGGCCCGGCAGATGGCAGCGAGCGGTCGGTCACAGCGACTATCCTGCGTCGGACCCTCTGCTCACCCCCAACGATTCGATCTAGTCCTTCGAGCAGCTCCTCAAGATCAGTTTCACCCTTGACTGATATCCCACACTCACAGACCTCCATCGCAGACTTGAGTCCGTCTTGAGTCCGTCTTGAGTCCACAACAGCCCTTTGGTCCCACCCTCCAACTCATCTCTCGCAAGGACTATCAAGGTACTTCCCATCCCATCTCATCCCATAGCTCTTGATTTGGATCTGCTTGTCCCTGGCTTCAGCGACTTTTATCTCATCTGGCCGCTCCTCAGCGACACTGATATCTTTCCTCGGCCGATAGTCATACCAGTCCCAGAACAATGTCACAGATTGTCAACGATCGTCACTCTCGGCGGGTGGCGGATGCTCACACCTGCGGGGCCAGCCCCGTTGTCAAGTGCTCCGGCGGCCCAGAGCGAGACCTCAACTCGTTCTACTGCACCCGGTATTCTACGACCCACAATGGGCAGCCTTGGCACCCAGACGATCCGCTTCCCAACATGCCGCCGAGAGACGCACAGTCCAAGAAGATGGCGGCAGGCGGCATCGGAGGATACTATCCGCCCGGCGGGGTGCCATCACAGATGCAGAAGCAGCGGACAGGATATACCAAGAACCTTGTGCCCTTTGTGCGCTACAACAAGTCTGTCGACGAAGGCCCGCATCTGCAGTTCCAGGTCGGCAATCCGTTCGTCAGCACCCACACGACCTTCTTCGCATCGCCTTCCTCGCCACGAGATTACATCGCAGAGGGCGACAACAATATCAACATGGTGATCGAGTCGGGATTCACACGGCTGCCCAAGTGGAAGGTCACGGACGACGGAACGGTAGGTTGTCCTTGGCGATGCTCTTGCACAATTACTGGAGGGAACGGACTGTCGTTCTCATAATTCGACGGACATCAAGAGTCGATGCTACCTCCGATATGTGCAGACGATGCCTTTGATTCATCTCCGCAATGGACTGAGAGAGCCACACAAGTATGAACTAACTGCTTGACACCGACTGCATCAGAAACCTGTCGAGAAGCGATCGACCACCAAAAGCCACCACGAGCATTCATACTTGCACTTCAAGGAGGCGAGCCACAACAAATCGAAGATCATACCGTCTGCAACGGCCTATATCAGCGACGAAGCCAACATCAAGGATCTCGGTAACGGAGAGGTCTTTGATCGATTCTATGTAAGCCTGGCTCTGCAGCGATCCCTTGCAACCGCACAAGAGGAGACACAACCTCCAACCATACGAGTGTGTGCTTTTCTCACTCCTGCAATGTCGACTCTTCCCATCCGGGATATTCCCAGAGACCGCCACGACCTACCGAGCCGTCATGGAGAGACTTTAACACAACCCACATGAAGGAAAGCGGATACTCCCGCTCGACATTCAAAGATGCCGTGAAACTCAGACCCGGGGTCGAGATGGATCTGAATCCGGCGCAGTTTCCGGCACACATTACTGAGCGAATCAAGAAAAACGACCCGACTCGATGGGTCCACTTGGTTGACAAACAGGCCCGCACCAATGTCTCGAGGTAAGCAATTCGGACCATCGGCTACGAGAGAGAGAGTGTGTGTGTGTATGGGGGGTGAGAGCGGGCGAGAGCAACTGCAGTGCATCCCTGTCATTGTTGGCAGTAGCTGACTATCTCCACCGCTTCGATACACACTTGAGCAGGATTCTGCACGATGCCCCGGACCCGAGCATGGCTTTGGCGAGAGAGCTCCGACAAGGGCCTATCGAGATTGGGTCGAAAGAGCCAACCGGCGGAGTGCGCAACAATCCCAAGTTTATTTACGAGCCCGAACCGGCGCCGGTGGAGCGGTTTTCGACCGAGTCTGGGAGGAGGTATGATCCGAAGGCTCTGTGGTTGCTCCGATCTTGATCATGTCTGCAGAAGCATTTGATTCCCGCCGTAAAGCCAATCGTAATCTGACACCGCATGCTTACAGATTCGCCGCCCCAAGAGAGTCGTTCGATCCAAACAATTTCAAGTGCGACAAGATTGTCAAATCGGGCTTTTCGGACGGGAATCGCTACAAGTACATCAACCCACACACGAGGGATGCTCAAGCGGTAGGCCAGACAGATTTGAAGGGGGTCTTTGTGATGACCGACCGCGCCCAGAGAGACTCTGGTCCTCCATCAAAACGGCGATTGCTGATTAACTCGATCCAACTTCACGTCTCGCTCGCAGTTTGCAAAGCTCCATCCGACCGAGGCGCAGAGAAAGTGGATCGCCGAAAACGGGCTCCATACGAGGGTTCCAACACGCCCAGGCTACCAACTCAAGGTTGAATCGTAAATCTCCTGCGCCGCGCAGTCTAGGCAATCCGGATACTGAGTGTCCTGGATATGAGGATAATGAACCAGGCTCGAGCAGAAATGGCGGGCTCTCTGTGGCTTATCGCCCTATTGGTTCATGGGCAATGGTTTCGCTGGGAAAGGCTTGTGGCCGATAGCTTGCACCGAGCAGGTTTCAGTCGAGCCATTGCAGGTGTATCGCCCATATCGCTTCTTTCCTTAAAATAAAAGCACACAGAGAGTATCATCGGTATTCGAGTGTGCCCATCCTGAGGAAGGATCTGTTGACACCTCGCTATCACCGGCGTTTCCGGTGATTCCAAGAGTCGCAAGCTGGTATGTTCATGGTGCGGCTGACCGCGGACATTCGGATCCGGAGACATTCAACTTGATTGCAGAGGACATGTATTTTAAGGAAACTATGCAAAGTTTGGGGCGGCCCGGCGTCACGCAGAGCCGCCGAGGATTTGGTTCTCTGTCCAGAATGCGTCGCCAATGATGTCGCAGTGCTCGATGACGACAACCTTGCGACGGCGGACAACAGGAGAGCCATCCGTGGCAGACGCTTCGATGGACTGGATCTGCTTTCGATGCAGCACGCTGCCCTTCCGGTAGAGCTCCGGGAGATTGTTGTAGTTGATGCCATACTGTTGGAAGAGGATCTCGTTCTTGGCACCAGAGTCGGTATCTTTTAAAATGGCTTGCGTCTCTCGCTCGGTCTTGGGGCTGTTGGGGTCCAGCACCATGCACCAAAAGACGGTGTTGTACTGGTTGGCGGATGAGCGAGTGGGCAGTCGAGCAGCGGATCGGAGAACGGAGAACGGCTGTTAGTCGAGGGACGGGCGAGACGGAAGTCAAGCGAGGCGGGGTAGCTGCAAGCAGACCGAGATAACGGCTGGCAGATCGGAAGACCCGGCGGCACAGCAGCCCGGCGACCGAGGCCCAGCGAGCGACCTTAGCTCAGCAATCGTACCAGGTTGTTGATGTGGCAGTCGGCTTGTCTCCAGCTGAAGTAGTCACGGATGTTCTGATCGGTAGGATACAAGACGGCCCGGCCATCGAACGAAGGGGCGTACTGCAGCTCGAGATCAGGGAAGAACTCTTTCCAGGCCATCACATAGTTGCTCGTGAATAGACTGACGACATTTGTGACAATCTTTGACTCTCGGCGCTTGTAGAGTTGGCAGTACCGCGAGAAACAGAAGCTGAACTCGTCGCTCTGGCCATACGCCAGCACGATATCGTGGAACTCCTCCATGACCTTCTTTGCACAGTGGTTGGCGAGCTTTAGGGCCCGGTCATCGTTTGGCTTGGCAAACTTGTGGAATTGCGTGAAGCGATGGAAGCTGTGGCCGTCTATCCGCACGACGAGCCAAGTATTGGGCAGCAGCGCATCGTTTCGCTCGTATGCCTGGCAATAGCTTGGTTAGAGCATATCGTCGCCGCCAGCCGCCAGTCCGAGAATGGGCCATGCCATAGGTGCGCATGTTGTGCCGACGGCATGCCTCAGGCCATGACCGGCGAGCACGCCGCAAGCGCTGATCGATCGGTAAAGCAGGATCGATTGTTACCTTGACGTACTCGAACTTGCTGCATGCCATTCTGGAGCGGAGATCGGAGACAGGAGCGGCAAGATATAGCGGCTGGCAGGGGATGATCTGTGGGCAAGAGATCCGGATGGGATGATGAGGCTGGGGCGGAGGCCGATCGGGGGGGGGGCAGATGGATTGCAGACCGGGTGCAGATCAAGACCGAGCAGACATGGGCGGATCAAAGTCGAAACGGAGTCGCCTGTTTCCACAGGGCGCGGTTTCGCCAACCTGGCTGTTTGGTTCGCTCGGCGGCCGTCTCTTTCGCCCATCGCACTAAACACCAACTCTGTCGCCTGCGGCCCGATGGAGTCGCTCAAGCCGGTGAGAGCTCGCTCTTTGGGTGCGACGGGCGACAGACTGCCCACGCTGGGTGAGCGGTGGCCTCATGTCATTGCTGATAATCATGATGTGCGTGCCGCAGGAGACCGTCAAGGCAATCTTCCAAGAGAGCACCGGCACTGAGTTCAAGATCAGTAAGGATGCTCTGCTCGTCAGCACCAAGCTGCTGGCGCTGTTTGCTGAAGGTGGGTGCCCATCTATCGCAGACTCGAGTCGGTCAGTTACCACGACCCGGGCCTGACTTGCTCGTCTGTTTTGTTCTGCCCCGAACCACAGAGGCCATTCTGCAGTCCATCGAGTGCGCCAAAGAGACCCCTGCGATTCCAGCACGCCGGTCGCTGGACGGTCGATTGTCGGGATCTGCCGACCACGGCGAGCCCAGCCGACGGGTGACTGTCACTGCCGAGCATCTCTCCAAGGTGGTGCCCCAGCTCCTGCTGGATTTCAGCTGAGGAAGTCTTTGGGAGGGACAGCCTGGAAGCACAGCGATGTGGAATGCGGTGTCGACAAGCAGATTCGCCAAAGCCAGATCATAGCACACAATACACACGCCCTGCTCGCCTCCACCCCTCAACTCCATCCCATCGATTCCTCAACTCCATCCCTCGATTCCTCGACTCTGTCCCATCGATTCCTCGACTTCACCCCTCGATTCCATCCCTGTCCCTGGCCAATGTCGTCCGCCGCAGCCCCCTCCCATTGGCCCGGCCAAATGTCCAGCCGGCTGCGCGGGCGTCCTTGTGTCGGACTGGGCCGAGGCACGGGACCGGCCTGGATGGCTGCGCAGCCGCGAGTCAGCGTGACTGCCGCACAAACAACGCCACAGCGAACACTGCAAACGCGGCGGCAATCCGCGCCCTGGCAGCGCGCACCCAGCAGCAGTCGCAGTCGACACAACAATGCGCCGGCGTGCTTGCGGTGTGACGCACGCCCGCCTCCCGCGCCGGGTGCGCGCTGCCACAGAACCGCTGCACGGAACGGCGCCCTTGACCCGCCTTTGGGACTTGTCTTCAGTCCAGCCCAGGACGCCCAAGTCTTCCCAGGTCTTCCCAGGTCTGTCCGGGTCTGCTCGTCATCTGCCCGTCATCTGCCCTCTGGCATCGGTCTGGCCACCACCGGCGTCGGTGTGTCTGTCGTATCCGTCTACTGCTCGGCGGCTCTGCTTCTGGCGTTTCTTGTCCATCGTCTGTGTCTCGTCGCTTTTCACCACCGGCTCCTGCCTCGGCTGTCGGTGCCTCGACCACGCTCGTCGTCGTTTGCCCATCTCTCCGGACCTTTGGTCGGCGCAAGTCTCCTTACTTGCACCCGAATCGCTCCTGTCTCGGCGACACTACCATCCGTTCTTATCAGAGCTGTTTGCTGTCGTTTTTCAGGGCCCTCTCTATCTCTCTGCCGCTCTCCCGTCTCCTGTCTCCTCCAACCCTTCCTGAGGAATGATCGACCACGCAGAGCAGCCCGTCCCGCTCCCGTCGCAGCCCCAGAATGATCCAGCGGCGCAATCTTCCTCGGCGCATCGCAGCGAGCACCGGCCTCGCAAGGTCATCGGGGCCTATCGCCTCACAAAAACCCTTGGCCAAGGCAGCATGGGCAAGGTCAAGCTCGCTGTACACTCCGAAACCGGCGCAAAGGTACCAAAATCCGTTGTCTCGCTGACTCTGCAGCCCCCCCCCCGCCACGCTCTGCTTCCAGCAGCCTCGTCATCTGCCAATGTCCGCAGATTCCATGACTTTGCTCTTCATCGTCATGCGTCCGGATCGTTTGCTGACGGAGAGCTCGCCGCGGGTAGTGCTTACAGCGCTTCCCGAGTGCGTTCCGCCACGCCAAAGCTCTGCATCCAGGGAGACTGCTGCTGTGCGTGCCACCAGCCATGCTTCTCCATCCACTGCTTGGCTCTCCGGACAGGTTGCTGACAGTCTGCCGTTGCTTTTGTTGCTCACATCGGTTGGATCGGCCCCTGGACGTGCGATTTCCCGCCCTGGACCCGCATCGCGCTACCGGATGGCTCGGGCGCTGCGACGCTTCGCACTCCGTTCGGACCCGATCCTCCAACCGGACTCGATCGATCGGGCGACCGGACTGATTCGACAACATCGGCCATCACTCGAACCGACGCAACTCACTCGGCTTGACCCCTAACACAATCCCAACACAATTCGTCAACTGCCTAATTGGACCCAACCACCGGCCACAATCTGTCCGCATCGCTGCTCTCACAATCGATAATCTCACCCCAGTATGCGTGCAAGATCGTGCCCCGTCCTCCTGGCGCCGTGCCCATCCCCGATACCACCTTTGTTGGGCCGACCCACTCCATCCGCGATCTCCTGGCGTTGTGTGGCAAGGAGTACGAGTCCAAATCGGCGTCCAAGAGCTCATCCAAAACCGAGGGCTACAAGGAGATCCGCATCATCCGTGAGGCTGCCATCATGCTCCTCCTCGACCACCCTCACATCTGTGCTCTCTACGACTTTATCGTCTACGATGGCTTCTACTACCTCTTCTTTGAGAACGTCAACGGCGGCCAGATGCTGGACTACATCATTTCACATGGAAAGCTGAAGGAAAAGCTCGCTCGGAAGTTCATGACCCAGATTGTGTCCGCCGTCGGTATGTTCCAAGATGCGTTTGCTGTTTGTCTCCCTTTGCCATCATTGGCGCGGGTGCTTGTGGTCGAATCAGAAAACCTGGCGAGCGTCCCTGGTCCAGACTGCGGCCCACTTTGGCCACTCATCTGATACTGATATGCATCCTCCCTGCTTTGGCCGCTGTCTCCATTCGGTTGAATGTCCGGTCGCTACAAAGACTATTGCCATCAAAACTCGATCGTCCATCGAGTGAGTGTCACTGAGTCCCTCCCCATCGACCTGGATTCGCTGTTTCATGGTTCAGCTGGATCGCTTTCTTACCTCCTGATCAAGCCCCCAGTCTCGGCGCACATCGATTTTCCTGTCTTATCCACTTCAACCCCTTCGTTTACTAATGCTCGCTATTCACGCCATTGGCTGACCAAATGGCCTTCCATCTTCCAGGATCTCAAAATCGAAAATATTCTGATCGATCGCTCAGGCATGATCAAGCTGATTGACTTTGGCCTCTCGAACCTGTGGTCTCCGCATGCGCACCTCTCGACCTTCTGCGGAAGTCTGTATTTTGCGGCGCCCGAGCTGCTCAGTGCCAAGATCTACGTTGGCCCCGAAGTCGACATCTGGAGCATGGTAAGGCGTTGTCCGGGTGGTTGGTATAGGGCACTCAGGGCCGGCCAGCTGCACCCGCCTGTCGTTTGATCGTGTATCGATCGGGCCTGCTTTTCAACGGCGACGTGTCCTAATGCCTGTAACCCATTACTGTTCGCTCAGGGCGTCATCCTCTATGTCTTGGTCTGTGGAAAGGTGCCCTTTGACGACACCAGCATGCCCGTGCTCCATGCAAAGATCAAGGCTGGCAACGTCGAGTATCCCTCCCACCTTTCGAACGGTAGGTGATCACCCCTTTGAGTATATGCAGAGGCGAGGTGTTGGCGACTAAGCTCCGGCCGTCAGATGCTCGACGAATCTCGGGCGGCTCTTTCTTCGAGTTGAGCTCATACTGATTCAGCCGTCTCTTTGACACGCCATCCCTTCCCACCCAACGCATCGCTTGGTGGTCAACAGACTGCAAGCGCATCATCAGCCGAATGCTTACGGTCAATCCTGTGCAGCGAGCGACCATGCAGGAAATCAAGAACCACCCCTGGATGACCAAGGGCATGGACGAGATCGTCAGCAACCTTATCCCCGATCGTCTGCCGCTCACCCCCCCATTTGACATGGAGGTGATCAAGCGCATGAAGGGATTTGAATTTGGAAGCGACCAAGATGTCCACGACCAGCTCATGCGGCTCCATCAAGGCGAAGGCCTTCCGCTGACCCGAAATCTGATGGGGGGACGGTTCGCTGGTCCGGACTCGCCTCTCATCAGCATTTACCACCTCGTCGAGGAGCGCATGGCCCGTGAGCGGGCCGGAATTCCCCGTGGGCAGCTCCAGAGCGCCTACCCACAGCTTCGGATCGATACGCGTGTGCAGGACTCTGAGAGTCGGACCTTTGCCATCCCGGGTGTTGTCAAACGCCAAGCCAGCACCGGCAACGTCCTGCGCGCTAGCACCACCTCCAAGAACCACCCGAACGTCGTTGTCATGGAGGGTCGCACCAAGTCCAATGCCACCCCGATCCCCGGTCGGGGCGACAAGTCTGAGATCCCCGAGCCCCCCTCTCCCCTGACCTCCCAAGGCATGTCGATCACCCACTCCAGCTCCTTTGGCAATGCTGTCCGGCGCCTCAGTATCGCCATCAGAAGCAAGCCGCACATTGCCACCGAGGATGGCACAGAGCCGGCTGCCGCCCAGCTGGCAAAGTCGTGGCACCCTAAGCTCCAAACTCGATCGACTTCGGAGCGGGTACTCAAGGAGGATGGTGCCGAGAGCATCGGCCAGGGCAACGCCTTCTCGGACTTTTGGCGGGCTGCCGTCAGCGGCGGGAAAAAATCGATTCAGGGTGGCCAGTCTGCTCATCCTGCACCAATTCAGACACAGCAACTCCAGACCGGCGATCCCGGTCATGGCGAGAGAGGCATCTTTGACATGGAGATGCCCCCCGCCTCGGCCGCGCCGTTTGACCACCGTGCCCAGCGCCCAACAGCCATCACCTTCACCGACAAAACCAACACCATGACCTCGACCCGCACACAAGATGAGGACGATGGCTCCAAGGTCTATCCCGACGTCCCGCCGGAACTCTCGGGCGCTGCAGACGAGGAGTACTCGTATGGCAAGTTTGGCACTCTGCAGGGCCGCAAGGGCCGCGCCGACGACCACGTCACCACCATCTCGCTCAAGGGGCTGTTCTCCGTCATGAATACCTCGACCAAGAGCCCCAAGGTCATCCGCGAGTGCTTGCTCCAAGCCCTCAACCGCATGGGCATTATTGTGCAAGAGTACTCTGGTGGCTTCGAGTGCGAGTATCTGCCCTCGGTGACAGGGCTCTTTGATGCCGCAGATGGCCAGCCTGGCGGCGTGGCGGGCGCCGTCGAGGGCAGCGCCAGCAACACATCCAATGGCAACAGCAATGCCGTTGGCATCAGCACCACCACCGCCAGCGGCGCTGGTCCTCTCCAAGGCAAGTTTGCGCCCCTGACGTTCCTCAAGAACAAAATCAAGGGAAGCGCCGGCAACAGCATCTCGTTTGACGCCACGACCGGCCGCGACGCAGATGAAACCCCTCCCGCCAGCGCAGGGCTGGTTGGAGATATCCTCCCGCCGATCAATCGCGAGCCAACCGAGCCGCGCCGGGGCCACGGCCGATCTCTTTCGTCCTCCAACGAGAACAGCACATTCCGCTCTGCTCGCAGTCCGCTCAACCAACTCGACTTCTCCGGTAGCGGCGGCAGCGTCGGTCTTGCGCAGGGCTCGTCCAGCACTAGCGCGGCAGCGGCCACGTCGAATGTCCGACCGATTCACTTTGAGGTCATCATCGTGAAGATGATGTGGGTCAATCTGCACGGCGTGCAGTTCCGCAGAATATCGGGTGATGCATGGCTGGTACGTATCTGTCGCTGCAAGTATATCTCGGTCGCCAGCCCTATCCTGTTGTGGCCAGAACGTGAGCGTGTGGATGGGGCTATGCAAAGCGGAAGCGCAGGCATAGCATCCGTGCGGTCATGGAAGCGCGAGGTTGACTTACGAGATACTGACATTGGCGACCAACGCTCTTTCTGCTGGCCCACACACACAATCGGTCTTGGTACTTGATCCACTTGCCCTTGATCCATACGCCACGCTTGACCCTTCTTTGCCCCCAATGCCAACACAATCCAACCCAACCTCATGCACGCATTTGCGGAATCAGTACAAGCGCGTCTGCACCAAGATTCTGGACAATGCCCACCTATAGCCGACCAAGTGCCATGCAGGCCATGTACTAACGCTCGACCGCGCACCCCGTGGACTGTCTCGTAGCCGACATCCTGTCTATCCTTCAGACTCTTCTCTTTTGTTTCTCCTCGCTCGGCCAAATGCACTTGCTTCCAACCGAGTCGTCTGGCCCTCTCGTGTCTTGCGTGTCGCTAAACTTGACAACACCCTCCCCGCCCGTGGTCTTTTGTGATTCTATATCTGTAGTCAACTCTCCTTGCTTCTTCTTCTTTTACTCGCGTTCTTTTGCCGCTCGTTGATTTTTTCTTTCTTTCTTCCTTCCTTCCTTTTCCGTTCGTTGCTCCCCGCTCAAGTTTAGACGTGTATGTATCTCAATCGTGCCGATGGCCTCCCTCTGTCCGTACGTTTCCTGTGTTCGCGACCTCACTGCTCGGTTGTGTGGGCTCCTTTTTCGCTCTCTCGTTCTCTTTCCATGCTGTGCTCGCCCACAGCGCTTGCAGCAACCAACTGAGGCGCCCGTCCTTGGAATCGATGGCCGCGCCCGAATACATATGACCATCTGTCATCCTCAGCCACCACTATCATCTGCCATACTCGCGATATCCGTGTCTCTGTGCCGCGGTGCTTGCAGCTTTGTCGATAGAATATATTATTCCGGGCGACTCCGGCCTGACGCAGACATTATCGAACTCGGTGCACGATGGCTAGTGCATGTTTGTGTTGGCTCCGTATGGAGGGTTTCTTTCCGCAGCCCCTGGTTTCGGTGCCGCCCCGACAGCGCTGGGCTTGGCAAAGTACTTTTTCCAAAAGGTCTTGATTTTACACTTGAGCCGCTGGAGGGCCGGAGGTTTCTCGGGGGGAGGCGCATCTGTCTCTTGCACATGCAGTTCCTTCTGTAGCTCCTTGTACTGCATCTGTAGATCCAGATATTGCTTCTGCAGTTCCTGGTACTGCTGCAAAACCTCGCCGTTTGGATCCTCGATTTCGAGATGGATTGCCGAGCTTGACCCCGAGTCGGACTTGACTTCCGTCCGGAGCTTGGAGCCGCGGCGAACGTCCGAGTCCTCATACTTGCTGTAGTACCGTTTGGTGCCAGACAAGCTCACGGAGCTCTGCCTCGACATGACCGAGTCGCTGGAGTGCCGTACGTGCGGGGTGTAGCTGCCTCGCTTTTGGGTTCCCGACGGCGACGACTTTGACGTTGACTGGCGCGGGTGGTTAAAGTGCTGCTGGTTGGAGCATTGCTGTCCTGAGAGATGATCAGCCGAGCCAGGCCGCATCGATCCGTTGCTGTCGAATATCGAGCTTTGCAGCGAGCTTTGCAGCGAGCTTCCGAGGCTCTCCTCGCTGCTGTTGGTCGAGGGGCTCCGTGTGTATCGATAGCCCTTGCTCACGCCGGCCAGCGACGACGATCGTGTGGCCACATCCCTGGACTTTGGTGCTCGCGAGACCGAGATGTTGTCCTGCGACGAGGCCTGGGATCTTCTGCGGGGGCGCTGTCCTTCGACTGGCTGGTCCACCGAATGCGATCGCTCTCGACCGACCGACGACGTCCGTGTCAGGCTGGTCTCCTCGAGGGCATCGCCAAGAAGCCGCCCGGACATGGGTTCGTTCATGATCGAGGTCGTGGGACTCCGGCTCCAGGACCTCGAGTTGCCCTGGACGCTGTCGGCGGCAAGCGAGTGGCTCGAGGTCATGGTCTTGGCTGCTGCGACGCTCCAGACGCTCTGCTGTGCCGAGGTTGTTGTCGAGTGCTGCGACCTCCGCTGGAACGATGCCAGGCTGCTTTGGCTGAATCCAAAGACATCTGGGGTTTGGGTAATCTGCGGATTGCAAGGTCGTCAAGGGCGAGCATCGATTGCAGTTTACAGACCTTTGCTCGGCTGTCCTCATGCAAATCCTCATGACGGCTGTTGGTCTTGGCCGTTGTTGTGCAGGACTGGCTCGGACTGATCGCCCTCAACTCTGCCGCAGCGACTCACCTGAAGTGAAAATGCCGAAGACTTGGCTGTTTCCTGTCCTATAGGCACCGAGAAGAACCCGCGAATGCTCTCAGCGATGGAGATGACGCTCTTCCTGACGTTTGTGCTGACCCCTTCGATCGTAATGCTCTGAGACAGAGTGGATTTGGCGAAGCTGTGCTGCGAAGACCCTCTGGAGGATCGGTTGTCTCTCGACTTGGCGCCTGCATTTGGCCGGCTGCTCTGAATCACCTGCTGGACCATCTCGTCCATCGCCGCCAGTACCAGCGAGCTCCGTCGGCTGCCTGCCGACGATGAGGCAGCCAGGATTTCTCGGCTCTGCGTCCGAGATATGGCCCCGAGCTTCTCCTGGACCGCAGCCGACGTTGCGGGCGGGGGTGTGTGCACACTCGCCGATGCTTTCTTTTGAATCATTTGCTGCCACTCGCTCTCTGCCCCGGCTCTATCGGCGCTACTTCTCGAAATTTGCTTTCGGAGCTGCGGCCGCTGGTCGGCTGCGGATGCCATCGCGCATCGGATATTTGCTCTGGGGCTGACGTCGAGTTTGGGTGGCGACCGAAGGCAGTTGCGATGCCACACAGTCGATGATGCGAAGCGGGGATATCTGTGACCTGCTCGCTAATGGCCGTTGTTGCTGTTGGCGCTGGAATCCACAGGATGGCCTGACGAAAGAAATGCCAGAGAAGGAGCAGATGCGGCGACGGGCCTGGCCTGCTGTTACTAGGACGGTTGGTTGGTGGGAATCGAGACGGGATGCTGGCGGTTGTGCGGTCGATAACTGCTCAAGCCAGGGTCTCTAGCTTCAAGTCCGATACGTCGATGGCAGGCAGGCAGACAGACAGACGGATGGACAGACAGACAGGCCGCTGATCGATAGCTGGGGTTGTGACGGGTGTGATTGGGGCCCGCCCAGAGAACCTTCCTCGGCTCGGTTTGCAGCGACCGCAAAGCGAAACGGGAAGCCTGATTTGACCGATGGCCAACGGCTCTGGCCCAAGTACACCCACCATCGCCGGTGTTTCGATGCAGTCCAGAACATGCCTGCAGTACCCACATCGATCGCCACCACAGATTTCGGCGACACATCCTCTCCTGAGACCCTAGCCATCCACATCTATTGCTACATCATGCAGGCGACGTTGCAGTTGCGTCTCTACAATTGAAGGTTTTTGCACTGGCATTTGCAGTCCGAGATGGGACACTCTGTGTGCTTGGAGAACCAGTCGGACATGTGCCCAAGATGCCCTCCATGCCGGCAGCTCTGGCACCATGTAAACCAAGTCGACAATCGAGACGGGTCCGAGTATTTGCTGTCAACGATTCCGGCGCTGCCGCCCAGGGCAATCGGACCGCTGCCAGCGTGGCTGTCACCGGCGGTACCGAGGTGCATGTGGCAGAGCGCACACCGAGGAAGGAAGTTTCGGCAGCTTGCGCAGATGGTAACCTTGGGCTTCTGATGGCCCATGATAATGCTGGGGACAAAGCCCATCTCGCCTCGTCTCTGGGGTGGATGATTGTTTCTCGCAATCGACACTCCGCAGTATCCACAGCGAATGAAGACTTGGGGAAGGCCCGAGTCCGAGTTTTCACTGAGGCTGGCGTCGGCCGCTCGGCGCCATGCATTTCGATCGATATCAAAATGGGCTCGTGGCGTGTAGAGCTCCCATCGATCCAGCAACAATCGGTATCTGTGTGCGGGTTCCAGATGTCAGCGATGCCGGCGCCGAGGCCTTGTAGATGGTTTTCACCCACGAATGCAGTGCACCGACTCGGAGGGAACGAGTGCTTACGTCTCGATCCATACTGCAACGCGCTCGTCAGCGGGCTGTTGCTGAGGAAGATGCGCCAGTACCAGCGCCGCCGTTTGGATATCGCCGGTCTTGTTGATGTAGCTCTCGAACAAATCAATGCTTTTGTTGGTCAGGCCTGTCAGCATGAGCCCTTCGAGCGCCCCGTTGACGATCGCTGCCTGGGTCTCCCGTTCGATGTACGTAAACAACTGAGCAAAACGAGAGTCAGTCAGTCGCACGACCCAGGGCGAGTGGTTGCCATGTTTGAGCGCCCGTCAAGCCTCAACGACAGCTCGTGACAATTCGTCTGAATGACTGGATCGGATCAAGTCATGCGATGCCCGAACACATACCTCGGCATCGGTCAAGTATCGGAGGGCAATGCCCAGTCGATCGCGCAAGGACAGCTTGCAGTCTGGCCCAATCACATACTCCCATTTGCCATATGTGATGAAGGCAAAGATGGCCTTCAGATATGGGTTCTGCAGATCCTTGCTTAGCGTTGTGCAGATGGTCTGCCACATCAGACCTTGGTGAGGCATGCTACTGTAGCTTGACAGCGTTGCAGCAGCAAACTTGAGTCGTTCCTCTGCGCACAAGTCAGTGAATGGTTAGAGCTACCGCGAGCGTTGCCAAGGATGCAGCCCACATCGTCTCGCAGCGTAAATCCGTCCTATTCCTGCGTCCATTTGAATTAGCGATTCACCCATGGTGATTCCTTGTCCATGCCGATACCTGAGCTTTTGTCGAGAGCCTGTACAGCTCGGTGGACGCCCGATCCGTAGAAGAACGCCAAGCCAGCCGCCTTTTCATACTCCTTATTCGCCTCGAGACTGCGGCAGAGACACGGAGGCGAGGCGGGGTCGCCCAGGGAGGAAGTTTGCCAAAAGAAAGCGCCATTGGTTAGCCCGGCCAGATCGCCATGGATGAAAACGAGCCTGCAGCTCCAGAGGGATCAAAGGGCAACACACGAGCAGCGACAGGGAGGTTGCGGGGGGGGGTGAGAAGGTACCTTTCCAAGCGACTCTGGAGCTCTTGTGTATCGAACGGCGGAATCTGATGCGACGGTGTCGACTCGAGGCTTGAGATGGACAATGCAAGAAGCCGCAGCTCCGAGAGACGGATTGACTGCCCGGGCAGCGGCGCTTGGGTCTCTGAGCCCGATCGCGTCGGCGACGAAGTGCGCGATCTGGAAAGCAGGGCAGCGTCCGGGCTCTCAGCTTGATGGCACAATAAGAATTGATCAGTTGTGGAGCGAGCATTCACGATGGCACTGTTGCCAAAGATGCTGTACCGATCATCATACGTGAGCACGCTGTTCGCCAGCGCACTTCTACCTTTGATGTCTTCGACGACAGACTGGACACCAAGAAACGAGTAGCTGCGTTGTTTGGCTCGGACGACATTCGAGGCAGCGGCACGCTTCATTCCTAGAGCAGAAGGGGTATACGTATCAGCGATGATATGCCTCCTCGTCTGTGGTGAGGAAGTGCAAACTTACCTGAAACCCAGCTCCACATGTCCTTCAGCTCATTGTCGACGATGCTTTCGTTTTTCTGGAGCCAAGCAGCAAGCCATTGAGCGCTTCAGTCTATCATTGCCAGCGAGACACTGACGTCGGTTTCCTACCACACCATCAGTGGCCATGGTGCGATATCTGCCCGGCCTCGAGTCAGGGTCGATAAACGCAGCGGCACCGCGTACCTCCATTGAATAGCCCTTGAGAGCCCGCTTCCGCATCGTGACCGAAATATCCTCAGTCGGGCGGATTCTTTCGCTGTCCGCGTAGTTATGGATCGTCACCATGGTGCCCCTCGACAGCGCCAGGTTGTTGTCGGGCGACCATGCGATCTTGAACAGATCGGGAACTGCAAGGGCCTCGGGCTGGCTGGTTTCTGTCGTCATCACGATCAAGTTGTTTTTGCCCTCGCTGCTTCGGCCGGCATCCACCCATGTCAATCCAAGAATCGGCCCTTTTGCTTTAACTGAGGAAGCGAGGTCCGTCAATCATTCCATCATTGGCCACATCGCCGTCGACGCTCGGTACGTTTATCGCGGGCAAAGCAAACCTTGTCTTGTTCTCCAGATCACAGGAATGTAGTCATAGTCTGCTATGTCGTCGGACTTGAGCTCCTCGATGCCTTGCCGAGATCCGCCGTAATCCAACTGATAAAGGCTCTGGCTTGCATCGTCGTCCCTTGGGCCGTTTCCGGCCTGAATGGCCCTCATGCTTGGCGTGGTGTTGGCGTCCTTTTCGATACCTTCCTGGATATCCCAGACTTTTATGCTCCCCGAGTCCTTTCCAGCGACCGCAAGGAGGCCCGAGCGCGAATGAAGCCACGACACATGCAAGGCCCCGCCTTTGAGATCCGTTTTGATTGACAGTAGCGGATCACTGGACTTGCGCATGTCCCAGATCTGAACGATGCCGTCTTCGCCATATGAGGAAAAGCGCTCGACTCGAAACGGATCTGCGGCGAGGCCATAAACAGCCTTGGTGGAGATCGTCATGATCTGGGTTGCCTGCGAGTTCGCTCCAGGCTCTGGAAGAAGGATGGATCAGGATTATACGCACATGGATACGCAGTGGCATCTGCTGCTTGAGTCGTGACGATGGTGATGGCGATGGTGATGGCGATGGTGATGGCGATAGCGGCGGCGGCGGCGGTGCTAAGCGATTAATCACTCACGGTTGGTATCAAACGCCCGGATCCATCGCAGATAACCCGCGATGATTTTGGACTTGCTGCCGTAGAGCCAAGCGGCTGATGTCGGAGACTCCATGGCAACGGCCTTGCTCGCATAGTCGGCTCGGCTTGCCGCGTGAAAAAAGTCAATGCATATGAGCTGCGAGGCCGCTTCTTGGACACAATCAGCGCACCCATGATCCTGAACCACATGAATCTATGCAGTCAGTTCGGTCAGCTCAGCGAATGCTGTCCGGTCAGTCCAGCAGCTTACATTCTCGGAAAGCCATCCAAGCGGGAAGTCGTGTACTCTGAAGACAGAGACAAAGCGTGAGGACAATACAACAGCCGCCACAGACTTGACCACCAGCACTCCGAGGACATGGCTGTGATATCGGATCTTGCGGCCAGTGCTTTCCATCAGTAGATCGCCGATGCATCTCCAGCAATTGCATCCATCCATGCGGCACCACCGCTACATCGCCGCCAAGAGTGGGTAGTCGGACCGACCTGAGGATCTCTCGGTATCGGCGATATTGCTTGTTGTTGATGCCAGGTCGCTTTGGGCCATCTCGTACTCTGCCCTACCCTTGTCTCGTCCGTGCTCAAGATCGTAGATGACCAACGATGGCTCGCCTCGAGTTTTCTCGAAGCCAGCAAGCAGAGTGGCTTTATCGTTGGGGTTGAAGGCAACCAGACGACAGGGGCCCTTCTGGGATGCGAAATCCCGCACATTCACAAAGCCAGCCGAGCCGGACGGAGAAACGGGTCGGCTCCGGCCACCTTCCGGAGTCTTGTAGGAGGGGCCGCTGCCATGGCCGACGATTTGTCTCTCCAGATGCCCAGCAATCTTGGCGAGAACGACCGAGCCTGTAGATGTGCCGACCGCGATGATGTTCTCGTACTCCTGATGCGGCGACCAGTCGAAGCACTTTCGAGGGCAGCAACATTGGTGTCAGCCTCGCAGCACTGTTTCCCAGACCAGACCAGACCAGACCAGACCAACTCGATCACAGAGCAGCGGCATTCGCGGCCTCGGCCGCTCCTCAGAATGCCGGCTCACATACCCGTACGGATTTATCCGACGCCGACTTGTCCGGCACATACTTGGCCAGATACTTTGGAGGGGCACCGGAAACCTATCGGAAAGACAATCCGCGTCAACAGCAAGCCAGCAACAGCGAGCCAGCAACAGCGAGCCAGCAACAGCGAGCCGGCAACGACCCAGTAGCGAGAGGATCGAAGGGCGATAGAACCAGCAAGAGACCGGATTCCGTCCTTCTCTCGTCTCGAATTACAGCGTGCTGGCGGGGACGACTTACGTCCTCTGGATTCCATTGGTAGAGACAGAGATCCTGGCCCCCGACGAGGAACTTGTTTGCATATGGACCGGATTTGTGTGGTGTCCAAAGCACCCTGCGGACGCCGCACCGACACAGACACCGTTAGACGCTGCATCGTGGCTGCGGTCGAGTCAATTGCAGAGATTCTGATATATGCTGCACTCTTGCATTGCGACCAGCCATCGCGCCATATCGCCAGGGAGACCGACGTCCCCATCCGGCGGCAAGGTGTCGGCGCATCCATCATGTCGCTGTGCCGGTTTGGCAGCATCCTGCAGCGAGCTTCCGAGTGACAGAGTGCAGGCAGGGCGTAATGTGCATCGATGCCGGTGTCGGTGGTGCTGCTCACGGAGGTGGCCAAACATCTACCTCTTTGGCTTTGCACCGTGATTCGCATTCATGGCTGCGTCTCCGGCAGAAGGCGAGGCTGGGGAAGGACCAGGATATCGAAATCGGTGCGGGTGTGCTTGGGTTTGGGCGGGGGCTGCGGCTGGACACCTTGGTCACGTGAGCATCGCCCCTCGTCTCGCACCCGCTCGCTCTCGCTGGAGGGAGGACGGGACACATTGGATGCCGGTGCAAGCCCCTGCCATCCGGGCGTCCCGATCCAGCTATTCAGTAAGTCGGCTCTGGTCACGGCTCTGGTCAAGGCGCTGGCCTTGGCAAGCAATGTGGCGGCTCCCAGCTCTCGGTGCTCGGTCGTGGGAATTGCAACGACCCCTCCTCACCCACAAACTCCGAGATGGTTGTCATGATTACAGCTGCGCCATATGGTCTTTACAGGCAATCCAATAAAAAACGGGACACCCGGGTTTTTGACCATTGATCGAATATTTTGTTACCCAAAACCATCGCGCGCTGACCATGACCATTCGCCACACATCCGACTTTCGCACCGCCGCATTGCGATGCTACGCCCTCATCCATAGCCTGCGTAAGGTCGCCTCCATATTCAATGTGTCCAAAAGCACCATCCATCGATGGCACCGAGGATGCAAGCTGGATGACCCATCCCGGGTCCCAGCTCGCAGATCCACTTTCTTCGAGCAGGCATGTCCAGTCATTCGCACCCTGATTGAACAGGACCCGTTCCAGACTGGTCCTGTGTTGCGATGCAAGCTCGAGTCCATCCTCCAGAGGAAAGTATCACTCTCACTCTGCCACACTGCCATCCACCGAGCAGGTCTCTCACACAAGAGGGCAACACACCTCTACAAGTCCAAGCGACTGGATGAGCGAGCGGCACAGTTCAGGGACCAGGTCCGCTCCATCGACCCACGACGATTCGTTTTTGTCGATGAGACAGGGATCAGGAGATCCATTTTCCCTCTCTACGGATACTCGCCGAAGGGCGTCCCACTCCGTCAGCGCAATCACATGAAGCACAAGTCTGTCTCGGCTGCATTTGCCATCAACCACTCTGGTGTGCTGCATCGCATGTACATCCCCACATCATTCAAGACACACTCGATGGTCGAGTTCTTTGAGCGAGCGACCTTCCCAGACGACTCTGTGATTGTGATGGACAATGTCAGCATGCACAAGACAAGGGCTGTCCTGGACTGCATCGATCGCCGAGGATGGTCAGTGATCTTCACCCCACCTGCTTCACCCGACTTCAATCCCATCGAGAACTTCTTTGGGGTTGAGTCCCCACCGATTTGGGGTTGAGTTCCTCCAATTTGGGGTTGAGTTCCTCCAATCACCCCGCCATTTTCGCGTTCACATCCCTGGCTTGAGCCTCTCGGCGATTTTTGAACAGGGTCACTTCCCAACCAGCCCGCAAAGACGGGCTCCTGCTCTTGGGTATAAATGCCACACCTTCGTCCTGCTGCTTTCTTCCCTCATCTCGCCTTGATCTGATCATCGCGCCATTGTACGATAAAGAGAAGTCTCTCCTCTGACCAGTACCACTGGCAGGCATCCAGCATCCTCTGCCCCCATGCCTCCGAAGCGCAAGGGTACCGGTGATGGCCAGCCTCGGCCACCCAGGCCCAAGAAAGCCAAGTCACAGTCGGAGCCTGTCTCTGGTTCGTATTCTGATCCCACGCATGCTTGTTCGTCTGTTGCTCCGTCGCTCACCACCACTGCTTCTGCAGATCCAATGGATGTCGATCCCACCGAGCCTGGTCCATCTACTTCCTCGAGTACCGGCAAGCGATGTCCCAAGTGCGATGGCACCGATCACGAACGTTGCAACACCAGCAAATGTCCCAAATATCACCCCCTCAAGAGTTCTGTCGTCCCACTCGTGGATGGAAGGTCATCCGCCCCTCAGTTCAGCTGCTTCAAGCAGACGATGGATGGCTGTTGTCTCAATCCCGCTCTCCGCGACAAGATCCAGGCCACCGTCGAGGCCATGACCCAGATCCAGTTCGAGGCATCCAGGCTGCTCAACCTGCACATCCTCCGGTGCATCGAGCAGGATCTTCCCGTCCCCGTCATCTCCAAGTCCACCCCTGCATTCATCCGCCAGTGCTTCACGATTGTCGAGGCCGATGCCCTCTCCCCGACCGGGGACAATGAGAAATACAACGAGCATCTGGTCGCTTCCTTTCGCGACTACCAGACCACTCGGCACGCAGACCTGCCTCCGGCCCCTCGTCTGCCTGATGGTGCTCACAGTCAGCTTCTCACACTGGCTGTCAATGCCTATGCCACCAACTGCACCACCCACCTCGACCTGGCCTACTGGCGACTCCTTCGCCGCTTCTGCGCTGCCGTCTTCCCAGCCAACAAGCATAAGCACGAAGCCATCGAGGCCTGTCTCGAGCTCTTCGAGAAACCAGGGCAGACTCCACCCAAGGCCGATCTCGAGTTCCTCTATCCCGAGTTTGGCCACATCCTGGACGAGTTTCGGTACAGCAACGACCAGGACCGCTTCCGGGCCCTCCATCTCCTCTCACACCATGTGGGAATCCTCGCCCGGGACAAGATGGTCGACAATGTCCACAAGTGGATCGACTGTGACATGCCCGCCCTCCGAGTCACCGAGCTGCAGCGCCAGGCCAAGCTGGACGAGCTCACTACCCAAGGCATTCCCTCCGACGACAAGAGGTTCACCAAGGCCAAGTCTGAGCTCGGCACCACCAAGTCCAAGATCAACAAGCTGGCCGCCAGGATCAGCTGGGCTCTCAAGCAGCTCGCTCTTGACACTCCTCCGGCCGTGTGCACGATAGTTCCTCTATGCACAGCCAAGGCCAAGTATGTCAAGATTGACACGGTCACTCTTTGGAATCTCCTTGGTCCAAAGAAGCGCCTTGGACTCACCAGGGACAAGCTCAAGGAAGAAGGCGAGGACGGCATCAACAACCAGGATCGTCTCTGGCGCAGTTGCTTCAAGCTGCGTAGCTCCCTCTTCCGTGACCGGGATATCAATCACAAGCTGTTCAACTACGAGATCAGCACCGATGGCATTGGATGCACCATCGGTCTCGTCAAGTTTCTGCCTCGAACCGATCGCACCGAGACCATCGAGCCTCCTCCGACTGCCGAGCAGCGTATCCAGGCCCACATCGGCGACCCAGACCCCGATCGCACCACTTGGATTGGCATCGATCCTGGAGTCGGCTCCATCTTCACGGCGGTCATCCAAGCACCGGGCCACCAAGACGAGGTAGTCTCATTCTCCAATGGCCACTACCAGCAAATGTGTGGCCATACGTCCAACACCAAGTGGCACAATATCATGAAGTATCGACTCAGCATCGAGACCTGGATGTCGTCCACCCCCTCGCCCAAGGTGTCGTCCTCGGAGGCTTTCAAGGTCCATCTCACCCATGTCCTGCGACCGGAGCTGCGGGTGCAGCTCGACTTCCACCTTGGCAAGAAGGCCCGTCACCATCGCTTCACGGGCCACAAGAGGCGCCAAGTGGCCGTCGACAGGATGTGCAAGGCCGTCCTGAAGCACGCCCCGATACGGACCGATGTGGTGATCGCCTTTGGCAATGCGTCATGGCGACAAGGCAAGGGCTATGCATCCAGCCCTCGGAGGCAGCGGTTTGCTCGGTACTTTGAGCAGTTCGAGCACCACCGACGCCGTCCCAATCGCCCTCATGGAAGCATCAAGGTGGCCTCGACGAACGAGTTCAACACCTCGCAGGTGTGCTCCAAGTGCCTGGAGCCAGTTCGGTTGGAAGGACTCGATGCGCCCAGTGTTGCGAATTCCCACTTTGTCAGGAGCTGCAAGAATCCCAGCTGCCAGACAGTGTGGAATCGCGACGTCAATGCGGCGCGCAACATGATCACAGTATGCAGGTCGATTGTGGAGATCGGAGAGCGACCGGCGGTCTTCACTCGGAGGCTGCCAAAGTGATCTGATCTATTTCTTGTGGCTTTGCTTGACGCAAGCACAGCACATACTACATGTTCATGGAAACGGCTATATTGTCCCGTTTTTTTCTGAATAAAGTGTATTGCGATTGCTTGACCCCCAGGTGTGACTTCACGAATGGCCTGTCGGATTATTCCTGTATAGCATCGACAACCAGTCAATATCGCCTCGGCAGCCAAACCAGCCGGCTGCTCTCCAAGGGCAGAGCAACTCTCCACGGCATATAACCTGAACAGATTTGGCTTATCGGCGCCCCATCCAGCACCCCGCAGTCAACATGCATGCATGCATGCAGCACTTGTGTGGCCGTCACCGCCCTCGGACAAGCGATAATCCATCGGCGGCCAACACTTACCCCGAGGACGCCGAGGCGGACGAGTTCAGCGTGAAGAAGATGAAAATGAACATGCCTCCCATCAGAATGAGAGCGACGAGGTAGCATTTCCACTGATGGAATGCAACGACGCATGGGTTGGCTCCATCGAGGGACTGCGGGCTGGGATAGCACCACTCGCAGAGCGGGTCATCTACCAGCACCGTCACCGGGGTATCCTCGGCACCCGTGTACTCAGGCATCTCGAAGAGAACGGCGTCTTTCGGATCAATTGCGTTTGCCTTGAATATCGCCCGGATCTTTCTGTTCTCCAAAAAGTCGTTGTCGGTCGCAAACAGAAAGGCATCAAACACATGTACGAGTTCAGGCCTCTTGGTTTCTTCATCGCGCACCGTCTTGGTGGCTTCAGTGCCTTCGTCAAAGGGGTTCTCGGTGATAGGTGGGGCCTTGGCAGGTGACTTTTTATCCTTTTGAACCATCTCCAGCCACTGGGAAAACGTCGCCTTTTGTCCTGTGGGTGTAATTGCATTCACGTACGAGAGCGATCGGCGGCGGGATGCCGGTGTTGGCGGAGCCATTTTCCCAGCCTCCGTCGCGGGGATCGGCACCGCAAATCGGGTGACAAAGCCGACCGGGATAGGGGCCTTGGTCTTCTCGTAGTTGCCGAGCGACAGCGGCTGGTCTGGGAGCTTGGCATATGTGGATATGGCTGTGGGCGACAGAGAGTGGCGTCGCCCAATCACACTGGGATCGATCGACATCGGACTGGCCCCTGCATACGAGATGGAATGCAGCCGGTTTCGTGGGTTGGGTGCATCTGCAGAGTGCGGGTGTTGGACAGCACCTTCCTCGGCCTCCTTCAGGGTGGCCTTGCGAGTGGGTGACGGAAGAGCCACAATCGAAGCTTTCCTGGTTGCGGGTGCCATCGACTGTCGGCGTGCAGGAACGATTGCCGTCGATACCGGCTTGAGACTCAAGCGGCGCCTCCTTGGGCTCTTTGGGTCCTCGGCATCCAGGTCTTCGATAACCGCCGGGCTGGCCATCGTCCAGGTCGACGGCGCCCCCGACTCGATGGCCTTGACTGTGGGACTCGGATCCAGCCCCATGAGCTGGGCGCCGCGCAGACCTTCGGCCGGCGGATGCGTTGGCAGTCGCTGCAGCGGAATCTGGATCGACAGCTTCCTTTTCACGAGAGGCACCGGCTCGTTTTCTGCTTTCGGGGGACCGCCGGGCTGACTGGCGACCACATCTGCATCCTTCACGGTCTTGGTACTCTCCTCTGAGGGACTGGATGAGTCCGCACTGGAATTGGCTATGCGGACCATAAAGTATTGCACATTGCCAATGATGTCGGTGTTGGTCAGCGGGTTGAGCACATGCAAGCGATGGATCAAGTTCTTGCCCAAGTACACCTGCGTCTGAAAGAGGATCTTGTTGAGCTCGAATGCGTTGTAGTATGAGTAGAAGGCTCGATCGGGCTGCTTGTGGTCCCAGGTTTGCACCCTGGCGATGATGAAGCACTTGGTGCCCTTGGGCTCGGACTCGTAGTGGGCTCTGGCCAGGTCGCCGAAAGCCTCGAGGCAGAACGAGTCCTCATAGTCGGCATGGATAGAGTCCAGGAGGGTCGTGCCGTTGCTGTCGAACAAGCGAATGACTTCGTCCTCCATCTTGGACGGCTGGGGATAGCGAAGGTTAAGCACCGGCTGGGAAGCCCAAGCAGCAAGAGAGCAGCCCTTGGCTTCCAGTCTCTATACCAGCCGATGCATCCTCGGTCCAGCCGCGCATTAGTGCAAGTCGACGTCACCCGAGCTGCTGTGGCGATCAATGCCGACCCAATCAACTGCATGCGACATATGTCGACCCTGGCGTGAACACCGCCTGCCCACCGTATGAGCTCCGGTGAGCATGACCCATGGGCGGGGCCTTCGACCGCTCTTGGCATAGACAGAGCGCCGATTGGACCGATACTGTCGCCAGGCTGACCACAACAGAATTAGTGCGGCCCGGCTGGTTTGGTTGATGCTCTCACGCTTTGAATGCATTTTGTAGCAGGCCCGGACGAACTCGATGCGTCGCTTTGCGGCGCCTTGCCCCAGTCAATCAAGCAGATTGCTCCGGCTGCAGGACATTCGAACGGACCACCAGGCATCGACTCTCTTCGAGTCTTGCCAAGACACTGCAATCCGTCAGCCAGCTCAACTTCGGCATCGACCACCTGTCGTTGGAATCGCTCAAGTTTCGACTCCCCCAACAACACCCGTCCACGTTTGGTTGCTTCCCTTCCGCCCTGATCAGCGCCGTTGCTCGTCCCTCGTCCCGACTTCCACGGCTCGAGCTGAGCTGCAAGTCCACGTCGCCGTGAATCCGAATTTGCGTGTTGCAGACCCTCGGGCTTCTCGTTTCTGTCTGCTCTATCGCCGTAACCGATGCCCCTGAACCAGCCCGGGGTCCTCGATCCGGCCGAGTCCCCAGACGCGTCGGCTGTGGCCGAAGCCGACGGAACTCTCGAGGTCTGGATCCAGACCGTCAAGAAGGGGCTCTTTGGGGTGCTCTTCATCGTCAACAAGAACGACCACAAGGAGAGTCCGATATGGATAATATCCGAAACCATTCTGGACCACTTTCAAGACCTGGGGTTCCCGCTCCTATGCGTGCTGTTTCCGTGGCAGCCCGAGATCCAGTGGCTCCAGACCTTCCTGGGATGGTTCTCGCCCGAGTCTCTCATCGCGCAGTCGGATATTATCCTCTACATCCTCATGATCGTGCTGCTTCTGATCATCATCAACACCATATTCGTGGCCTACTCGTTCTCGCGCAACCAATTCCGGTACTTTTGGACCCTCAAGATCCTGCGTGTGACCCTCGGGCTGCTCGCCAACGTTCTCCACATTCCCACGCTCTCCAAGTTCATCCTGGCGATGGTGTACTGCCCAGAAACGCTGAGCATCAGCGACGGCACCCCAAGAAACATGATCAACTGCTGGTCGCCGACGCATCTGCCTCTCAGCATCGTCGCCGCCGTGCTGCTGACATTCTTCATGCTGTACGTGATTGCACGGATGATGCCGCCCCGCTCACCACTCGCTCTGTCGCTTTCTGGCACAATACTCATAATCAGCGAGCTGGACACGCCTCGTTGTTGATGCAGCTTGTCCGCCAGTGTAGTGATGCATCTTATCCGCGGCCCGTCATGCATCATATTATCGTATCCGCTTCCCTATCAGCCAACAGGCTAACCTGCTGCCCAACTGTTCTTCAGACTGATCACAGCCGTAAAGGCCACCTTCTTTGACCCAGATCCAAACGAAAAGAACATGCTGTGCCGGCCGCACTCGCGAGTCGAGCTGCTCTATTTGGGCTGCCGCACTGTCTTGACGGTTCTCAATATTATCTTGGCCGAGGGCTATGGCGAGACCTCCTACCCCTACAGCAGCCCAACCGTCCTGACATGGGTGTTTGCCGCAGCATGTGCATGCTGCTCTTGTCTGCTGGCGTTTTGCTACATCTGGGTAAGTATGGCACTCCTTGAATCGCGCGTGCTGCCGGCCTCCCTTCGAGGATAACGCTGTTGCTCGCCGCTGTATATGCCACGCGGCAGACTAATTCGAATCCCATACTCCTTTGCCGTGGACCGGGTACAATGGATTTGGATTCGATGCCTCGGATAACCAATGCGCCAAAGTATATTCCGTTCTACAACTTTGGCTACGCCTGCTTCAGAGCATGCACCATGCTGAACTTTGCCTGGGCGTCGCTTTGCGCCATCTACACTATCGTCCGGCCTGACTCCGATGTCGGGATATTTTACGTCGCTACGATCCCGCTGGTGTCTGTGTTTGCCATTCTCGCGGTTCGCTCGCGCAGGCGCTACATCGAAGGCAAATACTACAGTGACATCAATTCGCCATGGGTTATGGAGCTGCACATACGTTTCAAGCTCGAGCGCGCCGGCTTGCTCTACAAAGGAATGGGCAAGGCCGGAGCCCTCCGTAATGACGAAAGTCCTGGAGACTTGTCCTATCAACCGACTGTTTCCGATGACACTCAAGCACCGCCAACAGCATCCAAGGCCAACGTGAGCTCAGAGGAAGGCAATCCGCAAAAGGTCGTCATCATGGAAATCACCGAGATCATTTCCTTTGCCCTGAAGCAGTTTCAAGAGTCCTGCTTTCTCCAGCTGCTCGCCGGCCAGTTTTATCTCCTCCAGCTTGGCAACCGAAGCCAGTGCCTGGCTTCCCTGGGCCGAGCGGAGCATCTGGATCGAGACATTGATGAAGAGTTTTTGATCTACCGTCGGCAAAGACTGCTGAACGAGAAGTTTTCTGGTGGCGATGTGATTGACTTTATTGCGTGCGAGCAGAACCTGCGCTTTGCAAAGAGGTTGGTCGTTTGTCTCGATGACGCGGGTGGATCGAGATGCGATGGATGGCCGTGATCGATAGCCCGCTGGTCTGAACCGAGCTCCTTTGTTCCCAGATTCGAAAGACGAGCGACCATCGCCATAGCACAGTTCTGGAGAGAGCTGCTCAAGAAGCATCCCGGCATCCAGAAGCTCCAGAACAAGGGCTCGGACATCAACTCGGCAATCACGAGCGCACAGCAATATTACCTCTCCGTCCTGAAGCTGTCCCCCAAATCCTCAAACGTGTATCGCTTATACGGAAAGTTCCTCACCGAGATCATGAACGATCACAGGGAGGGCCAGCGGTACCTCGACAAAGCCGAGGAGATGGATACGGCAAATCCAGAGTCCCGGGACGGCGGCGAGAGGTTTGACGCTTTGGATCTCTTTGACGAGAAAGTTGCGCATGTCACCATAAGCGGCGATCGCGAGGATCTCGGCATTGTAGGTGTACCTGCATTTCGCAGCGCAGTTGGCTGATGTATGACGCAGAGGCAAGCACCGTCACTAAAAATCCAGGGCGCCTCCATAACCCTGCTTCCAAACAGATCCAAAACGTCAACTCGACCGTCTCAAAGCTCCTGGGATTCCATAAGAGCGAGGTTCTCAACCACAACGTCAAAATCATCATTCCATCGCCATTCGCAGAAATGCACGACATGCTCCTGCAGCGCTATCTTGATACAGGGTTTGCAAAGGTAATGCCGCAGCCCCGACCACAGAGCGATGTGGATGGCGCCTGTAACCGAGGCTGTTCTCAGTGCATCAGAGCCAGGAATGCGTTTCAGCCATCAGCGCATTCCTGATCTGCATTTCTTGGTGGTCAACTCGTGCCGAGTGGATTCGAGATACAGGCCTACCGCGTCACCATCGCTCGATGCTGACAGCTCCTTAACCCGGCATCATGCTTTCTTCCCAACCAGGTCATCGATAGAAAGCGGCACGTGCTCGCCATCCGAAAAGATGGCTATTTGCTTCCGATTGATCTGTGCGTCAAGCAGCTGACGACGTCTGGCGGTGGAATCTCCTTCATCGGCCTCATGCGCGCTGCCGAGCGTCCCGACGAGGAAGAGTTCATTATTCTCTCGGACTCGTTGCAGTTGATCCATTTCACCCAGGGGATGTCGCAGTATTTCAGCGTATCGCCGAGCGAGCTGAGCCGCAATGCAAGTGCCGGTTTCACCATTATAGACTACTTTCCCGGAATCAAGAAGGAGCAGGTCATCGACGGCGGCCGAGAGGTGCTCGTCACACTGCCGGACGACTCTAGCGAGGGCCATTATGATCTGTGCTTCCAGTTCACGCACTTTGTCATGGGCTCTGCTGGTTGCTACATTGTCAGGTTTGCCAAAGTTATCGCGGACCGCACGTCAAGAAGCAAGCGCGGAAGTATTGTCGAGTGCCCGTTTTCTGCGCGAAGACGATCGGAAGCACCCGAGTCGTTCCCGATGTCGTTCTCGCCGGAGGGCTCCTCCAACCAGCTGTCAGCCCAGAAGTCGGCCGAGCTCGGCCCAGGATCGGACCGATTGCGGAGCAGCAGCGTCAGCAGTAGCCGCACGGGAATTGGGGGCTCGTCGTACGCAATTCGCCTGATCTCCAAGAAAAACAAAGCCTCAGAGGCCAAATTGCGCCACCTGGCGTTCTGGTTTATCGTGTGTCTGATGATGGTATTTACAGGTACGGCCAGGGATTCCGTCTCGCTGATGGCAGCTGCGCTTTTCACAGTTGGAGGGCTCTATGGCTGCACTGCTGCAGCTGCTCATATATCCGAAAGTCGCCTTGTGTGCTGCCCTCGACCGAGACATATGCTTTGTAATGCGCACGGCATGTCACTTGATGTGCGTGTGTCTCTGTTTGTTCTCTGGCAACTGACAGCCAACGTTTGAATTTGACAGTCACTGTGACCGACATCATGCTCTACCGATTAGAGATAACCCAGCGCCTCAACAACCTGAACTACGTGTCGGCCACAGGAAGTGCGATGGTGTCGTCGGCCTCCATCGCGGACACTGTCCGCACCATTGAGCTCATCGAAAAGGGGATCGTTACCTTCGAAAGCATCTCCGACAAGGCCGTGTTCAGATCGCGGCTTTTGAACCTCATTTCTGTCATCAATACTGATGCGTTGTTGATTCCTACGGGCAGCGCAATCACCTTGATCAGCACTCCGGGCAGCAGCATATCCACGGGCCAGCTCACCTTCGTGGACGGCATCAACCGGTTCCTGACGGTATGTCGAATCCTTCAAAGCAGCAACCCGCTTTACACAGATCAAGCGGATATCCAGGCCGTCCTGCAGAATGCGATCGGCCCGATCATCACTGCCTTGGACTCGTCCACAGACCTCTATCTCGATTCAAGCGAAAACTCGTCGGGCGTCTTGAGGGCCTTAGTCGCACCGCTTCTCTGTGTCGTTGTCTACTGTTTTTTCATGGGCCCCATATTCGCCAGAATCAACGACAGCAAGGAGGACTTTTTGAAGATGTTTCTCGACATCCCAAAGGAAACCGTCAAGGCAATATACGAATCGCACAAACGTAAGTGTTGCAGTGGACTGTATCCGGCTCGGCGATACAACTGCTGAGAGCTGCCGGGTCAAAACGGTCATGCTCGCTAACGAATGCACTTTTATCTGCCCAGAACGGCTGGCCGAGGATTCCGATAACGAGGGAGAGGAGGATATCTTCGAGTTTGAAAACGACATTGAGCAACTGGAGAGCGAGCTCCGGTCGTCAGTGGCATCGTCGGTGATGAGAAGAAAGAACGCCAGCCTCGTGGACTCTTGGAAATCGTGGATCATATCGTTCTTTCGCGGACAACGGACGCCGCTGATCCGGATGGGGGTCATGACAACCATATGCCTCGTCTACTTTTTCATCGTCAGCGGAGTCTTCTATGCCTACATGAGCAGCAACTCAGGCGTCACCGTTACTATCCACCAAAAATACGTGCGCTTCATGTTGATGCGGCGCGTCACCTTTGCGCTGCGGGAAGCCTTCCTCTCGGCCACTGGGCAGAACGTCACCGTCGTGGCGCAGCAAGTCGCCAGCATCATCCAGAGCCTCGATCTCTACGAGACCCAGGTCATGGCCACGGCGTCGAACCTCTTGCCGTCTTCGTATGAGTACGACCTCACCTATCTCGATGCCTGCGTGCCAGGGTCACTGGCCGGATGCGACCAGTATGCCTTTAGCCTGTTGTCGAACGGACTCGCGACAAGCGTCTATTGGTATATTGATTCAGCGTACCAGGCTTTGCAGAGCATCCAGACAATTGGACTGAGCGGCACATACACCCAATTGGTCCAGTTGATGATGCTTTTGAGAAGCTTGGACTACAGCTACCTGCAGTACACCATCAACCAGGCAGTCATCAGCCACTACCAGCCGTTCATCGACTGGACGCAATGGTTCGAGACGTTCCACATCACCGTCGCATCGATCTTTGTGGCGGTGATGCTTCTCTACTACTGGCGCATCATCAATCCAATGTTTTCCTTCATGAGCGAAGAAACCAAGCGGGCGCACATCATGCTGCTAATGATTCCTCCCGATATCTTGGCGAAGATCGACTCGATCCAGGCGTGGGCAAATGAAAACAATGCCTCCAAAGGAATCCTCCGAAAGCTGAGCTCCATCATCAGCGTTGAAAAGATGGTTCCACCGCCTGCTCCGTCAAGTGCACCTCCTGCACTTGACGCGGGGATGCTGAAGAAGAACGTGTCGTTCTTCCATCCGGACGAAGAAGATGGCATCGACCTCGCCTGAAACGAAGGGATATTAGAAATGTTTCAACGCAATGGCATCGGGGTGTGGAGATTCCGCAAGAAAGCGTTGACGCACAGTGATAGAAGCAACGAGAGAAACCAAAGGCGAGAGACTCTACGACAGCATTTGTATTATTGGTGGCGGCTGGCGATGCGGTTGCTTGCTGCTCTAGATCTTGAATACACACGTGTCGATTCATCTCCTGCGCCGAAAGGGGGGGGAGTGCTGGGCAGATATGGATAAGGAGGCGACATAACAACGCTGTGGCACTCAAATCAAGAATGGGCAGATCGCCATTGTGACTGATGGTGAAGGGTGGATGGTGGATGAGAATATGTATTCAGGGTCCAGACAGGGATGTGGCCCCATTCTGGCCTCAAGAACAAGATGTTCGTCCCCCCGCCCCTCTCTCGTTCGTTTGTAAACGTTTATAGACAAATATTACTAAAAAATGGGCAAAATCACAGCGGAGGAGGAAGAAGTCCGAGTAAGGAGAGAACTGGAGCAAGAAGATGGAGGCGGAGGTGCGAGAATGGTGCAAGACTGTAAAGCGCAGAGGTGGGCTCGGGAACCAGGACCACAGAGGTTGACAAAGACATGCGCATATGGAAGTTGCATGACATGCGCGAGAGAAAGCGAGAGAAAGAGGGAGAGTGTAAAACTCTTTAATAAACTGCGAGCCTGTACTGGAGTACCTGACTCGGTTTACTGGCTCGAGTTGTCCAGATAGTAACCAGAGTTGTCGGGAGTGTAGCCACTGTTGTCGTCGCCAAAGTTGTTGTTGTCAAAGTTGTCGCCGTTGTTGCTGTAGCTGTTGAAGGTGTCGCCATTGTTGTTGTTGTTGTTGTTGTTGTTGTTGAAGTTGTCGCCGTTGTTGTCGTAGGTATCGTAACCGTTGGCATCAAAGTTGTCGTAGCTGCCAGTGTCGCTGTTGACGTTGTCGTAGCTCTCGTGGCCGCTGGCAAAGTCGTTCTGGTAAGCCTGGTAGTTGCCATAATATCCGGTCGCGGTCGAAGTGGACGTCGAGGTGACGCTACCCGCCAGGTAGTTGGTGTACACGGTGGGGTAGTAGGTCGCAGTAGGGGTCGCGGTGGGGGCTTGGCTATTGGCCCAAGTGGTGCTTGGGGTTGGAGTGGCTGCGGGACCGTATCCCCAGGTCGAGGTTGGCGAGGGAGTGACGGTAGGAGCTTGTCCCCAGGTCGAGGTGGGTGCAGCTGCAGGGCAACGGGCGCGAGGCACACCGGTAGCATCGACATTGGCACGAGACGAAGGGCAGACGGTCACCGTGGCGGTTTCTGTCCAGGTGTTTGTGATGGTGGCCGGGACAGCCTGGACGGTCGAGACCATGGTGCGGGTGATGGTTCGGAGCTGGGTCTGAGTCTTGGTCTCGGTCTCAGTCTCGGTGCAGGTGCGCACATCGACTTTGGTGACGGTGCTGGTTTGAGTCTCGGTGCGGGTTCGGAACTGGGTGACGGGAAGGGTCGAGGTGCTGACGACGGTTTGGGTGGCAGTGGAGGTAAAGGTCCGGAACCAGGTCTTGACCGAGGTCAGGGTAGAGGTGAGCACCTGGGTCTTGGTCGCCGTCGCGGTGGTGGTGACCTGGCGAGTCTCGGTGGCCGTTTCGGTGCGAATCCAGACCTTGGTGGTGGTCATAAGCGAGGTCTTGGTCTCGGTCTGAGTCTTGGTCTCGGTCTGGGTCAGGGTGCGAGTATCGGTGATGGTTTGGTACTTTGTGGTCGTTGTGGGAACCTGCACGGTGACCGTCAGAGTGGTGATGGCAGCCGGCTGGACGGCCGAGGTGGCACCCCAGGTTGTGGTGGTCGTGGGAGTCTGGGTGGCAATGGGGGCAACCGAGGACTCGGGGCATCCGTACGGACCGCAGCCCCAGGTCGTGGTGGGGGTCTGGGTGGCGACGGGAGCAGCTGAAGACTCGGGGCATCCATATGGGCCACAACCCCAGGTTGTGGTAGGAGTCTGAGTGGGGACTGGCGCTGCCGAGGACTGGGGCCAAGGCTGGTAGCTCTCGGTTACAGAAGGAGACGGCCAAGGCTGGTAGCTTTCAGTCGCAGACGGAGATGGCCAAGGCTGATAGCTCTCAGTCGCAGACGGAGATGGCCAGGGGGCATTCGATGGGGTGGGAGTTGGACCCCAGGACTGCGCTGAGTACTGAGGGGTTGCGGAGGGCTGCGGTGTGCTGTAAGCCGGAGGGGACCATGTCGTGGGAGCGGCCGAAGGAGCCCACGAAGACGAGGGCGATGTGGCAACGGGGACGACGGACGAAGCAGAAGCGGGGTACGAGTATGCCGGGGTGGCCGAGGCGCTGGGCTGCCACCAGCTGGACGACGAGGACGACCAGACAGCCGAGGCGGTTGGGGTCGAATAAACCATTTGGGGATAGCCACTGGGTGGGTCATTCTGGAGGAGCAAGCAAGAGGTAAGCAAAGGCAAGATGGATAGCAAAGGCAAGATGAATAGCAAAGGCAAGATGAATAGCAAAGGCAAGATGGATAGCAAGCGCCGGGATCGCATCCACGGATCCGGATCCGGGCAAGTATATCGCACCGGCCGATGGTATTCGCGGAGCCAGGCACCGCCCCCTCCCTCAGATCCCGAAATGAGTTCTCGCTCCAGACAAACGACTTACCGGTCCACCGTCCCGCTTGAGGATGGCCCGGCCATCGACACAGGCGTAGAGAGAGACGAGGACGAGCGAGGCGGCGCGGATCTTCATGGCAAGCTCGAGGAACGCCGGTTCAGCAGTGTCATTCTGCGTCGGCGGGCAGGCCAGCCAGCTATATATACGACCAAGGATGGCAAGGCTGGGCAATGTGCGGGGGCAATGGGCCCTGCTCCTGAAGGAGAATCGATGGCGATTGCATCCAGCGGCCGGATGGCGCTCTTGCGGATGGTCAACAAAGCGGGGAGGATGCCGTTGAAACAGTGTGTCGTTGGAGTATTACGCCGATGAGCAGCACCACACCACAGTCGACACCACAGTCGATACCACAGTCGATACCACGCTCGAGCAGCGCGCGGCTTCATGGCGCAGACGCCGAGCCCTCAGGGGCGCGCCGGGCTTGGGCTGCGTTCCTGGGCCCGCCGCGCCAGAGACCCAAGGCGTCGATGCGCCTGGCCTGCTGTCGCCCACCGCCTGCTCCGCCGACGGCCGGTGGGGGTGAGGCCGCCCACCAGAGCAAGCGCTCGGGACAAGGCCGTCGCTGGACCATGCAGGCGAGGCGATCGAGACATACCACTCGAACGTGAGGTGGAACATTGCCTGTTCCGCAGACGCCCATCCCACCGGCCAATTCCAGCCCACCCGGCGACGACGACATGCCCGACATGAGCCCACGGGCGACGGCAACACCGCCGGCGCAGGTTCATGGGGAAAGACAACAAGGTTCTCGTCATCGCAGGCGGCTGCATTGTCGCTGGCTTGCTGCAAAGGCCGGGCGTCGGGCTGGCACCGGACGATCCTGCTCCAGCAGCGGCCAGGCGCCGTGGGGACCGCTGGCGCAGAGGCTTCCCACCGGGTCCGTGGTCGATCGCCCGATGCACCGAGTGCCCAGGCGGGGAGAGGGGGCAGAGTCTCAGGCAAAGTTCGCAAGCCGCGGTGGGGCTGCGAAGGAAGGAATGGAAGGGTGGGATCGGAGCTCACATGTCGATCAACTTTGCGGTGTAGGACTTGTGCGGTGGAGATCGGGAGTGTCGACGACTGTTTCGATCCAGAGTGGACTTGGGAATCGAGAGCGTTGGTCGACACCATATTCTCGGGCACCCGATTGTTAGCATAGTATGAGATGCCTTGCGTCCAACAATGCCACATGCAATCCAACAGATCACTTCCGAGTGAAGACCTCGGTCGCTCCGGTCTCCTCAATCGACCGGCGCTGCTCGAATGGGAATGCTGTATCACTGCAGAGTGTTTGATTGCGCTATCACACAGACGCTGGTCATTGCAGATGGAGGCAACCCTTCAGATGGCCATGGACAGCGTGCTGCAGCCAATCCAATAAAAAGCAGGTTTTGGTCGTTGGTGTATGTTATCACTCAAAGCATTGCGTGCTGGCCATGACCATTCAGTGATGTGTTTCTGGATCTGCATCAAGGATGCTTTCTCCATCAGATGGCTCCCCGCAAGCGAAGGCCGAGTATCTTGATATCGATACACCATGGAGTTGTCCAGAGAGTCGAGTGAATGCACTGCACTCCCACATCGAATGCATGCACCACACTTCCACATCGATTGGGGCTCGCTGTTGGTTGACTTCCTGCCAATCATGGGCTGCAAAATATCACCAGCACCGATCGAGCAAGTCACCCCCGGAGTGTGCGTGCGAAAATCTCCAGCCGTTGCTCGAGCCCCCCCTCTGACCCGCTGCCGCCGAGCAATGGCCATAGGATGCTTTCGCTCCACCTCGCACCTATGAATGCGGCCTCCTTCGACCCCTCGCTTCCCTCTGATAGCGGCCTGAGGAGCTCCCTCGCAACCCTCGTCTCCGGCCCCGCCAACACAAAGACCCGCTATGCCTCCTCGCCAGGAATGTGGACCCATGAACCATCCGCCCAGATGACCAATGCCTATCTCCATAACTCAAGCTTCTTTCATGCCGACCACCATCACCACCATCACAAGAGCTTTTCCAGCCACGGAGAGTCCAAGGAGCACTTCCAGGGGATGCAGCTCCACCCAAAGATCATGGCCGAACTCTCCGGCACTCCGTCTTCCTACGCGACCTTCTCCGGAGGCATCAGCGTGTCGTCCTCAACTGCGAGCTGCAGCGGCCGCCAGCCCAGCATCGTCGACTATGCCCCGAGCAGCATCGTCAGCACCGTGAGCTCGACGTGGGACGGATCCGACCATGTAGGAACCCAGAGAGGCGGTCCGCTGCGGCCATTTGTCTCTGGAGCGTAGTGTCCGCTGGGCGATGCGGTGTGGTATCTGCTGGGCGATGTGATATCGTAGCTATTGATTGATGCCGAGTCGTTCGCCTGAACACACTCACGCTTGTTTGAACACACTCCCGTTTGCCTGAACACACTTTCCTCCCCTACGCGGCCCATCATCCTTCCAGAACTTTGATAGTCATGCCACATCGCAAGTCCACGACATGCTCGTAAAGCTGGAGGCACACCTCTATAATGGTAAGATGAGGCTTTGTTCCGGTCTGCTGGGCTCGCTGGGCCCGAGACACGCCGAACGAGCCGTGGGAACAGCCTCGCAAACCTCGGCCAAGCGAATGAACGAAAGCCGAGGCTGCGATGAGCACGACTACACATGCCATGGCGATTCTCGGGGCGATTCTCGGGGCGACTGCAGTGCTTGTACGGCAGTAAAACCAGGGTGCAGCCATACACCAAACTCCTGACTCGATGTCACTACTAAATCTCCCCCCTCCTGCCATATACAAACCCACCATCCTGCTGCTGTCACTTCTCCAGAAATCCAATGCCCAACAAATTCGCCAATAGCAGAGGAATGCAAGGAATGGTCGTCGCTCTTTCCGCACATACGGTACTTCCCAGCTGCCGCCGCTGTATATATTCCGGGGATATCCCCGCGTCGTGTGTGCGCCTCCGCTGCCTGACCAGCTATCAGTTGGATACGGCTTCGTTTCGCATATATTTCGTCTGCGGCATCAGTTTCACCGAATCGGGGTCTGGCACACAGTATACCCTGACTCGTCAACCCTTTCCATGGCGGGCCATATTTCTCTCTCGCTTCTCTCTTCTCTTCAGGGCAAGAGGACTCCAGATGATTCCTTCCAACGACTGTGGTTTCGAATACATCACCAGAGACCAGGTCCGGGTGCATTCTCCGTACTTTTACGTGCCCGAGTATCATGTGCCCGAGGACTCTGCTGCGGAGCTACCGATCGGAATCTTTGGTATCGGCCTCGCCAGCAGCGTCATGACCCCGCCACGCACACACGGCGAAACGCTCCCGAGCGATGCGCTGTCGTCAAGCACGCCGAGTCTCTTTGAGCAGTACCTCGTCAACAGCTCGTTTGACTGGTTTGGCGACCCGAAATGCGTCGAAGTTATCAAGTCCATCAAAGAGATGAAAGACCGGAACATCAAAAGTCGTTGGTACGAGCCCTGTCCCCTTGATGCCAACAGTTAATACTGTTTGTGGCTGGTGCGAGGACGGCGGACGATGGTGGATGTGTGCGTGTGAAGAGGCCGCTTCCCCTGCCTCCATTGCCCGCGTTGCCTCCATTGCCTCCATCGCCTCTATTGCCACTCTGCCCTGGATCCAACGCCTGTTTCACACCTGTTTCGTGAGATCCCAGTACCCTTGATTCGGTCCAAGGCTACTCCTGCAGACCTTGCTGACAAACTCGACTTGCTCCACCACAGGGCTATCTTCAAATACAAGACCACCCCAAACAGCTGGACCGAGCTCGGACGAGAGGACATGCCGTGGTCGAAAGAGATCGCGCTGAGCAAAGGACTCGGCCACACGGATGACACCGCAGCCGACCTTGCCCATAGCGCCTTCCAGTCCGAAGGAGCAGAGAGAGCCAATATGGGCGACAGCTTTGGCGACTATGCCGATTCTGACGATGGCGACAATAATGAAGGCGACGACGACGACGACAACGATGATGATGATGATGATGATGATGAGCGGTCCATCACTCCGACACCAGGCAATCGGCGACACCGACGCCGACGTCGGCACCGACAGCGAACATGTACTCCCACGCCCCATCGATGTGCTTCCAAAAAAGCTCTGGCAGGGTGCATCCGGAAGTACCCCGTCGAGGTTGTCTCGCACGGAGGCGGCGGCATGGATTCGCTGCGATCACAGCTCAGCAAGTGTCAGCAGGAGTTGCTCCAGGAAGACTCTATGAGCTTTGCGTTGCTGTGCATGGACAGCGCCAACATCGGCACGGTTGCCAAGAGTTTCGGAGTTCCCCAGAGGGACCCGGCAGCAGGTGTGTCCAAGGACATGGCCACGGCAGCAACGGTGTTTTCGGTCGGACCAAAGTCGCAGAGCCGGTCTCTGGAAGGCTACTCCATGCTCTTGTTCTGTTGGCCACAGCACAGCGATAACGATCTCCAGAAACCGGGGCACACCATCGATGTGCATGACGTATCAGTGCTGTTTCAGGTACAGTGAAACCACATCGGCGCAGCCGCTTCGGAAGGCGGCGGCAGTATTGGCGGCGTCTATTTACCAACAACCCCACGAATCATTCCCTGTCCCTGCCTCCATTCCTGTTCTTGCTCATGCCTTCCGTATCCAGAACGAGAATCTCAACATCTATGAGGCCATCGTGGCGTCGCTTGAGGAGCTCGTGAGGCACACCGTTGAGCGGCCGACATGTACCTTTTCGCCAATCGAGTGCTTCGAAAAGATCGACACCGACTCCAACAACGAGGAAACATTTGCAACGGATGGAGAGATCGACGAATGGTTTGCTCATGACGAGACGTAAGTAGATAGGGGGGTGGAGGGGAGGGACATGTATGGGAGTATATTCACTCAGCGGATCAGAGTGTCCTGACCGCTGTGCTTTCACAGCGGGACAATCGAGACGATCGAGTCCAGTACATACTCAAAGCACAAAGCCGGATACCCCCCAGTCACTCCAACTGCAAGCATACATCAAGATATTCTCGGGCACTGCTTTGATGACATCTGGTCCGAGGTAAGGCAGCATGGGAACAGTGCTGCGGCTGAGTCCTCCAAGGGCCCCAGAGCACGAGACCCCCTTGCTTTCATGCTTTCGTCCCTTCCCCATGAACGAGCTCCAGATAACCGAGACTGTGATTCCATTCAGATCATTCCATCACTTCAACCTCTGATGGAGATTGTATCGGAAGGTGAGCCCACCCATGCCATATTGCGAGATACGGGACATTGGCGTGTCGTTCAGCGACAGCCCTGAGGCTGCAGTGCAAGCCGTTTGTTTGCACCGACCATATCGACGGTCTGTTGTTCAATGTCCAACCGCGGGGTGTGGGGAAACCACCAACAGAGTTCAAGCGGCCAAAGTCCATCAACAAGCTGGATGAATCAGACTTTGAGGACGAGGAGACCGATGAGCTCCTCGATCTGGCGAGCGAAACCCTTCTGAGCGCCATGACCATCCGGCCCGTTCCCCTGCAAAAGCGCGAGCACTCTGCCCGGGCGAGATCCAAGTGAGTCTTTTCCCACCCACGGCCGCCTTTGTGGACCTTGGGTTAGCCCGACCGACGATAAGCTCGCTGACTGCCGCTGTTGCATGCAGCTACGACTCCTTTGGTCCGTACCACCTCGATAATTTCCAGGTCTCCCGTCCGACTTCGGCTCGGCCGACGTCAGGACGACAGCCTTCGACCCGGGCTACGTCTGCCCGACCGACTTCGGCAAAGAATGCAGAGCTCCTGCACAACACCCAAGCCAACATGCGAATCCCCAGCGCACTCATCAACAAAACCGGCAACTCGTACTCGTGGAAGAGGTAGGGCTCTGGCGTCCACAGACAACCTGTCTGTTGCTGTTGCTGGCCGTTTCTGCGCAGAATGATATTCATGCCAGGGTCGCCTCATCGCATATACCAGGAACAACCCAGGAATGCGCTTGCTTCCGCTCAACTCCTCAGTGGCGTCAGCGCAAGCTCCAGCGTCGTTACCGCTGAATGATGTGATATTCGGAACCAGGTAGGCTCAGTGCATTCTTCCTCAGCAGACGCAAGGGAGGGGAGATCAGCGCTGTTCTCGAAACAGACCCATCAGCTTCAAACGCCGCTTGTCTGAATCCACATTCATTACAGCATCGGGCAACTCAAGGCTGCCGGCGGCCCGCCCCAGCCTCCGGTTGGATGGTAGGGAGAAATGCCCCGTGCTTTCGATCTCAATGTAGCCTGGGTTGATGCAGCGGCAGGTCCGAGATGAATCTCATCGTGTCTCTGACCGGGAACATCTCGATGAACGGAATTGCAGGGACACTTCGTCGCGACCATCAACATCGTACTCGACCGCCGCGGCACCTTCCGGCAAGCGTCTCCCGCCGATCCGAGGTGGAATCGCTACGCCGAGCGTGGCTTCTCACGATGCCATCACGGAGGCCCTTGGAGGAAGCAGCCCGGCGCTCATGTACGGCGGTGGGGTGCCGATGGGCCAGGCCAAGTCTACGAGACATGTGCTTTTCGACGCTCCAGAGACCATCGAGATAGTGAACCGAACTCGGGCAGGCTCGCCCAGGCCATTTTCGGCGAGGTAGGGATGTGCTCGCAGCGAGTCGAGAGTGCGCTTGCTCATTGCCAGTGCGGCAGGTGTGGGGATGTCGAGGTATCGCATCAATACTCCGGACGGATGAACCAGGACGCACAGCCCAGGCAAGGCAACGAGTCCATGTCTGGCTTATGCTGATGATTGCATGGACTTGCTTGCCGCCTCCGCCTCCCAAACTCCAGACGACAGCCTTCCGCCAACTTCCGGAACCGGCTGACATCAACGTCCAGGCCACACACTGCCTTTGAGCGAGAGGATTCCAAGGTGGGTTGCGGGTCGCCTGTGTGCACCGACGATGCAAACCGACCTGGTCAGCCGGGCAGAGAATCCCTCAGCGCAGGGAGAACTAGTTCGGCGCAGCTCGTCCAGCGAACTAATACTCGTGGGATTACGTTTGCTGTCCCTCACGGCCACGTCCGCAACCCAGACGGCCGCCATTGCCTCCAAGTCAAAATCTCGAATCACCAGCGGCACGCATACCGCCAGCGAGGACCGGGCCATCAGCCCCATCACCGGCACAAGAATGGCGCATTCAGGTGAGCCATCTGCACCAAATGCCTGCTCGGTGGCCTGGGACCGGCCCAGCGGCAGCCGCCCTGACCGTCCTCGCTTCCATTGCTCTGGTCCTGGCTTTGGTCAACGTCGTTCCTGGTGCCGTCATGGAGGATCGCGGCCGCCGATCATCTCCAGACGAAAGGCCCGAGACGGCTGAATGTCCAATGCTCGCCCAAGCAAAACAGATCCGCATCGGCGGTGGCGGTGCCGTCCTGCTGTCGAGGACTCAGGCAAAGCCGCAACCTGGATGATTCCCGGCTGTGCCTCCCGCACAATCCACCCCAGCGAGACCGGCCGAGAGGAAGGCGACATGCGGCGAGAAGCAGGCGCCTGCCCTCCCAGATGGCCTGCAGCACCATGCCCGGAGCTGCCCAGCGGCAGCAATAGATGTATCTTGATCCAGAGCCAATGCAGCGCGCACCATGATCGGTGTCGAGGACTGCAGTGCTGGACCGGCTGTGTGGGCGGCGGGCTTGCTCGACAATTGTTCTCGTTCGGCCAGCGCTCTCGCCATTCGCGTTGCTCTCGTCATGGAGAGAGCAACCCAGCAGCGCCGCTGATACCCACCCCTTGATTGCCCCGCCTCGATTGCTTCGTCTCGATTGCTTCGTCTCGATTGCTTCGTCTCGATTGCTTCGTCTCGATCGTCCCCGGTCTGTCTCCATTCAGCCTTTACCCTAGCACATCTCCAGCTCGCAATGTCCGAAGTCGCTCTGCCCAAGCTCGACATCAAGTTCAACGTCAACAACCGCTACTTCCTCGTAAGGCTTGTCCCAGCAGCCGGTTTCATCCCGCCCCTGGGCGGGACATGATCGGTCGTCCTGCTCCCCCGCATATTACTCCAAGCCTGATTTGTTCGGTGCCGTCCTCTCCCCGTTGGCAGACGGGAATCTCGGGCGAAACGCGGGTCATCACCAGTGAGCACGTCAAACCCAACCAGAAGCTGCATGTCAGCGAGTCCAGCGGCTGTGAATTTGTCGTGGATGCCACCACAAGCAAAATATGCATCGGTAATGCACCAACAGACGGCCCCGAGCTGCCACTCCATTCACCTTTGCCCACTACAGCCAGCCTGTTATCGCACCGGTCGAGCGAAACCCTGGGTGCTGACCAATAGCTGGCTTTGTTGCCGACAGAGCGGTGCAACGACATGGTCGTCAAGATCAACGGAAGGATGATTGCCAGCACCGTGGAGGTTTGGCTCTCCAACAACGTCACGTTTGAGGTGCGTTGGTCCAGCAAAGCATATAATGCAAAGATTCGGCCACTCCGTTGCCAGGACATGGGCTGCACATATCTGTGCTATCATGGTCGTGTATATCGCCTCTCCTCTTTCAGCAATACTGAGCCTCTCCCAACAACGCTATGCAGATCAATGTCCCGGCGCTCACTCTGCAGGCCGAGCAGTGCCGAACCGTGACGTTCCACTTCAACACCCGCCAGAACTTCCAGTCCCTCTACTGGAACCGCTGCTTGGATATTGCCTTTGAGTTCCGGGACGAGCCCGAGCTGCCCAAAGGTATCTGGCACAGGCCCCCCCCCTTGCTGATGTGCTCCACCTTGCCGGAGCTTGCAAGTCCTTGGGCCGGCGGCAGGCTCCTAATTCCTTATTTTGCTTTTCAGAAAAACTGACGAGCGGCATTCGAGTCGCATGCACCATGTTCAAGAGTCTGTATAGCACGGATCAGTTCCTCGTGGAGTTGCAGGTAGGCAAGCATGCACTCTCATTACCCCGCCTTGTCGCGGGTGTGATCTACAATGCTCGGCGTCGTCGGAGAGGAGGACTGGGTTGTAAAGATCAAGTTTGGGCTGTGAGCGCCAATGGTGACATGTGAACCCTTGATTGCAGGAGGGAAACCAGGGTCTGTCGCTCCACAAAACGGCTCGAAACAGGCTGGGCTACATCTGCCGGATCGTTAATGCTCCTGTTGATTCGGAAAAGGAGGGTAGCGAGTATCAGGCGCACTAGTGGAAGGAAATGGGGGGGGGATTCGATTGGAGCCATTTGGTCAATTCTATTGTTGCGGGAGAGCAGCTCGTATCTGTATGTGGGCTGCGGCCATGGCTTTGGTGACTCGGTCTCCTCGACTCGGTCTGCGTATACGCCATGAACAAGATGTGAAAGGAGTCCCATTCACGGTCTATGAAAAACAGTCTATCCAGAAAAAAAAACGGGACAGTCACTTCCTGGCTTCAGATGTCTGAAACCCGCTGACTGACTGTAGGCCCAGCGGGCAAGCCATGCGATTGTTTCCCGTCCTGGTTGGCAATCTCTTTGTTTTGGTTGGTTTGGGAAGCATGGTCTTGAATACACTCGGTCGATCTCCTGTGGCGATGATCGACTGGCATTGATGTGTCGATATTGGAGTGCGGTGCATGCATTCGATGTGGGAGTGCAGTGCATTCACTCGACTCTCTGGACAACTCCATGGTGTATCGATATCAAGATACTCGGCCTTCGCTTGCGGGGAGCCATCTGATGGAGAAAGCGTCCTTGATGCAGATCCAGAAACACATCACTGAATGGTCATGGCCAGCACGCAATGCTTTGAGTGAGAACATACACCAATGACCAAAACCTGCTTTTTATTGGATTGGCTATAATCAGGGAGGATCATCGCAAAGTATCCCGGCAGAGAAGGACAATGGAGAAATGTTGGTAGGCGCTAGGATGTATCAGCCGGGGGAAGGCGTCCACTCACACAGGTGTCTAGTTTCTGCTTGTCCGTTCGTCAATCTTGACCTTGGCGCTCAGCCCGGCAGCGCTCAGATCAACCACAAACTTGAGCAGGCGGCAAGCCCACAAGATGTCGATCAGAAGCTTGTTCCATGCAAACGAGCCACTGACAAGCTGCTCGATCTGGACATAGTTGGTAAGGATATACTCGATCATGGACAGTAACAGATGGATGACGGTGACGGTATAGATGTGGAGCTTCATGTCGACAAGGGAAAGGGTGATAGAGAGCAGATTGCAGGACAGCGTGAGAGGCGTGTCGACTTGCTTGCTCGCGAATACCTCGGTCACGCTAGGGAGAGAAGTCGACAGAGCCACAACTTCCTAATTCTTGCGACCAGAGCCGCACAAGTCCAGCCGGTTTCCAGTCGAGACAATCACTTACCGCGTCGACATTGGGACGAGTGGGCGGTAGCGCTTGCGGGGCGGCAGCTGCCATCCCAAAGGCTCCGTATACACCTGCATCTGTCCTTGGAGCCAAGGGGACACTGTTGTGTTGGTGGCTGGTTTGCACTGCCGTCCAAGAGGCCGCGGCCGCTTCCAGCACCAGGACCAGATTCAGCGATATGCTTGAAATCTATCCGCGACACAGCCGAAACGGGTCAGCAATAAGCATCAAGCACCAACGACGACGCGACATGGTTTGGTTGGTACGGAAATGAGGCTGCCGCTCCCAGCAAGGGCTCGCCGATCAAATCAAGGAGATACGACCGAGGGAGCAGGACGGCTGCGTGTGGGGCGCACTCTCACCTGGGAATAGAATGCAAAATCCAGAATGGTCGTGATCGCGAGTACGCCGTCCAGCACCCAGCGCCAGCTTTCGACAAACAGAGACAGAGCATGTCGAAGTTGATCGCTTTCTTCCTTTCGAACGTTCAGCGAGTCTCCAAAAATGCCCTCGATTCCTGTCTCCTTGGGAGGCGGGAAGAACCGCTGGGGTGCGAGCTCGATCTTGCGTCGGTTCGCGGGCGCATCAATGTCCATTCCAGTCGACGGCGCAACGTGGCGTTGGCGGAAAGAACCGACGCTGGGGGCCGACGATCGTGATGACGAGGAAAGGTCTAGAGACTGGAAGGAAGTTGCGAAGGGGAGTGCCTGAGCAGAGACAGGGACGTTGTTTCCAGGCAGTGCTCCTTGGGCGCGCAACGGAACCGGAGGCCGCAGGCCGGAAACGCTGGTCGGAGGAGTGCTGGCTGAAGGTTGAGACCGGACCGGGAGCTGTCCGAAAGAACTGGGCCGAGTGTTTTGGTTCACCAAGTCAAGCCGGCTGTCCATTTTGCCTGAAAATCGGTTGTGGTGCCCAAAGTATCCCGGTTTCAGTGTGTTGGAGGTGAGTTCCCACCACGGGGCGGCCTTGGGCTGTGCCGAAGGCGCAAACATCGGATGGACATTGCTGGTAGCCCTGGCCGGCTTCGACGACTGCCCCAAGCTCAAGGACCCGAGGAGGTCATTGTCATCCATAATCTCATCGTCGGACACAGGCAAATGCTGGAGAGACTTGATAGGGGTTGGGTTCTTGGGTTTCGTCGGTGAGGACACTGCGGATGGCCGGACCGCCGCGCGAGGTATAGCAGCAGAGTGACCAGGCTCGGTATGGCCAAGGTATGACCGACCGATCGAAGGCATCGCGTACGCTCGGAGAAGGAGCGCAATCCGATAAGCCAGCTGGAACAGGCATTAATGCAGTTGATCAGCCAACTACTTCGGTCTGTAGAGCTGCAGGCACCGATCGAGTCAAGGCGCCAGGACCTACGCAAACGTATCGGCGTACGTGGGTCCAAGGGGCGCCAATCCCAAAGGTGTGAAGCCACAAACCCAATCAACTTACATAGATGCACCCGGCAAAATATGCTCCGTTCAGCCAGGGAAACACGCTATCAGGAGCAAAACTCCACAGCGCTTTGCTCGCAAAGCCAACGGTCAGAGTTGCGGCGGGCCAGACCTGCGGGCGACAATTGCGTCAGTGTCACTTGCCCTTGACATGTTATGCTTGACGTAAAGAGACCACACTGGCTGTGAGTGTGGTCATGCGTTCTAACTGAGCAGTTTGCGCGGCTCTACTCCATGCCCAAGTCACAACTTACCATGACCGTCCGCTTATACTGCTTTGGGATTGCTCGGAGCATCGGCATCGAGCACGCCACGACGCGAAGGAAGATGGTTGAGAGATAGATCGATGCGGGGATGCAGTACAGAACCAGAATATCGTAGTGCTCGAGCAGTAGGCATGTGCAGCCGAGGTTAATGTTGATCTTGCGACCGACATAGCCCGCATTGTCGTCTGCCTCGGTGATCCACGGGTTTCTCAGACATGCAAACAGTTTGGACGGCAGTCCCCAGCTGTGCAGACTGACAGCTGGTAGCTCGTGACTGGGCAAAGGACTACTCCAGAGGCGAGAGAGCAGCGAAAACGTGGTTGCTGTGCAATTGCCTCGATCTGCAAACAACACCCAGTCGCTGAATCCTAGAGGAATCGATTGGAAACGGCCAGTTGATTCAGATCATTGTGGCCGCTATCGTCGCGACTGCAGCCGAGACAAGCAGGCCCCAAACCCTAAAACGAACGTCGCCCACCATAGATTGCGTGTCCGCTCCGTACCTCGGAAAAAGGCCATGGTCAGTAGTGTCAGACTTGCTGCTCCATATCCGATTGAGACGAGAGCAAAAGCCGTTTCCAAAATCAAGGCCGAGAGACTGTATAGGCCATTCAGCATGTGTGACTTGATGCCGAGTCGCCGCTGCAGCTTGTCAAGCCATGTGCCTGGACGGCCAAGATTTGCATGGAAGCCACTGTCGTCGCCATCGCCGTCGTCCAATTCACGCAAGTCCGAGTCTTGACCCTGCTGTGTGATGTTGTGTCGCTCCGTGCGAAGTTTAGTGCGTTTGTACTTGTTGACGAGAGGCTTCAGATAGCTCTGTTGCTGTTGAAGGAACGAGTCGACCCGTCCACGACAGAGCTTACAGACTGGCGGATAGCGTGCCTCGATCTCTTCCCGCTTTGTTTCAAAGCTAGCACAGGCAATCTCGTAGTTTGGGTCCTGCGTACGCATCCAGCAGTGTGGTTAGCAGTGCACTGAGGTCTGGAGTTGTGAGCTGAGCCAAGGGATGCCGCACCTCTTCATCGGGAATGCATTGACTCAAGAGCTGGTAGATAAGACTCTGATTGTTGATGCATTTTTCGCAGAAGGGCGAGTCTCGGCTAGACTCTGTATGTTGTTGTGTGTTCAAAGTTGGAGGAGGGGGGAGTTGGAGAGGCATCGGGCTCAGTTACGGGTTGGTTGGGTTCGATCAAGTATGCCTTGATCAAGCTCCATAATACGGATGAACATTGACAGCAAAACGATGGGCGATTTCTGTCCGCAGGTGATAGCTGCTCGCAAAAACTCAATCGCACAACCTTGATATTCTGCTGGCGACAGATCGACTCACTCTGCGACGATGCCTCGGTGGCAGATAGGGCATATCGGGGTGTGGGTGTGTGTGTTCCTTCCCAGTTGTGAACGTCCGGCTCGAGAATATCGCCATTGGGATCGAGCTCGTTCCAATTCATGCATGGGCAGTACCACCGCTTGATGACATTGGGGCTGTCTGTTGGCCAATAGTCGATCTGTTTGAGGCCGCTTCCTCGAGACCGAGCTGGCTCGGTGCCGGGGATGGCTTTGGTTCCGATGGCCAGAGGCGGTGGCGGAAGCTGGCTGATGCTTTGACAATAAAAGCATTGAACGGCGATGGGTTGGCGCTTGCGAATCAGTGCAGCGTTGCTGTTGTGGGGGGGGGAGTTGGTCAGTTGGACGGCGCCCAAGGAAGTCGTCAATCGCCCGAGCGCATTGAGCAGCCAAGCGGGGTCGAAGGGGAGCCAGAGAGTAGCAGATGGCAGTGTCAGCGAACAGACAATCGCATTAACACGCCTCGGGAATGGAGAGATGGGCGGATTGCGCATCTGCAAGGTGACGGACACATGGCATGCGGCGATATGTGCTTTGACACATCACATGCAATGCCATGGGCTCGGCCGCACCGTATACAGTCGCATGAGATTGGACATGATCTACACATTTCAAGCTGGAGACGCACCGGTATGTGACGTAGAACAGAAGCACCGAGACCGCAACAAAGGAAAGGAGCACGATGACAGAGGAGACGCTCTCGCCCAGAGCCATAGGCAGCGAGAGTAGCATGGGAGGGAGCATGGCCTGTGCGGAATGCCACCGGGGCCAGATCAAAACCGATCCATCTCGGCGGCACGGTTTGGCGGGCAAGTCACAAAAAAAGCGCTCGCCCAGAATGGCAAGATGATGGTTGGCCGGGTGGTGGCCGGGTGGTGGCCGGCCGCGCCGTGGCAATGTGGCTGCCCTCAATGTGGCCAGGTCGTGTGGCAGTGCCGACTGAGCCAGAGCCAGCAACACAATCCGAGATATTCGCACCAGGACATTCGCACCAAGATACTCATATCAGGACATTCGCACCAAGATACTCATATCAGGACATTCGCACCGGGGCCGTCGGGGATTCCAGTCGCCGCTTGGCCACGCCGTGCCCTGACAAATCTTTCGCCATTTCAAATGCCGGATTGCGAATTCGCGCCCCTGGTGTCGTTGGGCCGAGCCCACGATCGTGGCTGCCGCGCCCAGCCTGGCTCCATTTCTTCTCGACCTGATCCGCGCTGCGATCCGCTCTGCGATCCGCCTGCCCAGCCCGCCATCAAAACACCGTCGCCATGGCTCTGTCGTCGTCCTCATCGTCCTCGTATCTGCCCGACCGGCCTCCTCCTCTCACCGAGACACAGCTGCAGGAGCTACGTGACCACGCCGTCGACTGGTCGCTGGTCAACGGCCTGGTGCTGCGTCCTGCCTTGGCTTCGGTCAATGTGACGCATGCTCCATTTGCTCTGTTTCCGTCGCCCTTTCCCAGGGCTGCCTACGAGCAAGTCGTGAAGCTGCAGCCGCTCTTCAATTCCCTTGTGCATGCCATCGCCCAGGACGACAAGTTCATCCGCGAGATCATGGAGGAGTACGTCCAGTCTCATGCTCGCCTGTGTCGCTCGCACTCCGGTCGGGCTGCCTGTCTGACCTTCCTTCCCACACTGCCGCTCAGTCTCTCCAAGGTCGATGATTTCGTTGAGCAGGTCTATGAAATCTACAAGGCTGTCTCGGCCGAAGGCTCCACCCAGGTGAGCGACGAGATCACCATCCGAGCGTCAAATCGTCGTGTGTTGGGGGGGGGGTGCTCAGCAGATTCAGCCGGGCTCCCGACTGTAACGCTCCTTGGCCCCATCGAATGGCATAAACTATGTGCGTCTCGAGCGAACTGCATTATCTCTCGAACTCAGCCTCACGCCGCTCTCCCATGCTTGTTGTTTGCGTCGATGCGCCTCCCTCATAGCCCGTCACTCTGGGATTGCATCGGTCCGACTATTTGCTCCATGTCCCGAGCGGTGCCCCCAGCGACTTTGTTCCTGTCCCACAGCAAGTCGAGCTCAACACCATCGCGTCGTCGTTTTCGTCGCTGTCGAGCGTTGTCTCGGAGCTTCACAGGTAGAGCAACACACGCAGCCATTAAGTTCTGTTGGGTGAGAGCAGGCGCCAGGAAATGTACTAGGCGAAACCATCTGCACCCGGGCGTGCGAGGTCCTTTGGATTGAAGTCACCACCGACGAGCCTGAAGCCGAGAAGCCCTCCAAACAACTCGGAGGCATGATGGAAAGCGGCCTTACCGACATGGTGGCCGACTGGCTCGGCTTTTGTTTTCGGAATCTATGTTGACCCTTTTGTCGCCATCCTGCTTTAGATTCCTGGCCGAGAGAACCAACTACTTCAACAGCCCCAGCCTTCCCACTCCCGATATTACCGTCGCCGGAATGCCCGAGAATGCGTCGAGACTGGGCCTTCCGAAGGCGTTGGCCAAGGCCTGGCAGCTCTACGACAACAAAGAGTACGTATGCTGTTCTTCAAATCGGGTTGTGCGAACCAAGTGCGATACGTCTTGTCGGCCCCTTGCCCAAGTCCAAGCGGGCCGCGCATAGCTAATCTTGCTCTTGCCGTCGCTCCAGTGCGGTCGTAGTCATGGTCGTCCAGCCAGGCGAAAGAAACGCGTTCGATCAACGATGGATCGAATACACCTTGTTCAAAGTGTTGGTATCAGTGCCACTCGAGACTGAGAGCCTGTATTCACGAATTCGTAAATGAATCGCTTGCTGGTTGATCGCCGCGAGTGCTCACCTGCATCGTGCTGACGACCTCTCTCCAACACGCGCTCGTCTACAGCCACCATATCAAGCTTGTCCGCAAGACCCTGGCCGAGATCGATAGCGAGGGTACCCTGGTCGGCGACGAGCGAACGCTCGTGATGTACGTACATAGCCGAAGCCTCTTTGCTCTCTCAGAATCGCTCCGTGCACATACAATATGGCGCAGTTTGTGAATGACCAGATGCTGTTGCTGTTGCTGTTGCCATGACCAACATCGCTCCGTACCAATCGCAGCGGAAAGCATGAGGTCGCCGTCACGTACTTCCGATCTGGTTATGCCCCTACTGACTATCCTTCCGGAAAGGGCGGAGCGGTAAGTGATTGGTCTGATGATATCGCAGCGGATCGACTGCAGCCCAAAGCGCCTTCACCCGACAATCATTGGTCTCTGTGGTCTGGGATCGCCTGGCTGATTATCCACCCGAACACCGACTCCAGGAGTGGAGAGCACGCCTCTTGATTGAGCGTTCCAAGACAATCAAGTGCCCCAACGCAGCGTACCATCTTGTTGGCACAAAGAAAGTTCAGCAAATCCTCGCCCGCCCTGGCGTAGTCGAACGGTCAGCTCGTGCTCAATGTCCTCTCACGCATTCCGAATTACGACGAATGCGATTGTTGACAGCATCTTTGCATCCATTAGGTTTCTCAAGAACCCTGTCGAGGCAGCTCAGATTCGCGCTAGCTTCACCGGACTCTACCCGCTCGACAGCTCGGCCGAAGGTTTGGAGGCAGTTAAGCTGGCTCTCTCGGATCCCGGTCGGTTCGTGATGAAGCCTCAGCGAGAAGGCGGCGGTAGGTTCGCCTGTAGATCTGAATATCAGCGTATCTATGTTGCTGCGTGCCGATAGTTCAGTGTGCCGGCATATTGTTGGCTCAAGACCATCGTTCTCATCACCGCCATTCGTTTTCGAATGATATGGTCGACACGCCGGGCCTTAGGCAACAACATTTACGGTCAAGATATCGCCGTGGCCCTGAACAAGCTGACGCCTAAAGAGCGTGAGGCTTTCATTTTGATGGATCTCATCCAACCACCTCGCATGCAAAATGTGATGGTCCGCAATGCCGAGATTATTCCGTCCGAAGTCATTAGCGAATTGGGCATCTATGGCATCTGGGTTAGGTGAGTGGTGCGGGTTGAATTGGTCGTGATCGAGGCTAACTATCACCAGCCACCCAGTGTCTGAGGGCTGCTACTATGGTTGGCGATATGGCGAGTAATCGAATGCTAATCCGCAGCAATGCTACTCTCGATCGGTCTCTGTGCAAACTCGGAGCGCAGCGAAGGCAGCGTTTGCCATCTCAACGAAGCCGCTGGACATCTCTTGCGAACGAAGAAATCGGACTCCAACGAGGGTGGCGTGGCTGCTGGATTCGCTGTCATTGATAGTCCTCTGTTGCTGTGATCGCTCGCCTTCGAGTCGTCCGCTTTCCCAGCTGGTCCGGTGTCGCCCGATGGATCGGCCTTTGGGCGGCTCAGTGCTCGCTGACGAGACGTTTGCACGTCTTCATCAAGGAGCTGCGGTTAGGCTGTCGTTAGGCTGTCGTTAGACTGCAGATGCGTGGCCCTCACATCATTCATGCATAGGGTCGGCTGGGTGGGGCCCGGACAAGGGCATAATGGTATTGCAAATGTAATCGTGCATACAGTGAGCTCGTCAGAACGTATGGCTGCAAAAGCAACCAGCTGAGGGGGGACTATTGTGCAAGGCTGCTGTCTGTAGCCACACACACGGATCAGGATTCCGCTTGTTTCCATCAAGAACATCTGCAATGCAGCACCCGAGCGCAAGAAACTACTGCTTCGCGGCCTTCTGCTCTTCATTAAATTGTTTCCAGAACTCGCCCGTGATCTCGAGCGCCTCCTCCATGGGAACAAGGGGCTTATAGCCGAGCCGCTCCTTTGCCTTTTCGCAACTGTAGTAGCGGTTGATGGCAAAGGCTTTGATTCGGAAGACGGTGAAGGATGGGTGCAGCTCAACGAAGGGCTTAAGCGCCCAGGTAGCAGCATCGGCAAGGTAGGCAATCGGGAAGGCGACCGAAAGTGGGATACGGATGGTGCCTGAGGGCAGAGCACCCCAGATCTGGAAGAAGCGCTTGGGGATATCCCAGAAGAACATGGGCTGGTCGTTGGTGATAATGAAGGCCTGTGTGCGTCGATTGGAGCGAGGTAGCACCGCAGAGTCGATTAGTTGAGCGGCAATGATCGTCATTCTTCATCGCAAGGCCAGCAAGATACGCCGAGCCGCGACGAGAACCACGCCGAATGGAAAGCACTGAAGTCCCGAGCCGCAACGAAACCTGCGGACAAAGCCGGGGCTCGCTCCTCGGCCAAGGCTCGCCGACAGGGATACCAACCTCTCCAGCAACACCTTCCGACTCCAGCTTGTCAGCAGCCTGGAGATGGGCGTACGCAGCGTTGACAACGAACGTCATGTCAAACAGAGTACGGTTGTTGCCGATCATGTAAATGTGCGACTTTTCGTTGGCGACCTTGAGCATGGCAGGTCCGCCTTGAGCGTCCCTGCATCACAGAAAATGGCGTGGTTTGGGTGAGAGGATGAGCGCTGGATCCAGGTCGCTGCGATCCAATCGGCCAACATCAAGTGGGGGAGCCTGCCTGGGCGAGCAATCGATAAACAGAGAGAGGTCCCTCTGGACTCACCGAGGGCCAAAGATGCCCGAGGGCCGAAGCGCACAGGTTGCCATGCCGTTCTTGCCGTTATAGCTTAAGACCAGGCTTTCTCCTTGCGCCTGATGAAAGGATGGATCCCCTTGATGAACAACACATTCAAGAACAACCCTGGATCGAAGTCAGCGCCGGCCACAAGACCGGCACTCTGAGCCTTGCCGTCTTACCTTGGACTGGTTGTAGGCATCCATCGTTTCGGGAAAGGGCCAGGTCTCGTCAGCGGCCACCATGGGCTGCCCGTTGTAAATGACACTGGCGCTGCTAGTGTAGACAAACTTTCGAACCCCGCTCGCAACAGCGGCATCGAGGATGGTCTGGGTGCCTTCGACGTTGACCTTGAAAAAGACTTTGTCTGGCAGACCGTGCGGTGGGGAGGCTGAGTGGATCACAACGGTGCGAGACTTGAGGGCAGGGGCCAGGTCAGCCGGGCTGCAGAGATCGCCGGTAAAGTATTCGACCTTGGGGTTGGGCTCGCGGGGGACACGCATGTCGAAGACGGCAACTTGGTCACCACGCTCGACAAGCTGGTCGACGATGTGCCCGCCGAGGAAGCCTCCTCCTCCAATGACAAGATACGATTCCTGCTTTGATGGGTGCACAGAGGGCAAATATTAGATCCAGTACGGCCGCGGCACGACCAGGGCAAGCTTGCACAGGTAGACGGGAGCTCTGGGTGGCTCGTCCCAAGAGAGCTACCTTACCTTGGTCATGTTTTTCGGAAGCGGTAGTTCTCGGCAGCAAGAGCAGGAGCAGCAGGAGCAGGAGCAGCAGGATATGGAGATGCCACTCGCGGCAAAGTCTGGCAGATCGCAAACCAAGGCAGCGGCCGTTCTGTTCGCCTTCCTGCTCGACATGTGTGTGTGTGGCATCATGTGCGCAGCCACTGGCCAATAGGAAATCCGTGCACAGCAAGCACGTGTCGATACTTGGGGTTTGGCTCGTGACACATGGAGCGAACAGGGAGCCGAGCAGGCAATGGGCACATCGTCTCATCCAGACAAACACGGCGTTGTCGGATCATATCACACACCCGGTCAAGTGGGTCAAACCATCTCCCTGTGTGAGGGAGATGCACGGGTGAGTGGGCACGACGGAACCAGCGAGCCGCTGCCAATGCGGTCACTGCGGGTCATGGCACGAAGACGTGTGGGATGAGGGAGGAAGGCGCAGGGCAAAGAGCAATATCGCCGCAGGACCTCGAACGAGTTCCATAGAGTTCGAATGCCGATCGAGGCCGTTCTGCCAGATCGATCAACATCAACGAATACACAAGCCCTTCGTGTGTGAAGGTCTTCCGTTTCAAAAAGGCTCATGCACTGTATTTGGCGACACCCTGCACACCTTCGCCCGAGATAGAGAACTCGCAGTAATCGGACATTGCCATGTTCGGCCCAAAGACCACCCGTAGCAAACGAATGTCGTTGGAGGGGTTGTCGCCCTGCACCATCGGGCGGTCCCGGGTGAGCCAAAGCCGGGCATTGACCATATGCGACCAGGCAAAGCCCAGCGCCGGGATATGGTCTGCCTGCCGCTGTCCAGCAAGGGCTAGCATGCCATGGATGTTGCGGTCTGCAAAGTCGGCTGGATGAGACGCTTGATGGGATGTGTTGACCGCATCCGAGACCTGGTTGATGCAGACAACAACCGCACCGTAGTGGTCGCTGATGCGCTTCAACATCGAGATTGCCGAGTCCAGCATCCGTGTCTTTTCAACCGCCGGCAGGCTTTCGCCACCACCAAGCATCGTCTCCTCGGCGCGAAGTGTGGCTGCTATCGAGTCGATGACGATGAGTCTGATCGGCCGCTGCGACATGAGCACGGGCACCTGGTACATCAGAACATGATGCAAGGTGTCAAAGTCCCGGATGTGCATCACATGAACGTGGTCACCGACTCTGTCCAGGGCCGCGGCTGGGAAGCGCTTTCGCATGTGGTCGCTGATCTGATATAGCCGTTGAAACTGGAACTTTTGCTCCGTGTCGATGTAGATGGCGCCTGCAGAGTCAGCGCGGGACACAACGGCGGTTGCCTACGATTAGCACAGCTGGACAAGATCGAGCCAGCAGCGGCTGGGAGCTTGGCCAGCACGATCAGCCCAGCACGATCAGCCCAGCACGATCAGCCCAGCACGATCAGCCCAGCAACGCAGATCCAATGCGGACCGGGCTGACGCTGATCTTCGTTCCGAATCCATCGATCGCCAGCGAGCCTTCATCCGCATCGATTCGATTCGGCCACCATCATCGTCCTACCTCCTTCAAGCCCGCCGCAGTGATGTGGCAGTTGTGCCGACAGACACAACTGCAATGCAACCTGTGTCTTGCCGGTACCGTTGCGACCAAAGATCTCGATAATCCCGACCGGCAGCCCACCGCGCAGGACCCTATCCAGAACGTCTGGATCGCCAGTGCTCAGTCGGGGCCTCTTGTTGACGACCCCTTGCTCTATCAGTGGCAGCCGAGCGGACTCGATCGGATGGACGATCGAAACAATGGCCTCAATGAGCTCAGCAATATCTCTGGCATCAAGCTGAGTCCTCCTCTGCAGCTCGCTTTCTGATGCTTCGAGAACCTCGGACCCCAGCGATAGATTTGCTGCGGATGCCGAGAGTGTCAGCCAGATCCGCTCTCGTGCAGCAGCATCAGTGAGCCGGCTTGTTTTTCTGCAACAGAATTGCAAGGGAGCGCTGTTTGCCGTGTGAACGGTACGGAGCGGTCCTGTACCTCGTTTGAGCGCCTCGCAGATTCGTGGGCGAAGGGGAATTGACGCAAGATCAGGATCCTCGGTCAGAAGCGGCATTGCGAGGACTGCAAAGTTCAGATCGAGCGAGAAATTTGGCGAACCAAGAACACCCCCCGGTTTCAACCACCGACGGCGATACCCCTGCAGATCGAGACAAGGCGATCCACAGCTTGTGCAGGATCATCTTCTATCCGCCGCTATCCAGCGGCTTCCGTGCCTGTAGCTGCATTGCCCGTTGCGAGGAAGAGTTGCTTTGGAAAATGCAGTTTCTCGGAGCTGGGTCCTGGGAGGCCGCAGAGCAAGAGGTCCACAAGCACCCGGCCGACCGGCAGACCGGCGCTGCAACTCTTGCTGTGATCTGGTCGACACAAGACCCCAGATCCAAGACCCAAGACCCAACCAGACGTTCCGGCGCACAACTCGGCCAGAAGCATGCCCGAGTGCGTCGTGGTGCAAGGTGAGCCGGCGCTTTCGATGAATGCAGGCTGCCCAGGCTGCTCCCGCAAGCGTCGGAACTGTCGCAGCATAACTTTGCAGCAGCGATCCCACCAGCAGCGAGCCTTGGCTGACGACCATGACTGGATGGAGGCCGACAGGCCACTAATATTCTGCGGACTGTTGCAGTTGGACAGTGTGGAAATCAGGTAAAGGGTTCAAAGTAGTAGACGGATTTGAAGCTCTCGGTATTTTGCTGGAGAGTCCGGCAAGGAGCAACAACGACAACCAGCGACAAGGCGAGTTGATAGAGCAGGTTGTTGCCGCCACACTAATCCGCCCTCGTTTGAAGATCGGATCGAGATTCTGGGATTTGATCCTGCATGAGCACGCCAAGCACAACAGATCGGCCACCTACGACGAGTCGTTCGCAGCCTTCTTCAAGAACAAAGACTCATCGTAAGCACCCGCTCTCGATCTGCAGATGCGTGGCTACATCGGTTGGTCTGCGCAAGTCTAACAGTCGTCTCTTCGTTCCAGCGGCACAGCCATCGGATATGGGCAGAAGGTTTCATATCTCGAAGCCCGAGTAAGCATCACCAGCGGACGCTGTTGCGCAAGCAATGTCCAATGCCAGCACTGGGCCTTCGAAACGACGATCCCGCGACAGGCACAACAACATGCCCGACGGAACGCAGGTTGCCAGGTGCCACTCCCAGCAACTCACCGTCTCCTTGGTTGGCATCGCCACTTCAGGGACTTTTGGTCGATATGGAAGAAGGAGTCGTCGGCCAGGTCTTGAAGAGCCGCATCGGGGAACTTTTTTCGCACAACCAAATCGTCACCAGCAACTCGGGCAGCGGAAACAACTGGTACGGACTTGAGTCTGCCTCGCGATTTGTTGATGGATACACTCAACAGGTTTCTTTCGATATGGTCCTGCAGGGCGGTCGGATATGCCGTCTATGGCCCCGAATACCGGGAGAGGCTGCTCGATGCCCTCCGTATCGAAGCCGAGCAGTGCGACTCACTGCAGTCCTATTTTCTGATCAACTCGATCGGTGGAGGCACCGGCTCTGGGCTCGGATCGTACATGGTCGAGATGCTCGAAGACAACTTCCCGAGAGTCCAGCGATTTGCGTCTGTTCTCTGCCCAAGCGCAAACGACGATGTCGTTACTTCTCCGTACAACAGGTGAGTGCGCCAGCGACGCTCATTTCTTGTGTCAGCGCATTCGCTGCCAGCATATTTCACATTTTCAGCGAGAATACATGGACAGATCCAATGGCCACGGCCAACAGGTTCTGGAGATGGCCGAGTCGTAAGCTGTTGCGTGATAGTAACGACAGAGGGACTTGAAACCACCACAACGTGTGTTGACATTCGAACAGCATCTTGTCCTACTCCAAGTTGATTGACCACGCAGAATGTATCTTGCCGATCGAGAACCAAGCGCTGGCTGACATCTGTGATCGCGTTGGAAGCTTCGCCGGTAGCCACGGAAGGCCAAAGAGGGAGGCTATCAAGCCTGGAAGTGCCATCACAGACAGCCTTGGAACAGGTTCCAGGCCTTCCAACTTTGACGCCATGAACAACATCGCCGCCAATCTCCTCATAAACTTGACCAGGTGCGCTGTCAACTGATCAGAAAAGTGTCTTTGGATGCGCTTCCTCTGCTCCGAAGCATAATGCCCTTCGAGATATAGCGGTGGGATGATGCGGTGCTATGCGACGTGACCTCCGCACTTGAACACATGCGCCTCTCGTATCTCAACGCAAGCTTCGATTCTCATAACTAGCTCGATGAGATTTGAGGGCTCCCTCAATGTTGACCTCAACGACATTACAACAAATCTCGTCCCGTTCCCGCGACTCAAATGTCTGATCTCGAGTATGGCACCACTCTATGTGGCCGCCGACCATGCCGTCTACTCGCGCAAGTAAGCCATTCTGACAACGCTAACGATCGAGGGCCAATCATGCCCTCGGCCAGAAGCACCGCTGACGGATCGATTGCACTGATATCAATAGCATGGACCAGATGTTCACCGACTGCTTTCAGCGAGACTCGCATCTCCTCAAGGTGGATCCCAAGTCCGGAGTGTAAGCCTTCTCGCAACTGAGACTTGATATCGATGCACTTCACGTTCTTATGTTCCGCCTATCTCTGGCCCGCCTTTTGTCGCCGGTGCAGATATCTTGGCTGTGGACTCATCACGCGGGGCGACATCGAACTATCGGATTTACGTCGGAACATTGAAAGGTGAGTCGAAACACACCTCGATCTCACTGCCCATGTTTGTATGACCCATCAGTACTGCTTATCGGAATTCGACTGTGTTTTCAATATCGATGTTCGGATTTGACTTTAACTTTGGGCTCAATTTTGGATTTCTTCAGGATCCGGCCAACACTCAAGTTCCCGGTTTGGAACACAGAGAATTGGAAGACCGGCGTGTGTGCCATCCCGCCAGCCGGACAGGTACAGTTTGGTTGGTGGCGTGATTACAATCGGTGCAGCGAGACATTGGTCGGTGCTTGACTGTTCCGGGTACGGCAGACGGCCCAGGCCTACAAGTTTTTCAACCAGTGTTCGATTGAATCGCTGGTGCTGCTCACGCCTGCCATTTTGCGCATCTCTGACCGGGCGTCCCAGCGGTCGCGACACACTAAGCTCTGACGCCCCCTGTATATCAGCCTCGTTGTGTGTTGCAAGTTTCAAATAACACTTGCGTACAAACATCGCTCAAATCCATGGTTGAGCGATTTACCAAGCTCTACAGGCGTCGGGTCAGGCTGAACCGCAACTCCGAGATCGTTAGACACTGGTGCATATAGCTGCCTCTCCATGATAAACTAACAGCCATGTGCTTGCAGGCCAACCTCCATCACTACACGAGACACATCGAGCTGGATTTGATGAAAGCAAGTCTCGAAAATGTCCGCACGCTGGCAGCTGAATACCAGCTGCAGCACGAATCATGCATGTCATAAGTGCAGCAGAGCCGCTTTTGTCCATTGACCACACGGAGCGAACAGCCTATTCTGACGACAGCCACCGTTCCTGGAATATGGGCGCTCAACTATTCAGTGCGCTTGGGATGGCCATCCTCCATAACGCCATGGATGCACACGGCTTAATCCCACACTTACACGCTGATTTAATCGAGGAGCAGAGCCACTGTGTACAAATCGATCGCCACTCGCAAAACCGACCTCCTGAACTGAGGGTCGCTACTCGACGTCAGGATACTCGAGTCGAGCGAGTCGCTTGGAAGCATAATCCTTGCCCAGCCTCCACGGACGGGTCATCAGTGTGAATGATGGATGTGCATGTATTCCCACCAACGAGCGTGATCTCTGCGTGGCCGCCGCCCAAGATTCGAATTTCATGTACCAGCACTGTTTGTTTGCCGACGCATCCGGAGCCTTTACTCCCACATTTTGCAGTTTGCATGTATTCAATCCGAACTCTCGCTCCCTAAGCGTCGTCACGGTTGATGGGTGTATCGAATTGACCCTGGTCGCTGTTTCCCCCGCTGTCTCGTCTTGGTTGGGTGGTGATGCGGGTCTGGTCACGACTCTGCTTGTGGTGCTCAGTAGAAGAGCTTCCCTCGATATCATCCTCCTCCCTTTGCGTGCGAACTTTGCCGGTGCTATCGAGCGCCACTGTACCCATAAGAAAGTTCCTCTCTCGATTAGACCACCAGCCCGAATTCACACGTGCTATTGCTAAAAAGTACCCCCAATATTCACCTGAAGTATCCAGTTTATCCTCCTGCTGGGCCTTTTGGTTGTTATCGATGATTTTCGATATCTTATCAATCATACTGCTCGGCATTGTGCCTTTGAGATCGGACAGGAGCTGCTGCTTATCGGCTGGGGTCATCGGCGGCACCTTCTTGTCGACCGCATCGCCCTGGGTTTTCATTTTCCTGTCGGCCCTGTTGATTTCTTTCATCTTTGACTCCGTTTCGGCGAAGGGAGGGATGTCGATCTTGTCATCTCGTTGACCGATGCTGTTCGAATATTTGGAGGTCATTTTGTCCAGGAAATCGGTATCGGTATCCTCGCGAGATTCTTTGCTGCGCTTAGGGTCTTTGTTTGATATAGGGTCATCTCTGTCGTCAGGCGCTGATGTCTCAAGCTCGTCGTCGACAGTTTCCTCGCCCTCTGTTTCCGACTGTTGTTGTGTGGCCGCGAGGAAGTCCGAGCCATCCTCATCTGCGACCGAGACGGCTGTATCCTCAACACCAAATACGACAATCGATTCTGCGTTCTTGGGTTGATAGCGCCCATGTGCATCAGGGGTCGTGCCAATGGCCTTTGGAGGATCCGTATCAGCTCCATCTTGGAAAAACGGCTCAGATATGCCAGCCATATCTTGCTGAATATGGGAGAGTGCCGTGTCGCCGCCTTTGTCAGAGATGGTATTTTCACTTTTGGCCCTGGAGCTTTCCGAGTCCTCTTGGACTGCGGAAAGATCCATACCGTGCAGCCACCCTTGCTTGAGCAAACTTGAATCGGTATCGGGAGTCGAGCCGGAGGGCCCTTCCCGCTGTTCGGCTTGAACATCTTCTTGCTTGCTCCCAGCCGCAGTTATGGCTTTATCTGCATATTTTTTGCTGTTGGCGTCGACCTTTGACCAAGCCGTGTTTGTGGATTTGTCCGAGGTATGCTTGTGGGACTTTTCCTCTTGCTCGCTCTGTACTTTGTCTCCTTTTCCTACTTCCAAGCCGGGTCTCTTAGCCGTCGCATGACCTTCACTCGCGATGGCATTTGCTGGTTGGCTGCCTTCTGTTCGCTTTCCGCTATCCTTGATAACTTTCTTAATGCTCGAATGCTGCAGAGTATCGTCGGTGGCGATGAGTGGGCCCTTTGAATTTCGAGCGCCATTCTCGACTAGCGCCTCTATGGGTTGTTGCTGATTTTGCTTCTGCTTCTGTTTCTGGTTGATGATTTGCCTTTTTTCGTCGATTTCGCTCCGGTCGATGCTACTCAACTTTTGTGTGTGGATATTACCTTTCGGGCCTGAGATTCTATCGGCCTCCTCTGAGGCTGAGCTTGGCCCCCAAGCTTCCGCCAGAGAAGATTTGGAGTTAACAGAGGCTCTTTGGTGTTCATGTTCATCCAACATCGGGTCTCCTTTGGCCTTCATGGCCTCTATGAGTTGTCTTGTGCCCAGCTGTTCATCAACTAGAGGTTGCTCTTGAGTCGACTCCAACGCTTCCTCGACACCAAGCGGAACCTTCTTTCCAGAGTCACTTGATACAAGCGACAGGTTGTCCTGGAGGTGTACGTTGCCGGGCTCCTGGCCGATTTGGTCCCGGGCTCTGTCCGGCTCTTGATTTTGCGGCTTGTCTTCGTGAACACTGTCGATATTTGCACCCTTGCTTTCTGGGATGCTGCCAGGCTCGTCAGATACGGCAGATTTCCCAGCAACACCCTCGCCGACTTGTCCATTGGTCCACTGACTGTAGATGCTGGCCTTGGGGCTCGTTCCTGGGCCGGAAATGGCCACTTGCTCGCCGACTTTGGTATCGTCTCTGTTGTCGGAGATCGTGTCCTTATCCAGATGATGTGTGAACTCGGTGGCCGGTGCTTTGACGACTTCTGCGTGGTCGTCAACAGGCTGAATGACGGTAGCCTGGATGCCACTGAAGCGATACCTTGGCCTGCTGCTTTCGACTGGGTCCGAGTCAGGGCCGGTGAGAGCTGGACCGAGCACCGAATCATCACCCTCATAGTCTTGGTGACCAATCGATGGTTCATCACGGTCGTCATGAGCAGTCACATCCCTCTCTGCATCCGAGCGGGTCTCGGAGGCTCTCTGGGTGTCCAGGCCGCCATCTCCAGGCCAACGATCCCGCGAGTCGTGCCCGGATCCGTCGGCGCTATCGGCAGAGGGTGAACGTTCCTGAGCACCCGGATACTGCTCCACGGAAGCCGCGGCCCCGAAGTCGGCCATGTCGGCTGCACCCGCGTCGGGTGCGGCCAGATCCATGAGATTGAGAGGTTTGCTCACGTCGATGGGCGGGGGAAAGATTGCATCGCGAAACTTTGGCTTTGTTTCCCTCTCCTGAACTGTCGCTTCCTGGGGCGGGGCTGCAGTCTCGCCGCTGGTCGCCGATCCGTCCTCGTGGGAAACTCGCGTTGTTCCGTACAGGAGAAAGAAGAGGATAACCAGCGTTGCGCAGAGCCATCGTCTCGTGGGCTTGGTCCTCTGTCGAGCGATCAACATCAATCGGTCAGTCAGCATGCAACGTGCGATGTGCAACACACGACATGCAACATGCAACATGCAACATGCAACATGCAACATGCAACATGCAACATGCAACATGCAACATGCAACATGTGGTTTCTGGCCTGTGCATGGAGGCACCCGCAGCTACGAGAGGCGGCATCCATCGCGTCCTACCATGGTGCCGGCGTTAAAGTGTGTATTAGGCTTTGGGATGGAGGCTGGGTCAAGCGGGCGGAGGGCCGAGATCAGACGGATCAACCACATCGATCTCGGCGAGCGGCGTCCGGAAGCCGGTCGCTCTCCATTCCCTCCCAGTGGCCCAGAGGCCGTTCGCCAACTGCCCTGTTTCGCGCCCAGCATCCAGCTTCAAAAAACGGCCCGGCTCGTGCTGGCATGTTGGCCAACTGGCTCCGCCATCACCAGCGACTTGCACAGACACCCAGGCCCCACCACCTGCTCCAGCCAATGCAGTCGGTCTCGTCTGTCCAGCGGTCAGTGCGGCATTGGATCGCTGAGCTAAAGCAGTGCCGGACATACTGGACGGATCTAAACGACGATGGAAGCCGGTGGGCGAACCAACTGGCGAATCTTGCTCTGGAAAAAACGTAGGTGGCCCCAGACAGAGACCCGTCCTGCCCGAGACAGACTCGGCCAAGACGACGAGGATCGCAACGATCGCACCTCTGACAGACGGGCGGGATCAATTTGAGGCAATCGAAATATGATCGCAGTCTATGGTTGACACTCAGGCATCGCTGGTCTCCTAGCTTTGTTGCCCATGGTGCCCTTTGGTCGCCTGGGCTGGTTGACCACCCGGATCTGAAAGAGCTATATAGAGATAAAACGACGACGGCATGCCGACCCATCCAAGCGGCCTTGCTCTCGATCGTCGGCAAGATGGTGGGTAGGATCGACGACGATCTCGGATCATATGCAATTATGCAAGCTCTGGGCTGACACTCCATCAACAGGAGGGACAGCTGCGGAAGATGCAGACAATCTCGTTCGATATTGCCACACTCCTGACAGAGACGTGCTCGACGATGGGAGCCAAGCACGGCACCCAGGTGCCGGTATTCAAGACCATGTCGCTCGAGAATCTGTGTAAGCTCGTATTCCGGTGCTTCTCTGGCTGCTTCCAAAACCCACCGTTCTGATCAAACCGGTTATGGGCTCGTGCTATCGACAGGCGACGCAGTGCGTCGAGTCGTTTCAATGTATGCACTGGAGCTCGCTACAAAGCAGGCAATTGTCCGCGAGCTCGATAATCCCAAAGATCGGCGACATGCGATGCTATCTATCTCGGCGTGGGTCCATCAGGCGCATCTTTTGGATGAAGATTTAGTAGAGTTTGACGACATGGTGCAGACAGAGACATTGGATGACCAGGACAGCCAGAATGCTGGGCGTTGATACACCGACAAATGTTTCCGATCCGCAAAACCGCTCGTTCCATTTGCAACGTAAGGGTTTTGAAACGGGACACCCTGCTGTGAGTCAGGGTTGTCGTTGTTTTCTGGTCCTGAATACACACCATTCATCACCCACCATGACCAAAGAGCATGTTCGCGGTGCCTGGAAGCCGAGCGACTCCAGAAGGTCGACTATCTTGATACCGAGTAACCATGGGGCTGTCCAGATGGTTGGGTGCATCCAGATGGTTGGGTGCATCCAGATGGTTGGGTGCATCCAGATGGTTGGGTGCATCGAGTGCATCTAGTGCAGCTGGTGCATCTGGTGCATCGAGTGCATCGAGTGCATACAATCACATTCCACATCCAGTGCATACAATCACACTCCAGCATCACAACATCAATGACAATCGATTGCTGCCACGGGAGATCGACTGGGTGTATTCAAGATGATGCTCCCGAAGCCAATGAAAGCCAAGTGATTGCCAGCGAAGACCCGAAACAATCTCATGGCTCGTCCACTGGGGCCAACAAAAGTTCAGCAGTCCTCGGGCCTCCGATGCCAGCGAAAGAGGGGTACCGTCCCACTTTTCTCTGGGGTGACTGTAATGAATATCGACCACAATGCTTGGACAGGGACATATTCGTCGTTGGCTATCCCCCAAGGCAGCGATGGGTGATACGCTTCGGTACGTTGTTTGCCATGGGGGACGATGGACGAATGGGTATTCTCATCCAGGGAATGATGACACCCAGACTCAAACACTGCTCTATTTCGATTTGGGTGGCTGGAAGCAAGCCCTGTGGTTTCCTTTGCGGCGTGGGCAACTCCCGACCGCAGCTATTCTTCGGTGCTTCCGCTGCTGGCCTCGCTCTTGATCGACAGGAAAACAGGCAAGGGGCATTCGACGTGGAGATCAGTCTTCCACATCTCCCGCGGCTTGCCCAGTGGCCACCATGATGATCATCTGTCTAGCACAGCCGGCATAATACGGGCCGGCCCTGGACGGCGCAAGCCACGGCAATCGAATAGCTCTCTCGGATGTCGATGGCCAAAGTTGCGTTGTCGAACCCTCACCTGCAGAAATGCATCCAGGCGGTTGTTCTCGAGTCGCAGATCCTCCAGCCGCTGCTCGACCTTGATCTTTTCGGCCATCAGAAGCTCGATTCGCCTCATCAGGACGTTGACCTCGTCCTTGGCCTTCTTTTGTTGCGCCTCCAGGCTCTCAAATTCGGCTTCCTGCGCCTGGCATTGGGCCTTGAGATCCTTGGTGACCACGACCATCTTCTCGAGCTCCTCACGACCCATGCGCGTCTTTTCGGTCAGGGCCGCCATCGACTGGATGAATCGAGTGAACTTTGGCGGTGCGCCCAACTTGAGCGAGGCTGCCGTCGCCTCTTCCACTGTCTCGGTCTTTTCGCCTGGTGGCCCTGGCGACACGGATGGCAGCGCTGGATCGGCGGTTCCTTCTCCAGCAGCGTCGCCCTCGTGGCCATCGACGACAGAGGCATGAACAGTGCTTGACTGCGACGGCTGTCGGCGATGGCTGTCCTCGAGATGCGGCGAGGAGCTTTTTTCTTTGATAACCCGATTCACGGCATTCGCGAGCTGCATCGACTTGGCCTCGTGTATCTTGGTTGATGCGGCCTTGAGCTTTCCAGTGGCGCTGGGGTCGGGCATGGCGGGCTGAATACGCCGGTGCAATCAGTCACGAAGGTGCTATGAGCCGATGGATGTTTGGGAGGCGACCGTGCGGGCGAGTGCGCTTGGAGGGCAACCAGCGCATCATGGAGTCTCGATCGGCTCTGGCGACGGAAAGCATCCTCGACGGGCAGCGGGCTTCTCGGCTGCTGGAATTGGTGATTGGCGCTCTCGGCGAGATGAACTTGGGTGTGCTTCCTGCGAGTCGATTGCAACCCCGACACCACACCGCCGGTGCTGTGGTTGAGCCTCGGCCCTGATTGCAGCACAACTCCTCCCTCGGCGAGGGAGGTGTCTCGATTTCTCTGAAGAAACTGTGCTGTGCTGCTGTGTGTGAGCACGTCGGCTTGCCAGTCGAGGTCAATCAGAGCGTGATCGGACGGGCGCCCATTCCTCCAGCACAGTCCACCCCAACCACACCTGTGCAAACAGGGTAGTGTATGATGCTCTTGCCGGATTCAAGCCCCAACCTGGAATTGCACCTTTGCTGGGAGCCGTGCCCTGACAGGGTCGCTGAGATTCTTGCGGGTGTGTGTTTTGCTTACGCACCCATCGCACCCATCGCACTTGCCATTTCGCGACGCTGCCGTCGCCAGCAGCGCTTCTGCTCAACAACGATCCCGCCTCACTCATGTCTGAGACCTCGAGAGACAACCCTGGTCCCCAGCGGACCTCTGCTGGAGAGAGCCTCGAGGCCAGGGCACGCGCCATTGCCACCCAAGAGCAGAACCAACGAGACCAGATGAGGTTGGTGTTTCCACGACGCTCTGTCACAGAGGCCGCTCGAGCACCGGGCTGCAGCCTCGGCTCAAGTTACTTGCTACAGATGAGCTCACCCAGATACCAACCCTCGGGCTTTGGCACAAAGGTTTCAGATGGATCTCGCGGAGCAGCCTCGCAGTTCCCGTCCGAGCACGGCCTTGAAGGCCTTTAAATCCGAGTCGACCTTGCACGAATTTGCCATCAACGACAGCCACACTTCGATGGAGCAGCTCGGGACTGCGGCATTGAATCAGAGCGTCAGCCACAACAGCATCAATGAAGGGGAATTCTCGACCTCGAAATCCTTCAGCCGCAGCGAGGGACTCAACGAGCTCAATATCGATCTCGCTGGGTTGCCTGTCGATGATCCTCGGGTGATCGCAGCCAAGCACCAGGAAGAAGTAAGCCTGTCGCAGCATTCCGGCTTTCGACCATTCGGGTTTCCTGCATTGGCATTTCATGGCACGTTCGCTGGGCATGGCGTGGGTCTCACGATCCCTCAAGCTATAGGGGCTCTGGCTGGGCACCAACTTTGGCGCTAACTGCATTGTATTTGGTCAAAGCAAAACATGAGAATGGTGTCGCTCAAAGGCTCGATATCGGGAAATAGCCATAATTTGTCGGGCTCGCGCTTTGACGAGGTCGACCGTGGCAAGGAGGTTACCCGGCCCAGCCAGGCACGATCACCGAGCTACTCTAATGCCAGCGACATCAAGGAGCCCATGCCTGAGCGCCACAATAGCGGCGGACGAAGCGACAGCGAGATCGAAGATGATGAAGCGCTGAGCTTAGACGGGACAGACGAGTCGCATTCGCAGACCCACAGCACCAGCCCCTCGGACGATCCGACGGCCAAGTTTGCAAAGTGAGGCTCGTCCCGGTAGCCGTGGGAGACTGCGATTCCCGCGGGGCTTTTGCTCGGCTTGGAGGAATATGGTCTTTGGTGATAGACCAGATAGACCACGCTATGTTAACATATCGCCGCCCAGTAAGCATGCGGACGCCCGGGATGAGCAGAGCAGAGCTTGTGCCTGCCATGTCGAGCTGACGGCTTCTTATCCCTGACTCTGGCAGTGAATCCGAGCGCCCAACAGCACCGCAAAAGTCTGGCGCTACAGCTGGAGCAGTGTCCAGGCCACAGCAGCAGAGTGCCGGAACCGATTCAGAGAGAGCCTCAAAAACCAACGGTAAAGGTAACCCAGCCGTCTCCAAGTCACAGAATCCCCAGTCCACGATGCAGTCCAATAGGCAAGGGGATCTTCCGCCGGAAGACGTCCCGCGAGACGTACAGGAGCTCTTTGCCTACATTGAAGGCTATCAGCCCGAAGTCGTTGACCTCGTGACGGAGCTTAAATGCTTCCTTCCTGATTATATACCGTCGATCGGCGATATCGACCCGATGATAAAGGTTTGACTGCCACATGCACTAGGGTCGTGAGTCGCTCTGGATCATCCTCGCCGCTCACAAAAGAATATCGCCTCGATGGCGATTTCTCACGTCCGCGGCTTCGATACTGAATCCTTGCTTTGCTTTGCTTCCACCAACGGCTTCTACAAGATTCCTCCCCCTCGGCCCATCGACACATCAAAATCCAAGGACAGCTTTTCAGAGCTCTCACTGCTTGGCATCACCGTAATCGACGAGCCTGCAGCCAATCAAACTGATTCGGCGAGTACGCATTAAGCAACTCGGTTGTTAGTTATTATGGACTATGAGAGGGAGGGGGCGTCCCAGGCAGATGCGGTAGCGATTGTGCAGCATCGTCTGTTTCCTGCACTTGACCTCGGTGTCCAGTCTTTCCTGACGGATTGGTTTGCTGTACATCCAAATCTCCCGGCCGCTGCGGGTTGCAGTCCTCGACCTCCAACTCCGTTCGGCACACAAATCGGCGGCCTCAGCGGCACCCCAGCACGTGCGCTCGATCCAGTTCACATCAACGGCTGAAAGCAAGGGCTACAAGAGCCTTTCACAGTGGATCCAAAATATATACAATCTACATCTTCAGAAGCCTCCGGACACAGTCACGTACTCGAAGCGTATGCCTGAGATCGAGACATTGATGGCTGAGTGGCCAGCCGAAATTGAGTCACTGTTGTCTTCGGGCGAGGTGAGCACCAAGCTCGGGCTGTCTCGGGCCCTTTGAAGGGAGTGTCAAGGACCTAGTGTGATCTAACAAGTCGAACCCAAAATTTAGATGCAGGTACCACCGCCAGAGATCAATCTGCCGCTGGGTGAATACGCAACGCTTTTGTGCGAGCTCCTGGATGTTCCCGTGCATCGGTCTGCAAAGTCGGAGGCGAGCTCGGGCAAGAAACCTGCCGGGGGGGCCAAAAACTCAAAGACCGCCTACATTGAGTCACTCCACCTTCTGTTCACACTTTACTGCGAATTCAAGGCATCGCAACACTTTGGCAGAACCATACATGGCGGAGCTGAGCGGTCGGTGTAATAGGGGTGTATCCTGCGGACCTTGTCCAGGTGCGTCTCTGGGTTGTTCATCAGCACATCGCCACTAGCGTCAGGCACCCCTGTTATTGTGCTCAATTGGACGCAACTATGTCTCCCTGGTGCTCAAATGATGAACATTAGTGTACCATGTATCTGTCGCCAAATATCTATTTCAATATATTACTGCGCTATAGTTCTTGCTGATGTTTCCCGCTTGCTGTAGCTTTGGAGCTTGTAGTAGTCTGTCAAGGCCGAGATGAGGTTCTTGCCAAGCTCTTTGTCTACGAATCATGACCATCGCCGAGTTGCTAATGAGTCATGTATCCATGTACCAGCCGCCACAACCTTCGTACACACCAAACACACGAGTAAGGTCCTTGAGACTCGCCGTGCGCCTGCGCTCTCTGGTGATGCAGTAGAAGACTTTCAAGGAACGAATTCGGACGATGGATTCTTGGGCAAACTCACATTTGTCAATTGTATATATGATATTTTCGGTGGTTTCTGGGTCCTGGTAGCAGAAGAAGGATACTTCGAGTGTATAGCACTTGGACTCTTTGTCCAGAAATTCACCCAGGGTTCTGAGAACCAGCTCCGATGCACGCATTCGTTGTGGCAATAGAATGCAAAGCAGCAACAATATCACAAACGGCGGCGGACGGATATGGGAGATAAATGCGGCAGTCGGCGGAGAGTGAGGATAGTATAAGACTCATAAAATGTCGGGTAACGTCCCACTCTATTAACGATTTGCATCGGGCTAATGCGCCGTGGGCATTCTCATGTAGTCGACTGATGTTTGCACTTGCCTTCTGCCTGTTCCGGCCTTGAGTGCATCCTTGTTGAACGACGAGTTTTTGAGGGAAAAATCCTGCAGCTTCGAGTCAAGAAGTCTTGGGAACTCATTTTGGATCTGACATCGCTCGTCGTCTTCGTACACATTTCCATACATGAATCCATTCATCAAGGTGCTGTGTGCGTGGATGTCAATGTAAAACTCAAGCTCGTAGGCTGGATCATCCTTGTACTGCATAGCGTGGATGAAACAGTTAATAGCGATGGCCTCTTGATTTTTCAGGTGCTTTTCGATTATACTACTCGGCGACTGTCGGCTGCATAGTGACACGCAATGCCGTACGATGACGCATGTATATATGTCGCACCTCTATCAAAAGGTTTTTGGTTGCCACAATCGTGGGTTGCTGTTCAATCTTTGGACTGGCACGAAGAGTCACCCAGCGTCAGCGCAACGAGTTTCTTTACGCAATACAGCTCAGAGAATCATGCTCACTTTTGCCAGTATCGATTCAGGTCGTAGCCCAGTCCGCAGCATCGGTAGTTTCCGTGGAAGACCCCGTCCGGATTGAGCATCGGCACGATCTTGAAGACTAGGTTCCGGCGCAGGGTCTTGTACATAGTATCCGACAGAACATCGGAGTCAGAGCGTGTTCTGCCGCATATGCCTCGCCACCGAGTCATGATGCGGCTACTTGGGTAGGAAGCACCGAACCGCCCCCGCATCCCTCCATCCTGTCAGCCCTTGAAAAGCTATCGACAGGCATCATAATATGAGATGCTCGCAAAGTTAGCGTGTACCTCAGCTTTTGGATCTGCGCTTGTCAAGAAGTCGATGATTCCGGCACAAACCCACGACGCCGGAGATTCTCCGGGATGAACGCGGCTCGTGATAAATATAATCTTTCGCTGTATGATGAGCCAATGTGGACATATCAAGTGTCCCGCCATGAGTAGCTTCATATAAGTCGAGATCCAACTTCATGGCCAAGCGCATTGCTCGCTGAGCGCTGCGACACCCAGCTCCAGTGATCACTGACCTTTTCTTCAGCCGGAGACGTTGAGGTGATTGTGATGATGTCCAGCCTGGATTGCTCGAAAGCCGATCGGTACATGATGAGATCGGCATTCACGGTTGAATCGAGCCAGTGATTGACTTAAGCACCGAGAAGGCCGGCGTTCCGTCGTCTGTCTAAAAGATGAGCTGCGAGTGGCATCGGAGATTCAACGTGCTGCGGAGAGCTGCTATATGTGCTCTGGGAGCTCACCTGCGCCCTTGCTCGCTATATCCCAGAAGGCCGCGATCGAAATAGGGCAGCTGCCGGTTCTCCAATTCTTGCAGGTACATTTGCAGGTCCGTGTAACTGGAGTCGGTGATCACATCATTATACGTTAGTTCCCAACGTCCACAACCGACCATCGCTTGCAAAGATTCAGGGCTCTGTTCTTGTGAGAGTCGACGTGCATCGGTCCTACGTGTATGGAAAGCTATATGCTGTTTCGAAGAAAGCGTTAGCATCAGCGCCTCATCCACGAGGCTACACGACATCCGGGATGGAGAACGCACCAAAGTAGTATACATCATCGGCGCGGTCGAAGGTAAATGCAAATGACATGATGTAGCTCTTCTTGTGGCGCGGTGATCGGTAGTAGAAGACGCTCTTCGAGGGAATGCGGTGCCTGGGGTTGAATAGGAATTGAATGCGAGACTCAGGTACGCTGTTTGGGAAGGCTGGCGCTCTGTTCCCATGGATACCTCCGCTCATGCTACGGCCTAGTTAAACCACGTCAAGCCAAGGCTTTGTCCGAGCCGGCAGACGCACCATTGAGGCCGCTGTTCCGATTTGATCACTGGGCTGGCGCCATTACGATACAAGCTCTTTGTTTTACTAAAGTTGATGATATTGATAATAATTCTCTGGTTGGGTTTGGCGTTCTCGACACTAAAGTAGAACCAAACTCGATGCCTGCAAGAGAAATGGCCGCGTCAGCGCATTCGCCAGTCTATGGAAAAGTCCAAGCTTGAGGGTCGACAACGGCCTGTACCTGTCGTTGGAGGTGTCCGGTCTGATCGAAATGTCGAATTCCCACTCGGATATGACCTCCACGGTTCCGAGATTTCCGGATTCAAAGTTGTCTCGGAATATCAAATCCGACTGCAGGGGTGGAGGCTTTGGCGGCTCACTCCGCCCGGTTGCGAGCGCGGTTCCCTTGAGCATCTTGCTGCCTATTTGCTGTTGCTGCTTTTTCCTCCAGAGTGCAACTGCTGGTGCGCTTCAGCTCCCAGCGGTAGTTTTCGATTGTAGTTCTCCTGTCGATGCTGTTCCCAATCAAATGCTTCAGCAAAGCAACGGAACGTCATGGCTGTCGAATCAGACCCGCAATCGCATCGTCTCCACCAACAGCCAAGACGAAATGGGACACGGTTGATTGTGGAGACGGAGAGCATCCCGAAGTCTTCACTCGGAGGTGATCCGTGTTATTGCACATGGTTCTGTTGGACGCAAGCCATCAGATACCACACCAACATATGGGTCATGGGCTAGTGTCCCATTTCCCCTGAAGAAAGTGTACGGCTTGTTCCGAACGAAATGGGACGGTGCCCCTCTTTCGCTGGCATCGGAGGCCCGAGGACTGCTGAACTTTTGTTGGCCCCAGTGGACGAGCCATGAGATTGTTTCGGGTCTTCGCTGGCAATCACTTGGTTTTCATTGGCTTCGGGAGCATCATCTTGAATACACCCAGTCGATCTCCCGTGGCAGCAATCGATTGTCATTGATGTTGTGATGCTGGAGTGTGATTGTATGCACTGGATGTGGAATGTGATTGTATGCACTCGATGCACTCGATGCACCCAACCATCTGGATGCACCCAACCATCTGGATGCACCCAACCATCTGGATGCACCCAACCATCTGGACAGCCCCATGGTTACTCGGTATCAAGATAGTCGACCTTCTGGAGTCGCTCGGCTTCCAGGCACCGCGAACATGCTCTTTGGTCATGGTGGGTGATGAATGGTGTGTATTCAGGACCAGAAAACAACGACAACCCTGACTCACGGCAGGGTGTTCCGTTTCATTTTGGAAGCTGTACATTCCGCCCATTTGAGTGGTTCATCGACTGGGGTTTCGCCGAGCCATCCCGCCGTTGTTGTCACTAGCCTTCGTTGGTAAGCTTGTCTCGCAGCATGTACATCTTGGCCACAAGAACAGGCGCTTCTGCATCGACGGGGGGGGGCTACAGCAGTGATGTTTGGGTGGTCAGGCATTTGAAAGTCACTTGAACGAAATCATTGCTTGGCCGATATTAAAAGTTGATGACAGGCACCAAAACCAGCGTAGACATTAGTCTTCATCGACTTTTGAGGATTGCTAGCGATGCCTTCTTGCTAATACTTTTGATCCAGCCGCCCCACGTCAGCTGTGTCGGAGAGGCAGAGTCGTCGCTGATCGATTTCGAGACGCCCCTTTGATCCATTTCCTCGAGCCACCTTGTGAATGGACCGCCATAGTCCAGAGCCTGAACTTGGGCCTTGATTTGTGTCTCTGGATATGGCGACGGGCGATCGCCCTTGGAGTATTCTGGCTTGGAGGCATGGGGCTCGAGCAGATCTGTTAGTTCCTGGACACATCCAAAGAACCGCCGGACCTCCAGCCATCCGCGCTCATTAAGATCGCCCAGGCCGACCCGCTCCGATATCGAATCGATCCAGACTTCAGGCGCCCCAAGCCCTGTCTGTTTGAAGATGTTGGCAGCCACGCCACCAACCCCTTCGACTACCTCCACCGCCGTCGTGGATACCTGGACAAGCCCATCGACGACTGCTTGCTGGGCGCTTGCCATGGGATCGGGCACGCTTTGTGATGCCAGGAGGAAGCCACCGCTCAGGGATTGTGCCTGCATTGACTTGACAGGCTGTAGGAGCTGCTCGACAGGAAAGACACGACTACGCCAGCTTCGATCTGCCAGTACAAACTTGTTGAACGCTCCGATCCACCGGGTTTTGGACCATTTAACTTTCTCGGTGTCGAGATGAACGTGAGGCGGGAGGTATCCCTTTCCATGTGAATAGACCGTCACGGCGAGCAGGCCCTTTTCGGCTCGGGCGAGAACATCCAGATGTCGGGGGAGAACCTTCTTTGTGCCGAACACGACAGTGGATATGGGCGCAAATATCGACGGATCGAGAATCATGCCTGCTTGTAGGAGCACCTCGAGGGATTCCCTGGCACCGGCATCGCGATCAGCCTCCGGGTCCTCGTGCTTATCATCGGCAACGGTTGGGCTCGAGGGATCAGGGACGTCTGCCCAAATAAAGGCTTGGTGAACAGGGGAGGTGACATCGAGCATGTCTTCGTCATCTGGATCGTACTCCTTCTCGGGCAGATAGGGAGCGCGCCCACCAATGATCAAGTCATTGAGACAGGCATTGATCAAGATGTGATTGACCCCATAACGACCCAGAATCAGTTGCCATAGTCCATCGATCATGCCGCCGGACTTTGCTGCATATGTGGTGAAGACCGGAGGTTGGAAGGCTTGCGGAGAGTCATAGTACCGACCCAGGCGGCAGCGGACGCACCGCAGCTTGTACGGCGAGACAAGCAGGGCGCTGAGGACGTCCTCCTGAGAGAGTCGAAAATACTCAATCAAATGATCGGCAGCGCGTAGAGCCGGCTGAGTGCCATCCTCAAACAATCGCTGTAGTGCGCGAACAGAGTGTTCCTTGAGCTCGGGTGGCGAGAAAAAAAGGCATAGCAACTCATGGGCATGTTTCCCGCTGCCCTGACGGATCGGATGCTTCGTTGATGACAGGATTGCAGCAGAGACGCTGGCATCGAGACGGAAGCCGGATTCAAGCAGGCGATCGATATCTTGCCGCTTCGTCTTGAAGCTCTGGAGCAAGAGGCACATGATGTGGTCGTGGGCCTCGTCCCAGGAAACGCCGGCGTGTGAGGCAAAGAAGATGGCAAGCTTGGGATCGTATTTCGTGAGCCGTACCAGACGCGACCACAAATCCTCCATCTTCTCTGTAGGCTGTATGCCCAACAGCGCCGGGGTGAAGTGATGGGAATACGCAATTTTCCGGAGGCTCTCGACGCTGGCGGGCCCAAGATTAATGAAGGACATGTCGAAAATGTTTGCGTCGTCCGATGGACCTTCCTGTGCAATTTGGATGATCGACAGCCGAGAGCCACCGCCGTATTTTGCATGGAGACGGACAGGAGTCGCCTCAGGGTCAATGTCGTCGTCCGGGTCGAGATGATCCAGATCATGATCCATGGAGGAAAACGGAAGGATGGTCTGGAATCGCTCGCCGTAGAGCTTGTACCCTTGTGCCACAAGGTACTCAACGGTGCCCTCGGGCAGTTGTTCAGGATGATGGCGGGAATACTTGTAAATCCTCTCGACAAAGTACTTTGGGAGCAGGGCCCCGGCCATCATCAGGGCATCGCACACCTCAAAGGTGAGCAGACTAGGGCGCCGTTCAAAGGTCTCGTGAAAGACTAGGTGGCGTTGGTATCTGAACATGGCGACACAGACGATGGGAGGGGTGAGAATGGCTTTGGCAGGCCTTCCGACCGATAATACCGTCCCACACACGAGGGCCGTTCACTCAACCCACCGATTCAGGAGAATATGCGCTCGACAGGCCGGCATCTCGAGGAGATGGGCAAACGAGCGGGAGACCAGAGCCAGTCGCTGGATGGTCTTGGGCGAGTGCCCGAGATACGAGCAGACCTTTATCCACAGGTCCCAGCCCAGCCGTGGCGGCGGACGGGGTGGGAGCAGGTATTGGCGGTCATTGTTGATGCGATTCCACTGGGCTGTGGCGGGGCCCTCCTCTTTCTTGATGTTGGCAAGAGAGACTTTGGGCTTCAGAGCAACCTGCATCATTCCGGGCTGGTGGACGGGCGTTATGCAGCAGGGGGCAGGCCTGTGCGCTGGGATACTGAGTAAGTTGGCTTCGGAGTGGGAGGAAGGGGAGAGGGTCGAGCGATGGCCCGACGACGACGACCAGAAGCCCGACGTGGACCAACACACAAGCCTCGGCTGGACGCGCTTTCCGAAAGCGGAAGGCAGGCGGACACAAGCGCGCCAAAAATACAACGAGCGACCTCAACACACGAAGGGCTTGTGTATTCGTTGATGTTGATCGATCTGGCAGAACGGCCTCGATCGGCATTCGAACTCTATGGAACTCGTTCGAGGTCCTGCGGCGATATTGCTCTTTGCCCTGCGCCTTCCTCCCTCATCCCACACGTCTTCGTGCCATGACCCGCAGTGACCGCATTGGCAGCGGCTCGCTGGTTCCGTCGTGCCCACTCACCCGTGCATCTCCCTCACACAGGGAGATGGTTTGACCCACTTGACCGGGTGTGTGATATGATCCGACAACGCCGTGTTTGTCTGGATGAGACGATGTGCCCATTGTTTCTTCAGCGCACTCCATCGCGCTCGGGAGCGACTTCTTTCCGGATGTGAATACACACCCATCCACCATCCACTCGATATCGCTGTCTCCGCGGCGGGCGGGTCCGTTTGCTGGGCATCAATGTATTGGGGACAGAAAGGACCGTCATCGACAGCGAAACAGGGTCATTGGTCCATTTCGAGCATACTGCTCAGCGATATGACGAAGCAAGATTTGTCCCAATAATGAACGCCCATGCATCCGTTAAGCCATCGCTAAAACCCATTCCGCAACCTCGCAGAGCATATTCATCTTGTAGAATTGCCCAATGTTCAGCACCACCTTGAGTGTCCTCAAGCGCTCATCGCGCTGGAGAACAGTCCCAAACAAGCCGCCGCAGTCGCAACTCTCCCTCATATTCTCTGCTTTGACCTGGCGGCACTTGACGCAGCTGGTGTCTTGGAGCTGCCATTCCGTAAGTTTCCAATGAACGATTTCGATCAAGCGCTGCTCAATCATGCTTCGATCGTACTCCGTTCCACAGTCGTGGCATATCCACCAGCGGCCATCGGAAGCTTGGTTGACGGGGGAAGTCTTACTCTGAGCTTCAAGCTCGGTCCCTTCCCGCGTCAGATCAACATCGCGGACGTTGTTGCACCACTCGCAGAAGACCTGAGAAAGGACAAAGTTGGCGCAGGGGTTCTGGAACGCGGCTTCGTCTGAAAACTCCTTGACTCCGGCAATCATCATCGTGTCTCGTTTGAGCAGCCGCGCCTCGAACTCGATGGCAGGGTCGATCGCGACGACCGCGCAGACAAACTTTGCATATTCAAGCTCTGGCCGTTTCATGGAGAGATGCGAGCCGGCAAGGACCGGAAAGGCGTATGCATCGCTCTGTCGGCCGTGCTTTACCAAGTGGCTTTCGATTTCATTCATATCTTTGAACATCAATCTCTTCATCGTTTGGGAGACGTAGGACTTGACGCAGGACGTAAGATCTGCATCCGTCTCGGGCTTGTTGCCTAGAGTCGATGTCGACTGTCGGGGTGCGCTATCGACCCGGCGTTTGAACTGCAGGATCTCGTTAAGGAGACCGCCGATCTGGAGGCGAAACATTTGCTGAAGTGGGGGAGGAAGATAGGACTGTATGTTCCACTCAAGGAATAGCTTCAAGGTTCCAGCGACGGAACAATTCGAGACCACACCATCGAGAACATCTTCAAAGTTACTGCAGATCAGTCCGCCCAGGTTGTGCTTGTCCATCCAGAGTAGATATCCCCAGAATGCCGTCGGCTCGAGCTTCAGATATGCGAACAGAGGTTTCTCTGACAGCGCTTTGACAAGGTAGACACCATAGGCTATTCCCGTAGCAAGCAGATTCTTGGAGGTCATGAGCACAATCTTCTCATAGGAAGCATATACGATCGTCGATCCGAGCTTTCTGAGGCTTGCGATGAGCTGCATGTACACCTTCTTCATCATTCCGTGGATCAACTCAAAGAGGGCGCGGTCGTAGAACTTGGCTGTTGGGGTACTGAGCCAACGATACAAATGCCCGAGGAGCATGAGCGAAAGGGTGTCTCCACTCTGGTTGTAGTGGATATACCAGCCATGCACCATGCCCCGGAGAACGCCGAATGTGTGCGAGGACACTTGATTATGGTCCGAGGAAATGAAATTGGCATTCTTCAAGATTTCTTGGATCGAGGCCTTGCTACTCTCAGCGTAGGGCGTGTTTGCATCGGAGCTGCCTTCGAGCTCACTCAGGGTGGCTGAGGCCAGGACTGTGTTGATGGCAATGTTTTGAACGCTGATTTCCATCGAGACGTTGCTGTATGCGCCAGCAACATTGACCTCGGGACTGAGCAAGTCGTCGAGTTCTCGCCGATAGTCATCCTGTTCCAATCCTCCCAAGTCAGGTTTCTCGGACGAAGAGTACCACAGGAGCATATCGCCCTTGACCAACTTGCGAGCAAACCATATATCTGATATGCAGATGGCGTAATCGTGATCGAGATTGCAGAGTGGAACGTGAGAGCTTTGTGATATCGCTACTCGCTCAGAGAGCCACGAGTCCACATTGAAAAAGTGCTGGAGCATCTGTCGAGTGACGATTTGTTGCCAGCCGAGCGCCGGGAAGATGCTGTCCTCCTTCCGGAGCGGCATTTCCGCCACAGGAAAGTCGTTGATGAGTGGAATCCACTCCACCATTTGCCGAGGAGCATGGCCGGATTGAAGAATCAGCACCGTTGGCCCTCGGCGTTCCTCTTGGTATTGCTGCAGCATACGGTTGGCGCCCAGATAGCCTTCGCGGCTGCTTCCGAAGATTTCCCATTGAATCTCGATGTCATCAAAGTATTGAAACATAGCTTTGGAGGCCACATCAACTTTGTCGTTTTCGAGGTCCATCGTTTGGGATGCTTGTCTGGTCTCCTCTCGCAGCTCGCGATAGAGGGCTCGGAGGTTTGGAATCGCACCTCGATTCAGGCCGGGGTCGACATAGGCAATGTAGCCCCGGTCGCGCGCTGTACCGAACAGCGCAAAGACGTGTCGGTTGCCAGAGCTTGAATGGAAGAGATAAAGATGGTGGAGGCTGCTGTTTTCGAGGTAGCTTGCCCTTCCATCGGCAGTCAGGTCGTCGAGATCGAGCTCATCAATGGATTTCTTGCTTGTAGTTGAATTACGCTCAACACGGGCCGTGCAGCCGAGCTTCACCAGCGCGCGGAACAAGAGGGGAACTTGCGTTTCATAGGTGCCCTCGATCTTTTCGTGGTTGAACATCGCCGTGAACAATCCCGAGTGCTGCTGCCACACCTTTTCGTCCATCTTCATTTCGTACAGATGCAGGCATGGGTGGGATCGCGGGAGAATCTTGGTTTTCTTTTCGATCTGCAGGCCTTCGATTGCGGCAATATCGTCATTGGCCTCGCGGCTGTTGAGATAAATGATTCGTGGGATCGTGATCTTGATGTTGTGCAGTTGCTGGCCGTGGAGAAGAACCCATAGACGAAACACGCCCGGGGAGTCTGTTTCGACGACTTGCAGAATCTCCCAGGGAGTGTTGAATATGGACGCGGTCTGACGCCGGAAAAACTGACGAGCATTATCGCCGTGATTTACCCCAGAAGTCTGAGCGTCGTCCTCGAAGCGGTGCCCCTGCCGCTCAAGGCGGGAGCGTTTCCATTTGCGTTTTTGAAACTTGAGCCATCCGCGGTAGTCGCTATACATGTCGGGCATGTTTTCGGGCAGATCGGCCACGGTCATGGTAAGATTGTCGAGGCCATCGGTCGTCTTTCGCTTTTTGTAGGCCTTACGCTGAATCTTGGACGTTGGCTGTTGGTTCACCGAATGCTTGCCAATGTCCTCCATATCCCTGATTTCTGGCACCAGGAAGCGCTCGGTCGTTGTCTGAAACATATCCGAGATTTTGAACTGCTTGAGTTTGTCGCTCCTGGCGGCGACACGTTTCGAGAGCCATTCAGGGTGCTTGATGCGTGGAATTGGATTGGCCACTCCCTGCATAGCAGCTGGAATGGTGATCAGCTTTTGGATCACACTTCCAAAGCGCTCGAGGTAGTAGCTCCAGTCGATGATGGTGCGAATGTCAAAATTGGTGAGGGCCGGATCCTTGAGCCACTTTCTCAAAAAATGTCGCTTGACGCCTTCTTCGGCCTGGAAGATGGTCACGGGAATGGCACGTTCGCTGACAGGGAGGCCGCTTGGTCCACTCGAGATGATGAATCTACAATTGAGGCCCTTGTCCTTGACCATCTCATCGCCAAGGAACTCGGCCAGTCGCTTGGCAGTGCTGATTGACGTGGACTTTTGGCTGCCGTATTCGTCCAGGGCCTTGGACATGCTGCGGTTCTCAGAGATGAGATCAAAGAGCTCTTGGTCATTCAGATCAGCACCTCTTGAAAACAAGATATCGAGCCACTGGTTGGCAACGGAGGCGACGGCACTGTAGCATTCTTCAAGTGTGCTTCCCTCAAGAAAAACCTTGAAGATTTGTGACTGGAATATCTTGATTAGCTTCAGTTCACCTCGGCGCTTGACTTCGAATCCTTTTAGCTCGGCAAGGCTACCGTCATCGTTGAAGACGGCGTAGCGCTTCTTCAAGAGTTTGTCCTCTTCGGTCGATGACGGAAGAATCATGGCACGGTAGGGCCCATCGACTTCGAAAAAAATTGAGTTTTCGCTTCGGACATCGTATTGGTGCGAGCCGGGATTATAGTCCTGGTACTGATGATTGGTGAACTGTGCATGTACCAGGTGGTTGAGCATCACGCACGGATACGAGATGCCATAGTTCTTCCCGTTTTTGAGCTTGAATTTGAAATTTTCTGGGAAGCAGCTTGGAAGAATGCACCAGATGCCGTCTGTGTCGAGCTCCAAAGGGCGTCCCACTTTCTCGACTCTGGAGCGAGCTAGCTGGATGATCGTTGCGCCGGTCAAGCAAACGATGCCGGCCATCGACATGGAGTACCATCGAGCTCCCTTTCGCATCACATAGCCATAGAAGGAATTGAGGATACACTTGTGTGCGAGCTGAAGCGAGTCGTAGACGACAATGAGCTTCTTTGCTTCGTCGATGGCAGTAAGATCTCCTGAACCCATTGCTTCGTCGAGATTTCTCTTCCAGGTTTTGAGAAGGCCCTTGTATTCGTATCGCCGATCACGGAAGTTGCGGACAGTATTGATATAGAACGGATTCTCACGCTGGCAGACGATAGATTGCTTTTCCATAATACGAGTTTCGTGTATCTTGTGATAGACTTTTCGCGAATACTCCGATATTCGCTTTTTGAGCAGCGCGTTTTGCTCGGCGTCCTTCAGCTCGTGAAAGGCTTTATAGGAATCGGTTGGGTGCTTGCTGGGGAAACGCTCGGTCGACAGCTGATTCTTAATCATCATAACCTCGCCACTCTTGGCCGGAAAGTACTCGCCTCGCCACGACCATGTCATTTTGCGCTGACAGGTGTTGTTGCCTCCGTTATGGAAGTCACACGAAGCGCACGCGCCTTCGTCTACCATGGCATCTGGTTGCAAGCGGTTGGTCAAGATAATGTTGGGATACATGGCAGCAACATCCAAGTGGTAGATCAAAGGCGTATCCATGCGTGATGGATTGTCTCGGAGGTAGCGGAGCTTGTCAATGATGCTGGATTTAACCTATCGAGTTGGCGGGAGGACGAATCGGTTGATTGAGAGAGGCGGATGTGCCATCAGCAACCCGTGACGACGTTGCCAACGGTCAAGGGCTGCTCTGAATGAGTGGCCTTGCAATAAATGTGGCTTACTTCATCGTAATTAGCGACATCATCCATCTTTAGGTGGCCTTCAGTCTGAATACTGAACTGCAAAGCGTGATCGACCTCCGAAATGAGCTGGATCGGGATTCAGAAAAGGGGTATGAGCTACGAACTTGCCGCACGAGCGCAGCCAAAATCGCGATACGAATCGACCAATTACCTGATCCAAAGCCTCGGGTACGACATCGAACTTGACAGATATATCGCTGCGAAAGACGCCTGCCTCAAGGGCTTCAACATGACCACCGACATACGTCTCACTCTCAAGCAGATGGCCGTTGAAGGTCTTGCCAACATGATCGAGGTGCTTATTGGGCATGACCACGTTCGCTTTGAAGGCTTCGACCTATCGATCGGGAAATGACGGGGGATATGTCACTACGTTAAGGCGCCCACTTTGGAGCAGAGAGGCAAATGAGAGACGCGAAGGCTGCAGCCTCGGTAGCTCTGGATATCGTGTGAGCATACCATCAGCAGCGTTTCGCATAGTGTGCCCGATCCTTTCCTTAGAACCTCATCGGGGTTCATTGGAATGATGTTGCACAGCGAGAAAATGAACGGATTCACGTATTTCATGTAGAGATAGTAGGTTGCCACAGCATCGGAGACGGAGTATTGAGCAAGGGTCTGTGGCTGTTCAGCAGCGAATCTACAATTGAGCCAAGCGGTGGTTTCAGTGTTGGTGCTTGTACAGCATTGGATGGATACCTTGCAGTCGTGACCTGTGATGGTGGGTACTGCCACAATTTGGAGTAAGGCTCCACAGTAACCTATGGACTCTACCTCGTCATATCCTCGGGATCGAGTTCGAGAGGATCATAGCCAAGCTTGCTTTTGGTGACGGCCTGGAGTGGCGAGCCAAGAAGGTTAGTGGCACGAGCCCTGTGATTGAGCATTCAGATTGTTTGGGCTGCAGACAATACCTTCAAGCCTTGGCTGCCCTGCGGAAGATAGCTGTCACGTTTGACCCAATAGAAGCAATCCAAGTGACTGGCAAATGACGATCGATATTCGTCGTTGGAGCATTCAAAGCCTATTTCCTGTCAAACAATAGGGAGCGATTTGATGAGGGTGATGCTCAAGTGAAAATGCAGCCGCACACGTCTAGGCAGCCATAAAGATGGGTGTGAACAAACACGGGAGGCGCCACTATCCGTCGATTTCTGTCGCTATCGAATATCAACCTTTTTCATGTCCAGACCATGGTGTTGAGCGCGCTTCTCCACAAATGGCCAATCGAAAAAATCACCGTTATACGATGCGATGACAGTGGGCTTGACCTGTTCGATATGCTCAAAGAACCGAACAAGCACCGATTTCTAATAGCAAAAAGACAGAATAAAACAATGATTAGTGATCGAGATATGGTTTGCCAGGAGAGCTGCATAAACAGCGCGTTTAATGAGTTGATTCAAAATGCAGCCGATCGAAAGAAATCAACAGATCCGAGAAGCTTCACCTCATTTGGTTCATTGAAAACAGTAAACGGGCCTTCATACTCTGGCTTTGGGGTGTAGTCAAAGTTTTCTATATCCTCCGAGACAATCTCTCTGTTGGTGATCAAGTATCCCTAGATGGTGAAATCAAGTCGAGTCAAGCCAAACATCCAGAGCCAGCAGCAGCAGTAACAGTAGCAATAACAGTAACAAAAACAAAGGTCGCCAGCGCCGTCGTTCGAGTCCAGCTGCAAGCCAGGCTTGTTTCATGATCGGTGGAGGGCGATGCATTTTATCGGACATAGGGCCAAAAGAGCCTACCTGGCCGTCGATCATGTACGATATCATCATGATACTGTCGTACTCTGCGTCAGGAAACTTGAGCGGCAGCTTTGTTGTTTCAATATCAAAGGCCAAAACAACAGGCTCGGCTCTTTTGACTTTGGTTGTGTCTCGTGTGATCGACACCTTGCCTCTGGACGAAGAAATATGATACCACACACCAACTCGAAAATCTGGGAGAAGGCCAATTGGTTATTTTAAGAAAGAGTTGAACTCGATAGAGCGGTCCGAAGTGTTAGCAGAGTAAATACATCATAGCTCACCGTTATCGATGGCTGCGCGGATGTAGTATGGCACATCGTATTCACGAATGTCGATGATGTGGTCGAGTGAGTTGACGTTGGTTTTTTTTGTGTTTTTAGTGCCCGGTCCTAACATCCTGACATTTGTTTCAAGAGTGTCAACGTTTCTGGGGAAGCGGCATAGATGTATGCAATGCTTGGCGAGCTTTTCGTCAAAGAGTCGTACCGAAACGCATCCTGAAAGGCATCGGCTTGTGCCAGTCTTTTTTGGTTCCATTCGACAGCTGTCAGCATCACTTTTCGGACAGCAAGTAGATCCGAGACATTGTGAAACGAAAACTTCAAGAGGGCACTCTTGTTTCCAGAGAGATGGTTCGTCTGCAGAAGAAAGTCTTGCGGTCAGCTGCCAAGAGAATTGCACCGGGAGCAGGTGCAATATCGATCCTGTGAAAGGAATAGCAAGCTGCTCCAGATCGAATTCATATGTTTTTGCATACCAGGCTCAAATTTTCTTTCTGGATGCGCTCGACAGAGGCAATCGTAGACTCAAAGCGCTTTTTAAAATACTCTTCGATTTCCTCCTCGGTATTTTCCTAGACCGAGGATCACGATCCACGTTTGGTGGAAGAAGAAGCTGTGAGCGACAGGCGCTGAAGCGGAGAGTACGAAGGGTAAAAGCGCAAGCTCCATCGCGAGCGGAGGGCATGGGCGGAAGGAATTCTGCAGAGCTTGGCAAGCGTATGGCCCAGCAGACTCGATGCCACAACATGACACTTCCATGGATCGTTTCTGGGTCGAAGACTAACCTGGCACATCACTAAAAAGTATGGCTGATATATCACAGTTGCCTTGAACGATCCACCATCTTCTTCGAGAAAGTAAAAATCCACTGCGGCCTTGCCCGAGGGCCACTCTGGATCTTTGATCAGGGTCTAGAGGGACAAAAATAGGGGTGAGATACAAGGAAGCTGCGGATCGCTTCAATCTTCAAGTGGATGTGGATGTGGATGTGGATGTGGATCAAGGACAGGATCCTGATCGTTAAGAACGTACCGCATGCATGTTGACCATCCAACCGAGACGAGTTTCGCCATCTGAAACTCTCGAAAAGCCCATCCTGGCATCAGTTTCATCGCGAGCAGCAACTTCCTGGAAGCGGCTGCTCTCCGAGACCACAGTGCCATCGCCATCGATGCCATCTGGCTGGCCGGAGAAGGCTTCGCTACCGGGATATTTCTGGGGAAGATCACTATGGAATCGTAGGGGTGGCCCGCCAGGAGGGGCTGCCCCAAACTCTCGTTTTGCTCGCTTTGCGGCCATCGATTCCGATCGATTTGCTCTCGACGGCGATTTCTCTGGATCTGCCAGACGGCGGGCGCTGTCTGCTTGGGTGAAGAGCAAGCCGTCCGCCCGTTTTTTGGCGAACGGAGGCAATTTGACCATATTTGGGAACATGGCGGGACAACTCCGCGCCTGGTGGGCTTGCTGGGTCTCGGCTCTGAACGAGAATCCACCGTCGAATCCTTCTCGGACCAAAGTCGAGCTGACACAGGAGAGCGAGCGAGCACGGAAGATCTGAGGCAGCTGGCTGATCAATCGCTTGCTCGAATGCACTCGGCGCCTGATCCAAACACAGATCCACCCCACAAGGCCTCGATGCCGCGGGAGAGCCATGACGATGCTCTACTGGGCCTGAAGCGTACATTGAAAGAGTGGGAGCGCACCTTTCAGGAGGCCCAGGGCCGAGCCCCATCCAAAAACGACATCAAGGGTGCACCCAACATAGGTAGCTAACACATGAACGAAATTCTGCTGAGGCGATGTGACGGAACAGGCGTGGCCCGTAGCGGCTCCTAGATCAGCAATATGTCTGCATCCAAAAGCGCACACGAGGCGGAGATTGCCGATCTTGTCATCAGATACACCGCTGAGTGAGCCGCCGGTACTGATCGACGTGCTTTCAACGGTTGATTTTCAGCGGCGCTTTACAAAGAATACCATCGTCTGAAGGCTCGAGACGCAGTGACTCGCAAACACGGGGATGGCGCACCGAAGATATCAACTGGCGCATTCATGGACCACCAGCAAAGCGATCCACCGACCGATGCGTCTAAGCTTCATGCGGGCCAATGCAAATATCTATCGCCGTCTTCGATCCGTCAGCAACTTATTTTGAACTCCCCAAAGCGGCAGAAACACAACCACAACCCCGAACCACTGCCGATTTCTCAGATCGAACTCGGTAACATCAAGAGCGGACAAGCCGCTCGAGCCCGAAGCGATGCAGCTGTGGCAGCGAATACGAATCTATCGTCTCCACAACCGCCTAAATCCACCCAAGATCCTGTGACACCAAAGAGTGTCCGTATTCGAGAACCAGAAGTGCGGATCGATGCCACACCGACAAAGCATCGCACCGAGGCGGGGAGATCTCTCTTTGCCAATCTTAGCGGCGTCGACGATCACAATACCGGTTTGGAATCCCAAGATGCCGTATCATTCAAAAGCAGAATTTCCACGCCAATGAGGAATCGAAGTACTCCTGGCCAAGCGGCCAAGGGGTCATTCGTCACCGATGATTCCATCGTGCAAGATGTATTTGGGGCCTATTTGAATAAGGCAAACTACGAGGACTCGAGTTCGGAGGAGGAGGGCACGGGATCGTTTGCCAGTGCCCACTCAGCGCCAATCGAAGACACTGCGCCATCCAGTCTCAAAAGCCTGTCTTCGTTGCAGTTTAGAATCGCTCGGCGACCTCGAATGCATCGAACCTCTGAGACCTCGTTGGTCCCGCTTCATCCCCCCTCAGCGACCCCGGACACGATGGACTCAGTCACAGCAACATCCATCTTGGGCAATGAGTTGATGAATGTGCCCGACAGCTCCGCCTCGCCATTGCGGGAAATTGTGCCTCCTGGGAGCCGGGCGCGCCCAACACGGCAATTTAGCTTGCTGTCAAGGGTTGCGCAGCTGAAACATAGCTCTCTATTGAGTCCGTTGGATCTTCAGACCTTGGAAGCCCTTGATCAGGATCTCAGCCCAACCAATGGAGCCACTCGGTCTACCGACGTACAGGATCCTATCCATCATAGTAAGCTAAAGGATGGATATCGATGTGTGCTCTTGGCGATCTTCCCATTGCCCAAGTGTCCCAGTGACCGAAACCTGGGGCGATGACCGATGACCGATGATTCAATAAGGCACCGAATGCAATAATCGTGTGTGTGCATCTGTACTTGGATTCAAAGGGTCGCCGCCAGAAGCACAAGGAAACGCCTAACTGACACCGGGATTTCTTGATCCACGAACCTACCGATCACTTCAAGTCACAGACCAAAATTGTACTCAAACCGACAGACTTCAATTTGTCCAGGGAGCCAACAGCCCTGGTAGTCAAGTGCCGGGTAGCAAGCCTCTGACCGATTTCATCAGCGAGGAGCAACAAAGAAAGCGAAAATTCAGCGACGGCTCAGCCACTGCAATCGACCCTGTCGAGAACACCGAACATGGGAAAAATGAAGCCAAGTCAAAGTCCGAGAATCGGTATGAGCCCGAGGGCGGCGCTGACCATCGAGACAAAGATATCGGCGATATGTCCAAAACTACAGCCAGACGAAGAGTGGGCTCCAATTCCAAACGAACTTCCGGAATGAGTGGCTTGAGGTCAATCAAATCAGCGCGGAAAATCATCCAAACTGGGAAGAGCATAAAATGGCCGGGGATGAGGTCGACGACGATCCGAAGGTAGACCCATTGCCTCACAATGGCATTTTCGAAGTGCAACTAGCATTTGCTGTCATGTTTTGAGGAACCTCCAGATAACCCTGTATTGCATTGCCTACCACAGTCTCACGACGTACAGCTACTCCGAAAGCAATTCAAATTCCCAAGATCCTTACGAAGACGGGCTCAAAGACGCACCCTCCGATGTCCTGTGCAATCATGATCTCGACAACATCGAATTCGCGCTGAATCGTCAAAGTGAAAGTGGAGAGATGTTTCCGAATGAGCTGAAAGCAGATCAAAATTGGTATAGATGAGTTTGCTGAATGCAGCAGTGTGGGGGAAGTTTGATGATCATCAAAGCGATAGTCACTAAACTTCATCACCCACTTCGAAAGCTTATATGAAAATGACGCTGAATCAACTCGGTCTTGTGACGCTCAAAGGCTGTTCAGTACTGATTCCGTGTTCATTTGGCGACCAACTTTCAATTTTAGGATATGTGCCATTGATCCAAGTTATGTCCAAGGGCTTGATCGTAAACGTAGATACGTTGATTTGAACGTGGCCCTGACCAGAATGACGGGGTTGAAGTCCTTCCGACCTAGTAAGCGGAATATGAGTTTCAGTTTACGCAGTCACTGCGCAAGTGAATCACGTCGATGCAATTGCACTGACATATATAACACGAATAGAGCAAGTGAATGCCATAAAGAGGGTGATTGGATGTCAATCAACGTTGATCAACTTGCCTACAGGTATCATAGAGCCCCAAGTATCTGAGGGCCAGTTGGAATGTTGACCTATTTCCATGGATGCTTCACGCCGACATTGGAGTCCCTCTCGTCATTATTTTCAGCTGATATCGACTGATATGCGATCACCCCAGGATTTGGAAAATCCCTCTGCTATCAGCTCCCAACGTATATCATCCGAAACATACCCAACTCCATTGGCGGCGTCACTATTGTGGTCTCACCGATGCTTTCGTTGATTGAAGACCAGATACGTTGTCTCCCTGCCACTCTGAAAGGTGTATCTCTCAGCACTGCAACGCAAACGGTGAGTAGTCCGCTCCACAGGGCACAACCGCATGTCCTTGCATTTTACTGAAGAGCAAGGTGGATCAAGTTAATAGCGCCAAGGTATTAAATCATGTTCCTACCTCCATCATCAAGTTCCAGGCGCAACAAAAGATCGAGGCCCTTTTGGAGATGAATGCTATCGACATTGTGTTTGTAACACCAGAAAAGCTGTGCTCGCAATCATTTTCAAGTATTATGGACAAGATAAACCGCGTCAACTTTGTTTGCATCGATGAAGCACACTGTATATCCGAGTGGTCTCATAATTTCAGGTAGGCGATGGAAGCGATTGAGCGATTGATTTAGAATACTACGGGGTAGATGTTCGAGTATATGTTGACATGATCACTTGCACTCGGTGAGAGCGATGAGTTTGTAACCTCTGAGCTGTTCCTTTCTGAACGACTAGATCGTCGTACCTTCGCCTCGGAGCAGCAATCAAAGAAACGATTCGGGCCAGTTGCGTCATTGCCTTAACAGGGACGTCCACCGTCCAAGCGAACAAATCGATTTGTTCCATGCTGTCGATTTCATATCCTGAAGGAGTCATTACTGGAAGCGTGATACGTGATAATCTTATCATTGGCGTTACCAAAATTGACGACGGAGACAATTCGGCAAGGTAATATTTCTCCCGATTGATGATCAGGACGATCAAGGTCATTGAAAGGGGGCGAGGGGTGAAGTGGGGGAGGGTTGTATGCTGCTGTTACGGACTTGTGGAACAATCTGGACGAGTGAGAGACTTGGTATTCAGAGTTGCTGATCACACTGCCAAATGTGATGTGCTGTGAGTCGGGCCGACCTTCGAAAGCAAATGGATATCGAATCGGCTGCGAGAGAAAGGCACCGAGATTGTGGGAAGTTCCCTTCGGAACTTGGAGCGAGACCTGCCACCATAAGGGCCCGGAGGTGCTGTGACTGAAGTGCCTTTCAAATATGCTGGATACTAATACTCGAAATTTGTAGGGACAAACAGCTGCTGCACCTCCTCAAAACACCAGTTTTCCAGACACTCTCGCCCATCATCATCTACACGATGTACCAAGTAAGCGAGACAACGATGCTGCCTAGCGATCAGAAGTCAACAACAATCCATATTAACTTGAGGGAATTCCAATAGGTTGACGCGGACAGAGTGGCAATGTATTTGCGCGTAAACGGCATGGCGGCCGAGGCCTATCATGCTGGCAAGCCCGCCGATGTTCGGAACAGCATTCAAGCGCGGTTTATGAAGGGAGACATTGGCTTTCTGGTGGCCACGGTGGCCTTTGGGATGGGCATGAATAAGGTGGACGTACGCAGCGTTATTCACTACAGCCTCCCAAAGAGTCTTGAAAACTACATACAGGTAAGCTCTGAAGGGGGCAGCTGCAGGCAGAAGGGAGATTTGATGGTACCTGCGAGACTGATATACATTTCCACAGGAAATCGGCCGCGCTGGCCGTGACGGAATCCCGGCATATTGCCACCTTCTCCTTTCTTCGGATGATTATGCGCGCCAGCGAAGTTTTGCGTATTCCGATGGGGTCGATGATGCTGCTGTGCAGCGATTTATCCTCAAGTATCTGAACAACGGCGGCACAGCCAGCACACAGAGACATGTCGATTCAGAATCAGATGTGACAAATTTACTGATTCCAATAGAAGGTGCCGAGAAGGACGTTGACTGCAAGCACCCGATACTCGAGACATTCTGGAACATTATTGAAGCGGACGAGGATAAGCCAATAGCGGTCTTTCCTGGTAATTTGTCTGGCTGGACAAGCGTTGGTGTTTCCAGAAAATTGGCATGATGATCGTCCAATAACTGACTTGATGGCTCCAGATACGTATCTGTACTATTATGTACGATTCTTCCGAGGCGCAGAAACCGCGCTATGCCACTCAGACGATGTTGTCAAGTATATTGTGCAATGCGCACCAAAACTCACCCGGGGATATAAGGTTACGGCGGCAGAGTGTTGCCAGGCACTCAAAATCTCACCGACAGAACTCTATCAAAGACTTGCATCATACAAGGTAGGAGAGCGCACGCGATATGGAGCAAGATCGAAAGGAGCAAGTTGCTGATATTATCGATTAATTGATTCGTTAATATCCAGAAGCAAAAGCGACTCTCACTCCAGATGGAAGAGAAATGCTTCCATATTCAGGTGCGAAATACCTGGTATCAAAAGTGCGACGAAGAGAGGGACTTGTCCGTGAAGAGAATACGACAGGCGATAGTGGCCAAAATGGCTTCACTAGAAGCTAGTCGTGTGTCCAAAGTAAATCAGGTAACGAAGCAATACCCGAGAAGCTTGCCAGTGTCCTCCAAGACATATATTGGAGATGCTCTTGAGAGACTAACTGACAAATTTCAAACTCCAGATATACGGTATCATCGAAAAAATCTCACTGAGCCCATTGGAGTCCGTCGAGCAATATTCCACCAAGCATGATCGCTCAAATATGACATCAGAGGCCCTCGAGCGGCAGATCAAGCTGTACTCTGATATTGAGCACTATTTCAAGAACGAACTAGATGATGGAATGACCGATATTGGTGGCGACTTCTTCCTGAGCGACAAACAAAAACAAAGGTGAGTTATGGGTGACGGCTTATGCGAAGATAGGATCTGGAGGAATTCACTGAAGTCATTGTTCCCTTGCCAGCAAATTCGAAGTGGAAATGGATGTGAAAGAGTTTATTGCTTTACATCGAAGTGAAATCACCTCAGGTAACTTGTTCATCAGAGTCATGTACCAAAATTGGGGAGGAGAATCGCTGACAGACATGACGTCCCAATCGGTGGTGCAGGACGGAATGTGGCCAAAATTCTCTTGGGAATCAGCTCTCCAAGATATCCAGCAAGCGAATGGTGAGAAAATAGAGACACAGTTGGTGATGGCAACGAAGGGAATGTGGATAGTCAATGGATGAATATGACAACGAATGGATTGGGAAGGGAGGAAGGGATCTCAAATAATTCCAAAACTTTAATCAGGTATAGGAATCCGTTTTGGAAGAAGCACTATTCCTTTGATTTCCAAGAGATTGTCCGTTTAGCGAGTAAGGTTTTGAAATAAAGGAGCAGAAATTTCACACCATCATACATCGGAGGCCGCTAATTGCGAGTAGGGAGCTGTGATAGCCATTCATAGATATCAAGCAGGACAAACTGCCGATATTGAGACTGATGGAGTGGGGAGGAAGCGATGAGGAGCAACAGGAGTGATGTTTTCACAGTATAATAAACAAATCAAGAGCTAGGAATCCTCGTCAGGAAAAATGATTTTGAAGGAGGGGGAGAATAGCAATGTTATGAACAGGACACGGAAATAAGGCGGGGCAAGGACAGGAGGCGTGGGAACTGGGAGTGGTCAGAGTTCAGAAGAGTGATGATCTTATATTGAAGTAGTGAGAAGATCATTCACTTGGTGAGCTTTCTCCTCTCGTCCCCGAGAGCGTCTAATTATACCTCAGCTGTCTATCTATCGCACCATAGAGCTCAGTCGGGGATAAGCCACGCCGTGATCAATGAAAGGATGAATGAACTAACTAATCTAACAAATGACGCAATTGGGTTCCGGTGGTCGCCAATCTCAGCTGCCCCCGAGTGCCATGACCACGACCCTCAATCAAGGTGCGTGTCCATAACACCAATGCTTACGTGTACGGACGTTTTCGGCGAGTGGCGGCCTTCGTGCCGTCACAAGAACCGTGTCGAGGTGCCCACGCTGCGCCACTCTGTCCTCTTGCACACCCTATGTGACGAACACGCCAGTTCGTCACATCTCACCCCCCCTCAACCATTGCGCTTGCTTGTTGATGAGAACTGGCTTCTCGGGGAAGCATCGGTGGAACTCCTTGACAATCAGTGGTGCGTGAGCAAGATTTGAAGAAGGTTCCCAAGTGGCTTCGGTGATGTGATAGCCTTTCCAGGCCACCAAGTATTGGATTCCCCTCCCTTGCCTTCTCGAGTCCAGAACCTCTTCAACTTGGTATACGAGCTGGTCTGCCACCTCGATTGGAGGAGAGGAGAGACATTCCGGTTGGGGATTGGGATTGTTGACTCGTGGTACGGCTCCAGGAGTGCGGTATAGAACGCTGAGTGCACTCAGAGGTGTGCTGGGAGGTCCAGCTCGAACGCTACCTCGTTCACCTTCCTCTTGATCTTGTAAGGGCCGATTCACCTGTAATCAAGCTTCTCCGACGGGCGTGTGGTCTTGATGTTGACCCGCCGAAGCCACACCTTGTCGCCCGGTGCGTACGGCGGTGGTTCTGCCCGGTGATGGTCGGCAAATCGCTTGTGTCGTTCTTGCGCCTCTGTCAAGCTCTTTGCCATATGTTGGCGAACAGCTTCAAGGAGCTTTCTGTGCTCCTCCGCGGCGGGTTTGATCATTGCTTGTCGCTAAACAGCAGAGAAACGAAGGTGCATCTGACGACTTGACCAAGTCGCAACATGTCGCGAGGGCTGGGTCGTGCACACGAGCGAGGAGACTCCCCACCACGACCCCCACCGTGTCTTGCTGGGTTCCCACGATATATAAAGGGCGATGCCCCAGCACCGGAAGGATCCAGCAAGACGAGTCTTCTGTTTATCTCACCCTCCTGTTCGCCCGTTGGCCCAATTCCCTGAATATACGCCGCTTGCTCGTACTCGCCGTTGCCCATTACTCGTCCGTCCCGTTTTCCGATAGTCCCCTGTTCCGTCCCCAGTCCGTCCCCCGTTCGTTACATTAGACTCGTCTTCTTTCCGTTTACCTCGCCCGTTATGACCGACCCCATTATCCGTCTCCCCGACCCCTTTGATGGAGATCGCCATCAACTTCGATCGTTCTTGACCAAGGTCAATATTGTCCTCACCCTCCATGAGCCCCGCTACCCCACCGATGCCCACAGAGTGGGCCTGGTTGGCACACTCCTCTCCGGACCCCCTTCCGACTGGTTTGCAAGCCTTGTCAAGTTAGAATGCCCTCTACTCCGCAACTTTACCCAGTTTCGCACTCACCTCGAAGCTCGTTATGGGGACCCCCATGACGAAATGAGAGCTGAAGCCTCGATGATGAAATTGATGCAAGGACGCAGGCCCGCATCAGTCTACGCATCGGACTTCCAGCTCCTGCAGGCTGACATCCACTGGAACGAGGCCGCCCTCATTGCCAAGTTTTACGGTGGCTTGAACGACGACGTCAAGGACATGCTCGCCATCCGGGGCGAGCTGCCCGACACTTTGTCCGAGCTCATCGAGGTCGCCACCCGACTCGATGCCCGCATTCACCAGCGTCGAATGGAAGCCGCCAACACCGTTCGTTACAGGACCACTCCCAGCATTGCCCGCCCACCGACTGCCGAAGCCTACCCTCCCGTGCTCGGAAAGACTCAACTTGCCGACGCCCCTGTTCCCACGGACCGCGAAGCTGAACGCCGCCTTCGCCGTACCAACAACCTCGGTCTTTACTGCGGTGACAGTGGACACTACATCAATGTGAGGAGTGAACAAGCGCAAGGACGAAGACCAAGTGCTTGGTATGAGCTTTATTAGCTTTTAGCCCCGAACACCAAAGAACAAGTTTTGTTCGAACTGGTGTTCAACATAGCCTCAGACATGCAGAGCTATTTATAGACCGGGAGAAGGTCGAGGGGCAAATGTGGGCGAGAAGGGTGGAGCATCACAGAGAAGCGAGAAGGGGGTGCGAGAGTGGCTGGTGTGCAAGCGAGAGAGGCTTGGCACAGCCCGGGGACATGTGCCGAGCGGTGGGGGAGGCAGGAAACCAGTAGACGCGGGTGGCAACGGCGCGTGCTCATGCATGGGGGCAAACAAACACGTGGGGACTCATGATTGGTGCGGAGGGCGAGAGCATGCGGGACAATCTCATTGGTCCGTTGTGATGCTGGTCATCACAATCAAGTCCTGCCCCAACCGCAAGCCCTTCAACAACCAGGGAAACGACTCGCGCCAGGGTCTCTAAGGGCCACTGCCCTGGCGCACACCAATGACAACAATAAACTCGTTGTTAATGTGACGACCCGGCGTGGTCGCCACATCGGGCGTGCGTAGGCTGGTTCCAAGCCACGCGCGATCGTCTCTTGCTGGGCCTCAGTATATAAGGGCTGCCTCTCCGGCCCCACGAGAGCCCAGCAAGAGAAGTCATCTGTACTCTCCCGTCCTGCAATATATTCCTGTCCAGCTCCCAGTTTCGCCTTTAGGCCCCGTCCCCGTTTGCCCTGCTTGTTCGCCCTGCCTGCTTGCCCTCGCCTCGGTCCACCCTCGCCCCGTCCGTTACAGTTAAGGAATCATCCTCAAAGTTCCCAAAGGCCCCTATTCCTGTTCCTGTTCTCATGGAGCATAATGCTACTGCAGCAGCTTCCACGACCACCCCAAATTTCCGCTCTCAACTTCCTCCAGTCCGCCCGCCTCCCAGTCGACTCCCCTCGTCTCCCATCTCCCGTAAACCAACTCCCACCGAGGACTCGCCTGGTCGACCGCTGTTCCCCCCTGCCACGCCCCGGCCATCCGGACCAAGCACGCACCCGACCCTGGGCGGTAGCGTGGGAAGCGCCAACAAGGGTGACGCGTGCCTGTCCCCAACGGACGACCAGCACGACGGACCGTGGGAAAGCACGCGTCCCCACCACAAGTCTGTCCCCTGGCCCACCACCAAGCACACCAATCAGTCTCCCATCAAGCCCGACCCCAACCTTGCCTCCCTGTCACAGATCCCTCTGCCCGTCAGACTGCACCGTCGCACTTGTGTCACTGTTTGCGTCGCACACTTTCTTTTTCCTTGTCCTGCGACGCCTTTCCTTTTTCCTTGCTCTCATGTTGCACACGCCGCTCTGTGTTCCCTGCATTTGTCATTGACCATGCATTAGTCAGACGCTGTGTTTCCCGCATTTGCCAGCCACCAAGCATTTGTCAGACTTTCACATGTTTCCCCGGTTAGCCGCTGCTGCCTGGCTGCTGTCCCGCCGCCTCCGCTGCTTCGCCCCCGCTGCGGCAGGCTTCGCCTCCGGGACCGCCAGACAGATAAATAGCCCGCCTTCGCCCGCTCATGTTTCTGGTCATCACCTTCGACCCCAGACACACTTGACTCTAGATCCTAGCCTCGCTAAGATCGATAAAACCCTTCTCTATCTTCTTCTTTTGACTTCCTCTTGATCCCGCGATCTGGCACTTCCTCTTGATCCCGTGATCCGACAATATGTCTGAAGACATCGTTCAGGAAGTGTTGGAACACCGCGGGGGCGTTCGTGAGTCCGAATGGCATTACGAGGTACTCGAACAACCCGAATGGAGTACGAAAGGCTGTTTTCCATTCATCTCCCTGGCGGATGCGTACGAGGTTGTACGCTCCACGCAAGTCGATCTTGGTAAACACCTTTGCCCCACTGAGCCGTTCGAGTAGTGTCGGGATGAGGGGGAGCGGGTAGCGATTTCGGATAGTTATCTTATTGAGGCTTCGATAGTCGACACACAAGCGGAGGGTTCCATCCTTTTTCTTGACAAAGAGGACTGGCGATGCCGCGGGAGACTTGGACGGACGGATGAACCCCTTCGCGAGGTTCTCGTCCAAGTACTCCCGCAGGGCCTTGGATTCTTCAGCGGACAGGCTGTATATATGTCAGATCACGGGATCAAGAGGAAGTCAAAAGAAGAAGATAGAGAAAGGTTTTATTGATCTTAGCGAGGCTATGATCTAGAGTCAAGTGTGTCTGGGGTCGAAGGTGATGACCAGAAACATGAGCGGGCGAAGGCGGGCTATTTATCTGTCTGGCGGTCCCGGAGGCGAAGCCTGCCGCAGCGGGGGCGAAGCAGCGGAGGCGGCGGGACAGCAGCCAGGCAGCAGCGGCTAACCGGGGAAACATGTGAAAGTCTGACAAATGCTTGGTGGCTGGCAAATGCGGGTAACACAGCGTCTGACTAATGCATAGCGATGACAAATGCAGGGAACACAGAGCGGCGTGTGCAACATGAGAGGAAGGAGAAAGGAAAGGCGTCGCAGGACAAAGGAAAAAGAAAGTGTGCAACGCAAACAGTGACACAAGTGCGACGGTGCAGCTAGGCGGGCAGAGCGATCTGTGACATCCCCCCCAGAAAAATTGTGCTCAAGTCAAACCATCAATTTTTCGATCCCGAGTTGCGTTGCACTTGTGCTTGGCAAAGGTCGATCAGTGTGTCCATTTCCGGAAGGTTGCGGTTGCGGCTGAGGAAGTCGTGGATGTCTGCGAGT